CCCCCCCCGCCGTCACAGGTTCTCCACTAACCACGGGCCTTGCTCCATTGAACCTGGCGCTAACTGCCTGTCGAGCAACAAACGTGCCCATACTTACCTAACCTAGTACCTCCACTACCGATACAGTTCTCTTGTCAACTGCTTGTTCTGCTTGTATTGACCTGAAAGCCTCCTTCAGCATTCGCTTGACCGATATCTAGGGATCTGGGGCTGTCATCAGATTCTGGTTCCCTGTCACTGCAAACAGAAACTCTTTTGTGAGACGATGAACGCGATAGTGATTTCCCGTGCGACTTGATATTCGGTCCCTCTGCGATATAATCGATAGACACTGCTTTACAGAGTCGCCTAGAAACGCCTGACCCTCTCTCTTTCTCTTACTCACCAACACAAAGGCCATTCTGCTGGCTTCAAGACAGCGCAAGGCTCTCTCGCAACAGCTTTAAGTTTCTGGCTCTCTGGTGTGTCGCTGGCGCTACACTCGCCTTTCTAACTCGCCCAGATGCTTGTCAGCAATCAACTCGACACTTCAATATCAAGCGCAGCCGCCAGCCATGCCCTTTAACCAACAGGCCATGACATACAGATTTCCATCAGTGTCTTTTGTCCTGCGTTTTCAGTCAGTTTTGTTTCCTCGCCAATATACCCCGTTGTCATGTTACCTCTCCTTCAAATGTCCCCTCACGCGGTGACGCCGCCGCAGTCGAATCTCGATACCCTCTCAACGTTCCCAAATAACGACGCCGCCACTTTCAACGACCATCACCCTCGCAATGTCCCAGCGCCGTATCAGCAGTCATTCGCGATTCGCACCTCTCGACCTCACCGGCACACTATCCCGTACGGCTCAGCTCTTTATCCGCCACGCCAAGAGCATCATTTACGACGAAAGACACCAAACGGTACTGTCGATGCCGGATATGACGGCTCGCCGTCGTTGTTCTCGCATGGTCCCCCGCCTTCAAAACATTTAGTTCTACCTCGATCAGCGACTGCTACGGCATTTCCCCTGACGGGCCCTCCAATACGCCAATCTCATTACAACGGGGGCATCGACTACCGCCGTCCATCCTCAGTCGGCAATACAGGTCTCAGCGATGACCTGCAAGCCCGTCCTGGATCTTCCACTTGGGCTTATGGGAGCGATACGGCATTACATCATGGTGCACTTCCCACTAATCATTATGGCCTTCATCAAGCCGAAGGCCAATACATTCCTCAAGGCCAGCCTGAAGCGCCGGGGGTATTCCCTAATCTTTACCAACCAATAATACGAGCTCACGAGTACAATGTCAGGGCATTTTGCCCACCCCCTATAGTCATGAACGAATCGCTGCCTTTTGGTCAGCCAGGCATGCATACTCCATGGAACTATCATGGCCGACCAGGCCTTGTCTCAGCAAGGCACGTTCAGCCGCAGGACTTGCGCTCTTTCCAGCAGCATTGTGGTTCTGATCTCGCACGTTGTTCTTCCTTTGCTTCAGGTTTTGACTCGGAAACTCAGCATCATCCTGGATTCGATTCGGGCATGTACACACAGTCATATCTTCGGCCACCTCATATGAGCAGTCAACAAGGTTTCAGAGAGAAAGTATTGTTACAGGCGCACAGGGTCTACGTTGATCTGCTGGCGTACGCACAAACTATCCGGAAACCGCAGACTTCCAAAGGAGCAGCAGGCCACAACACGTCCCCCAGGCTTCTTGTTTACCCTAAACCTCCGAAACCGTCCTTGAGAATATCTGAAGCCGCACTTGGACAAGATACTACATTATTCAAGAGCTCCTCTGAGAATGATTCGTACCAAGACTTCCAGTCCAGGGGACATGTCGTACCCTACTTTCAGGGGCCGTATAACAGTTATTCCTCCACAGGTAATTCAACACTTTTCGCGGCAGCAAAGTCTATTTTAGATATGCTCAGCAGTCTTTGCGAACAGAGTACCTGGAGCTGGATCGATGGGATAATGCTAGGGGGATGTTTGCACTATGGTCTAGATCAATATCAAGAGGCATTGGAATGGTTCTCGAGAATTACCGCCCTTGACTCGAGGTAAAACTCTTCTCCCACGTGAACTGTCAAGTGGCTGTTCATTGTTCTGACTCTTTCGCAGTCATGTCGAGGCAATTACGAATAAAGCCGCCACTCTTTACTGTCTCGGCCGCCAAGACGAGGCCGAGAAACACTGGATCAGAGCTGTGGAAGTGCAGCCTAGTTACTTAGAAGCTGTTGAACATCTTGTTGGACTTCTTTACAAAAAGCGCAGCAAAGAGGCCGTCGAGATCATCGACCACGTTCAACGCGCTCTAAGGGTATCGCCGGTATGTAACCCATTAGAAATGATTGGCAGCAGCCAGCATGCTATTTACTATAGGCCTTGGCAGGGTGCATAGCGCCTGTATTGTGGGAATACTGACATGAAACAGGCACAGAATCAGCAAGCCGGACCTCACGACCAACTAGTGAAACCTCCTGGTTTCGCATCCAGTGGCTATGCTATTCATGGGAAAGAGAATGGGCGTATTCTAGCTCTCATACATGCAAAGGGAACCATGCTATACAGTATTAAAGATGTAAACAGAGCATCAGAGGCTTTTGAAGAGGCCGTGTTGATCAGCGTAGGTCGCCAAATGACTAGTATACAGGATCTCGTTCGTCGAATCCAGGCTGCCTTATCGCCAACAGAAACTCCAGTCTCGCATAGGAACGCTAGGCACGGTACTCGGCCCTTATTACTCCCTCCTGAACGGGCTCGTCATACTGCACAGCTCGTCTTCGGTGGCACCGGTTCTCTACCGGGACTGCAGCATGTGGCTGAAGGCTCAACCAAGCGAGCTGCTGTGCAGACTACGAGCAATTCGCTGTTATCGTTGGCTAAGATATTTCAAGATTCCTTGTCAAGCGGGCAAGGACTCCCGAACATTCTGCGACGCCCTTCTGGGGTCGAAGATATCCTGGCCCTTTACTATCTATCGCTTTCCCTTCAGGAAAGCCCTTCCACGGCTAACAATGTCGGCATTCTCCTCGCCGGTGTTCAACAGATAGCATCAAATCCCCCAACCCCGAATGTTGATGTGCCTGCTCATTCGAGCATTCCCGGCATTGTGCCAGGCAGCGGTCTGGCTTTGGCTTTGGCGTACTATCACTATGGCCTACGCCTGGATCCCAAGCATGTCCATTTACACACCAACTTGGGAAGTCTGCTCAAGGACATTGGACAGTTGGATCTTGCGATACAAATGTATGAACAGGCCGTGGCGTGCGATGGGACTTTTGATATCGCCTTGACAAACCTCGCCAATGCTGTCAAGGACAGGGGACGCATCAACGATGCAATAACATATTACAAACGCGCTGTGAGCTCCAACCCCGAATTTGCCGAAGCCGTATGTGGTCTTTCGACAGCTCTCAACTCTGTTTGTGACTGGAGAGGTCGCGGTGGGGTCATCCTGAAGGCCGGGAAATATGATCGATGGCACGTTGATGACAAAGGTCTGCTGATTGATGCCCGTTCTTTCGGGCATGACAGCGGCCTCGTCAAGCGTGTCGTACGAATTATCAATCGCCAGTTGAGTGACGCATCACATTGGGGTCAGGGGGTTCTCGATGAGAAGAAAATCGCCTCATTTGCGCGGCAGATTAAGGACCTGGGCCTGGTCACATCGTTCGACCCTGAGCAAGCTCTTAGGGGATGGAGCAACAAACCATGGGAGGGCTCCCGCGTGATACGTTTGATAGAGCGTGTAGCTCGTGCAACGCAATGGAAATGGTATCAGGATCAGCACGTCTCTGGCAGTCAAGCACATACCCAGTACACTCGGCTTCGATTACCCAGCGGACTCAGCGTTCCTTCAGCACCAACCGTCCTACCCTTTCACACTTTCACATGCCCCCTATCAGCAAAGGACATTCGAGTAATTTCACAGCGCAATGGCATTCGAATATCTTGTTCAACACTACGGCTGCCATGGCTCCCTTCCACAGTCTATCCCCCGCCGCCTCCCCCTAACCCACACCTTAACATAGGATACGTATCGTCGGACTTTAACAATCACCCCCTGGCTCACCTGTAAGATCCCCCGTCTCTTGAGTGTGTTTCCGAGTCTCTAATAGCGCGTGAATCGAAATTTAGGATGCAATCAGTATTTGGATTCCACAATCCCAGTCGGGCACGCGCCATTTGCTATGCTATAACTGCAAGCGACCGATCTGTCCACCGACAGCAGATCGAAAGAGAGGCTCCTGTTTTTCGTGACGTCAGCAGCTGGCCCGCAGACAAACTGGTAGAACAAATCATCAAGGACGAGATTCATATACTTGTCAACCTCAACGGCTATACAAGAGGGGCACGCAACGAAATTTTTGCTGCACGACCTGCACCGGTCCAGATGTCTTTCATGGGCTTTGCCGGGACTCTGGGTGCTGAGTGGTGCGATTACATTCTGGCCGATAGCACAGCCATTCCACCAGAGACCCTACGGCCCTGGCGTGGAAACTTCAAGATCACCGATGTTTTCAAGGACGATACGGAGGGCGAGGAGGAGGACTGGATGTACTCGGAAAATATCATCTATTGCCGAGATACTTTCTTCTGTTGCGATCATGCTCAGTCATGCGATGCGAGTGAACGATCGGTTACTTGGGAACAAGAGCGGAGGCGTCGCTGGAAGATGCGAAAGGAGCTTTTCCCTGCTTTGAGTGATGACACTATCATCATGGGCAATTTCAATCAGTTATACAAGGTACGTCCGTCACTCATTCAGCTCTTTACCGGAGTTTCACTGACTGATCTCGACCAGATCGAGCCTACAACCTTTAGAACATGGCTAAGAATCCTGGCACAGGTGCCAAAGGCAGTGATATGGCTACTTCGATTTCCGGAGCTCGGGGAAGCCAATCTGCGGCGAACTGCTAAGGCCTGGGCTGGTGAAGAAGTGGCCAGTCGTCTGATCTTCACAGATGTTGCGCCAAAGAGTCAGCATATCTCGAGGGCTCGTGTGTGTGACCTGTTTCTCGACACCCCTGAGTGCAACGCCCATACAACAGCGGCAGATGTTCTCTGGTCAAGCACACCCCTACTCACGCTTCCTCGATACCCATACAAGATGTGCTCTCGCATGGCCGCATCAATCTTGAAGGGCGCTCTACCTAAATCAAACGAAGGCCAAGAGGCTGCAGCAGAACTGATTGCCGCGAGTGAAGAAGAGTACGAGCAACGCGCGGTTGAACTCGCCACCGGCCTCAGCTACACCATGTCAGCGGACGGCTATGGTCAGGGTGATGGCCGCTTGGCAGATATACGCAAGTTGTTGTGGGAAAGCAAATGGCACTGCGGGCTCTTCGATACGAAGCGTTGGGTGAATGACGTTGAAACAGCCTATGAGCAAGCGTGGCAACGATGGGTTGCTGGCGAAGGCGGCGACATTTATTTATGAATGGACGAGGAGCGAGGCAACTCACAGTGTTGGCGGATATTGGACGGAAAGGTATATATACATACTCGAGGATCTGACAAAGGTCAAGGGTATTGAATGTGTAAATGAGGCGTATGGGTAAGCCGGAACATGCTATTGAGGTATATCTCAGGATGGCGTTGGGGGGATGTTTTCCTTGCTATTTTGACGTCGCAGATGGGTAGTTCTCTCTCATTCGCAGCAAACGGGGTTTGAGTTCCGGACATATCCTCTGGGAGTACCAGTTCATCGAGTCGATGCATTATCATCTCCTGACAGACAGACAGGTCGACAATTACACTGATCCACTATATATTTGTAGAATCGCAAGAAACATGGGGGAGAAAGGCACTTTATATTGTGTCTTCGTTACTCACCGCGCTCCAAGAAAAAGAACCCTTACAATGACATTACTGTGTTCTGTCAAGAAGAAGCAGCTAAATGGAAGCATCCATCCAGGGTAGACAAATACTCTGCGTGGTGTAGGGTGGGTGGGTTGACATGCATGATAATGAGGGATGGATGGATGGCGCTTGAAAAGTTGAAAAGACTCCGGATGCGGCTGGTTCTGGAGCAGATCATCCGCAAGAGGAAAATGATGTGACCATATCCCCAGCTGAGGTCAGGGTAAGCAGCAGGGAGCTGGACAACAAGACAGGGGAAAGGAATGGTTTCATTGGGTGATGCAGACGTCAACTGAGAAGCCAGCTGAGCCGAGCTGAAAAGCCGTTGTCTGTTTCGCTTGGCGCGATCCAAGAAGGGTTTGGACGCTGAAGGGAGGCCTGACGCCACAACGTTTTTCGTTTTTAGTGGCCGGTGTTGAATGGAGCTTGGATTAGGGGCTCCATCAACGTCCGGGCGGGGATAGACTGACTATTGCCAATATCGTCATCTGCCCATCGGAGCCTCCCTCATTCGGTCAAGAGGTAGGTCATTCATGGAATATTTAAAGTAGCATTCACCAAAGGGCAGCTCCTGTTGCTTTGCCAGTCAGGCCATGGTGAAGGTTTGTTCTACATACAGCACAGCACATAATACGGAACAGATACTGTAGATAGATGCCAAAGGAGGCTGCAGAGTGCACCAGCGCATTGTGGATTCAATAGTGACAGCCGTGATGTAACCATACCTTGATTGACATGAAGATCCTTTCACGCAGAGCCCAAGCTGGCGGACCCCAATGGGCCTATCTGCCTCTGCTCGCAAGAATAGTATGTACTAGACGCAGTCCAGGAGCTCTCAGTCAGTCAAGACATATTATGCCTCGAGGATCTCTCCCATGCGTATAGTATGACCATGGCCATGGCATGTGTTGTCTGTGAGTGATCCAACGCGTGGTCTGATCTGATCTCGGCAGACGCCTTGGCCCTGGACAATCTTTTCATTTAGATTTTAGACGAACCCGCTTGCCCGCCCGTTTTTGTTTCGTTTCGTTTCGTTTCCAATGGGAGAATGGTTGGTGCAAACCGCAGCGTTGCTATGACCCCATCGTCCTTTACCCAACCCCTGCTCGTTCAGACACCTGGGCGCGTTAGCATTCTCCGCACCTGATCAAACGTGGACGAACGGGCTGTAACGCACATTAGTTAGGGAGAAGTTAATTAGAACAAAGAACTAACTAGAGGACTAGTAGAGGAACAAGATGATGACCGTGACGGGCCAGGGTCTAGATATTATTCGGCTGTCCAGGAAAGTGCCCATCCATCGATCACTCTGCATTTGGATGCAGCAATCTTATTTTTCCATCCATTGCAACGGTAGTCGGACAGTCGAGTCAGGGCTTGGAAGGTCACCGCCGCTTTCTTATGTGGTCTGGTCTGGTCTGGTCTCGTCTTGACTGGGTTGGGTTGGGATTAACGAAATCAGGGATGGAAATCTCGCACTCGTCCGTCCGTCCTTGATTGAGTCTGAGTAATGCTTGTGTAATGTCCTGTTCAAGAGTAAGAGAGAAAGTTGATGGACTGCCGTGTATTACGGGCAAGCCTGCGCATTTTCGAAAGTATATACACTCATCAGTCGAGAGGGTTTATGTAGTAGGGTTTGTTACCGAGTGAAGCAAGATACTCAGAATGGTTTATCTTTTTGGGCCGAACAGGTTCGGAGGTGCACTGCCAAAAATCAAAAGGTCCGCCCGAGGGACAATCAAACAGATTACCTACCTTACAAAGAAGCCCGAGCAGAAGATCGGCCGGTAGGTACAGTAGTCTTGGCAGCGCACCCTTGACCCTGCTGACTACACATGGCATTGGATCCGTCTGTTAATCCGAAGATCCCAACCAAAGGGTTGTAGCGTGACAGTACGTACCTTAGCTGGACCTGCACTGTAGCATTGGGTTTGGCATTGACAGTAGCCACCCGTTGGCGATGATCGCCCTGCTTCATACCCTGGTCCTGGCCGCCCAAGACTCCGCTGGCCGTCAATGCACAGGACGAACAGGCCCACAGCGCACACGCTGGTAGCGATGGTGACGGTGAAGTATGTGACCCTGGCTCTGAAGCGACTCGGTGGTGGAATCTCAATCACTAAGGTAGTCAATCGATCAATCCATGTTCCTAGTATCCGTATCCGTAGTAGACAGAGACTATCTATTCCCAGTGACCGTCATATTCAACAACCTGATAATGTCATACAGCAAGCATTATTCAGTCTATCAGTAAACTATCGTAACTTGCCTGTCTGCATACAAACACGAAGCGGTTGAACCGAGAGAAGCGGGTAGGCAGATAAATATACAGTAATGGACCAGAAGGGCAGGTTTCCCTCCCTTCTGGTATCATTCGTATAGACACAGCACTTGAATCAATAAGGAATTATTCCGATCTACCTCTATCCACTTCAAAGTCCCCCTAGATGACAACTGAGCTGTCACTCATGCAGACCCAACAACAGAAGCTTGAATGACTGACTGCCTGTTGGGAAGTGAACCCGGGCTAATGGATGACAATATCATACAAGCCAGCGGCGTTGAACTTGAAGGTGTATCAAACTCTAACAGACGAGTGACTTACCAGATGCGACAGTCACAGGCTGAAATCGAGGGCACACTACAGTGGCTTAGTCGACGGTAAGGTCCGAGTGAGTTGGGCCGAGGGCAGACCTCTGGGCGGCTGCCGATATCTGTCGATACTCTGTATAGCAGAGCAGAGTAGCCAACGATAACCTCCACTGTCTTGACAACAGCCCAGTGGACGAAGACGGTGCCGAGCTGATACGCCGAGCCCGTCGGGCTTGTACGATGTAAGTCGTCGCCCACTTACGCAACCAACAGCCAGCGTTATGTTAATCGGCTGAACAGTACCGCCGTCCTGTAGGAATATTTGACACCTCTTTGGATCCAGTGGGATCAGGTGAGGGGGAACTCATCCAATGAACGAAGCGAAGGGCATGATAACAAGGACAGTTGAGTTCGTTTACCAGTGAACGGTGGAGCAAGCCGTCGAGTTGTAGGGTTTTTGGAAACGACTGCGGCAACAAAGCCCAAACTGCTTACTGGTAAATAAAACAGCTGCCTGGAGAGAGTCAAACTCAAGCACCTTATCGCGCCGACTAACAGTGGCAGGTGTTTTGGCACAAGGTAGCCATGGCTGTAGTTCTCACCAACAAAAAAGAATGGCTTGTCTTCTGCGTGATGTGATCAACAATACTGCAAACAACGTAGTGGCTCTGGACCTTATTTTCCATTCCACGATGGTGATATGGGTCCGCACAAGCAAGTAAGTCCTTGGCGGATCTTGATCTGATTTGCAATCAGGAACTCGTCAGAAACAACCGCTTCCAGCCCAGACCAAAAGCCCTTTCAAGTCAGGAACTACACAGTAGCTTCAACAAGGCAGCCCCGAGAGGATAGTTCCAGGGCGTCCAAGGTGAGTATGAGTGACATGAGAACAGCCTAGGGCTTGAGGCACTGCTCTACAAGAAATGAGTCAAGCGGGAGCGTGAATTCTGTCAAAGGATTGCTTCCAAATGTTTATTTCCTTGATTCTGCTTTGCTCAACGAACACATGTTTCAAATGATGAACTTTATTAGACATACAGTCTTTCACCTTGGGACCTCGATTAGATCGCCAGCTCGTGTGCGTGTTGTTGATAGCTGCAAGCATTCTTTCCGAGTACTGACTGTACTTGGGGTTGGTTAATGATCTAGCTACGGACGGAGTTAATCGCATCCGGTCAACGTTCAGCTAACCAACGAACCACCTCCGCAAAGTTAGTAGAGTAGAGTAGAGTAGAGTAGAGCAAGTGGAGAGTTGCCCTTCCGTTGCCGCTATGAGAAGTCCTGTCAGTCAGTCGCTGAGTGAGAGTGTGTCGCTTTGACAGCAGCCCAGCGGGTCAAGACGCCTAACCAATCCCGTCACGATGCCTACCCTCACCCCACCCCATGCTCTCCTTCGGATGCTTTACACCCTGCAAACAACCTTTTTCGCTCCATTCACGCCCCAAAAGTGATTTGAGATAAACCAGATTTACGCCCCCCCTGGCTAAGAGCGCCGCAGCCCCCAAGTCGAACTCGACAGCGGACATCCTGGTGGCAGATCAACAAAGTTACTTTACTGTAGTTTGTTGGACCCATAACTCGGCCACTCCAGCACGTACCTGTTCTGTTCTCCTGGGCTTGTTCGGTTCTTTTATCCTTCACCCCCCTCCCCCCCCGGGCCTTGTCCTTGTTGGTGTCACGACTTTACTTTGCCTTGCCTTACACCTCTTCCCCATACATTAACTTACATAGGCTTCATGCCTTCCTTCCGCCCCATCCTTTTCTCACGGATATTTTATCACCTTCCTCCCTCCTTCTAAATCAACTTCTATCTCTTCCCCTGAGCATCATCTCTCTCCATCTCATCACCATCATCATCCAAACTAATCCCAACACCTGACAACAACTAATACATCGCACCAAGTTTCAACAATACCACTTGAAACATCGTCCCCAAGAGGCACCTTCATACACACACACACACACACACACACACACACACATATATATATATATATATATTCGCCACCAACCAGTAACCGTCACTCAACATGAACAACACCGCTCCTACCCAGCAGCGGAGAGGTCCGTGGTCACAGTTTGAGGATGTGTATCTTATGGATCTTGTACGCACACATGGAGCTCTCAACTGGGTTCGTATTGCATCAACCCTGGGAACCCGAACACCAAAGCAGTGCCGCGAGCGTTATCATCAAAACCTAAAACCAACACTCAATCACGAACCCATCACACCTGAGGAAGGTCTCATGATCGAACGACTTGTCGCGGACCTCGGGAAACGCTGGGCCGAAATTGCACGCCGTCTCAATGGCAGGAGCGACAATGCCGTCAAGAACTGGTGGAATGGTAGCCAAAATAGACGCAAGCGCACGGATCGACGACGTGCTGCACAGGATCACCACGATAGCTACTATCCCACGAACCGCCCTGGACTATCCATCTCTACACCAGCCATGCCCATGCCTGGAGCACAACTCTCCCCCCTAACTGGCACTGCCATGCGCCACCCCATGCATTCATGGATTGAGGCTCCACTGCCCTCGCCATGCTCTTCCGATTCTGCTGAATCCGAAATGGGATCCAACTACACCACATCACCTTCCCACCAGTCCATGCAACTCGCTGTACCTGTCGAATTGCCACCGCTGCGTCACTCAGGCTTGCCAACAGCTGGTGACAGGCTTCCCAGCTTTGACAGACTGGCTCCTCCTCCCCATGCCTATGCGGACAGGCCCGAGTATCAACCCAGATTGCCTCCTTTTGCTCCTCAAGCGCAACTACCCACCGCGCCCAACTCGCCGGTGCAGCAGCAGCAGCAATCACAAAACCGAAAGGCACAAGACTCTAGGATGCATCTCTCCGCCCTCATGGATTAAGATAATGTCGCAGTTATGCGGTCGAAGATGAGCCTTGGCCACGCATGTAATGCGATGGTATATGTGGTAACATGTAGATATTGATCGGGCGTGCCGTTACCGCCAACTTTACCGGCCGTGAGGGGGTCTTACAGGGTCCAGGGGACATTTGTTTTGGCAAAAGATACCAGGCGTTCAGGGAAAGGTTTCTCGGAATTGAAAGCGAATGATGTTTTTACGAAATACTAATAAACCCGAGACTGGACATACAGCGCCATGATCCAGATCTCGAATGACGGTTTAATCAAATAAAATACACTTTGGATTATCCAACTCCTCTGAGTGTCTGTCCCGATATGTACACATGTGATAATTGTCTTTTGTAGATGTATTCAAGGTCAGAATGTCTTGCCATGACCTGAATGCTGTAGCTTCTTAGGACCTTGGCTTTGAATTGGCCGGCTTGAAACGCTTGTCAACGTATCGGGCATACCAATATTGACAGAGTAACCTGGTGGGGGGAGGATGGCATTGGAATGTGGCAGCGTGATAGTCAGGACACAGAACCACGAGAGGTAACTTGAGTTGTGGTGAAGAGTTGCTTCTTCATAGAGCAAGCAAGCAAGGTAAGTAACCAACAGACATGATCCATGCACGCCTATTCTGGTGGATGGGAGGGATTTCCCGGTCACCTCTTTTTTTTTTTTTTTCAGAAACAAAAGGAAGTACGGCTAGCCGCAAGACCCAGGTCGACAGGCAGAGACAGAGACAGAGACAGGGACAGGGACACGGAGAAGCCAAGACATGCATGCACCGGCGGGACACGGGATCGACGTTGATCTATACTACACTGATAGAGGCTCAGAGACTTGCATTGTTGTGAGGTATCCGAACAGATACTGCACATATATACATCAACTTATGTACCAAGATTCAGATGCAAAATCTCGATTCCGCACCCCTGGTCCACGGCTGAAAGTCGATAGTACCGTGGTGTAGACGCCCAATGGACATGGCAAACGGGGCCAGGGGGGTCGTTGTTTGAGGGGAAACAACTTGCGCAGTGATTCAAGGTACGAGACTCCATCCGTAGGAAAGGCGGATTTCAATTTCTAGTGGGTATCTTCTTTACTGTTCAAAGTCGTTAATTGATTGATCGATTGATCAATTGATCGAGGTTGATGGCTCTCCTGTCCTGCCGGGCTAGCACCAATGGATCCAATGCCACTAACAAGGACCAGTTGGCTAGCGCCCTAGTGGTGCAGGCCCAATAGGGACCCCTTCCCTCGGGGATGGCGCATTGATTTTTTTCTTGTTCTTGATTACTGAGCTCTCTTGGTTTTGGGGAATGTCGTGCCCTGTTGGTTTCGACCAGTGCATCTGCTAACCTGAGATGAGCGGATCTCTGTTGAGGTTTGTTCCCTGCTAGAAGACCTGAGTGTCACTGAATGAATGAGTGAAGATGGTTGGTTGGTTGGTTGATTGATTGATTGAACTGCACTGCACTTGATTCAAGGCGTTAGCTCCATGACGAATGATCGATGATTGAAGGATGCATCTGACTAGCTACCGGCTGGACGGTGTCCCGAACGAAAGGGAACCCATCGATACTGCTCTCGGCGCTGGACTAGTCCTGAGTCGGAATATGGCATGGCCCAACCTGGAAATTTGAGCAAGACAGGGTAGTATCGTGTGCCGTTGCTGTGATTGCTTCTGTCGACGCAACGCTTTTTTCGGGTGCGTGTGGCCCAAGAGCCAAGGGCGCGGGTTTTGGATTGAAGATGATGGGTGTGAATTTCATTAGTGACTGCCTACTGCTAGGTACTGTAGGTGCAGCCACTAACGGGGGGTCTATGTACTGAGCTGCGCTGTGCTGTGCTGTGATCCATGCCTGCATTGCATTCATCGACAATGATTATTGATTTGATTTGCTTGATTGGATGGGTATTGGTGGAGAGATCGGGGAGCCGCCAACCGCCCCGGTCTCTGGGTGTTGAATGTCTAGCAGCTACCGGTATCTGACACGATCCGTGTGTTCAGTCCTCTCTAGGCTCAGGCTCCCTTGAATTATTGTCCGTACTTGGTGAGTTGAGTTGCTATTATTGACCTGGCCTGACCTGGCTGATGAGTACGTTCGCAATCGATGCTACTTTCATCTCTTGATTGCTTTTGCGTATTCGATACCCTGTCTATATGCTACTGTTGCTGTGTCATTCAACTACTGTACACCCTGGCTAAGGTATGGATTCCTTATTTTCTTTTTCCTTCAAGTCAGCCCCATCGGTCATTTGCGACATTCGATCTGGCACCTTATTCAACGTTAATCTGGTAGTGAGGAAGGATCTGCCTCGAGTCAAACAGGCTACACTTCCTAGGGTGAGGGTTGCTCTTCTTGCTCATGCTGCGTGCACAAGCCTCTTCTGCCTGACTCAAACCCAGTAAAGCAAGGACCTGTATCTTCAAGCAAGTCTCATCGGGAATATTTATCCTCCATTTACATACAGTGATCGACATAATCGTCTACAGTACTTTACAGTACCCTACCCCTTATCCCTCCTTCTTGAACGTATAGCCATGTACCTCGACCAGTGCCGAGGTTGGTTGACCGGCATCATCTTGGATCTCATTTTAATCTGTGATACAAGGCAAGGCGAGACGGAACCATCCACCAACCCAGCATCGGCAGCCACTGATGTTAGATGCAGGTGCACTCTCCAATACCACCCATGTCCATCTGCCTGGGCTGTCTTGGGGAGCCTGGGGAGCCGGAGTGTATTAACGTGAAGGTGAGGTCGACTGGTAAATGAGGTCTCTAGGGATAATTTCCTATCCTCTCTTCTCTTCTCTTCTTCTGCGCAGCTGACATCTGGTAGTGCTTAATCTCATCAGCGTCAGCACTCACTCACTCAACCCTCTTTCTAACTGTCTGTAGTGTGTGTGTCCACAGTGCAACACGGGAGCCAATCTTGAACCTGTAGGGACTGTACCCGTCGCCGTCACCTTGGCGCCGATCCCGCTGGTCGAGCAAGGGTTGCATGGGAAAATTACCGTACCCCAAGTGATCGAATCTACAGGGATCCTTGAGCCAATCACCCGGAAAGGACAATTCCCGACGATACGATAATCCATGTCTTTATCATAATGGCGGATTTAGGGGTCGATGGGAGATCGCTCACAATTTCTTTTCTTCTCTTCTCCAACCATAATGACGTGCCGGGCCGGGGATGGTCAGTCCGAATAGCTTCGGGGGGTGTTTCTGAGCTCAACCTTCAAGGGTTCAATATTCACTCATTCATTCGGGGGTTTTTTTTTCCAGTGCAGAACGACGAGCCAATCATTCATCTGTCTCAAACACGTACCTCGGCGTTGCACTTATGCAACCTCGCATTTCTTGTGCAGCATCTCGGGCAGTGGAACCAATGCTTCTATTTTCTGCTGGTTCCGTGTGGATGGTACGAAATCTCACGGTCGTTCCGCCCTCCTGCATGTAACGCAACGCTGGCAACGCAACTCTCGCAGGCGCAGTTGAACGTCAACCAGCGTTGTCGTAGTCCCAACGGTCACAAACAAGGGCGAGGGGCTAAGTAGGTTTTGGTCAAGATGGAGACGTGCACAACGGGGATGTCGTTGTAGTGCACCATTGTTCCAGGATACGAAGAGCCACTGATTGGATCAGAAGCCAGCTGACGATTCCCAGGTCTTGGAAATAACATACATGGATGAACAATAAGGTAGTAGGGGTTTCAGGCGATTGATCGAATTATTGACCTCTAGGTTCCATCAGCCAACCATGGCGAAGAGTTCCAATCCCACAGCAATCAAACCGAAAGATTGTTCGCAAGCTGCTCAGCCAAAGCAAATAAACTTCTGTTCCAGGGGACCATGACGATTGAGTGGGTGGGTAGGTACTAGGTAGGTGGGTGTACAGGGTAGCAGTGTCACCGATGAGGCGGGCTGCCCGTTTAGCTGAGAGCTGGAGCAGGGTTCTTGGTGGGCAGCCGATGACATTCGGGGTGGCTCACATGAAACCTAGACGTTGCAACCCATCGATGACGATTACGAACTGCACGAGGAGTGCACAGCGAAAGTAAAACTCCAAACCTCGAATTCTAAATGAATCGGCTGCGATCGAAAAGTCTAACTCACTCGACCGTTAAGAACAAGATCTACACTACACAGAAAGATTCAAGACATGCATACAGACAGACACGGATCGTACAGGAACGAGAATGACAAAACCAGTCTCATTGCACACCTGTCGTGAAGCAATTGATGATCTGCGAGCGGACATTTTGTCTGAGTCTCAATCCTGTTACCGTCTGTACGGTTGCTTGTTACATCACCGACTTCAGCCTTGACGGTCAGTCGGTCAAGTCAGGTCAAGTCAATGTCAATCCTGGACAGTCTTGAAATTGCATGCCTTAGCAACATGGACTTTTTCAAAATCTCCTTTGCCGTTATTAGAAGTATAGTTCCATTCAGATCGATTGCGATCATCAGCTAAAAGGTGTCCATCCTGGCCCCAATTTTACATACCGACATACAGCATCACACTGAATCGACCATCCACACCCCCTCCCTCCCTCCCGCCCTCCACTCTGCTCGTAAACTTCCCAGAGATCGAAATCAAGAAATCGAGCTACCGTATGCTGTGTGTTCATAACGTCTGAGACAGAGACAGGCAATTGGATGGATCTCGTACGGACGGCAGCTGGGGTTTATACCTTAGCTTACAGGGGGGAGAGATGGCAGTCTCAACGGTTTCTTTCCAATTCGCGATTACTGATCGCCAGGGGCCTTCCTGATACTGAGTGTCACGTCACGATGGCTCTGTGTTTCTGTCTTTGTGTTTCTGTGTTCGGTCGGGAGCTTGGGCCATGTCCCGAAAATCTTCGGGCGCCCGTTGCGTTTCGGCCTTTGGGCTTGTCGCTGCCAGGCTTGATTGGGTCGTTTGATGTGCCAATGGAGCATCACATCATGCCCTGTTCCCCGTAAAGAATGATCTTCCTTGGTTTCCTCTGGGTCTCTGTAACCCTTGTCCCCAGAGTCAGACCCTTCTGACCCTGTCAAGCTGATGCTTCCCTGGTGCTTCCACCGTTCTGGCGGCGCCTGTCATGGAGACATGCACGCACACACACACACACACACGGATGGAGACCGTTGTTGATCAGATCCATTGTTTGTCCAGCTGCTGTGACTTGGCTATGCTATGCTATGCTATGACATGCCATGCCAGTCGAGCGAACGAATGAACAACTGTCTTGTTTACTGACGGGGCTGGCTAGCTCAATAGCACTATTGATTAATTCGGTCCACCATTCACGCGATTCAGAGACTCATATCCGGTCATTGACTATTCACTCATAATCAAGCTGGCCTTTCTGTCTCTGCTTTGAGCCCTGACCATGACGGTTGAAACTATTTGCGGTCTGTCGACACTTGGATGACTGCTTGCGGCTTAGATCGTGCCGCTACTTGTTAACATCGAGTCAGCCACAGACGGACGGTTTTTTCCATTCTGGTGCGGATGGGGATGATCCATGCCGATGTCTCGGATTTGAGCATGGATCGTTAACCCAGCTAAAAGGTCCACTACCGACCGATCCCGCTCACCGTTGGCTAAATCTACACCCCCTCCATCCTCTCTCTGCTCCGTCTCTCTTTCTTAGCGCACAAAGGCCGCTCCCCCTGGCCCCTGGCAGCTTGGCATTGCTCAGGCCTGAACGCTTCTTGAGTCGTCCATCTGTCTGACTAACACCCCCTAGTCTAATGGGTTCAGTCGTTGGTGCTGGAGCTGGTGCTTCTGTGTCTCAAGGGCCGTTGCGATGGATAGTTTCAACCCGGATCGTGAGAAGGTTTCATTGCACCTCATCTTATCTCCATTGTCCTACGAAAAAGAAACCACTGCGCATGCATTGTGTATATATGCATATACATACAGGACATTAGTTGGGAAGCTTGCCCGCCTTCTGTTCCGAGGTCGCGTTCACTGCATTTGTACTGGCCGTAGCGGAAGTCCTGGTCTTTTAGTGCGTCACGACAACGTTGAGATTGTCCTCGATGTCCTTGTCGGTTTCAAATGATGAGATCGAATGTTTACGTGTCAGGTAAGGCCCATCAGCTTGAGCATTACGCTGACTCTCTAACGAACGTATGCATGAGAAAATCATTACCGAATTGTGGTCCTAGAGACACCTTGACCGAATTTGAGTTTCATTCCTGTGTTCTTTGTTTCTTCTGAAAACAACGCAGAAAACTCTCCTGGGGGATGTGATGTAATCCATCCACTCTACCAACAGCTTATCTTCATACTTTGATCGGAGATTTCGCCAGTGGCAGAGGATGGAATCCTAGCAACAGCTACCTCGGTATGGATATGCAACCTGTCGCTACGTAAAACTTTGTCCCTCCAGCGTACTACATTGGACTGGACGCATCGTGCAACCAACGACGCAAATACCGGCTGGCACGAATGACAAATCTTTGCAAGGCCTACGACCGGACTAAATGCGTCCATGAGGTCTCGCGACAGAGACATTGCATCCGGACACAATTCCTCCTGCTTAGGTGTATTTTTTGTGGCTTTGTTAGTAGCCATATTACTGCAAAACCAGCCCTCTGTACCGGGTATCCCGTCGAGACGGGAGCTCTAGCTTTGTAGTAGGTAGCAGCCTAAGGAGGTAGGTAAGCAAACAGACATCGCGGACCAAGAGACCCAGTCATGCGGAGCCATGCGCCTCGGAAGCAGGAAAGGAAAAGAGACAACTAAAACATTAACTACTAGGTAGACTAATAACTAGGCAAGCAACAAACAAACAAACAAACAAACAAACCTACACATTCTGCTCGACGGTTGAAGAAATGACTTCTTGTGTCCGATCCTCCTAACCAAGAACAGACAGGGGTGCGTGAATTGGATAGCATGGGAATGGAGACAAAATGGAGACAGAAAAAAAAAAGGGACTGAGAGGGAAGGGAAGGGACGGACGGGAGGGAAGGAAACTCAACGAACGCGGATGTTTATGGCCTCCGTCTAAACCAACAACAGGTCTACAAGACCCAGGGATCTGGATTCAGCAGTCTCGCTTATCGCCGCCGTTCGGGGGAGATCGAGCAGGCACTCACTAAGCTAAACGTAGGTAGTGGTAGGGTGCTCGATCCGCCACCAACAGCGCCAACGCACTCTAACTGGCGCTAGTCAGTCAGTCATCCGCTATTTTCACCTCAGGCACCCCTACAGCTTTGCTCTACTCGAGTTGGCCGCATATGGATCACCTCACTCACGACTAACAGCTTGGAAAACTTTATTTTTCCTTCATCGCCCAATGTTCAATGACTTGGCCGACGATCGAGCTATGGTGAAGCCATCACCATCGTCTCTGACGTATCTATTCCGTATCATCACTGCAATAAAACACCTTCGTCGATTTACAGACAGACATGCATTTGCCCCAAGATCTACTCCACAGCTGTCGAATCTTGGTACTCAACATTTCAGTGCATTGTCCTGGTATCAGCAACAGAACACTCCCTCGAACACACAAGATAGCCTGTGCTTCAATCGATCGAGGCTCGTTCAATTAAGCGAAGCCGATGAACAACACCAACAAAGACGTTGCACGATTCAGGCACGACTCATCTCTCCGCTCTTGACCTCAGGCACAGCTCTAGACTTTGCTAGACCATCGTTTGAATAACGGCATGCCCTGGTCTAGTCGCATGCCATGTTGTCGCTGAGGAGATAGACTGATAGACGCTTCGTCTGCCTTACCCGTCCCGTTGATGGTTCCTTGATTTAGCGACAGTCACATTCCTTGCGCTGTCGATGAAGCGTGGCTCGATTCAGCAGGCGCTGTATTGGCATTCCTGTCGCGAGCGCCACTCCGAGCGGTTCCAAGGTCTTTTAACCTTAATTTGTCAATTCACTGAGTCTTGAACTCGATATAAGGTTCGGCACCGGCGTCTTTGCCTTGGCTTGACAGGCTGTTCCGGGCTTGTCTAGTCTTCTCCAGGTTTTACCACAACTGCTCGTTTGTTTGCTCGCTGCCTTTGTCTTCTAGGGCTAGATCCCGTGTCGCCCGTCGTGCCCGTCAAGCCCGCCTCACCCGTGTCACATCCGTCGTCACATACTATGCTTCTTCCGTCGAGTCTTGAGCCTCGTCGAGGCGACGCCTCTCGGTCATCCGAACATCCTTCCACTCCGGGCCTATCGCTTGCATCATTTGTCACAGCCGAGTCGAGTCGAGTTGTTGACCCTCGCCCTGTGGGACCTCTCATCGTGTGATTTTCCCAACACCCCCATGCTGTCCGTCTTGCGACAAACTCTCCACCCGACTCACCCCTCGTATAAACTTTCGCCGTTGATATAATGGAAAACTCTAATTGCCTTCTGTCCAAGGCTCCACATGCTACTGACAGAAGAACCTTTTGGGGAGTTAGTCAATCACCTCCAGGCTCGATATTAGAAACGACACTGAGGTCTGACGGCTAGCTTATCCTCTGGAGTGGCTAGAGTCGCAGGTCTGACGCTCCGGGGTTGTCGTCAATGTCCGACCATCGCTGCTCTATCGTCCGTATCCACTCGGCCGATCTCGACCTACGGTTCTCTTCACAGAAACGACCAGTCTCTCTACTAGTCGTCGGTGCCTGGCTCGTCTGGATATGTTGACCCAGAGCAATTCTAGACCCTCTGGGCCCGCCCAACCGTACCGCTGTTATATCGTCTCCGGCCACAAACGAGAATTGACGATGATGGCGAGGGTTATTTTGATGGCTTCTTCGATCACACCGGAGCTCAGTAACCGTATCCTGGCTTGACTGGCTTTGCGTGAGAGATGTGGATGTAGAGTTTGTCCGGTCAATAATGCCAACCTCCTCCATTACTGTTGACTCTTCGGTAGAATCGCGCTCCCTCCTGGCACTACCCATGTGTGGCGGCATGTCTGCTGTACCTCGTCCACCTGGACCAATTGAGAGCATAGAAGCACTTCGTGACTGCAGTTCTTCTCGGCCTTGCTCAGGGCGTGTCTTTCTATCGTCGTCTGCATGTGTCTCAAGTCGGCGAGCGCCGGTTGCTGCTTTCTTCTTCTTCTTGAGGTGGTCTTGAACCCGGAACCCTCTGCTCAACCTGATCTCGTTGCTGGTATCCATGGTTCGTGTTCGAGATACTGTTTATAAGATGTTAGCATGGAGCGGATACTAAACAAGTCTGGAAATGAGCATGAACACTTACACACTGTATCCTGTCGTGTTAGTAAGGTGGGATTACGTTCGTTCTTGACAGTGGCTTCAGAGGCTGTTTTACGTCAAATGTCAGAGTGTATCGAGTGCTTCACGGCTGGGCATACTTACCTCCATTCGAAGTGTCCTCGTCGACCACGTCACTGTTGATGGCCCTTTGCCCTCCTGTGGCAGCTCCAGCTCTTCCCCTGAGGAGACTACCGGCCCTGGCGAGTGCCACAGCCTCCATGCCTTGATCAGACATTCGATGAATAAACATCTCAAGACGTTTAACCTCAGCTTTGTACCGTGCATCCTGGACCATCCAGTGTTCTTCTATGGAGTTGTGTCGACTTGCCTCGTCCTTGAGTGCCATTTTTGCTTCTGCAAGCTCTTTTTCGAGCTTGGCAATCTTTCTGTGTCGAGTGCCATAAGCTTCGCAAAGGAGCAGGATATGTGAGCGATACTCTGCGGAAAGTGCTTCGCTTGCAGGATTGGTCATTACTGCAACCTGCAAGGTTTCTGCCACTTGGTCAATGGAGGGGTTGTGCCAGATCTGCTGGCCTGCGTTAATGAACAACTTGTCTACTTCGTCCAAACTGTATTCCGCCTCAGCCGCCGCGGTAGTCGCCTGGTTTGCCTGAGATACTCCTTGCCAGCTAGGGAGTCGCGTCATGCTCTTCTTCAAGCGGTGGGCATGCATCTCTTTGCTTTTGGGAGGATCTTTGTACAAGTCTTGTAGGGCTGCTTCGGAGCGACGATACTTCAGATCGTGCTGTCGAGCTCTGTTGCCCCCAAGAAATCGTAGCCAGCTTTGGTCCGCCATGATGCGTTGCATTTGTTTTGGTGTTTGTCTGCTAGGTTTGAGATGTTGATGAGGATACTGGAATACTCTGGCTGCCTGAGTGACTGATACTGATCATAAGGTTGGCAAGCAGGACCTATCTGCTACTGACTGTCACTGCCACTGCCGGTGACAGTCATTTTACCTCAAGAACAACAAACTCGGTACACATGCAGGCACGTACGTCACCGCTCTTATTCACAGTCCTTCAACATCCCTATTTCATCTGCTGTTGGGTGGGCACATAATGTATACATTGTACTCAGTCGTATTGACATGACTGAAATGTTCTGGCCTACAGACACTTCCTTTGTAAGTCCATCATTATCACACATTCATTAAGAAATCCTCTGCGAGACCAGAACCAAACAACTCTGTGTTACAAATTCTGCCACGTTGCCATTTGTGCACTCAAACCTCCCCCTTGATCCACTCGCTCTCACTCAGTCTCCAACCAGTCCTGAATGAATGTTCTGCTTCCGCAACAATCGATTCCATTTCCGATGTTTGCTCAGGCTCATCCGTTTCTAGGTAGCCCATCTTCCCCGTCGATGTAGATAACGCACGGTTTTGTCCCGGGCCAGATTGTTCTGAGTAGTCCACAAGTGATTCGAGGATGGTCGAGCTGGTGTCTCTCTTTAGAGCTGGCTGAAGCGGCATTATACCGCAATCGTTCAATTCGAGAACTCTCGCCTTGACACTGCGAGGAGAATCGGATCGACCTAGGAAACTGGTAGTGCTGGTCAGGCTGGTATCGGTGTGCTCTATCTCCTCTTGGATATCGGATAGAGAAGTGTATTCATGCGCCTGGACCTGCTTTTCAATGTCTCCATGGTCTGCAGGCTTCTTGATCGGAACCTCAGGGAGAGGACGAGCTGAGGCTTTTGGTGCTGCAATTATAGGGGCTGCTTCGGTCAACCGCCTGGGACGTGTTGACGAATGGGGCTCCTGCTGGACCGACAGAGCATCATCCAATACTGAGCTACTTGGACTCTCTGTACGAAGATTACCAATACGAAGTGGTTTGATGGAACAAAACCCTTCGCTTGCGTGCTCAGCCATGTCCTCTTCCATGTCGACTGAACTGTCGCCCAACTCAGGATCCGGTGCGAGGCTCAGTTGGCGCAGGTTTAGTAACGATCTATAAAGAAAACGGAAAGAGACGAAAGGTGACTCTTTTGAGTCGATTAAGATCCAATCGTAGAAACAGGTCTCATCTGGTGAATCGAGGAGACCACCTGACGGCGACCTGCAACTGATTAGCCTAGCGTCACTGAACATCTATGCAAGGCACACCAACCCAATCCCGTATGACTCCTGACCACGGTGGCCATCTAGTATGGGCAATCTTCGAATTCGGCCCTTGGCCCGAAAGACTTGGACCTCTATCAAGCCGCCATCTTCTGCAACTGATTGATGCGCATGTGGAAGAAAGGAGAAGCAACGTGCCTCTATCCCGTCCCTGATGCGTAACACGCCATCTTCCTTGTATTTCCAGCGCTCGCTTGGCTCACAGAGGGAGCGTGTGATGGAACCTGAAGCTCCATTGAGAACCCTCACGCCACAGTTTGTAATGTTTCTGCCATTCATGAAAATCTTGAAATACAAGTAGCGTGGCAGTTGTGACGTTTCGTTGAGTGCATAGTGGATTCCAAAATGTGATCCTAAACCCAGTCAGGCAGGGCTCCCTGGAGGCTTTGGTTCAGGCAAAGACAAACCTGGGTCTGAGGGGATGTAGACAGAAATCCGAGGACTGGTCTTCCGAAGCTGGCGTGGCAATGAACGAAGTCGGCTCGAGGCGGCAAGACTTAAGCAAGACAATTGATCAGCAGACGGCAGAACACTCTGAGAGGAGGAATCCGAGAGACGACACTCGGGGAGCTTAGCCAGCTCGGGCTGAGTGACGATTGCAACTTCAATTCCCTCAAGACAAGGCATGTTGCACAAGCTCTAGCAGGTAACCAGCGATCCGAGAAGGCCGTTTACAGACGAAGATGAAGGAAAGGCGTCTTTGAGGGTCGATTTGGCAGAACTTAAGTAACAGATACCCTCCCTGAGTGTAAGGAAATCCGGGTTGCTTGGAGATTGTTGATGAGAGGTATGAGGGGGAACTGGCAGCCAGCTGTTGTCGGCTGGCGAATATGGCCGGTTACCTACGCACCTTTCTCTCCCTGGCGCTTGTGCCTTGCTTGGTTCCTGCTGCCCTTGGACCTGGACATATTACAATGAACCAATTTCAGTCAGGCTCGCCCTTGGCCTGATTCATATCACATGGCTGCATGTGTCAACAAGATTCTGAGCACAATGCTAACCTGCATGGTGGTATTGCTGTCGAGTTTGCCCAAAATGGATTATTGAATAAGCTGTTTCATATCGAAGAAATTGGCAACCCTACCATTGATAGCTTGTCAAAAGTCCCAGCTGGTTTGGGCTTTGTCACGATTGGCAGCTTGAGCGAAACCAAGGTTTATTCCTTCATGTGTAGCTGAGCGATACAGGTAATCGGGCTAACATAAATAGCATTCGAGTATAATTCAGTGAGTATTTCCAGATCCATCCGTCGTCTAGCTTTGTCCTAGCACCTTCTTCGTGTCTTCCTCCTTGTCGATGAGTCCTAGACTCCTTATTTGTTTAACGCTGGGCGCATCATCGCGCGCTGTAGCGGACTCGCTTCGGGCGTAGGCGGCTTGCATAGCGAGAGCTCGAGCATGCTGTCGATTGCTGTTAATTCACTGTCCTACTATGCCGAAAGCAACGCCGAATCTGCATGCTTCAACCTACCTCCTTCTTGTGGTGGAGGCACTCGTAGTAATCTTCGAGAACCAGACCGCACTTCTTCTTGCCAGAGTCATCAGCGGCAGTGGTGTTGACCACATAGCATCCCATAACCTCCTGCCAGAAGGGAAAGCAGCGGCCAACGCCTAGAGTCCAAGTAGATGTCGTCAGTCCAAGGAATGTTTGACTGGTTGTATGTGGGCGTGGAAGCTGCCTTGGTAGACTTACCGCCGTTCATGCCGTATCCCGACGCCATCTTGAGCCAATTGAGTATGTGTCGAGGCTTTGCGCGGGTCGGGCAGTATCTGATCGTTGAATCGCGGTTCGTTTGACGTTGTAATCGTGAAGTGCTTCGGGCTCTTGAGTTCACCCGTACCTTGGCCGAGTAGCAAATCGGTGCGCGTGGATTGGATGGTGAAGTGGATCCTATCGGCTCACTGAAAATAACGCTTGAGCCGCCGCAGATGGACATGTGTGGCGTAGTATATGTGGCTGTAGCTACCCAAGGTACTCTACTACACCTTAACCTTGTCCACTCTGTTCAGTACTAAGGTAGGTAACCTGCCACTTTGTTAGTTGAAGCTGGTTAACCAACATATGACCTCTCCTTTTCCAATCCCAAAGCGAAACTATTTCTAAAAGCTTCACTAACACTTATGCCCTCATTGACTCTATCATCCGACTGGAAATACTATCGTCGTCATCATCATCATGGCGGCTCATGTCACGCTGGGTGCTGCGAAGATGGTGCTCTTGGCTGTACACTTCGCAACCATCGCCGACATCGATAGCTTGACCTATCTCATTGGTCAACATGCAGCAATACTACGGCCAGAACTGGTGCTCCGAATCATTCTCACATATCTTCCCGAAACCCTCAATCCGGCGGTGTATGTACCTCTCATACAAGCCATAGCCAGCGGCGAGTCGCCATTACAGACAAGTCCAGACTACCAGCTCGACACTTCTTCTGTTCAAAGTATAACAGAAGATCAGGCTTCAAGAAAAGTCAAGAGACTTCATCTTCTCTCCCTCAAAAATACTGATGTGCCTCTCGCTCTCGCTCACGAGGCTGATCCACTCACCTCTTTCTTACTTTTGAGGGCTTACAGAATGGACGAAGAAGCGGGCATGTTACCACAAGTTCCTGACCTAGTATCCCCATTTCTGCAGCATTCGCAAGAACTTCACAAATGGATGATTTCCACGGTACTCCCTCTAGTCAGACGAAACTACGAGTATTATCCACAAAGACCTATACGGTATTCGCTGCTTGAGTTCCAGAATCTACCTGACAGAACGGCCATCGATTATCTACTCGCTGAGACAGGTGCCGTCGATGATGAGTTTGGCCTGGCTGGCCGTGATCTGAGTGGGCTTGTTGGGCCTTGGCTGCATAACGAATCGAGGTGGAAACGCGAGGCCTTTGACCAAGACGTATCAAATGAAACGGATGCAGCGCCTGAATTATCATGTCCTGGTTGGGAGCAGGCCCTCGAATGGCTCGCCTCTACAGCGGCAACATCCTGGCCAGTCGCTCTCAAAGCCATTGAATCCTGGGATGGGCCATCGGATATAGACCTGGGAAATGATACCGGCTCGTGGCTTCAGGAAAACCAACAGCAGTATCTCGACCGCTCTTATGCCAGAGCCGTCCTAGCTTCTGCATATCTTGTCTCTGATGCCGACGTGGAGGCTTTGGAGGCAGCCTTCAGAATTTGCAATAAGATTCGGTCCCTTTTGGATGAAGACTCCGATATAACACTTCAATCAGCAGTAGAAAATCTTGCCCCTGTTCCACCTTTCGATATAGATGCATTGGGCGGCGCCAAAGCTGCGACATACCTACGTAACGACCTACTACAAAGCTCAAATCCTCTTACAACCCCCAAGGAGGAATCTCTTGATCTTCTCCCTGCTCTCATCCAAAGCGCTTATATTCTTACACGCTCGGGCGTCCCCTGCACAGTCCGTAAAGCTGGGGATCTAGCGTTTATTCAAGATCAGCAGGAACAAAAATCGCAAATTGGCCGGCTTATACGAACTCTTCCAACCCGTGCATCTGATGACGATGGTTGCTGGATCCGGGCACGAAAAGAGATACTATGGCTGCACGGTTGGGGAAACAGTCCGAAGTCCACCGGGGACGAAACTTTACAGGGCATATTTGGCAATGTGACCCTGGAGTTCATTGAGACAGAGCTTTTGAAAGCGATGCTCTCGCGCTCACGTATGTATTATGAGCATGTCTATATGACCAAGTTACACCTGACACGTCTTAGGATACAACCTAGCAAGAACCCTTTACGATCATGAAGGGCCAGATGCGCCTCTGTTGGTATCTGCCGTGTTAAACACTGCACAAAACGCAGCTCTTGGGGCATTCGACAATGCTTCAAATCCAAACCGAAATAGAGGGGGATTGAAAAGATGCGACGAAATGTAAGTCAGTTAATATGTCCTCGGGACACCATTGTTGACAACCAAATCAGCCTCAAAGCTTTTCCGAGAACGTTAGGTACAAATCATCCCGTCAGAAAACGCATCGAAGCATTGTTGAAGGCTACTCATGCCTTGAGCGACTATCGCCTGGTACTCAAACAAGGCGAACCTTTCAGTCCTGTTGTACTTCGAGTGCACTCTGATCCGGTCTCGATTATCGAGAAAGTTCTAGAACAAAATCCCAAAGCATACACACGTTTGCAAGAGTTTGAGGAACTGGGAAGCAACATGATCCATGCGAATTTGCCAATTTACGTGAGGCCAGGCAAGCAGCAGCCGATACCAGAGGATCAAGACGCGGTCAAATCATTGGTTACAAGACGAATCGTCGCCATGTGCATCAAAGCTGCTTTGCGCGAAGACGACTTCGAAACAGCATACTCTTACGTGGTAACCCGTCTTGGTGCCGATGAGAACGTACATAAGTCGCAGCCTGCAGGCATATCTGACGAATGGTCCTGGAAGGCAGCACTTGACGCTGGCAAGTATGTCCGCACGGAGAGATCCCAGAAGCCAACGCATCTCGGAACGGCAAGTGGAAATCCCGAGATACGCCATCTCGAGCAGCGGATTGAGTGCCTAGCAACTTCTCTACGGATAGCACCCCCGTCTCAGCTTCAGGAAGTATTAAAGACCTTCCGTCGTTGCGAAGAGCAGTTGGATGCTGCAATCAAGGAGGAGGCTGCTCGAGAAGCTGCCTGGGACACCGCAGGTGACCTTTCGGGTCTCCCTGGCTCGTTCGATACACCAGACCCAGACAAGGCTTATCCACCCCGCAACATATCTGCCAGCGCGACAGCTCGTCAGGCTGAGGAAGCACCAATGTCTCTCTTCGATCTTTCCAGAGCCACAGCTAGGGTCGCGTCCAGGAACCTAACTGTGTTGTCAAGCTTGCAGGGTTCTTTTACATCAGATAAGACGAATCCAGAGTCGGAGTCCTCTGAGTCCGAGTTGCATGAGCAGAACAGAACAAGGAAGAGGGATCAGCTAAGAGAGGCTGCGACTGGTACACTGGTATCTGGCGTAGGGTGGCTGCTTGGAGCAAATCCAAATCGACCTACAAGTGGCCAGCAGTAACCAGACATGTGCCCCATTGGGGACCATTTATCAAAGAGGGCGAGGAAGCGGCCTTGAAATAGCAGGTCGGGTTCTGTGGAAAGGATAGGTCGCCAAAGGCATACATTCAACGCAATCGACTAGCCATCAAAGTTGCTTACATTTTTCAATTCCCATGCGAGGGATGCAGGCGGGCTGGGTCCTCATTGTGAGTTGAGGGAATCATCTCCATATCGTTCCCTACTTACACATATAATACGAAGCTATAATCATCTCGAAAGTGTGACGGGCAGGTCAAAATACCGAGTTGAATAAGCGCGGAGACGTCAGGCGCATCAAGGGTAGAAATTTAATAACACAAATATTTACAAAGTGATAAACTGAAACTAGTCGAGAGATTGCTTCTATGGCAGCTATTTATCACAGGCAATTTCTCGATGTTCTTTGAAATGAATACAACGCACTGTCAAAGGCATGCATCGCTGGATGCTTCATGGCCGCATGTATGCTCTTTTGTAATTCACCATGAGTAATAGGGAAGTTGAAATAGCATTTCCGCACGGCTATAACTCTTGTTTGACTCGGTCCTTAAAGGAGCATTGGCCCAACTCACTGTTCAGACTTGTTGCAGCGAACCCATCGGCGGTTGTCCTCGTGTATGAAATCTGTCCAGTTTGGGGGATCACCCTACCATTTAGTCAGCAGGATCACAACTTGCAGTCCTTACCAGTACACGGATCCAGTCTTGTAGTTTTGCAAGAACTTATACTGGATGTTGGCGATAAGTTTGCAGAATCATAATCCCAGGGGTATGTTGGAAGAGCTTGGCGAGAAGACGGTGGTTGAGAGGACTTCGCGTACCGAATCGCTGAAAGCTGAGAAACATTATAAACCCCACGCGTGAGCCTAGTGATAGTGGTTTTCATTGATTGTCAGAGTTGTAGGGGGTGTCAAGTTGTTTTACAGCGATGTGTGATTTGATTGGCGGTGGGTGAAACATTTACAGGCGTCTCTGAGTCAATAACTAAAGTCAGTCAGGACGAGCAGAGCAGAGCAGAGCAGCAGCCACAAATGGCCGTCTCGCATACCCCATAATAGTATGTGTATGTGATACGACAGCACGGGCAGTTGAGTCGCGAGGCCGCATTCGAAGTTGAGTTTGATAGTCCATGTGATTCACCGATTAGGCCGGAGTCGACATCTGGTTGATGTTGTGCTGGCAATAGCTATCATAAAGTCGTCGAAGACGCGATGGATGACTGATGAAGTGTTTGATTTGCAAAGATCCGGAAGCTGCCAAATGTGGTCCATCTGTGACCTTGTTGCAAAACCGACGACCAGCAACAAGAAAACTCAAGTGACGCAGGCCGAGTACCCATTTTTGATTCCAATCCCTTAACTGTCGCAATCACACTAAACTCCTGTGTGAGCAGAGCCCGATTCAGTCTGCTGTGGTCCATGAAAGATAAGAAAACAACGAGTAAACAACAGATAACAGAAGAAAATTGAACAAGCAAAGTTACGGGGTTAGTAGAGGAAAGGAGAATGGACGTGTGATCCCAAAGACTGATCTTTCAGTCGAGTCGTGGCAAACATCAGTTATGCGTTTACTGGATGTTGCGATCGGGAGCGCCTGGGAGGGTTAGCGGGTACATAATTGGGAGGACGTCAGTAGTAGGTCGAACCTCCATAGGCATCGCGTGTCTCGGATCGAGAGGCAGATTCGCCATAACCGGCTCCTCCAGCGCTGGCAGCCGGGTCGCGAGTTCGAGCAGCATCTCGGTCGCCTCCGCGTTCGTATCGGTCACCACCACGTTCATAGCCAGAACCACCAGGGCCTCCACGAGGGCCATAGCGGTCTCTCTCTTCACGACCGCCACCGCCGCCTCCTCCTCCGTAGCGATCACGGCCGTAGCCCTCGTCACGGTCACGGCGTTCATAGCCTCGATCATAGTCGCGGCCACCATAGCCGCCTCGATCCTCGTAACGACGTTCATCACGGTAGCTGCGGTCGTAGTCGCGGCCACCACCACCACCTCCGCCACTGCTGCCACCGTAACCACCTCCACGCTCCTCATAACGTCGCTCGTAGTTGCGGTCGTAACCACGGTAGCGGTAGGGGTCATCACGGCCGTAACCGCCGCCGCCGCCGCCGCCGCCGTAACCACCACGTCGGCGATCATCGTAACGTCCAGGACGAGGCTCTGTGACTGATCAGTACAATATCCAATATATCGCTACTGGGATTCCTTACCTCGCTTGGGTGGGCCAAAGTACTTGCCAGGAGTCGGGGTACGAGGGCGGGCTCGGCGGGCCTTCTCGATGCTCAAAGTGCGGCCCTCGATCTGTTCGCCCTGAAGACCCTCTTTGGCAGCTTCGGCTTGCTCAGATGTGACCATCTTGACAAAGCCAAATCCACGGGACTCTTTGGTATGAGGGTCACGCATGATTTGGCACTTCTCAACATCGCCATATTTTTCAAACATCTTGGACACCTCAGCTTCGGAAAGCTTTGGGTGAATACCTGTGACAAAGAGGTTGGATCCAGGGTTGATAGCACCATCATCGTCGTCCCGGGAAGCAGACACGTCCTTCATGTTGCTATTATGGATATAGATGTCAGTATTTATCGATGAGGTGAGACTCATTGCAACGAACCTGTCACCATGGCCGCCGGGTGAAGCGGAGCGACGGCGGCTGCCTTCGTTGTCGTCACGAGGGCGAGGCGAGGCACTTCGGTTGTCGCGCTCATATCGAGGAGCCTCATCTAGAACAGGCCGGTTAGCTATGTGCGCAAGCCGAATAGATACGAGAGGACGGGTTGATCGGGTGACGGGGAGGTGCTGAGTATAAAGTGCTGCAGGCGAATTTGATGGAGTGTTGTTCAAGTAAACAGTAATGAAGAGCAAGCAAGCGCGTACATCAACGCGCTTGGAGCTGGCAACGAACCTTCGTACCGGTCGCCATTGGCAGCCTCGTAATCCATCGCGGTAGTAGCCATCTCTTTTGATTTGGTTTTGTCTAGTAAAATATAAAATAGACAATGGGGCCAGAAATGGTTTAGGTGCGGTGGCTGACGATGAATAGCTCACGCGCAGGCTGGTTTGGTGAAAAGGCGATGTTGAAGAAGGGAGAAAAAAAAGTCGGCGTAAGGGGAAAGGGAAAAGCAAAGGCGCCGCAAGGCAGCAAAGCCGAGTATTAATAAGTGTGATAAAATAAAAAAAAAAAAGGAGGGCCTGGGAATGCGGCAACGAAGTTGACAGCGGTTTTACTGAAAATGCTGTGCAACAAAGAGAAAGAACAAAGAAATCTCTACGTTTGGCCGAATATAAAGACTTTGGTTAGGCCAAAGATCAAACGTACGTGATGGTGATGGGCAAACAGCACCAGACGAGATGGCTCGGAAGTGGATGGGCCTGGTGATGGGGACGGATGATGAATCGAGGCGTGCGTGCGTGCCCGTGTTTGGTTGGAAATTGATGGGGACAAGGGCGAATCCAATTACGACGTTAGCGCTGCCCGTCAGCGAGGCAACTACCTGACCTAGCAGGGGACAGGGCCTAGGCTGTTGTCTGATTGCTGGAGGCTGAGGCTGAGGTACCTGAACATGGGTGAAAAGCAAGTCGAGTTTAAGGTATCAACTCAGCTGCAAGCCAGTGTCATTGTCTGAAGAGGACACTGTCCCATTCGAACGAAGTATATATTTCGCCGTTCCCGACAGTTTGGCAACTACGTAATTACCTTATTACAGTGCTACCCCATCCTACAGATACAGTATTGTCCTGTGTATAAAGGTGCAAGGGAGGATGTAGGTAGGTATCTTGTTGCATTTAGCAGACTATACTTCCTCTGAAAAGCCAAGCTTCCATACAAGCTACATAGCATCACTCTATATTATCTCATTCTTATAAGATATTAATAGGTAGGTGGTCATATAAGACTATAGGAAGTCAAGCAGAACCGTCAGAGGCCAGTTTCAAGTGCCTACCCTGGAGCTTCATGTATATCCTACAAACCTGCTTGCACCGATTTGTTGCTGGGACGTATTTGACAATCTATCTCCTATTCTGACCTGGTAATTAACCCGTTACATATGATATAGAATTTAATGTTTGTGTTCCTGCGAAAAAGTTGCACTTTGAGTACAATGTCAGTTATTCCCCAAATTAACCACCGATGTTTCAAGCGGGGAATCTCGATCCAGCCAGCCATGAAACCCAAACTCATATCTCTCTATATATCCTTTTGTACCATAGCATCTGACTCATTCCTCATTTGCTATCTAGCAGCCAACTCACGATCTCGAAGCCACGGACAATGTCACTTAAAGGAAAAGTTTACGCACTGACTGGCGGTGCAAGCGGAATCGGCTTCGCAACAGCCAAAGTTCTTGCACAACGCGGGGCTACTGTGAGCATCGCCGACATTGACCCCGATGCCATGTCAACTGCTACAGCATACTTTGAGGAGCAGGGCATCGAGGCGCTAGTTTCTCGTGTCGACGTCTCACAGCGGCCCCAAGTTGAAGACTGGCTAGACGCTACTGTTGAGAAATATGGGAGACTCGACGGGGCAGCTAACGTGGCTGGCATCATTGGGAAGCACCACGGTCTTCGTGCCGTAGCGGAACTTGAGGATGAAGAATGGCATAAGATCATCGCTGTGAACTTGACAGGAACAATGTATTGTCTACGGGCACAGCTCAACAGGATAGTAGACGGAGGCTCCATCGTCAACGTTGCTTCTATTCATGGCATCAAGGGCAGGTTGCAAACTGCACATAGTGGGTCTTTAAAGCTGACCAGTATAATCAGGATTTGCCAAGCACGGCGCCTATGACGCCAGCAAACATGGAATAGTTGGGTTGACAAGAGCGGCAGCAAAGGAGAACGGCCACCGAGAAGTGCGAGTGAACGCTGTTGCTCCTGGAGCTATATATACCCCATTGATGAAGAAGGCATGGGATATGCACAACCGACCAGACGACGCCGCTTTCGACGAGCCAACTGCCTTCCAGCGCCAAGGTACGTCAGAAGAGTGTGCCAATGTGATAGCTTTCCTCCTCGGCCCTGAGAGTACCTTTGTAAGTGGAAGCGTTTATGAAGTGGACGGAGCCTGGATATGAATAGTTAGTCTTCATCATGTCATGATAGGGGCTGCAAGCCCATACACTGGATTTTGAGTTGAGTTTCAAGCTCGATGGAGTCATGGAAAGGACAATCGCATGTTGATACCATTTACCAAACATCCTCGGGATCAACCATATGAGTTTCTCCATCATCTCGAATGTGCTGACGATCCTTGTCCCGCTTCATGGGCTTGCGCATGTCGAATGCGTCCTCGCTCGCCCTGGAAGGGTCCGTTGCGTGGTCACCGTAGTAGTCCTTCACCACGCGGAAGACGCTGTAACCCAGATTCTTGTAAAGGGCAATGGCTCTGTGGTTGCTGCTTCGAACGAACAAGTCCACGAACCAGGCGTTCTCAGCATCAGCTGCAACTTCCAGCTGATCAGTCAAGATCTTTGCAATGCCAGATCTTCTAGCTTCCGGGGCAACAGTGAGCGCCGTTATGTGAGCGTGCCATGGTAGGTAATGCTCGGAGAATTTGTAGGCGTCCGGAGAAGACTCGACCTTGCCCATGACTGCCAGTCAATATGTTAGCCTCGACAAGCTGGTACTGAATGTAAAGGATAAATCCCACTATATCCAACAATGTTTCCATCCATATCCTCACAAACTTGAAAGAGGGATGGCCATTTGGCATGGTATTGGAGGTAGAAATTGAGCTCGTAAGTTTCCGTGAAGGGGTCAAGATTGCACTTGGAAAACTTGTTCACATCGTCAGGTCGAAACCGCCGAAACGTCGCCATATTCAGAGCTGCTTTTGCGTTTTCTGATCAAGAAATATAGGAGCCACACTTTATGTAAAAGAATGGCGGTACGAAGCTGGAGTTTGTCTGTCTTCAGCCAAACAAGTAAAATCGAGACAGTTCGGGGGCGTGTCTGATGAGAACGAGAGATGTATATGAGAAATCCGAACTTCAGACTGTCCCGCGAGAGCTTCTGATAAGTCCAGTTTGCTTCTTTTTGGTGTAGCGTGGCTGTGCGATTTATTTGGAGACAACCTAAGCCACAAATGATAGTAAACGTTTTGACATTCCCCTAGACATTCTGCATAACATTATCTCCTCCACTGGGCTGGCACTAACACCAATACCCTTTGCCCGCATTAGCGCCAGTCCTGGCACGGTCCACCTTGTGTTTCGCTACCAACATCGAGCCGCCACGACGATATCCAGAAATATTAAACGCTGTTGAGTTGAGTCGAAATACCCTGGTATGTATTTGTAAGATTGCGTATCATCGAAAGGAGATATGGCATACCGCATAAAGAAATGAACCCTAAGCATATGGGACGCCCTGGGAGCTCGGTTCGTTCATTGTCCTGTCCTTTTGTTGGCGGCCAATTTGGTGTGGTCAATAATTAGTTAGCCAGTACCTAATAAGGGTCCCTGGTCACCTAAGCCGATATCATTTCAAGCGTCGCCGACTCTCCCTCGACATCCCCCATTTTGAAAGGAGATCAAGCAACCACTAAGTCTGCGATACAATATTTTACTGCAAGAGAGGGTCGACAAAAATTCCCGAAGCTTCCTGATTTACGCCGCGACTCGTGAAATAAGGCGGTGTCCAACCCGCTGCACTTGGCGGTGGAACGGTGGTAGTCATAGGCTTGTGAGTCTAGCCAGGTTGTGGGAGGACTCCTGCATCTGCAGTTCGACGCATCAAAAATGCCATCATCGCCGCATACTCCCAGACACTCTCGGAACTCGTCCGCCTTCGATAGCTTCTCAGGCTCGCCCCAAGCCCGAAGGCTCTCCAAGTCATCGGTGCAAGAACCTTCCACCCCGTTCCGAAACAGCTTCAATCAGCAGGATGCATCCGACTTGGGTGGAAACGGCATGGGCAACCTAGCTGATGAGCTTGCCGACGCCTTTTCTGACTCAGGAGACGAAGGCGAATACACAGATGGTGATGCCAACAGTGACATGTTTGGAGCTGAAGGGCAAGGGCAGGGCAATGATCAGATCGACGAGATCGAAGATACCGAGGACACCAACAGTCCTAAAAAGCAAGGAAGTGATAGGGCAAAGGCTATGAACCTCACACTTCTCTCACCTCGACGGAAACACCAGCGTCAAACTAGTAATTACGATGGGAGTGAATATGGCTCGGAATCCGACCTGGATTCCCCTGGTATGCCACCTGGCTTGGTGTCCAAAATGGATGCTGTAGAGTCGCTGGCTCGGAGAGGAACAGAGAACTACGGAGGCCCAGCAGACGATGTTTTCAGGAGAGTGACGAACGCCCTGCGGGATCTCGGCTCCCAGTCAAGTGTTGAAGCTAGTGCCTCAAGGTCTGTAGATGCGATGGCGCTTTTAATACAATTTGAGGCTAACATAGATCATAGGTTGATAACGGCACACTCAGCGTTGACCACGCACCTGAATCACCAATCTCGCCAGATCCATAACCTCTCATTCTCTTTGCTGTCTCCTCTCGTTGCACCGCCGGACCAAGAGACTATTGACGACTTGATACCGTTGCTCTTAAACCTCTCTGATGCCATGCCACGGCCTTCAACATCGGCCTTCAACTCCTTAACAAGCCTTCACACCCTTACAACTGAGCTTGTCCAAAACCTCAATTATCTCTCTGACACACTACACATGTCTCGCCAGACAACGACAATGGCGACAAGAAGACTGAAGAGTGCAAAGGAGATTGTGGCTGAGATGAGGAGGGAAGAGGAGCTTAGGGAGGAGGGCGAGCGATGGCTGACAAGGGGCAATTGGGGAGAACGTCTGGAGAAGAGAGAATGTGCAGGAGTGTGTGGAGATGTGATTGGCGGATTCGAGGAGGTCTGCAATGGATGGCGAGAGAGACTGCTCGCGCAAGCAGAAGCCCAAGCATGAACAATGGAATGAGTCAAGTGCTCGTGTGCTAGTGGTGCGGGACATACTCACATGCCGACCCTTTCCAACATTCGGGCCTGGAGGCCTTTATTTTGTTGCGCATACATATATATCCCTGACTGACTGACATCATTCTTTTTCCTTTTCTTTTACCCCTTGAAAACGCCATTCCATATTTTCTTTGTTCATTTTCACAATTTTCAGGGTGGCCTGACCGTGCTTTGAAGGAACAAGGCGCAGCAAGGTATGGAGGGAGTTCTCTGTTGGGAGACTGACCTCGACATGATAGAACAATTTTTAGAGGCATCGTCAAAGAACGAGCAATAGAATGAAGTGATGACCCAAGGTTCCCATAACCGCAAGCTGCAGGATATCTGACCTCGAAGTGTTGGAGAGTTCAGCTTTCAGTCGGCCGTACAAGAACACCCAAGATAGCGTATAGCATGAACGATTGTTATTATTTACCACAGCTTGTTTTCCCTAGAATCGACGTTTGCTTGTGGAGTGGAGTTTAGAAGCCATCTGAGCGGCCACAGGCCAGTATTCATGTCCTTCCTGGGACCCATCATCTGGCCAAAACATTCCATTGGAATTCAGGTGGGGGGAGAAGAAAAAAGGGGATAAGAGGGGAAAAGAGCGACGCGGGTTAGACGCGTTGAGTGGCGTGTCGTCGCGGATTAACGTGAACCGTGTCAACAGTGTTCCTCATTCGTAATAGCACTGTAGACAGAACCAGGCGCTTATTGGACGCTGACACGCTGGTAGTCTGAGAGGCCACAGACAAAGGACACAAACAAGCAATGCAATCGATGACAATTCAGAGCCAACCAATTGACTTGAGCCTCGAAGGCTGGGGCAGAGAGATCGCGCTACATACGCGCGTGTTACGTTCAGCTGCGATCCAATCACCGAATTAACTACAGTTGTTCACTGATATCTAGATGAGTACCTAGGATATGTCGATATATATCCGTAGATGCTAAAGTGAGTAAAGCATGTCGTTCTCGTCATCTGTGATCGCCAAACGATGAGGTCTGAACTAACTAGCTGCGGAACGTCCCGCTTGTTTGTTATACCTTAGCTTGTAGACTGCTCCGAGACCGGCTCCGAAAATATTGATTGTCCAGATACAAACAAAATAAAAACAATTGATCGTCTCGCATCCGGGCACCAGACCTTACAAATATACGTATGTATATTGCAAGGAATCAGCCTCAAATCAATTAGCCTCAATTTTTATTACTCTCCCACTTCTTGTGTCTCGCGCCCTTGTTGCATTGCCCTCGAGCATGTTGTTGTTTTGTATGCGTCCAAGTCATGCATAAGGCGAATGTATGCGCTTCTTATTAATGACATTCAATATATGTAAATCCCTATGTTTGGTATGGTTAGCTTGAGAGGCTAGTAGTATCAATTTCAATTATTATTACGGCGGCTGTGAAATAATCATAGGTACTTAGCCAAAGCCCCGTCTCTTGTTGTTCACATAGGTCGAAATCGAATGCACAACATGCTTTTGTTTGGTGATGCTTTCTTCCAGAGTCGATACCTCTTTTCCTCTCAGCCGTTGAGAATGACGCATCAGCTGACACCAAAGGCAGACAGATGCCGTGCCATGTGCTCGCCGGCACCAACCGAATACCCGGATTGCCTATGTTGGTAAGTAAGGTACTGGGCATCATGAATCAAGAGGGACCCTCCTGATAAGAGAGGGGGGACAGGAACAATATAGTTTCAACGGTCTCAAGAAGAAGAGGAATGGGAAGAACAATTGAGCATCCATGAGTTCTGTTGAGAAACAAGAAACCTGCCTATGACGAACAATGGTCGTCCACTCAATCGCGTGTCATTATGTTCAAGTCTATTGCTCCTCTCGTTCAATAACAGAATCACGGTTCTTCTACTATTATTTTGGTTGTTGTTATTGACCCGCGCGTTTCCTGGTCGTCCGCGGTCCCTCCTTGTCAAGCCCGTCCGGGGGGCGCAGGGGGTTTGGTTCTGATGTCTGAGCTATCTGATTGGCCACGCGATTTCTAGCGCGCCATGAGAGCCCCAGTTCAACCTCCCTCCAGCAGCAACAAGCAACATCCCTCACGAGAGCTGCGACCCTCTTCCCGCCACCCCTAGCGCATTTCTGCCCAGCACCACCTCAGCACTGGACATTACCGCACCTCACCCGCCCGCTTCAACCTCCGTCCTCCACTACTGCTGGCTCTGGCCGACTTGGATCTTGCACCTCACGCCTCATATCGTCAACTATCGCGTCGTGCATCATCACAAGCTTTCCTTTTTTCACTTTCTTCGAGTCGACGGCCATCGGTTCTCTTCAGCATATTATACTTTTATCGATTAAGTACGAGCTCGCTTCACTAACGTCATCGAGTATTGTGATCAACGTTTCCAGTCCCTGTCTGGGTTTCTGCGAGAATATCGGGACGATGCGATAAACGCCTTACAACGAACAAAGATTGATTTTAGCTGGACGGTGCTTGGGACTGCGCCCTCACCGTCTCGCCTCGACTCTCTTTTTATACTCATCGCTTGACCAATATCAACCAAACGACGCTCCTACGACTGCCTCGCAATCTTCATCTCTATAACCACCACCAGCTACAACGGCCCTTCAGTACCTTGACTGCAAACTGTATCGCCAATATCGCAATTATGGCGGCGCTCCCAGAAGCCGCGGGCATGGCTGCCTTGAATCATCAGTCCGCAAAGCGAGCTATCGACGAATCCAAGAGCCATACCGCCACTCCTCGCTCATCCACACCTCCCCGCTCAGATCGCGCCCGTTTAGAACCCCGACATAGCCACGATAACGCACCAAACCGTGCTCTCCGCAGCAATGCCAGGAAAAGCGAAGGCGCCCGCGCGAGTCCTTTCGACATCGATGCCGTCGATAGTGCGCTGCTCCGAGAGTTTCAACGTCCGCAACGTGAGAGTACCCCAGGTGCCAGCCCTCATCGTAAGCGGCAGCGAATAAATGGCGATCGGTTTGTTGACCCCTTACTTTGACCGCCGCATATGCTCATCATCCTGCAGATTCATTCCGACCCGCTCTGGCCAGGACCTGCAAGCAAGCTTCAGTCTATTGCATGAGGATGGATCTCCTGCCACACCATCAAAACAAAAGAAACGTACACCACATGGCGAGCTCCATTTTCAGAAGAGTATGTTGTTACCTAAATACCCTATCTCATTCAGACATTGACATGCAATGCCAGCGGAGGAAGCAAACCGGACCTTTTCCCACCTACTACGTGCTGAGCTCTTCGAGAGCTCTGTACCACAAGCAGCTACCCCAACCCTCACCCCAACCCAAACCCTTCCTACAAGCTCTCATATTCCCGCGAATGATGGTACGCGGGCTCACACTCCTCCCACAAATGCGACAGCTCCATCACTGCCATCATCATTAACACCTTCTACTCCTCACAAAAATCTCTTCTCGTACATGTCACCTCGACATCACAATCAGGTCGCGGGGCACCCCACACCCTCGAAGACACCGCAAAGCCGGCATGGCCCCAACCTCGATACTCGGAGTGAGATTTACAGCTTATCGCCAGTGCGATTTGGAAGTCAACAAATGCTACTGAGTCCCAGACGTCAACCCAGAGCTGTCAGTAAGGTTCCTTACAAGGTTCTCGATGCTCCCGAACTAGCCGATGACTTTTACCTTAACTTGGTCGACTGGGGAAGTGCCAACATTCTCGGAGTTGGCCTGGGCTCCAGTGTGTACATGTGGAATGCGCAAACTAGCAAAGTCAACAAGCTCTGCACACTCGATGATGACACTGTCACAAGCGTTTCATGGATTCAAAAAGGCACGCACCTTGCTATAGGAACGGGCAAAGGCCTTGTACAAATCTGGGACGCGGAAAAGGCTCGCAGGCTACGAACAATGACCGGACACACAGCAAGAGTAGGTTCTCTCGCTTGGAACACGCACATTCTCACATCTGGATCACGCGATCGATTGATCTATCACCGGGATGTACGGGCCCCGGATCAGTGGCTGAGGAAACTGGTCGGCCATAAACAGGAAGTCTGTGGACTCAAATGGAATTGCGAAGACGGTCAACTAGCGAGTGGTGGCAATGACAACAAGCTCATGGTCTGGGATAAGCTCTCGGAGACACCGCTTTGGAAGTTCTCAGATCACACCGCAGCCGTCAAAGCAATATCGTGGTCGCCCCATCAGCGCGGCCTCCTGGCTTCTGGAGGTGGCACTGCAGACCGTCGCATAATATTTCACGACACCGTCAAAGGCTCAGTCATCAACGAGATCGACACAGGCAGCCAGGTTTGCAATATTGCTTGGTCGAAAAACTCGAATGAAATCGTATCCACGCATGGATACAGCCAAAATCAGATTGTTGTCTGGAAGTATCCTTCTATGACCCAGGTGGCCAGCCTCACAGGCCACACCTATCGTGTGCTTTACTTGGCTATGAGCCCAGATGGCCGAACAATCGTGACTGGCGCTGGAGATGAGACCTTGAGGTTCTGGTCCACCTTTGGCCGCAGACCTGGGACTCGAGAAGACGGAGATAATGGAGGTCGGCTTGCCGACTTGGCCGTTATTCGCTGAGTCTTCTAGCTGATGGCGATCAGGGGTTGCCTTACATCATTTTTACGAGTTGCTCAGAAGCGTTTCGATATGTTCGCTCTAGACTATGACCATATACCATATGGAATGCGCATTTTTACTACAGGCACAGTGCAAGGAGTTCCTGGAACTCTTGAAAGTCGCAGATTGTGCGCTACAATTCATACCCCCAAGGCTATTGCATTATGCATTTATTGGCGTTGTATCAGAAATCACTCGGTCCTTCACTGGGTTATGGAAGGCGGTGTTGGCAGGATTGCTTTACTGGTTTTTGGGACTTAGGGGTTTGTGACGGATCATGACACCCCATTTGGATGAAAGGATGGGTTTAACGATGGAAAGGGGTCTCTCTTTACCTTTCAGGCAGGTAAAGCGAGCAAACGGGCGAGCTATAGCGATTGTTTTCTGTTCATTTTGGTCATTCGGCCCGCATAGCGCGGCGGATTACCCGATGGTAAGGTAGATAGATGCCTGATGAATCTGACGGGGCAAACCTCCCCATTCAAGTTCAACGAGCGGACTTCCCATAATTGTGGTGATCGTCGTGATCAACTGTAATACGCTATGGTAGCCTGCACATATTCACGCCGACACTGATACGCAACTGACGAGAGCTGTCATAGTAACACAATAGTTGGGGAGTATCCATAAGTAATATTTTGTCTTTTAGTGAGAATTAATTGACAGGTAAAGGTTCAGTGAACGTTAGTAACATCGCATTGCTTAAATATCACAAACCATTGATAGGAAAAGGTAAGTAAGGATCTCATCACATACCCCATGCCACTACAAAGGCATGCACGAATGTATGCTTCTTAATTTATAGACCAAGTTCAACGCGTTCGCCTGCCTCGTGTTGTGTCACCTGAATTCCCAGCAACTCCAGTAGCAGAAGAGCTTCGTGTTTCATCTAGAAGAGGGATCTTGTCCACACTAACAGGCCGATTCACATCATCTTTAGACAGAGACGTTCCCTCCGTCAAGTCCTTCTCTCGATTAACTTCATTCATGGACGGAATCTGGCCAGTAGATGCTGAGGGAGCCGCTCCCTGTTGAGCTTGGCGAGGGACAGAGGATGCATCGGGTCGGGGATTTAGCGGAGGCGATAGTGGCATGTATTCGGGAGAATTTTGCCATTGAGCCACCTCGGCCTTCATAGCCTCTAGCTCTTTCTGGAAGCGCACCCCAAATACATCGATATAATATGTGGCGCCATTATAGATACTCCAAGTAAAGACCACCATAAGGAAGCCTGCAGAAGCCCAGCGGCTCAGGAACCATAAAGGGCAAGGGAGCATAGTCAGAAGAGCATATGAATACTGAATCATCATGAAGGTTGCTTCTTGCATGTGCTCTGGTTGTCGGAGGACAAACTTTCCCAGCCAGGTTTTGGCATATGATCTCTTGAGCCAAGTAAACGAGGTTGGCCGACCAGCCGCAATCTTGTCTCTTCGGCGCACAGTGATGAAGATGTAGTACAAGACTTGCCAGAAGATATAAGGGAGGGAACTCCAAGCAAGCATCGAGACTACATTGGCATATGCTGTTGGGGAGCCTGGAGGGGAATTCTTGATGGTCCAAATTGCAGGAAAGCGTTCTTTCTGCTCATCAGGCGAAAACAGGTGAACGATGCAATGCAAAGTCGCACATGGCATGATGTGGATGAACAGCGATGTAACTTTGTCGAAACTGTGGAAGACCAGTGAATTGCGCCACATGATAATGGCAACTGCGTTGTTACCAAAAGCCAGGCAGTATGAGGCGGTAAAGAGACGCTTCGAGCCGGGAAAGATCCATATCGAGAGAGCCAGTAGCAGGTTGGTGAAGTAGCAGAGGTCTGCGAGGAAGTAGTGGTAGCCACGTCGATGATATGTGAAGAATCGAATCGGCATGAAATACAAGAGTTGTACGGTGTACCACAAATGAAAGTACTCTGGGTATGCGCCAATGAGGTATCCGCTGACGAAGATGTTCATAACACCAAAGATAAAGGACACCTTTTCTCTGGCACTGATAACCTTTGTGTCGTTCCATCGTTTCCCGAGCTTATCGACACGGCGTTGCATCTGTTTGCGGTACCGATCGAGCTGTTCATCAGCCTCAGGGACCCGGCGTCTCCACTCCTCAACCATGCGATCCCGAGCAGATTGTGTCTTGGTCTTGATCGCTTCCCTGGAACGCCTGACCTTGTCCGTCTGCGCTGAGATGCCCTTCTGTAGCTTCTCGAGCTGCTGGGGAAGAGCAAAGTTGTCGAGAAGGTCAAGCACAGATAGGCGATCTAGAGGTGGAAGGCCATCCCAGTCCTCATGGTTGGAACTGCTACCAGAAAAGGACGGGTTTCTCGAGTGCATCGAGCCTCTGGGCGTCGTAGCACCCAGCATTGGAGTGTCAAGAAGGGCGGAGTCGGCAGGCGGGTTGTTCGGAGAAGAAGGAGCTTCATGATCAGGCGTAAGGATGATCTCGCTATCGGTTGAGATATTGTCGGATTTGAGGCCTTGGGCAGTACCCGAGGCTCCCTTTGTATCGTCATCCATGATTTGGGCGTATCCTTCCTGTCCAATTTCACGTGCTGAGAGTGATGTATAGGCGGTTGCTTTAGATGTAAGCTGGGCAATACAGAATGAGAGTAAAGGCAGTACTCGCCAAAGAGGGAATACTCACGACAAAGAGGAAGCGTGGCCAAAGCAGCACGAGCAAAGGGTACCCAGTGCAAGGGAGCGCGACACAAATACTTATGTAGGATCCTGAGACAAGCTCTGTTCTGCGGACAGGGAGTAGCTAGCGGATCATAATAGTATGTCACTTGGAGCTGGAACAAGGGGTCGGGTGATTCGAGAAGCAGATAATAAAAGAGACCTATTCAGGCTGAAGATAAGGCAAGACGAGACGAGACAGACAGATTTGAGCTATGCAAATCGGGGAGTGATAAGAGGAAGTGGAAGAGAGGTTGATTGAGTCAAGGTGAAACCAAGGGAGAACACCAGCGGTGACGAAACATGCACGTGGGATGGATAGAATGCGAATGGATGTGAAGCAGGCAAAGCCCACCAACGCCAACAGCTCACCTAAGGTACCTAGGTAATGTATTCATTCAGTACCCAAGGCCAAGTCAGTCAGAGCTGGATGGACCCGGAACCGATGATGAAATGTAACTAAAATGACTGGGCTGAAAGCTTGCTTGTTGGGGAAGTGGAGACAATTGCACATGCACTTACGCTAAGAACAAGAGTGCATGTTCATATTCCAAAGCACTACCGTATGAGGAGGTAGAAGTAACAAAGAACTAGTTACCATATGACAGAAATAGCTAAAAAAAAAAAAAAAAAAAAAAAAAGTTGGTACTCTTCTAAAGCGTTTGGAAGGTTGATAAGTGAAGTTCAGCTTAGAATAGTGTGAAATATATCTTTATTCCCTGAACCACGAGGGGTAGTACGGACACGCCACCCGAGTCGACGATCCGCCCAGATATTAAAATAGCATCCATCAAACAAGCATTTTGCTTCCAGGAAAGATCTCCGGAGCTCCCACTGCCGTGCGACTTGGTAAGTTGTTGCATCATACATCCTCTTCACTTGCAAAAGGTATCGAGGCACTATAATAAGAGACTTTGCTGTTTGGTACTCAGTCGCCCTGTATCCTGCAGACTAATGGCCTTCCAAGACGTGGCTGATCGACTCTGCACGCATATGGTACTGCTCTTTGATCTTTACAGAGTCTCGAGTCCCAAGGTACTAAGGTAATGTAGTCATGTGGATTTATCCAACCTTTATTTCGAGGTTGCGTGGCGATTCCTCGGAATCTAATTGGCTATGAATGATACTAGACCACATACCACATTGCATTATCTGGGTCTTAGCCTGTCTGCCTATCTGTCCTGCATCCATCACCTGGTACGTGTCGCTTGTGTCCGATGGAAGCATTTGATCTGGTGAACACTATAGATACCTTATCAGATGGTGCTTGAAGGTTTCATCTTGAAGCACTAGAGCAAGATTGGGTGCCTGAGGCAACAAGGTGCCATTTCCTCTATCAAAACGTTAGGGCCACGTTTGATTGGCCCGAATTAAGGTCCCGCATCTGCAACTGCTAAGGTAGACTCAAGTAAAATACTGGGAACCTACTCCAAACTCAAGCCGAGTCGCGCGACGCGTTACCCATCATTTCAACTTTCCTAGCACGCGAAGAGGCTTGACTATCCGTCACTTATTCTCGTGATCGATAATGCATGCTATTAGTTGCGCTTTGTCAGATCTCGCAACGTAACTCGGCTTCTGTTGCGCATATCACTCGCGCGCTCCTGATTCCGGCTTTATTCGTTTGCGCGATTCGTTGGCGCAATTCGAGCCCCGGCCACCACTTTGACGCGCCCTCGCCCAACACCACGGGTTGAACTCAAGACCAGGCGCGACTCCTCTAATCTACCTTAGCACCGCATTCTCCCGTCACGACTACACGCCTTCCACTCTCTTTTCCTAGACACCTGGCCGTGTTGCCCCACGACCTCATCATGGGCAAACTTATTCGTCTGGAGTTATTCAGTGTGTTTTCCTTCACGCGTAATCTCAGACGAGACGAACGCCATCTAAGCTAACCTGCGCTACAGACTTCAAATCGTATAAAGGGCATCATGTTCTTCTCTTCGGAGACTCATACTTCACCTCTATCATTGGACCCAATGGATCCGGCAAGTCTAACTCGTATGCCGCTTCTCCCGCTCTCCAGTGAGCCTTTCTAACATAGCTCTAGCATGGACGCCATATCTTTCGTCCTGGGCATCAAATCCTCACATCTACGCTCCGCCCACCTCAAAGACCTCGTTTACCGCGGACGAGTCCTAAAAACGGCCAAGATCAACGATGATGGTTCTGCGCAGGCCAATGGCGACGCAAACGGTGACGCTGATGGTAACGATAAAGCCTCCCGTGGCGACCCCAAAACGGCGTGGGTCATGGCTGTGTACGAAGACGATGCTGGCGAGGAGCAGAAATGGAAGCGCTCCATCACGAACCAAGGAGCCAGCGAGTACCGAATCAACGATCGCGTTGTCACAGCCCAGCAATATAACGAGTCTCTTGAGAGCGAGAACATTCTTATCAAGGCACGAAACTTTCTTGTATTCCAAGGAGATGTTGAGGCCATTGCTTCGCAATCCCCTCAGGATCTCACGCGCCTGATCGAACAAATCTCTGGAAGTCTTGAGTACAAGGCAGAATATGAGAGGACACAGGCCGAGGCTGAACAGGCTGCCGAGAACCAGAACTTCCAGCTTCATAGACGACGCGGCATCAACTCGGAAATCAAGCAATACAGGGAACAGAAAAAGGAAGCAGACAACTTCCAGAACAAGACTGATGAGCGCGATGCGGCAATAGTTACACATAGTTTGTGGAAGCTATATCATTTCCAGAAAGCCATGGAGGATTCGTTTGCCGCTATCCAGGATCACCAAGAAAACCTCAAAGAACTGCGCCGCAACGTGGAATCTTTTGAGAAGAGGCTTGAAGCGGCCAGGAAGGAACAGGCTGCCGCTCACAGGCAAGTCGCCCGTTTAGACAAGGAGATCAAGGCCAAAGAAAGAGACATCGAGGATAAAGAGAACAGTCTTGTTCCCATCGAGGAAAAGATAAACGAATCTACGCAGGCAGTTGAAACACTCCAGGCTGCGATCGCCAAGGCCACCAAGGAACGTGACGAGCAAGCCGAGGTTGTTCGCCAGGTCCAGAAGGATATTGAAAGTGTAGAGAAGGCCCGACAAGTTTTCGAGAACGATTACAAAGAACAAATGAAGAAACAAGGCCGCGAGATCAGCGATGAGGATCGTCGAGAGTACAACAGACTGCGCGCTCAGCTCATGTCCAGGACCGGTTCCAATCAGGCCAAGCTTGAGAACCTTGACCGGCAGCGCAAAGCAGATGAAGTCACCGTCAATAATCTGAAAGGCAAAGTCGATAGCATTGCGGCAAGCATCGAAAAGATTGAGGCAGAACTATCGAGCATCGAGGAACGCAGATCTGCGGCGCAGGCGACCTCTAAAGACCTCTCGCAAGAGATTGAAGCGAAAAAGAAGGAGTTCAATAAACTCCAATCAGAACGCGTCAGGACCAATCAGAAGCGAACTGAGCTTGAGGAGAAGCTCGAGGATGTCGCTAGAAAGCTCAGAGAAGCCGATGATGGTCGGCGCCAGAACGACAGGGAAGCTAGGTTGAAAGAGATGGTGACCTCCTTGAAGCGCATGTTTCCAGGTGTCCGTGGTCGAATTGGTGACCTATGCAAACCCAAACAGAAAAAGTTTGATGAAGCTGTCGTTGTGGCACTTGGAAGAGACTTCGATGCCGTCGTTGTCGACTCCGAGAAAATCGGTGTCGAATGTGTCCAATACCTCAAGGAACAAAGATTTCAGCCCATGACTTTCATCCCTCTGGACAACATCAAGGTCAACGCAGTCAACACAGCCGTCAAGGGGTTTTCTGGCGCTCGGCTGACGATTGATACCATCGATTTTGATTCTACTGTTGAGCGTGCCATGTCATATGCATGTGGAAGCTCTGTTGTGTGTGACACTCTTGATATTGCCAAGCATATTTGCTACGAAAAAAAGATCCCCGTCAAAGCTGTGACACTGGAAGGCTACATCATCCATAAAGCAGGCCTGATGACAGGTGGTCGTGGACCCGAGTCGAAGAGTAAGAGACGTTTCGAGGAGGCAGATGTTCAGAACCTCCAGCGAATGGCCACCAAGCTTAAGGATGAGATTGACCGACTACCCAAGGCTGACCGCCGGGGCTCACAAGAAGAAACTCTTCAGATTGACCTGTCCGGGCTCGAAAGGCGGTTGGCAGTCGTCAAAGACGAACTGGCAGCCTTCAACAAGAACCATGCTAGCAAGAAACGCGAGCTGGACAACCAAAGGAGGCAGCTTCGAGAGCTCGAGCCCAAATACCAAGAACAGGCATCCCAGCTTGAAAGCACCACTGCCACGTGTGAAGAGTTTCGGAATGCCATCGCACGAGTTGAAGATGAAGTGTTTGCAGATTTCTGCAGACGACTCGGTTATAGCGATATTCGCAGCTACCGTGACTCGCAAGGCAAGCTGGAGCAGGAGGTCTCTGAAAAGCGCAATGAATTCGAAGTCCAAAAGCAAAAACTATCGAGTCGACTCCAGTGGGAGCAGCAACGTTACGAGACTGCCACTGCGCGAATCGAGCGCAACCAAGCCCATGTCCGAAAGCTCAGAAACGATATCAAATCCTATGCAAGAGACAAGGATGCGATTGAGAATGCGATGCGCGAGGAGCAGGAAGAGTTAGAAGCTCTTCGCGAGGCACTAGACGAGAATAAGTCAGAGCTCACCGAAAAGAACCAGAAGGTGTCAGAGGCCAAGCTTGAAGTGCAAAAGCGGTCAAAGGACATCGAAGCTCATCTGAAAGATATCAACTCACTTGAAACCGTAGTCCAGAAGAATAGCGCCAGCAAAGCGGCATTACTTCGACGATGCCGACTAGAGCAGATCCGCATTCCGCTTGCAGAGGGCACATTGGAGAATCTACCCAACGACGACCGTCTGCTGAACCAGGACCCAGATGCCATGGATATAGATGATGAGGACGATGATGAGGAGATGATGGGTATGGCACTTGATGATCACGGAATTACCATTGACTTTAGTGGACTTGATGAAGAACTCAAAGCTGTAAGGACTATTTTTTGAAGTCAGTGATAACGCTAACACTATGCAGTCGGATGACCCGAGCGTTGAAGAAAGTCTATCAGAGAAGATTACGAATCTGACTTCGGAGCTCGAGAAGCTGAACCCCAACATGCGAGCAATGGAAAGGTTAGAAAGCGTCGAGTCCCGACTGAGAGTCACAGATCAGGAGTATGAAGACTCAAAAACAGCGGCACACGAGGCCAAAGAGGTCTTCAACCAGGTCAAACAAAAAAGATATGACCTCTTTAACAAAGCCTTCAGCCATATTCAGGAGCAAATATCACACGTATACAAGGACCTCACCCGGTCAGAAGCATACCCCCTTGGTGGTCAAGCCTATCTGGACATCGAGGAAGATACGGACATGCCCTATCTGTCTGGTATCAAATATCATGCCATGCCGCCTCTGAAGCGTTTCAGAGATATGGAGCACTTATCTGGAGGCGAAAAGACAATGGCAGCACTGGCACTCCTGTTTGCTATTCACAGCTACCAACCCAGCCCCTTCTTTGTTCTTGACGAAGTGGACGCCGCTTTGGACAATGCCAACGTGGACAAGATCAAGAAGTACATCAAGGACCACCGTGGTCCCGGCATGCAATTCATTGTGATCAGTCTCAAGGCAGGTCTATTCCAAGACAGTGACAGTCTGGTGGGTGTTTACCGAGACCAGGAGGTCAATAGTTCAAGAACCCTTACTCTAGATGTGAGTTTCCCTATTATACTGGCCTTGACAATCTCTGACTAACATTGAACAGTTGCGGCAATATGTGTAGGTGAGGCTAGAGCAGTTAGAATCTTTGTGATCATTCCTCTCGGACCTGAAGGGGAAAGTTGGGTGTCTGGCGCACGTCATCGTGGAAGAGGCATGGAATTTCGTATGGGTTAATGAATTCATTACATCATTCAGCACCGCAACACTGAGTTGAGCATATGAATAATGCAGGCGTAATGATGTTAAGTGATGAATATATTCACTCAAGTTGTATAATCTTCAACTTATCTCCGACTCTTGTGGCTGCCTTTGGATAGGCTTCTGTCGAACAAACATAAGAAGCAGTCAAAGGTTCTACTTTATGCTAATGCCCGATTGGCTTGGCGTCAGTGCATTGCTTTGTAGTATCAGATGAATGTGGCTATTGAGGTATCTCAACGGAGTGCTCATGGCAGAATGATGGCTCTAATTAGCAACTAACTGACACTGCCTATTTCAACCTGCATCGGGACCATCTAGCTCTAAATCTTAATTACTAATATTGCCGTCTGAAACTCTTTCGTTACCTTATGAATAATACTGCAGGCAGACAGACAGACAGACAGACTGCCGTGACTCTTCTCTTGGTTGCCTGCAGCTTTTAACGGATTCTGATTACGTCATCACACCTTTAATTCATACCCCTGCACTTGATATTCGCGATCACATTCTCGCATTAAACCAACATCATCATGGATCTCGCAATCACACTTATCAAGTCCGTTGCGCGGGCGTTCTATGAAACCCGCGACATACTTGTGATTGATGCGCTTATACTACATGAGGCGTGAGTACGACTATTACACTCCAGTGCTTGAAAAGTGCTCGCTAACCACAGTGTCTTGCTAGGCTTCGAGACGATGATTTGGCCTACTTGATGTCTACCAACACAAAGGAACTCCACAAGATATGCGGAAAGCTACGTGAGGATCGATTCTTGGTGGTGTATGCGAAAAGAATCCTCGCTGAGTAGCGCTTGACTGACTGGACCCGGTGCAGACACACACGATCAGAGCTGCGAGAAGGCAACCCAAGACCGAGCAACAAAACATGGTATTACATCGACTACCGAGCCACAATAGACGCCATCAAATGGCGCGTCTACACTATCGATAAAGAAGTACAGGGCACTACACAAGTCGCGAGCGAGAAAAAAGAGTACTTTTGCTCATTTTGCAAAGCAGAATGGACGGCTATGGAGGTCCTGGACAACGTTGGCCCGGAAGGATTCTTATGCCATCGCTGCTCTCATGTTCTGACATTTGAGGCCGACCGGACATCGACTGGACACGAGCAGTCTACGCGACTCAATGACCAGTTCAAATTCATCAGTGAACTGCTTCCCAAGATCGATGCCGTCCACATTCCAGAATGCGACTTCGATCGTGCATTTGCTAAAGCACGCCCGGTGAAGCGCGACGAAACACATCAGCGCGCTCAGACTATTGCAGTCGACTCTGGCGCGAACCGACCTATGGCGGTCAAGGGCTTGACCAACACAGGGCCACAATCGATTGCAGTTAACATCTCAACATCGGATGGCCCCACAGAAGCCGAGAAGGCGGCAGAGCAGGCGCGCAAGGAGCAGATCGCGAAGCAAAATGCGCTGCCATCATGGATGTCCAACAGTACTGTCACTGGGGAGTCCTTCTCAGCAAGCGCTACTCCTGGCACTGCATCAGTTGTCAAGAAGGAGTCCAGCAAAGATGCTGGCCCAGCAGCACCGACCGTGGCCAATGCTCAAATAGACGACATATTCGAGAAGCTCAAGGCGGAGATAGCGCAAGAAAAATCAGAGGAGGAAGAGGACGACGAAGAAGAGGAAGACTTATTCGAAGATGTCCCTGCCGCCAAGAAAGTGAAACTGGCTGGACCAGATACTCATGAACAAAAAGAAGACGAAGACAGCGAGGAGATAGAGTTCGAAGATGTTTAGAAACCATAAAATTGTCTAATAATGGCCAGACTCCCTGTTCTTGTACATAAATAGCCACTCTATCATCTAATATTCTAATTCCAATTCCTCTGTCTAACCTAACCAAGCCCGGCCATGCTTTTTGAAAAAAAGGCCAATGCTATGCCCGAGGTATCAATACTTGCCCAAGCACATATTTGAACGCCCCATTGTATGCCGGTAAAAAAGAAGTCGCTTTCATGATGTTTACACCTGTCCCTGATAAAATCCAAGTCGTTCATTTCCAGTTTTCCAATACTGCACATCACCTTGCAGTTTCTACGCCGCGTCGCATCTCGAGTTGAGACGTCTTGCATGTTCGTGGCAACTTGGCCAACGGTAATTCGGTGTCATCGAGAGACGAGCATGAAATCTCAGACATGCTACGCTTCAGGCCTGTCAAGGCTCCAACGATGTTGCCGGCGGGCGGTGACTCGTCACCTTCATCGCCGTGATGATCCCTGGACGACGGGTCTTGTTCGTCCTTTTTGTCGAGTACGCTATCGCGCTCCCACGCGGACTCTAGTCCGTCCAGATAGACTGGGGACCTCTTCAAGAAGTTCCACGACAAGGAATCGTGCTCCATTGCAATATATAATGAGTCCATCTTGCCACTAGCATCCAGTACGGCGCAGTGCTGCTTGAGGAACGCGCGGTCGTACGGACCGTGGATAAGCCTGGGCTCCAGGGGTCGTAACATTGGCAAGCCTTGTAGACGCTCAGCATCGCAAAGCTTTGCTTGCAATGGAACCCACGGCCGTCCTTTGAGCAGGGGTTCAAATGCTCGTGATACAGCCTCTGTGACAGACTTGGCATCGTCTCCTTCCACTGCGAGCATACGATGAAGTCCACGGGACAGACATCTCTTGTATGAGGTTGTATCCTTTTCAAATGGGAAGGGTGTGTCCTTGGAAGGCATCAAAGACACATGCACTGTCCATGACCTTGGGCGTTCAGTTGAGGCGGTAGGTTCTATCGATAATCTGTGTGTTGAGTTCAACGGCAGCTGTGAGGGGACAGTGGTTGTGGGCGAGAGATGAAAGGTGTTGACAGTGGCATCGCTTGGATCTGGGTCTTGGGGAGGTGACAAAAGAGGCTCGGCACTCTCCAACTTTTCGATCCTTTCTTCCAAGCATTCGTCGCTATCTAGCAGCTCAAGTTGACGATTGCGCAAATCGTCCACTTCGCTCCCTGTCCTTGCCAGCTGTTCGCCTTGTGATCGAAGGGTTTGTTCCAAGCTTTTAATGTGTTGCTGCAATTGTGTAACAAGCGCCCATGCAGCAGATGCGTTGCGATATGAGCCTTTGAGTTCAGTATCGGTTTCGTCCTTGTTCTTCTCGACCGTCTCTTCCAACTCGCTGATGCGGCGAACAACATGGGAAAGTCGATCACGGTCTTGTGGGTTCGCGAGTTCTTCCAAGGCTCGTACTCGCTGTTGAATCGCATCGATTTCGGACTTGTTAGTGCTTGGTGTTGGGGTATCGGCATTGGCGACGTGAAAGCAGGATAGATGTCCACAGTTGCAAGTGGCACCAGGTAAAGATTTGTTGTGATCGAACCCCATGCAGCCGCACCGCTGGCCCTTGAGCTCAGGTATCATGAGGATATAGCGACATTGACCCTTTGGCAACTGAGACTCGTCGGGCTGCGGCGTCGAGGCCGGTGGGGGAGAGCGAGAGGGTGAGGGTGACATTAAGTTGCGTCAAACCAAGGTATCGAAGAGAGGAATCGAGGTTGAGATAGGTCGTCCATGGAAATGTCGGTGGCAGTAGGAGCCTGATATGGACGGAATGGATACGGATGGTTATGAAAGGGTACGGGGTAGTCTTTTAGATATGAGAGATGGAGCACGGAAGAAGAAGAAAAAAAACAGCCTGTAGGTAGGTACAGTAAGGCAAGGTAGGCGGGCGGCTCTAATCATAAAGCAGGGCGATGTCGAGATTTGAACCCCCAGGGATGTTGGGGTTGTGTGATTCCGTCTGGCCGCGTTAGGACGGTACCTAAGTCCAGGCGGGTGTACCTGAAAACAGTGGCATAATACACGTGAGAGGCTGTAGACTGTTAACGGTTTCCAGGTATCCAGGGTCCGCTTTTGAGACGTTATCATCCGCTCTCGTCTCGCCATCAAGACAACCCACGAATCTTAGACCGGCTGCGCCCGCAGGCTGGCTGATGGCATCACAAACTCCCACGTTGAAGACCCGCAGGTGGTCATGGCACCACAAGCCGCCCATTATAGACAGTGGGGGTTAGCCGTGGCTAGCAGTAACTGCTTGAGGTACATGCCCAGTAACACCGAGAGGATAAAAGCAGAGATTGCCCAGGCCCACGACCATGACCACGATCAACAATCTCCTCTATAGCCATGGAACGCGGTGAGAACAATCACAACTTCAGTCCATTGCCAGAAGAAATCTAGGTCCACGCTAGACCACGGGGAACTCAGGGGATGCAGTAGGGTCCCAGCTAAGAGAAGATAGCGCCGTTATCTTGTTGGTCTGTTGTCAAGTCCAATCCATTCGTTGCAACCTGTGCGTGCAGTGTCGTAGACGCAGGACTCTCAAACCAAATCTTGGTTACCTGGCGCAAGGCGCGCTGTTTTCTTGTCTTGTCTTGGGGACCCCCTGGCCTGGAACCCATGAGAAGATATCCCACATCAGAGTCCGATTGATAAACAAATGTCTCAACTCTGACATGAAAAGCTTGGCTGATCGTGCCGCACCCTTTTTCCAGTTCCCATTGGCCCTTGACGCTTGGTCCCTGAAGCCGTCGAGTTGATCAAGGTCAAGCCAAGGAGACGGAGACTATCAAGAGACAGAAAGTCGAGTTGGAGGGCGGCCACGCGATCTGTAACGGGCGGGCGCAAGAAATCAAGAGTTGATATCAACCAGGGCCCTTGCGCAATGATTGTGATCGTGGCCGGAATCGCAATGGTGATTGATGGAAGCATCTGCATGGGGTCGCACAGATTAACAGACCTCCTCTGGCTGGTCCACCCCCACACCCTCTTTGTTGCTAAGCCTGCCGGGAGTGACAGAATTTGACTCTTGGAGGTAGTTCCCGCACCCGCACCCGTCTATTATGGCCCTTGTCCCTACTCAGTCACTCTCCGGTCTGGCGGGCCCCGTTCCGTAGCTGCTACTGTAGCTAAACAATAGCGGAGGGACCTGATGCCAATGGGCGGGAGGGCAAACCCGTCATTGGATTGGATAACGTTGTCGGTGTACTGTATCTCATGGGTTTTGTGTAGGTAAGTAGGTATCCATCAGGTACTTTAGAAGAGGGAGCCCCCAAAATGCGGTCGAGAGAAGTGAGATGCTCTTGACTTGTTGCATAAGATCGCTTCTCCTCCATGTCCCTGGTCCCAGGTGTTCCAGATATCGGATGCATGTAAGTATAGTTAGAGGTCGTGCGTGGTACGGTATGTATGTACGCCTTATCAGCGCCTACTGTTGATGCAAGGTTATCGACCAAGTTGCCCGCACGCATGTGATCCCTCCCCAGGTTCTGATCAGAGGTGGGCTCCTTGCAAATCATAGCAATTCGCGTTGTTCTACGTGCGCCTGTGTGCGCAGTACGGGCATGGACCTCCAAATTGAACATCAAGGCCGGTTGGAACCGGTAGACTAAGTGGGATTGTCCAAGGCCCCATCTTTGTTATGGGTCATTCCAAATTCATCTTCAATCCTGAGACGTAGCAATTGAGAACAGCCTGAACTGTAGGTACATATCATGTACGTAACGGCCATCAGGGTGGGTTGTGTGCAGCAGCAGAAGTAGAAGTAAGAAGCCTTGGCCCCTGGCTCTACCTCAAGGTGGTTAGCAGTGGACTCTGGAGGATTTCTTTGCCCACGTGCAGTCCCTTGGGACAGGCAACTCCTTGCCACCTGCGAACTACCAATGTATACTGATGGAGTGATCTTGGGCCTGTATGTTGCAAGCCGTGACTTTGACCAGCGACGCGACGCACCTCGAGTTGCTACCCGCAAACAACTATGGGTAATTTCGGAACTGCTGTCAACTCCCTGTTGGGCACTTATACCAAGTGCCTATCTCTTCTCAAAGGCTTCCCTAAGGATGAGGATGCGGGGACGTTGAGTGAGACTCGCTCAACACTGAGCACCTCACTTCGATCTGACAGAGCTCGAGTGCGACGAGAATATGCTTCACGACTTTCACAAGATGGTTCTCGGTTTGAAAAAGGTGATGGTAAGTCACTTCTATCTGAATTAGTTTCGTACAAAAATGCATGAGTTGTTATTCTGAAGCCTGTCCCAGCTCCTGCACGATCGGCTCTTAGGCGCATTGTGAGGAAACTCACAAACACCCTGGCCGATGTTGTCCGCTCATTTCATGACCCGAAAGGACAGCCGATCAATTGCGAGTCTCTTCTAGCTCTATCCACAGGCTCAAGTCTAGACGCCGTTCGCGCGATGAATGACTTGTCAGGCAGAGTAGGATCAACATCAAGTTCCAGTTCACGGGGTAGCATCGTGAGCAGAGGACGACAGAGATCCCGCCGTCATAGCCAGAAAACCGGAGTCAAGTCTAAGAGACGTTCAACAGAAGAGCGGTCTAAGCGTGAGAAGACGAGAAGCAAGAAGCCCACGAGCCAGAGCCGGAGCCGGAGACGGACGTCCTCCGATCGGCTGCATCGTCAACATGGTTCCAGAAGCCGGCAGCCGCCGGAAATAAAAGGGCCTCATAACCGAGTCTCAATAGTGACCTTTGCTTCGGATTCGACCAAGTTGGGAGAAATCAGGCGGCGCCTGTCGAAGCAGATGCCTCTGGAGGAATATGAGAATAGGGTCGCTTATCCATTGTATGCGTATCATGCCCAAGAGGCACCAGTGCGTAAGAAATGGTGGAATCCTTTCAGGCGCTCATGACTGGTGAAACCTATTTTTGAGCTGGATTAATACATATGATACCCGATGCTGTATATGAATATTGTTGTTGTTTGGTGGTGTACTATTACCATATAGACCGTGTTAAGTTTGAGATCTTTATCTCATCACGCAGACCAATGAAAGAACAACCTAGAATAGACTCACCCGACCAAATCTCTCTCGAGGGGACTGTAAAGCCCTTCTAGGTAAGGTAAGGAACTTAAGAATATAAATTAGTAGCTATGAACCCCATCTCATATTGTATACACCTACACACAATGAGCTTGCCGTGCCAGCTTCAGCTTATCCATCCTACAACGTATTCATACAGCCCAGTATGCAGGACGTAAATAATCAACTTGCATCACGAATGGGGTCATTGAGGAAGAGTTAATACCGAATATATTCAAAACTTTGCATGATATTTTCCCGTTTTCCTTCATATACAAGAAACTATATATACCTTATACTGACGAGTGAGTGGTCGAATAGGTATAGTAGGAGTTATACTTTTTGCACTGTATAATACACTGTCGAGGTTGCAAAGCCACAGAAAGAGCTTGGAATTACTGTGCCCCGCTGTCCAAAAATGCCCCGCCAGCATCACGACTGGACGAGCGAACGAACACACGACAGGTCATCGCATTCAATACCACATTTAACTCGACGACAACAACGAGGGAGAGCAAAGGAAACGAACAAGCTATAGCAGATTTATTCTCCGGGCTCGTCCCATTCCATCTCCATCTAACGGTGTTGCTATCGACGTGACCCCTTACGGATATGCCTTCGTCTTGATAGCATCGCCATCATGCCTCAAGATCCTGCTGCCGCCCTCAGCGCCTTGTTGCGCCAATCCTCTATCGAAGATCACGACGAGGCCCTCAAGATTGCCAACGCCGCCCTCAAGGCTAACAAGAACGATGTCGACAGCCAGCATACCCGTATCATCGCCTTGCTGAAGCTCGATCGATTCGACGATGCTTTGCGCGCCATTGCTGATGGCTCCCCCGCCCTCCACGCACGAATTGCCCTCGAACATGCCTATGCGCTCTACAAGACGGGAAAGCTTGACGAGGCTACTTCTGTCCTTCAGGCTTTTGGTCTAGAGAAGAAGAGGAGTCTACAGCATGTTGCCGCACAAGTCGCTTACCGTGCCGAGCGCTTTGATGAGGCTTGCAACATCTACAGCCGTCTACTCGATACCGATCCCGCAGATGAGGAGAACGATATCAGCATCAACCTTCGGGCCGCTTTCGCCCAGTCTAGTTGGCTGGGATACTCGGTTACTGACAAGATTTCTGTCCAAGACTCTGATGGATTTGAACTGTGTTATAACGCTGCATGTGCGCATATTGCCAACGGCTCCCTTGAGACTGCAGCCGATCTATTGCAGCGTGCAAGTCGATTGTGTGATGCCTCCGATGACTTGACAGACGAGGACAAGCAGGCGGAAATGCGGCCGATTCTTGCACAGCAGGCCTACGTCTTTGCCAAGTTGGGCAAGCTCAAGGAGGCCCTCGATCTCTATAACTCTCTATCAAGCACAAAGTAGGTTGTACTGCAATTGTGGTCAGGGCTGAGCTGACTATCATGGATAGAGAGGAAGATCCCGATCTGGCACTAATAATTGGCAACAACCTGGTCACTTTAGAGCCAAAGGACGAGAACCCCTATCTTCTCGAGCGAAGATTCTCGACCTTGACAGCCAAGGCAAGAAATGCCAAGCTTTTCCAGCACCAGTCTGATATCTTGCGACGCAACCGACTGACCGTCGACTTGCAAATCCTCAAGGGCGCCGGAGTCAAGCGCCGCACCGATGCCCTTCTCGCCGAAGCAACACATCCCTCGACAGCTGCTGAAACTAGCATCCTCTCTGTTCTTAACGCTGCCGCGAGCGCACAAGGAACATCTGGGAAGCAACTTCTGAAGAATTTACAAGGACTTGCCCAGAAGAGACCACATGATGTCGGTCTTGTATTAACCATTGTGCAAATACAACTCAATGAAGGCAAAGTAGGCTCTGCAATGTCTATTCTGGAGTCTTTCCTACAGCGTCTCGAAAAGAACGAGACTGATGATTCTCAAAATGCTCGATTCAGCCCTGGTCTTGTTGCTCTCACTGTGACCCTTTTGAGGACGCAGGGACGGGAGTCCTCGGCAAAGGCTGAACTTGTCAAGGCCGCTACATACTGGCAGTCCCGCCCGGCTAGCTCAGCTATCTCACTCCTCGAAGAGGCTGGCATCGAACTGATGAAGTCATCCAACGCCCAGGATTTGCAACTCGCTGGTTCTTCATTCCAGAAACTAATCGATGAGCGGAAGGGCTCGGATATTGCTGCGGCTGGTCTTGTCGCATCCTTCGCTCCCTCAGACCCCTCTCGTGTGGAAAAGCACCTCCAGAACCTCCCTCCTGTGGATTCGCTTATCGAGGGCATCGATGTAACAGCTCTCCTCAGCGCTGGCGTTGCCACCACCGCCAGTAAGGCAGGCTCATCAGCTTTGAAGCGCTCGGCTCCCTCAGGACCATCTGAAAAGACACGCAAGCGACGCAGAAAGATCCGTCTTCCCAAGAACTATGTCGAGGGCACCAAGCCCGACCCTGAGCGCTGGCTGCCTTTGCGTGACAGAAGCTCATACCGTCCCAAGGGCAAGAAGGGCAAGAAGAAGGCTGTTGATTCAACACAGGGCGGAATCGTGAAGGAAGAGGAGACTCTGGAGCTTGTAGGCGGAGGAGGTGTCAAGGTTGAGAAGGCACCTCCGCCTTCCAAGAAGAAGAAGAAGGGTAAGAAATAGTATAGCAGCTTACGGATACTGCATATCGCGTATATTAGTCCAACATTACTCTGTTTCAGCATGATATTCTTGACCCTTCACATGGTTTGTCCATGTATACGTCCTGGTTCAATCCGTGACGTTCCTCCTGACTGTCATTAAAGTCAAGAGAATGAATGATATATATATGCACATTCACCCAACTTCGATTCGGCTGAAAAAATCAAAATTGATTTCTAACGCTGACTTTTAATGCTCTGCCCAAGCCTTGGTGCAAGCGAGTACAAATGAACAAAAGGCCTCGGCCACTATAAGAATATCTAGAAACATATGTCCTCGTCATCGCCCCCTTGACATGAGTCCACCAAGCTCGACATCTCACGTCTGCTTCTTCTGTGGCCACTGAATAACACAAGTATAAAAACGAAGGTATTCACAACGCCCGTCCCAGCAAGCCCCAATTCTATATAAATAAACGTTATGCGCGAGGACTATACTCCACACGAGAGCCCTCCATATCTTCCCAGTATCAGGCATTAACGGGCTGCACGGGCCGGCTCGGAAGCTGCTCTATATCTTGGAGCGACTCAGAATCCGAGTCTCGACTTTCAAGATCGTCCTTCTTGATGCTTCGGCCTCTTCTTACACCGGTACCGTCTGACTCCTCGTCCGTCTCTGTCTCCATGGGAGGCAGGGGACTGCGGCGCCCATCTGAGAAGCTGACTGCAACCTCGCTCTCCGTGTCCGATGGTATTGTTAACCTACCACCAGCTGATGTGCTTCTAGCTGCTTGGGCGGTCGAATACTTCCTATGCAGTTCGCGGAAGCTTCGTGCGGTTGCAGTGCTTGCGCTTGCAATGGATTCTCTACGCTCACTCGGCTCCACCGGCACACCAACGGCAGAGTAGAAGTCCTCATCCTCTGGTCCGCTAGGCATAGGCGACAGCGGAGGATCTTGCTGCTGTGAGGACTTTCGAGCACGGATTTTCTCATCATGGGTCATGTTCTGCAGGCCATCACCAAAGTTAATGACTGATGCCTTCTTGCCATGCACCACGAAGCTCCCCGTGCCTCTAGAAAGCTGGTGCTCTTGGGTCGATTCTTCCCCTGACCCGGCGACCTCCTTGCCCTTGCGGCTGCCACGGTGGTGCGAGAGATGTCCAGCGCCCTCTCGAAGGGTGCGTTGCAGACTACGGCGAATTTTGCTCCTGTCACCCTTGTCTGTGGGTGTCCCAGACTCTCCGGGTACATCAGCACCTGTCGAAACAGTTGCCTTGTCTGTAGGGTCACGGCTGGGTCGTTGCTCAAGTAGGCCAGCCTGCTCCAGGAAGTCTCGTTCATCGGCGTCAGGATCATGGTTGCCGTCGTCCTCCTTGCGCAACGGTGGCTTGTTGCTTTCACCTTGGGCCGAAGGGGGTTTTGCTAGCGGTGTGGAAGGGAGGGATGCTATGGGAGACTGGGCGATACTGGATATCGACCCGTGTCTGGTGCTAGCAGCTTCTGGTCGAACGAAGGAGAGATCGCGGGAACTATGCCGGCGTTTAGTGGCACTCTGAGGAGGTGTTGTAAAGACCTGGTCCAGAGGTGAATCGACATCCTCTGTGACTTCGGCCGTGTTAGGGACGTGAACGACCTGAGGCTCGGTGGGTGTTCTTGGGTCGGCCTCGGTTCCAGAATGATGCGTTGACCGCGATCCTCTACGTCCCACGTTGACCCGTGGCGTAGGTGATCCTGTTCTCTGTGAAAATCGGTTTGACTGTTGCTTGGTAGGAGTAAAGGTCGATGATGGGTGTTCTTCTTCGAGATCCTGTATCAAGATATCACGGTGGCATTTGTGTTTCCACATATCTTGGCGTGTCCACTTGAGCTGAGCAGATATCCGTGCAGCAGCAGATAAAAGCTGTTCCCTCGTTCTTGGCTGGATGGGCGCAAGGATCAGCAGGTGGCGTGCGTTCCTTAGCTGGTGCTCCAGCTGTTTCTGAATCTCCTGCACATGCTCATCAGCTTCAGCAATCTTCTGCTTCATCACGTCTCTTCGAGCAGCCGAGATATCTTCAGCCATTTTATGGTCTATTCGACTCCTAGCGATAGACACGGGTCCGGTTGGTGTCTGGATGAGGGTGGCAGCATCAGCGCTATCCAGTCGACGTAAACCTCGGCGACTCTGTCCATCATAGTTGCCGCCAATGACACCACGCATCTTAACGCCCGTAGTCCGGAAGGCGGCAGCATAGTTAAGTTTGGCGAGCCAGTCGTTCATTTCTTCTTCATTATCTGCCAATAGCACTTCTTCTAGACCACCCTGCCGCACGTAGACGAAAGCGTTCTTGTGCTTCTTATACGCCGCATCATGGAGGGCCACGGCAGCATAAGTTGACATGAGACCGTCTGGTTTAAACTCTTGGAGCGGGGGTGTGAAGATCAACGGTGTTCCATCATGTCCCGCCTTGATGTGGTTCTCATACTGATGCATTAAAGACTTCACCCAGCCTGTATTGCGGAAGAAGTAGAGCTGCGCCCCAGTAAGAATGGCGCCCCATTCCTGCCACGGAGACCTTGCCTTACGTTTCTTCGCATCTTTCCGCCAAAGTAATCCAACCTTGGTGACCTTGATGTCGACGATACCGGGATGTGCATCGGCCGGGTTGCTAGCTGTCTGTTCTGTCATGAAAGCGTCAGGTCGAGACCGGGCCGACACGATTTGCAGTACACCTGTTCTAAAAAACGTTTTCTGCAAGTCCTTCAAGTTCAGACTAGTCGCAGAGCCTAGATAATTGTAGTGATCCTCCAGCTCCATGGCGTCCTTCAAGTTTGGTCTCAGAGCATCAAGGCTTCCGTCCAATATCAGGGTATAGGGATCGATAGGCTCTTTGACAGCTCGTTTTGCGGGGTCGTTTACTGTAGAGGAGATCAGAGGTTTTCGTCGAGATTTATGTGAAGCATAGCGGTCGCTTGTAGGGTCTAAATCATCCTCAACGTGAATAAAAGGGGTATAAGTGATGTTGTCATAAAAACATTCCAGAATGTCGTCAAAGATGCCTTCTCCGTTTGTGTTCTTCAAGTAATCAGCTTTTTGCATTTTGTGCTTGTTATTCTTGTTGAAGACATCGGTATGTAGAATGAGTAGGGAGAATGCAATGAAGTACGCCTGGTCAGGTGATGAGTAAATGCCTGGGTTACACTCGTGGTACCGGTTGGCAAACGCTTGTAAGCAACGGTCGATCTGCTGTGTTTCCTTAGGTAGCTCAGCTTCCATGAGCAGTTTTCGAATAGCCATATCCATAGGGTCACCAAAGAAGCTAAAACTACGCATGTAGCTCCGAAGGACAGCAGTCATGAATGGATCAGCGCTTTTTGAAAGAGTCGCAGCAATGATGCCTCGGCTTGCAACTTCTTCGACCCGCGCAAGATATTTGGCTGGTGACTCGTCTTCGTTGCGTTCTGGGAGAACAAAGGAGTCCCTGGCAAGCTGGAGTGAGTTGTTTTTAGATCCAATGGAACCGGGAGTTGTAGGAGTCATCGTGCCCTGACGACTGAGTTCCGAGTTCTGTCGCAAACGACTGAGGCCAAACAAATCGCCGAAGCTTTTACGACCAGTAGAGGACGACGTTCGTGTCGTCGGCGGTAGAAGGTGATCGTCATTGGAGTCACGGCCCATCGAACTCATAGTAGAGGACCTTCCTCGCAACAGATCACCCCTAGTGGGCGAAGAATGCCCCGATTGAATTCCCCCAGGTGCCACCAGTGTGGTCGCAGGTGATTGGCCTGACCTTAAATCGGAATCTCCTTTGGTGGTGTTTCCACCAGCTGTTCGGCCGCTTTGAGCGGAAGCTGGACGTGGCGTTGAGGAAATCCCAAGGGATGAAGCCGAGGAGATGCCTGGGGGTGCTTTTCCCTGCTGCTGAAGATGCGCAAATGGAAAGAGAGGCTCTGGTGCTTTCTTATGCCGTCGCAATCGAAAGAACGGGCCTGATTTCTTGGGTGTCGTCTCTGGACTCTGGTAGGACGAACTCTGGTGAGACAAGCGATCGTTGGAGCTAGCATCAGACCTGGATGACTCGGAAGGGCGGTTTGGAGGTGTTAAGATTGTACCGTTAGGACTACTTGTTGTAGCTGTTGTCGATGGTCGTGGAGGTTCAGGTTCCTCCAGTGTAGCGAGCGTGGGGCGTCGTCTGTCATCAGTGAAGGATTTCCGAAGTGTCTTCTGGCGACCCGTTCCATTGTTAGTGTTGATGTCCTCACGGGGTAAATCCGTCGAGCGACGGAACCTGGCAGTCAGGCCTATCCGTGACGATTTCTTTTTCGGCCCATTGAAGTCGTTTGTTGGAGCGGTGGTAATGATTTCGGGTGCTAAGTCGAACATAGGTTAGCTAAGCATGTCCCAGCTGCGAAGTATGGTAGATAGGGGTGTGTTACGTCGCGGAACGGGCGGCGGCTTCTCGGATTGTTGCTTGGCTCGCAGAGATAGTTGAGAATCACTCGCGTTTCGGAAACGCAAGACGGAGAAGCGATGATGTTTGCTGTTTTCTTCTTGTATAGGAGGGGTGTCTGGGCGACTTCCTGGGCGACTCTCGGTTTGGCTCTCGGGGAGACCTTCAGGACGGCTGGTTGTTGATTCGCGAGCTAACTCGCGAGGTTGCTGCGGGTGGGAAGACTCTCCAGGTCCTTGTCCCTCGTCATCGTTGTGGTCGGGCTGAGAAGGAACTGGAGGAGGAAGATCGCCGGATGCGCTGGGTTCGAAGAGTGTATGTCGGCGTTTTTCAGTGTCATCAGACAAGTTGCCTCGGCGGCGACGAAAAGCCATAACGGCGACTGATCATGATACGTAGCCAGCCCAGGCGTTGTCAAGACCAGGCGACGTCGATGAGAGAGCGTGCCAGTTGAGGGCGGCAGGCGTCTCACGACCTACCAAGCGAAAGGCTGGTACCCAGTCGCGGTGGTGTTCATTGAGACAACTCCAGGTGTCTAAATCGATGATAAGAATTCAGCAAGAGTGAATGTCGCGTGGAAGGGTCGGATTGTGAGCGTTGTCGATGCAGTATAGTTACTTAGGTTAGTAGGCAGTTGGAGGTTGATCCGTTTTCGATCACTTTGAGCATTCGCTTTCCGCGGGAGCTTTCCCACCAAAGCCAGGGGCTGCTGGTCGTGGCAGCCTCAATTAACCCAGCCCAGCCCAGCGCATGTCAGACTACCAATGCACAGTGTCCGGACCCACTGCTACAGTAGGTAAGGCATGTGGCTGGGAGTAGGGGGTTCCTGGGAGACCCGCTATAAAAGGCCCTTCAGGTGCAAGCAAAGAAGCTAGCCCGCCTGGGTTTATTAGTGTGGCTGGTGTAAGGAGGTGATGATCGAGAAACATTGTCCTAAGAATGGGCTGAAATTGCAGCTTATTTAGGCATCACAATGTTTTCTTTTTCGATATCTTTTGATCCTTTCTCAGGTGGCTATATTGTACACAGTATATCTGTAACGTGGCGATACGTGCTACGTAAGCCAAAGTAGGTAGTATATACAGTATCATCAACACTGGTGGTCACTTAGACCCTCTAGCATCCATAGACGAGAGAGTATGGATACAAATGTCGATTTTATTTATCGTAATTATTTAAAATTGGGACCGAGAATCCGAACTTGCTCTGATAGCCTCAGAGTACATAAGCCCACGAGTAGATTCGAGAGTATTTGAAAAATGAACAATAACTTCATATTGTTTATTCATGTGCACCAGCGAGTCCTAAGAACAAGTGTTCGTGTTTCAACATCTCCCTGCCCATGATATATCCAAGGCCACGCCACATATGGAAAGTGTCAGCATGGGAGGTTTGATCTCTAGAATGGTTACAAGGTAATTTTGCTATATTACTCAAGCGACATATGAGTGCAGAATATGAGACCCCTCGCGTGTACTACGCATAGTCCATTTATACCAACCTATGTTAAAGTTAGGTACGGATAGGGTAAACTTATGTCTGTGTCCTGGATCGAAGATGAAATAAGTAACTTTATTATTTCGAATCAGCTCCAAGCATATTGAATGATATTGGCATCCATTAAGAAAAGCTTGATATCTAGATAGCTCAGTGTTCAAAGCCATCTCTTTCCATCCACCTAATAGACACCTTAAAAATACGTGGCGATTTCTGCTTACCTTTGGTCTAGTAACCAACTGTCAGCGGCAGCAACATTACCTTATCATTGATCCTTGTTCAGAGCGTCCTTGATAGTGTTTATAACTGTGTGTAACTACCAGTTGTAAGCTGGAAATGATTCGTAATATATGAGGTCCCAATGTATATTTCTGTGTCACTTCGTACTATGAATTAAGCATTTAAGAATGCCGTTACATATTAGCATAAACAACTTGTTAAATTCGACTACCTTCTTAAAATTCAGTATTGTTCTATTTGGTTTATTAACTCTGATACTTCCAACACGCCTTGCCAAAAACTGCCTGTCTCAATGGATGGACCAATTCAATGACTTCGACGTCGGACCCACATAAACCAGCGACAAGCGTCAGGTTGCGTGCGTTATCATCCAAGCTAACTAGAGGCAGTGTAACCTTCAAACATCGTCACTCATATCTTTAATAATTGTCGCTACATCCATCATACAGAGTCATCAATTATTCAGCTGAGGGCTGATAGTCCTCCACATCCAATCCCGGCCACTTCAGGCAATCAGCATCAATTGATCGAGTCGGCTGCGCGTTCTCTTATAAGACTCAAGATGAGGTTGCCTTTACTGGCAGCGAGTCTGCTACTTCTGCAGGCCTCCAGCACCCACGCCGCTGGCATCGATACACATCGTGCCGTCCCAGATTTACAGAATAACGAGAATAACAATAATGACGCGAACAAACGACTCTTCCCTTTCCTTTCTAAACTTCGCGACAAGGCTATCGAGACCGTCTTCGGACGTCATCCAAGTAAAAACACCCCGCCGCCCGTCATCAATCAACTACGCGCACAATACCTCAATCAGTTGGTCCTCCGCTTCAACGTCACTACCTCGCACGAAGAGGGAGCCCTTGCCGATGCCGCTGCTCGACTATTTCTCGATGTCTGGGCTTTTACCGATGACTATGTCGACATCCGCCTACACGCTGACGAGGTTCGACCTCTGCTGAGCTTGCTTCCTAAGACACTACACGCATCGCACTCGATTCTGATCCCGGATTTGGCCGCCGCGGTCTATAAATCACTGCCTATCGGAGGAAACCCAGCTTATTACGATCCTAAGCCCGCCCCTCCGGTCCTGAAAGTCGCTTCTTCGCCTGGAGACAACCTCTTTTTCCAGGATTACCAGTCTCTGCCGGTCGTGATGAGATGGATGCGTCTCCTTGAGGCTATGTTTCCGTCCTATGTCAAGTACATCAACATCGGCAAGTCATACGAAGGCCGCGATATACCTGCCCTACGAGTGGGGATTCCGAACACAGCACCGGATGCGCCTCGGCGCAAAACAATCATGATCATGGGCGGCTCTCATGCTCGCGAATGGATCTCAACGAGTACTGTCAACTACCTGGCATGGTCCTTCATCACTAGCTATGGTAAAGAACGGATGATCACAAAGCTATTGGACGAGTTCGACTTGGTCTTCCTCCCAATCGCGAACCCTGATGGTTTCGAGTATACCTGGCATATCGATCGGCTCTGGCGCAAAACACGACAACAGACTAACCTTCAGTTTTGCCGTGGACTGGACCTTGACCGAGCTTACGGGTACGAGTGGGATGGCTCACAGGTTCAACGGGACCCATGCTCTGAGAGTTATGGGGGAGAGAAGCCTTTTCAGGCAGTTGAAGCGGTGCACATTGCCGATTGGGCGCGGAACCAAACCTGGAACAACAACGTTCGATTTGTCGGCTTGATTGATTTACATTCATACTCTCAGCAAATTCTCTATCCTTACTCTTACACTTGCTCCGTCGACCCTCCCAATCTGGAGAACTTGGAAGAGCTTGCCGCAGGTATTGCGAAGTCTATCCGTCTATCAAATGGAGAGTCGTACACGGTTGCATCGGCGTGTGAGGGTGCGGTCTCAGCACGGGAATTCAGCGGTGGTCGTTACTGGTCTCGCATCGAATCTGGCGGCGGATCAGCTGTCGACTGGTTCTATCATGAAATGCGAGCTCACTACAGCTACCAGCTCAAGCTTCGAGATACCGGCAGCTACGGTTTCCTGCTTCCCAAAGAGCACATTGTTCCAACAGGAGAAGAGATATTCAATGCGATGAAGTATTACGGAGACTATCTCTTGGGTAACAATGGCATCGAGTCCATTACTGAGGCTGAAGAGGATGACAAGGTGGAGATGCATGAAAATCAGCCAGTCCAAGATTCTGAGCAAAACCCGACCGTTGGACAGGAGCTGAGAAGGAGAAGGCTTCGAAGGTGAAGCTGATGTGAGTTTGTACGGGATGCAGGAGGGTGTTGAATAAGGATTTGGTATGAGATTTACGATTGAGCATTATGATTTTTCTTTCTTTCTTTTTGGAATTGGTCAAGTTGCATGTAATGGACGGATACGCAGGCGTCTAATGGTCACAGCAAAAAGCAGGAAATAGCAACGATGGGGAATTCGTGGCAGGTCTAGTTAAGTAAAACAGAAACTAATGTCATGCATATATTACTTTTTTCCCCCCCCAAAACTTGTCCGTCAGTCCGACTTAGTTGCCTATGGCAAACATGATGGAGGTATAGGCGGCCATGCACTTGAGCGAGGTATCGCAGAGGAAAGAGCCGATTGAGCCACTAGGTTGATCAAGTTAGCAAATATCACAAGATGGAGACTACCTCAGTAGGTGTACATACCCCATGCGTCCCTTGGGGCCACCAGCAGAGTAGCCAATGGCGTAGAATACACGAGAGAAGGCCCAGCCAGCACCAAGAACGGCAGAGGCAACGGGGAAACGAAGGCCAGAGATCAGAAGAGCACCAAGGAAAGAGATCTGGTTCTCGGTGAAGTTGGCGTGCGAGCGCTGGGCTGTAGAAGAGAGAGTTAGTACTTGAGACTTGGGTTGGGTGGGTGGTGGGTGGTACGAACCGCAGTTGAACTTGAAGGCCTCGGCGTCCTTCTCAGCGAGCTCGTTGGAAGCGTAGGCGACGGGATACTTGATACCGCTTCGCTTGCGAGCCTTGCTAGTGAGGAGAACGTGGAGGGTGTTGATGAAGAAGGTGGAGGTGGCGGCAACGAGGACGAAGCTAGGAAGAGTGTCAGTTGTTTGAGGTTGAGGTTGAGGTCGAGACAGTGGGATTGTCCCTTACCCGTATTCAGCGGGGAGCTCAAGGACGAGAGACATGATGGAGAGAGATGATTTAACTACGGAGGAGTATGAAACTGAATGTAGATAGATGAGCAATGGCAAGAGTTGAGTTGGTACGGTCTTGTCACGGTGTGGTTGGCCCCTTGGTCTTAAATAGTGATTAATGGATTCCCAGTAACGGGATGAAACTACCAACGGAACGGACCTAACGTGTCCGGGAGAGTCAGGTTAGCTCCACCTGGGGGAACAATCCACCGACTCTTCTAGTTGTCTCGTGAGTCCATGCCATGGCCAAAGCAGAATCGGAGGGTTCTAATCCTAGTTGCGGGAAAACATGTCAATTCTGTACAGTAAATACTGTCTGCATAAGACAGGTCATCCAGTCTTGTTCAGCCTCGGAGTATCGCTTATGCGTGCGAGATCCGCTCCGCCCGACGAACCGAATTCAAATACGCACGTATTTGATGACGCGAGTAATCCCCGAGTCTTGATTTTCGTACCGTGATCAGATTTCGGACTTCAATGCCGTCGGCATAATTGGATCATCCGATTCATTGGGTGTGAGGTTGAAAGTTGAAAGCTGGCGTAATTGATATGGGCCTAAAAACCAAACTCCGCAGCTACCAATGCAGGTACAAGCCAAAACTCCGCAGGGTACTGTACTCCATATGATCCGCCAACTGCTGGACAATGAATGATGACTACCTATCAATATGACAATATCGATTGTCTGACTTTTTCCAGAAACGCCAGTGGATCGACTTCAATGACACTGGCTCATACTCATCCAGTGCATCTCTCTTCAGGTGACCGCCATTGAAGACCCAACCCTGCGAAGACTCTCCGTTCTGCTGTTTCCATATCAGGGGCTTCATCGCCTCCAGAGGTTCCTTCAAGGTCAACCCATCTGCCATCGGCCCGGCGTCGTATTCCACTGCTGTCGAACTTGTATCCCTTGACTTTCTTGCAATAGCGTCGAACATCTCTCTGGAATGTCGTGCCGCCACTCCAACCTAGTACTGCGCAGCCCACTGTCTTCCACGGACTGATAATGATATCGACCCGTCGATGCGGTGCATCTTTTTTGCTGGAGTCCTGCCAAACTACCAAAGCCTTATCGAGTGTGTCAAAGCCTGAGCTGTTGGACTTTTCCCCTTTCCATGATACCGGGCGCTGTCCTCGATCAGAGTTGTGAGTCGACAGTGTCAGTGTATGTGTGATGAGTTGGGCCTTTTCGAGGGCCACGACAATCTGGGTTATCACATTCAGTGTTTTGTTCTCATTTCGGTGACTCAAAACAACATCAGCATCGCCAGATTGTTGCTTGCCTCGCCGATAACCACCCACAATGACCATCTCAAATCCTGGGTCAATCAGGCGGGCGTGTTCCAGTATTGCAGCGGCAATGGTCGCAACTTCGTCTCGGGGGATCCCCAGCAAGAACTCGTTGTAATATTTGACACCAAGTTGCTGCGAACGACTGAGTGTGTTCCATCCGAACTCGACCAGATCATCTAGATCTCTCCATCCTAAAGATCATTAGTTTCTCTTATGTTTGGGAAGCTCGTTTTCGTGCTCACCCTTTCGATAGAAGTCGCGGGCGGTGACAGCCCCAACTCCCCATATGTTGTAAAAGAGCTTGAGGACTGTGATTTTAGGGTCGGCGTTGGCCTCGCGTACTTCCACTGATTCGCCTGTCTCCTTCCAGTGATGCCATAGTTCGGCGATTCTATCACCGCAACCTGGCAACCGCGCGACTTCTAAGTGAATTATTAGCTGCTAGCGGTACCAAACAAGACAGCAATACTCACCTTGGGCATTCTTAAGTGCGTAAGGGTACGCAGCGATCGAAGCAATGGATGTGGAGTAAGCTCTCACGCCAACCTCATCCTCTCGAAGTTGACGAATTGTTCTTATCTCAGTGAGGATGTTCACAAACACTTCATTCGGTGGGTTCATATATGTCGGTCGCTGGCACGAATACGTGGTTCTCAGAAACTCGGGCATCACGGGCAGTGTGACGTCGTGTTCCGATGTCGTTTGATGAAGGAGACTGGGTGCATTTTGCGATATTGTTGTCGAGACATCATGACGCCTTTTGTGCTGATTAGATGGCGAGGTGCTTGTTGACTGCGCTTTCTGCTCAAGAAGGGCACGCTCCAGAATACTACTAGCTGGTGAAGTAGAGCCTTTCGATAATACAGGTGCAGGTGTTGTCTCACGAGGCAAGACTCGATTACACTGGAAGATCAAGTAGTGGTCCACGGGTAAGAGTTCTTCCTTCTCCCACGAGTCTAGGAGCCATGAAAGTTTAACAACCTTGACTATGTCTGTCCCAACTTCGGGTTGTTCTTTGATTCTCCTCCGCTTAGGATCTGGGCTACCACCCGGGTCATCCGCCACAACTGGAGAATCAACTTGATGGCTCTCCTTTTGAGGTTCCTCTACAGAGGCAAACTCAAATTTTGCCCTTCTCAGCTCAAACTCGGCGCGTCTTTGCTGCGATATCTTTCCGACCACGATCTCAGCCTCACTGATGTCATACGTCAATGTAGGGATTCGTTCTTCGAGGTCGTGCAGTTCTTCAGGTTTTAGATGTGTTGGGAGGAGGAAAATCCGCGGAAGGTTATCGAGTCTCATCACAGCAACCCTCCGGCAAATGTGCTTCAGCCTCTGGTGCGGATGGAGAGGATTCTGGCTATTCGTGGAATATCAAGGCTGTGGTGGTTGACGCGAGTCTCATAATTGCACGCGCCTGGCTGTCTGAATTAGATAATACAGTAAGTAGGTCATGAATTGTAAGATCTGTTCTTCGAACATGAGTTCTCTCGCTTTTCCTCATGCAGAAGTGGCGGCGAGAGAAGCAGTTCGTTTGGTATCAATGACGTGGAGATGGACAAATCGTGAGGGCACAACTTAGAGTAGAGAGGAAATGGCTTCCTTGTTGTGGGAAAGGACTCCGTCTCGATTTTATCCGTGTCAGCCACGGCTAGTCGCATACCTTATGCCCATAACTCCTTCTGCAGGTTAATATGCGACTTCCATTTTATGCCGTTACAGTTGGGAGGCATTAGGCAAGGTAATCCCAATTCTTCATTATTTGTTCATGGCGAGCATATGGAGGGAGTGACCAAGACCATCGTGAAGCTTGTTGACATTGTGCACTTTCTTGTTCGAGATCAGAGAGAGACATTGGAGGCAATATTATCAACTTGATTTTGCTTACAAGTGTTTCATATTGATCCAATATAATCTATTCCTAGGTACATCACCTTTAAACCTTGATGCCCCGCGAGTCAAGTGTAAGTTGACATCCGTGTCTTTATAGGGTAGTCTAGATTGTCACTTAACGGATGGCTTGTGGGGGCTTGAACTCTGCGTTGCCCGTTTCGGGGAAGTGTGAGGCGTTAGCGCATCTAGATCCGTTGATTGCTGACTTATGAAGAGGTTGTTACATTGCAACAAGGATATTGGGCCTCTACCGTAGTTGTTGTATGAGATTAATGAGTAAGATGTTTAGCTCAAGATTGCTGAGATTGTATATATATTTCGTAATCTTTTATCACGGTTTGGCAACATACGAGCGTTTCCATTGTAATTGACTTCAAGGGATATCTGCTGTAGATCTAGCGGCGGCGGAGCCGGCCATTTCAGCTCCGATCGGCCCATGCAACAGTGATTGGGGTCTCTTGTAGAGGACATCAACCTCAAAACCGTAAACCGCAATTGTATACTTGCATCTTTTCTTCTATTCTCCCAGCCTCTACTTCTTCTTTCAACCGCTTCTCTTTCATCAGCGCGTTCTTTGACTTGTATGATTCACTGTTCAGAACACAAAGTTACTGCCCACGCACCATCCACAGTCACATACACACTTTCTCCAATACTTAACGCACCTCAGATCTTGACGGACCATGGATCTCGATATTGAGATGGACGATGCCGTCGACACGGTTCACGACGCACCTATTCTCGACGTCGGTCGCGATGATATTCTCGTAAGCTTGACTAACAGTCAGACTGCTGCCATCCGAAATTGACTTCCCTTTCAGCAACCTGACGAGCCTGAAGAGCCTGGCGAGGTGGCTGAAGACGAACCTCCGACCGACGACTCAAAGACCCTCATCCCGACAAAAATCCACATCAAGGGTGTCGACTCTCTACACACATCCGACATCAAAGCCTACGTCAAGGCTCACTTCGGCGATGTCGACAGAATCGAGTGGATTGACGATTCTTCCGCAAATCTCCTCTTTCCTTCTGAACCCACGGCGCGCGATGCAATTGTTGCCTTGAGCTCTGTTCCCGTCGCAGATGCCACAGCATTGGCAATTGGAGAGACTCTGCCTGCGAAGCCTTTTGAAGGGAAGCCAGAGATTTCTCTCCAGGTGAGATTTGCCATACAAAGCGACAAAAAAGAGGTTGGTGCTGCCTTGCGCAGCCGCTATTACCTCCTTCATCCCGAGCACGACCCCGAGGAGCGACGACGCAGGAATCAGGAAAACCGGTCAAGGTACAGGGATCGTGACGATGGCTATCATAGGGGTGGCGAGGGCCGGCGACGACGCGCCTCTGACGATGACGTTGAGACGTTCGAAGCCAGCATGTACGATGATGCGCCTCGCCCAACACGGAGAAGACGCGACTCAGACATAGAGGAACGACCACGCTCATATGCCCGCGAGAATCAAGGCAAGGAATTGTTTTCAGGCCGGAAATCACAACGCGACCGATCTGCATCTCCCAGGCGCGATAACGACGGCGATGATCTAATGGGTGAGAGGGCTAGCTCATCTGGGAACAGAACGCGAGCGCGGGATCTTAAGGATCGTATATCAGGCAGTAACAATTCCAAGGAGTTGTTTCCGACCAAGAAGTCGATCAAGCAGTTTGGTGGAGGAAACTTGGATACCCTCGAGCGAGCGATAGGATCAGCCCGCCTCAAGGATGAGGATCGCCCCAAGATTGTTTCTGTGCCCAATGCACGAGGCGATGGTAACTCATTCAACATCCGCGGCATGGCGAGCCAGCAGGGGAGCGGAGAGGGCTTTGCGATTAAGGGTGCTGCTTCAGCTAACGCACGCGAATTGTTCCCTACTAAGCTTGGTAGCAACAATACTGGCAAGGAGCTATTTGGAGGAGGGAGATCGAAGCAACGACAGAAGGCCGAGGACCTTTTCTCCTAAATGGGGACCCCATCGAAACATGGTACACGCTATACAATAGCAACGGCCGAACTGGGTCAACAATACGGACGCATAAGTGATGGGTGCTGGTGACTATATATATGGTTTTGTAACGATACCAAGGCGCAACCAAACAGATACATTATGGGCTCCTTCATCTGCAGTTCCCAGATGTGAACTCCAAACAGATGTTATATATAGATGATGGGCTGATTCCTGTGAAGTTTCGTGGTTGTCGTGATCCTGGAATTTATCCATCCACAGATGTTATGCTGCCGATTCCTACCACCACTTCTCAAGCATAACTCTGTTCTTGTCCATCCCACCGTCTCTTGCCAAGCCATCAACTATTTCATCCGTCATCGTCGCGGGGCCACAGACATATACCACACTATTGTTCTTCTCACCCATAGCCTCCTTCACGTCTTCAACTGTGAATCTCCTTTCATGAACATCAAGTTCACGGCTCTCGATATGCCCGTCATATATCCCTGTCGTAAACACTTTCAAATCACCAATAAGTTCCTTTTCTGTAAACCATTTTCTGATTCTCTCCAGAAAAAGAACACCCTTGAGGCCCTGCGCAGGTAACTTGCTAGCGTAGAGAACCTTGACCTCAAGGTTGTATCCCTCTTCAGCTATATGTCCCATCATACTGACGAGTGGGTTGATCCCCACGCCGCCCGCAACAAAGACCACATGGCTTATGTCGTTGAGTGGTATCTCAGATGGTGGGAAGACAAAGCTTCCTCCAACACGCACCTGTAGCTTGGAACCAGTAATATCGGACGGTGACTGCCAGAGCCATGCCGCAGGAGGGTTCTCCGGAGATTCTTGTACTGCTAACTCCAGGTAGGGAGACTTGGGGTCGGCAGCCGCGCGAGGTGTAGATGTGAGTGTGAACCCGCCTGGTTTGGGGTTCCCTGGGATGTATGTATCGAGCCATTGACCGGCCAAGAACTAGATATTGTCAGCATTCCTCCTGGCGAAAGGATTGGAATTAATATGAGATATGCTGTATGTACCTTGATTGGCCCCGACTCGAGTTTGAGACGATACAATCTAATTCGCTCATTCACCTGATCTATACGCTCAAGTCTTACATCCAGAAGACTCTAACTCACCGAAGATTAGTCAATGCTATACAATGAACTTGTATTGATATGAACTAACCTCATCTCGTGGCTCCTGAGCTGTCCTTTCTAGATGACCACTGCGTTGAGTCGACATGGCTTTTGGTCTCACGCAGAAGGCTATGAGGTTGATGGCAGCAAGTCCGAATCTTTGACCCGATAAAGAGACACAAGGACTAATGATTGCAAGTTTGAGAGGCATGAATTCACATAAAACTGTCCAGGGGCGATTATAGTCGATGGCCTCATGTTAGCATGTGCATGTCATAGTGGAGTGGACTACCATTGACATTAACTCACAAAAGCTGAGTCAGGCGACAACCTACAGAGTACACACCTACATCTTCCTAGAGACAACGAAGATGATATTGCACGCTTCGGCGAATTTGATTATTGCATAAAATTTTGTTGCAAAGAACAATGCTTTACCGTCCGTTTTAGAATTCTATCTTCTCCAAGTCCAGCTCCTGTAGTCCATAACCTCGAGTTACATTGCCTTCTCCAAGGCACCATATGCCTCTTTGTCCCGTAAATCGTCATACCAAACATATCTAGGACGACTCTGTCCAGTTGACTTGATCCATGACCTGTCCAGCAGTTGGGTGCGTATATCCAATCCTCAAGCGCAGACGCAGAGGCTAAAACATTCGTTAGTATATCAAATTCTTTTGCAGGGGATTGGGAATGACACTTACCCCCTTGCATCCGGACACTCGCATCATCTGGCTGGCTTCAGCCCCAGGTCCGAGGTCCGATGAAGAGATGCTCAGCAGTTGCAGCTTCTGAGACTTGGGAACGGCAGCTTGTAGAGATACATTGGAGAGATTCGCTGAACCAGAAGTGTTGATGAACTTTGCGGTGGCTTGAATCATACCCTCCGCGTTGCGTTGGATCTGGAATGTCACGTTAAGGTCATTCGCGTTATAGCAGGGAATACCAGCAGGTGCCTGCGATGCCTGAGGTTGAGGTGCTGACGACACGGGAGACATGAGGTCGAGGTTCGATGAAGGTGGGGCAGGAGAAGCTGTAGATGGCACGGGGGCAGAGCCAAATAGGTCCATGATGTTCGATACATTGGATTGCTGAGGAGGCGGCGAGGAGGCAGATGGAGTAGGAGAAGAGGTACCACCTAAGATATCGGCGAGGAGATCAGTGTTTGTCGTTGAGGGAGCAGCTGGTGACGCAGCAGGCGCGTCCATAATATCCAGGAGGTCTTGTTCTGTTGGCTTGATGACTCTTGACTTCCTGTTGGCGGTCTTCTTCTTTGTAGGAGCTTGTCCAAGAACACGAGACTCCTCCTTGATCTGAGGAATAGGCATTTTCTCGAGCACTCCACGTCGGACCTGGTCGAAGCTGAAGAGGTTGCCATATTCAACGACTCGCTGTTGAATCTCGATATCGAGGCTGGTCTGGTGATATTGCAGGATCCTTCGGATCTTCTCAATCTGAGCTGGGTCAGAGAAGCGGGTTGTCAACTTCATCAAGGCTGTCACAATGTACTCCGTGGACACTTGTGTGGCGTATGCACTGTTAAGTATCAAGGAGAACAAGTCGACAACCTCATGCTCCTTAACCTCCTGGACAAGCTCCTCTTCCTCGTATTGTCCACCCTTGAGCAGAGCGTCTGCATATTCGCCGATGCACCAAGCACCTGCTTGCGTCAGACTCTCCTGAGTAATGTCTTTCTTAAGGTTGATATACAGTTTTTGAACCGCATACGTCTGTAGCTCAGGGGTGGTAGCGACAAGGCGAACAAACGATGATAGGATCTGCTCCTTGACGTAGTTACCGGCAAGAGACAAAACCCGGAGCATTGTATCGAAGTGCCATCGTTTGTTAGGCGCAAACTTGTCAGCGGCGATACCTATCTGGCTGGTCATTGTTGGCTTAAACTCATTATCGGCAACCTCCAAGAAGGCAAGAAGCTCCCGAATCAACACTCGAACATTGCTCTCGTTAATCAAGGTAAAGCTCAGGTCCAGAGCTCGGCGGCGAATACTGATATCAGGGTCTCTCAAACATTCCAGGATGGTGTTTCGATGTCTCTGCACAGCATTGGGCTCGATGGCGACGACCTTGATCAGGGTGTTGAGAGCCACGTATCGGATGTTGTTATCGCGGTTGGTGAGGAACTTGCCCAGAATGTTGACACCGAGCACCCTCAATCCAGAATCGGCCTCGATATCGAGAATCGTGCGCACAGCTTCGTACAGGATGGAATTTCCAACATTCTTGGATGATTCGGTGTTGGTAGCAACCTGGGCTAGGATATCGTTGATCTGCTCGCTGGTCTCTGCATCACCCACAGCCAGGACTCGCAGCAGATGAAGGATCTTGACCTGCAGGAAGGGGTCGGTAATGCCAGTAACGTCGTGTTCGGGTGCGTAACCTGAAGTAGCGAGCCCTTTCAAAGTTCTGACAAGTCCTGGGACAAAAGACCTGAACTTTTCAACAATTCCTTCTTCTCCGCCCTCCTCCTCGTCTGCCTCGCAGAGACTTGTCACCAGGGTGAGACCGCAGAGCAAGACGCCGTGGTTTCTGTCGGACAGAAGCTGTGTCGCCTTGTCAATGAAGTGCTCTTGTAAGTCTGGAACCTTTCGACATATGCGCATTGCGCACAGAGCCGCCTTTCTTCGAATATATGGGTTGGCTGTGGCTACAAGGGTCTCGATTTCGGGGAAGAGATCTCGTGACATCTCAATCGAGGCGATGTTTCCTAGTGTACAGAGAGCAAGTCCAACGACATATTGGTTGGAATGTCCGAGATCGCTAAACCAAAGTCAGCAACCAGATGTTGGATTCAAAGGGCGTAAGGAGAAGTGTACTTCTTGAGCGAGTTGGTAACCAATGTCAAGACTTCTTGATTCTCATCCAACAACAAACTTGTAGCCAGGTGTCCCAGACGTTTATCGGCGAATCGAGGGGAGGCGAGGAGCTTCAAGCATTCGATCTGTCCAAAATGGGTTCGCTCTCCAAGGGTGAACAGGTAGAGTAACTTTGCGACATTGTTGCGACTGCCTGTGCATCAGTATCTCCATCCCTCCAATAGAACTGTTGAACCCACCGAATGTTGGGATCGTGGCTCTCCTCTCGAAAGCTGGCGCGGATGGCAGCGCTCTCTTTCTGAATGACAGCTCGCTCGTCGGCGATCGTCTTGGCCGCACGCACATTTCGAATAAACTGCTTGACTATCCCGAGCAAAAGTAAAGGTAAGCCTCTGACTGATCAGATCGCGGAGGATAGCTCGTCGGTGCCGTACGGGAACTCATCTTGGGAGGACAGACCCAGCGGTTGGGCCGTCTGGTCGATGCTTATCCAGGGGTTGTGAGGGAAGCGATGGGGGCTCGTCGAAGCTCAATCAGCCCTGGGATAGAGCAATGAGAGCTACTGTTGCTTTATATGCGTGTCGAGGCGGAGGACAGAATAGGGAGGTTTCGTCGGAGCCTACTCAAGGCAGCTGAATAAAAGAGAAACCGAGTTGCGCCGTCAAGTTACAGGTCAGTGTCAGTGACGGTGTGTGCTGTGCTGTGCTGTGCTGTACTTCTGCTTGCGTTGCGGCGGACACCTTTCAGACGGGACGTGGGGCACAGAGCAGGCCTACGCCGAATTAGATTTGCTTGGCAGTACGTACTGCGTTAGTCATCACTAAATGAAATAAGCTTCATTGAATCCATAAGGCACGAATACAAACATCGTTAAAAGAAAAAAAGAATAAGTATACTTGTTTATTCGTACACGCATGATATTATAACTCTAGGAATACACACAGGAACCGCTCATACAGTGTTTAAACCTTTTCCTTCCCATACACATCCGTCCTCCACAAACAATCTTACTTTACATCTGGACGACTCAGAGGGTGTGCTTCCGTGTTCAGCACCCACTCATCCAAGCTGATAACATCAAATTCGCTGAAGATGAGGTAAAAGTACTTGAGAGTCTCTGCCAACCAGAAACTCTCCATACTGTCCATCTTTGTAGGCTCTGCTTTGGTGACATCGTCTATCGCTGAAGCCGCAATCTCAGTTCGTGTCACCTTCTCGATCGTCTCGAACATGGTCCACGCCTTTTCCATCCATTGCGCATCTCCTGTGACGCGATACATGATGAAGATGGACTCAATGGCCTCGGGCCGGAGAATGTATCGTGCATCGCTCACGTCGATCATACCTTTGGGAAGGTTGTGCTTCTTGATCACGTCGTGAACTGTGGGCTTCTTCCAGTCTGATCCTCTCAACGGCGGCGCCCTGAAGTCAGGAGCGTGTTGCTCTTCAATAGCCTTGAGCCACCGGTCCTCGTTCCAGGTGCAATCGCTCGAGTCCTTAGCATCGACGCCGCCACACGAGATGAAGTTGAAGATCTCAGGTCCAAGTCCCGTCTGTGTAGCCTGATAAGCCCAAATACATCCATCTGTGAGTTGGGAAGCGATCTCGAGATCGGCTGGGCGGTTGAAAATCTTGCTGCCCATTGCTACCATACCGCCAGCGAAGCAGGTCAGATGCTGGCCTCGTGCAACGTAGGTGTACTTGGGTTGCTCGCCTGGCAAATCGGTTACCTGGTAGTCTCCAGAGATGAGGACCGGCTTGTCCGAAGGTGTCAATGCTCGCTTGAAAAGGTGCTTGATGGCAACAGGAATGAAGTTTTCGTATAGTCGACGTGGTTGCTCGAGTTGGCCGCCGAGAAGAAGATACCACTTGGGAAGATACTCATACAGCGAATCAGACATACCACCAAGGGTGAAGTCTGAACCAGCATGGAAGGCTGGCGTATAAGCATCAACGACTACCGGCCACATTCCAGGAAGACGAGTGTTGAGTTGCGTAGACTCAAACTGGTCTCCAATTCTCTTGACAGCGTCATAGAATCTCGGGTTGCCGGTTAGCTGAGATAGTTTAGTGAGCTCGAGACTCAAGGAGCCAAGTTCAGAAACAAGAGCCTCCCGCGAGGGAGACTGAGCTTGGCCATAAGCAGATCTAAGCATGTTAGACACAATGTCAATACGTGATTAATGCCAAGGAAAACTCACTTCTTCCATTCCCATCGAGTAACTGGCATATGGTTCGGTGTATCAAAGGCGCACATGAGCAGGTCTCCCAGCTCAATAGCCTTCTTCAAGAGAATAGGATGAGCTCTTCCGCTTAATTCATATGCCGACAGGAATCCACCAAGATAGCGAATGTTGGTCTCGAAAATGTTGATAGTTGCCATGGGACTCCTGGTGAAATCAATACCGTCTGCAGCGGCAACAGCTTTTGTGAACTCGTCCTTCATGTCCATGATCCAAAGGGTATCGAGGGCATCGACCAGAGTGGCAGCCCAACCGCCAAAGGGGTCCTTGGACTTGCCGGTCAACGGGGTCACCTCGTCGTGCATCCAGGCATAGTTGGAATATCCGCTCCAGCTGTGCTCGAAACTCTTCTTGACTGCAGCCAATCGCGACAGTCGCAGCTCCTTGGCCGCGGCGCTCTCGACCGGAGCAGCAGCCTGAATCTTGGGGACCTTGACATCTCCGGTGATCTTTGGCAAGGCAGCTAATTTCTCCTTGGGAATAGGATATTTAGGTAATCTTCGCGTCCAGGCCGTGGCGCCCTTTCCAGCAAGAGGATCTCCATTACCAAACAGCTTGAAGCCAGAGTCTGAATTTGACCAGTACCAAAAGCACAAGATCCAGATGAAGGCGACACCAATCCAGAGACGGCCTCGCCGTAGGGGACCCGCCATTGTGTAGATAGTTAGTGGACTGCTAATAAGCAGCACAGGGTCTAGGTGAGAGAAGATAGTGAGGCGTGATCTGGGACCTCACATCGCAGGCCCAGGGCGGGAAAAAGGCTGAGGTAAGTTCAAAGGCGTTGATGTTGGAGCTGTCAAAAAGATTGGCGATGTGTCTCGACTTGAGGGGGACCAACAGCAAGTCTCATTCAAGCCCGAGGCCGAGTCTAGACACGTCCCGTCTTATTAGAGCGAGAGGTAGGTACCTTAGGCTACGGGTAAGGAATCGAAGGGACAGGACGGGACGGGGGGAGTAACAGAAAAAGGGCAAATGGCTCTGATTCTTAGTCGATAAATAAACCCTCAATCTTCAGCGCATAAATGTCTGAAATCAGTGTCAAGTGTCAGTGTATGTGGCTGAGAGCTGTCTCGTCTCTTCTGTCCAGTTGAAAATACGACATGAAATTGCGGCGGGCGGTCTACGTCTACAATCACTAGCCTACTAACACGTAAAGGAATGCGCCGTACGAATAGCGATGAATCCTGCGAGTGTGGCATCTGACATCCTGTACCTACAGTAGGTTGCTGGTATGGTAGCAACAGGGTCCTTTTTCCCATTAATTACCAACTGTACCTGTAAATGCTTCCCTTGCTTGGCATTCATCCTTCAATACCTTAAATTGGACAGAACCGTTGTTAATGCGGTTTCACGTAGCACAAACGTTGGATTATGAACTCTTTTCGGTTCTTTTGCCTTGACTGGCCAATGCCACATTTCCCTCTCTGTCAGCCCCTTTCGAACCCTTAAATGGCAGAAAACATCTCGAGACTTTGGAGAGAATCAGCTTGTACTCCTGTGGGGTCAAACCTAGCAGCTCCCTTGCAATATAATTAGACGATGTGGCATAGCCATGTAAGCTAAGCTGACCCGGCTGCCTTCTCCAACTGGTCTAGCTAAATACTTGGGCTTTGGTTCTTTGGAGCCTTATATCAGCCGTGAGCCACTCATATTCAGCAAGCTTTCAAGGGTTGGCTCCCTCAACAAAGGAGTCCCTATGAGCGGATCCTGCCCCTGAACAGTAAGATCAAGAGGGCAGCTCGAGTTGACCATTCGCGGCGAGGGAGCATGCATGTCAATCGTGTTTTATAGTTTCGGCAGTCATGTTCATGTTGAAAGAGGCTGGACATGCTTTGAGCCTTTGAGGCCCTGGATTAGCAGATACCCTTATCCGTACATGCATTATACTCGATAAGCCACACTTCCAGGCTCCCGCCCCGTGGGCTGTAGGGCTGATTGTTCTTCCATGTCATGGTCCCCAGCGAGAAGATTGGCTCCAACGGCGGGCACGTTTTCCAGACCGCCCGCCGCCCATTCGTTGCCCCTCACCAAAGCCATTGGATGGCCATCAGTTGATATGCGGACTGGCCATGGTAACAATCACAAATTTGATAACAGTACATATACGGCACGAGTATGCAGTTTGCGGGCCAAATGGAAAATTGCTCAGTTGTTAGAAGCCATGAAGGCAGAGTCCGTGGCACAAAAGCCACAGAGATAGCAAGTAACACGGGAAGCAAGCCGATTACCCACCACAACTTCAGTCCAACCAGTCCCAGATGCCCTTCGTTTCGCTTGCAGTTTTGCCACTAAGTAAAGAAGATTCAACCAGTTCCCTCCTCATGCCATGCGTGTTCGTTACTCATCGACTAGCGAGAGATAGCAGGACCGAAGGTTTGGTCGATGAGGTATCAGAATATTGTCTCTTATTTTTGCATCATGAGCTGGACGAACTCGTTGTCTATAGTCTTGTCAGTAACTGGACGTTGGTACTATATATCTAATCTCAAGCAACTCACAGTCGATTCGGCCATCGCCGTCCTGGTCAGCCTCTCGGATCATCTCATCAACCTCATCATCAGTGAGCTTCTCGCCGATGGAGGTCATGACATGTCGAAGCTCAGCAGCAGAAATGAAACCGTTGTTGTCACGGTCGAACACCTTGAAAGCCTCGCGGATCTCCTCCTCAGAGTCGGTATCCTTCATCTTGCGCGCCATCATGGTGAGGAACTCTTTACCCAATGGTTAGTACTGACCGTCCTCTAATCGTCTTGGAATATTACGCACCAGGAAAGTCGATGGTGCCGTTGTTGTCGGCGTCAACCTCGTTGATCATGTCCTGAAGCTCAGACTCGGAGGGGTTCTGGCCGAGAGAGCGCATAACGGTACCGAGCTCCTTGGTGGTAATCTGGCCTAGAGCGAGGCGTTTAGCTCATGTTTTCGATTTAAGAATATCGCATAGAAAGAGATGTAAAGAGTTATAGTGGTCTGATGCTTTGTTGGATCGATTTGGGTTTCGCACGGGGCCAACGAAGAAACATCGCGGAAAGGGGAGCATCACTCACCATCGCCATCCTTGTCCTACATTAAGAGGTTAGCGACAGCTTCTAGCAAGACGCGGCGAGGCAAGCGGCGAAACAAGAGGGATAGCTTACAAAGAGAGAGAAGGCCTCCTTGAACTCGGAGACTTGCTCTTCAGTAAGTGAGTCGGCCTATAGAAATAAAGTTGTCAGTTCAAACTCTCGAACGGCATCACCAGAACATCAGCTGCAGCCCCTCTCAACAGAGCCGCGGGGTCAATGCTCATTGGCGATAACGCCAGAGGACAAGGCGGTAAAGCAAATGCTGATTGATGGGTAGGTCGCGCAACCAAGGAACGGACAGGTCATGCTCACCATGTTGGATGTATGTGGTAGCAACGGTTGTGATAGTAAAAAAGGTGGATGTCGATCGCACGAGAAGGAAGAAAGATGACTTGGGCAAGTTCTGAGGTCGCGGGGTCTTGAGCCAAGAGTGTCGGACCTTTTCGTTTCACGGGTTTGGTTGGAGCTTTCGTGGGGAGACCCAAAGGCCAGGGGAAAGTCGGTACCTAAGGCAGGAAAATGGTACATGCACTAACAAAGGAGAGACAATGCACTGTGTTTTGGATGTTCAGGGGGCCGATGATCCTGAAATTAGGGGGAGGGACCTTGTCATGGCAGCTCAAGCACACTGTGCGGCTTGTCCTGGAGTGATGCTTCAACTGCAGGGAGCGAGCGGCCTTTGTTGAAGCATTGTTAGAACGGGAGAGAAAAGAGCTGATAATTTGAATAACTTCTGCAGTTTATCAAGTTATTACTACAAGTTTTTCGAATAAAAAGTCAAGTTTGATATCCAATACCCGTTAACCAGCTTGATTTTGAGGAATAGTGTAATACCGCTATAAGAAAAAGAGCTCTGTTCTTTAGTGGAGGCAAGGTGGTAGAGGTACATGCCGTGAGGTGAACCTAAACAGAACTAGAAGGGGACACTCTCCCCTGTCATTTTAGCCAACGGAAGTGGTCCAGTGTCGTAATGCCTCCAGCGGAAGCCAGCTATCAGCCTCAACCCGCATCTCGACTCTATTCGCGATCTTCTCACTCATGACGACAATACCTTCCTCACCTCTCGTCCTATGACGTTCACACTCGCGATTTAATCTAGTCGAAACCCTCATTCTATTGCCGCGCCTGACGATAGCTTCAGCCCCTAATTTGCGTCCGCCATGTGGCGAGACCGCACGAACCTGTAAGACGCCCATTGTTACCTGTCATTGTCTATAGTTGTCGGCTTCACCTCCACATAACGAGCCCATATGCTGACGCAGCCTGCAAATAAAGATACATCTCCTACCGGCAGTCTTACGCGCATCACCCTACACAGCGAAGACCATATGGACCGGGCGCCCTTGCTTCTGGTCCCCTTGCCGACACCTATACCAGCAGCTATGCGAACGACGATCGTCGCGGCCTTCTATCGGCCGGCGCATTTGAAGACGATGGCGATGCCGTGATTGAGATGGATCTATTGCCCCCTCGATGGGCTGATGTTTCGGATGAGGTCACAGACTTGCTTGCCAATATCGCGACAAAGGGCCAGAGCTTGGAGAAGCTACACCAAAAGCATGTGCTACCTGGTTTCAATGACGAAGACGCTAAAAGGGCCGAGGAAGCGCAAATAGAGAAGCTTACACAAGAGATCACCAAGGGTTTTCATGACTGCCATCGCTGCATTCAAAGAATCGAACAAATGGTGCGGGAATCACAGCACGCAGGTACCATCACAAGGGCAGAGGAGACCATGGCCAAGAACATACAAATTTCGCTGGCTGCTCGAGTTCAAGATGCAAGCGCTAGCTTCAGAAAGAAACAGAGTGCTTATCTAAAAAGTTGGTGCCCCCCCCCCCCCCCCCCCCCCCCCCCCGTTTCTTCCCGTATATTCTAACTTGGACGCCCAGAGCTTCGTGGCATGGGTGGCTTTGGCGGTTTGAGTCCTGGTGAGAGATCTGGTACACCCCAGCCAGGTTCCTATCTCGACCCATCTCTTCAAGAATCTGACGCAGATCGATCTTTTTCACAATCGACACTCCAAGCAACCCAACAGCAAAGAGTGCTCCATTCTAATGATGCTGCGATTGCTCAACGTGAGCGAGAGATTGAGGATATTGCTCAAGGCATTATCGAACTGTCTGACCTCTTTCGAGATCTCCAGAACATGGTCATCGACCAGGGCACAATGCTGGACCGTATCGACTACAATGTTGAGCGCATGAACACTGATGTCAAAGCCGCTGACAAGGAGCTAGTTGTAGCTTCTGGCTACCAGCGGAGGACGACCAAGCGCAAGATCATTCTCCTCCTCATTCTTATAATCTTTGGCATGATCATTCTGTTGGTGATCAAACCCAAGAAGCATGGGTAGAGGTGTTTTTTCATGGCAATCTCAGGGATACCCGCTGTCTCCCTTGACATATCCCGGCGCGGGCATAGAGAGGCAGCAATTATTAAACACATGTACCAATACAATGTAAAGCAAGTAATGGGACATGTCACTGATGTGTTTGGAGTCACGGTTCTCTGTTCGTTTTTTATTTATTATTCTATTTAGAACCAGCCTTTCTCTTTGGTCCTCGAGGCGTGTGGTTTAGAAGAAATACGATCATCGTTATCATAACTCTTTTCGAAAAGCCTAGGATAGCTCTTCCATAACTTAGGTTTTTGCTTCTCGATCTCCGACGCCAATTGCGCCTCGTTGGGGAGAATCTGAGAACCCCAGGCCCCTTCCACCAGTTGCTTCATGTTCGCTGGGGAGAGCTCCCTATCGTCTCTCGCCCTGGCCCTGGGTCTCATGGGCAATCGAGCCACTGCGAGACGATTTATTACTGTACTTCGCACTATTTGGGGATCAACGTAGACACCCTTGTCTCTCAGCACAGCCAGCAAGCGAACACCACAGGCCAGGTCGAAGTCTGCGATCCCCACTGGCTTGGTGTTTGCGAGAGAAGGCTGAATCGGCTGTTGCGCCAAGGTCTGATCAAAGCCCCATCGAACGATGGCGCGCTGCAGACTGATATCGAAGATCTTCTGTATGGGGTGTTGTCTGTTCGTGAATGGCAGATCTGCTGGTATACGAAATGCGTAGTTGGGATCGTTTCGATTCTTCGAACGTTTGTGATATTTCTGTTTGGGGTTTGTCTCGTTCTGGCATGGGCCTATTTCGGCTCTCCAGAACTCCTCCTTAAAATGGCTCCTTTTCTTCTTCCCATCGGCGAAGGAATAGTATTCAGACCAAGTCTCTGACTCCCCGTTCAACTCTTTGGTTTTGCTATCAGGCTTGGGGGGCTGGTCCTGCCGATGCACGGGTATCAAACCCCCTGGCTCTGGCCTGTAGAGTTCACATATCTCATAACTTAGCCCTTCTAGATCATTAAAACGTCCCAGACGTCCGAGGTTATAGAGCAATATTTGCCAGTACCGAACAGGAACGGCAACCCCATGTCGTGCGACTCTCAACGAGAGGTGAATAGCTCGGTCAAGCGTGCCCTGTCTGGTGAGCTTTGGATGGTACCATATGTCTTCAAAGATACGGCTTAGAAGTGCTTTCGAGTTCTTCTGCTCCATGGTAACATCCAGGCTATCCATCTTATCAACGACATTCCTGACTTTCGCAAGATGCTTCATGGATAGAGCCATACTCAGGTGCTTATTGAGATCCTTGGAGATGATGTTATCCTTACTTGGTCCTGGAGTAGCTGCCACGCCTTCAACTTCTTGGAGTAATCGCTCTAAGCCCCAATCTTGCCGTTGAGCTGAAGACGCAAGTAGCGTTGATCGCGTCTCCGGATTCCCAAACTCTTCTGGGTGTATATCGCAGTGTAGAAGGGTTCTGAGCAAGTCGTCCTCACCTCGTTCAGCGAAGGAGATGATTGCATTGCAATAGGCTCCGGATCTAATTTCGATCCCTAACTTTCGGAGTTGTTTCAGGCGATCAGCAACTCCATGGGCGTCATCTTCTCTCAACGCAATGGATTGCAACGAATAATAGCTAATTGTGCGGAGGCCAATCTTATGCATCAGGTTGATCGCAAACTCTGAAGAAGTCCACGAGCTGGCGAACCATCGTGCTGTAAACCTGTCGCTGAAAAAACTACTGTTCGTTTCCAATCGGGTATCCTTTTGTACAGAGGTACCAACGCCATCACCAACGCTGGTGTCTCCATTGAGTACTGCCAGCTCTTCCTTCGTAAGCTGGATTGCGGAAAAGTAGCGGGAAAGAAAATCCAAGAAGGGCATGGACTTAGGCGACTTGGGATGGTCATTGAAAAGATTGAACCTTTTTCTCCAGACACGCGCGGCATGTGACTGGCCACTTTCGAAGAGAGCCGGCACAACATAGTCGTACAACTCACGGTATGGACTGAAAACGTATATCTTGGTCAAAGTACTCTGAAGCTTGGGAGTGAAGTCGATGGCACAACTTGCCAGCAGAGCACCGAAGCTATCCAGATCAGGACGGAACATGGGCATGAGTTTGAAATGCCAGCCCAATGCAGTTTCGTAATCAGCGTGTGCTAAATAGAAATGAACCACTTTCAGGTATAGTTCAGGCCAATTGAAATCGTGAGTTTCTAGAAGTTGTCCTGCGACCTTGAAAAGCTCCTCCATCCGGTCAGAATTCGTCAACGCTGCCTCCAAGATGTTATCACGCAGAAACAGAGCTCCAGTTTTGGTTAAGAGATGCGATTGGTCTCTGTCCTGAAGCTCCAGAAACGTCTTCCAAGTTCCTTGGTCTCCGCGATCCTGACGGCTCGTTAGAATGCGACGCTCCCAAGAGGATATGGCATCCAAATCAGAGTTCTGGCCCGAGGGAGTATCTTGTTCGCTTCCACGCAGGCGAATGCCCAGCGGGAAGGGTATTTCGGGTTTTGGCGGCCATTGTGAAGTCTCTTGTTGAAGATTATGCTGTCTCGTCCCACCCCCAGCTTCTCGGTCAGAAATCAGCCTATCATCTTTTTCGTATATTCTCGTAAGTGCTGGCGCCAATTCCGTATTATATTGAGATCTGTGTTGTGTGAGTGTCCTGATGTATCGAGTATATGCGGATTGGCGGATTCGAAATTGTGTAGGGATTCGATGCATGGCTGGGTAAATTCACCAGCATTAGCTGGTCTCGTATCATCGCATCGGTCGTGGTCGAGAAGATAATAGTAAAATCATCGAGACTGTCTTAAGATTGAGACTTTGAGATCTTCAAAAGGTCCTTCATCATAGCTCCAAATCTTTTGGGGGGGGTTGCGCATCATAAACTTAGGCACTTTACAGGCAAGTAGAGTGCCAGGGGAGTGCACCAACACGTGCCCACCCACCAACGAAAACGTCAAGAGCTCTGCTGAGTCATACTCCCGGCTCCCCGTCAAGTTATGGCCTCATTTCTTTACCCGAACTTCGACATCCTCCGTTCACCAACTCAACCACCCCACACGAAACCAACCTTCGAAGCCTCCCAGAACTCTCATTAACCGACATCAAAATGCCGTACGTACAATTGAGTCACGACCGATTCTTGCGATAGCCTTGGCCACTTTCCCCGACGTCAATGGCTCGTCCTGAGCTCCGGACACTGCAAGATATAACATCATACGAGAACCCGTCACTGACGCCCATCCAGTCTCGTCAACGCCAAGAACCCCGTTCCCCAGAACCAGCGATTCTACCAGAACGCTTACAAGAACCACACCCGTCTTTGGAAGATTGTACGACCAAATTGATTGTTTAGCCTGTCTTCACTATCCAGCTGACCGACATGACAGGGCCCTCGCAGCCGCATCCTCATGACTCCCTACCTCATCCTTCTCTGGGGTACCCTCGGTGGTAAGTAAATCGGAATTTTCTGTCGGATGGAGGTGATTTGGGCCTGCATACTGATAGTTACAGCTTCCTTCTACGGTGCCGGTCGCAAGGTCCTTGGCTACAACTCTTACTTCGGAAACTAAGCGGTGGGATTCGCGCGGTGGGTGATACAGCTTGCCTACGACGGAAGGTCAATGTGATTGGTAGATTGAGTCAATAGACGGAGATGAACCCAATGTGAGATCGTTACAGTCGTTCATGTGCATTTTGGAGACCGATACCTGTTGTCAAATCGTGTCCTCTATTCACACGTCATTGCTATTAAACCCGGACTCCCAAAACTTTAGAATACATGAAGAACTCAAGAAGTTGCATGCCTCAAAAAGCAACGTCTAGCGCGCACTGCAGCAGACCTGCAACTCTCCATCCACGGATAGTTGAATAAAAATCCAATCAGCCTTGTTCTAATAGCCTGTGGCGCCAGGCGCCTTTTCGTCCTTTCGTAGGCTGACTAGCAACTCTCGGAATCGCTCCTTGCCAGATCCAGAGGCACCTCCCTTGGCGCCCTTGCCGCTGACATCCACCAACTTGGCGATTCGATCCCAGCTGGTGCCACCAGAGACGGTGTCCTCTCGGCTTGCCAAGAACTCTTCGGCTTCCTTTCGTGTCTGTGCGATGCCCTTCTCCTTCTTGTTGTTGTAGTTCTCGTAGAAGTCATCGATGTTCTGCTGGGCCTCCTTGATGGTCTCTTCTCGCTGCGCAGCGAATTGTTCGGCGCGCTTGGCAATCTGGTTGTCACGGCGCTCCCGCCACTCCTTGACGACCTCGGGCTCTTCCTCTTCCTCGGCGAAAGCCTGATATCCGGAGTTGTAGCTTACAGAAGGTCCTCCTGTGATGGCGGTTCCACCGGAGACGCCAGTACCCTATTTGTTGATGTCAGCTCCTCAATTCAGAGTGTCTAAGCAAACCGACTCACAGCCTCGGGGTTGGTCAGGTCAGGGAACTGAGATTCGAAAGTGGACTGCTCGTTGTTGCCAGCGCCGCCGAGAAGGTCATCATCGTTACTAGCGAAGGCAGCGGCGTCATCGTTGGTCGCGAACTGGTCTGCATCATCTCCAAGAAGGGCCTTCTCGCGGGCGAGGAAATCATCGGTTGAGGGCTCAGCAGTAGGGTCCTTGATATCGGTTTGCGCTAGAAATGCATCAGCGTCGGATCCGCGCATTTCTTGTGTTGATGCACTTACCCCCAGAATCGAAGTCCTCAAGTGAAGGGAAACGGTCGGCCATTTTGAAAGCGCTGATAATCAAAGATCAATACTGAGTGTGCGAATATCGAAAGGTCCGTAAATGCTATCGGATGAAGGTGGTGGAAATATGAAAAGGTCTCGTTCAGATGCGAGGATTATCAGTATACGCTGTTGCTATGGTCCTCCTATTCAGTTACTGCCAAGTAGGCTATCCTAGCTGATGAGGTGGATTCTGCCGGGCGGTGAGAAACATACAACAGCATGAGCTTGATGGAGTGGGTAAAGTTCATGCACTAAGGCCATGCAAATATGCACTTAGAAGCTATTTCCACTTTATCGGATGTTTCTTCTGGTCAACCTAGCTCTTGGTCTATAAACTCTCCTTGTTTTACCAAAGAAAACATTTCAGTTCATCACACATTCGAGTTACGTATCATTCTCGTTTTCGCAGCATTCATCTACAGGCGAACCAGATCGTAACAGGATTCAAGTTTGTGTTATTTGTGCGGAAACAAGTTAGCAGAGACTACGAACATTATTCCTGCAAGTAGCTGTAGTAGACGTCGTTTCCACAGTGATACTACGGTAACAGCTACAAACCAGCTTCTAAATAATTGTCGCGACATCTGGTCCATAATCCTGCGCTTGCATTCGCTCTTGAAATTTGCCTCTTTTTGTTTATTTCTCTTAACGAAGGAACCGTTGCTACCAAGATGGCTTACAACGATGACTCTGTGTTGGCGCGACTCTCGTCACTCAACGAAAGCCATGATAGCATCGCCACAGCTGCACAATGGATTATGTTCCATAGGTACGCTTTCTCGTTCATACATCTCATGAGATATGGTTGACAATTTCAGACGCCATGCTGAGAGGACTGTACAGCTGTGGATGCAGCGCCTCAAAGACTCTTCCAGCACAAAACGATTAAGTTTGATTTATCTCGCCAACGGTATGTTTGTCTGTCAGCTGCGATGAGCTTTACTGATCAGAGTTTCAGAGGTGGCCCAACAGTCTAAAATCCGACACAAGGATGACTTTATTATCGCCTTCGCGCCTGTGATTGCTGAGGCTGTTTCCGTCGCCTATAAAGGAGCACCCGCAGAGCTTCAGGCGAAATTAAAACGCGTTATAGACGTTTGGAGAGATCGTTCGATTTTTGAAGCACCAATTCAATCCGCAATCGATGCCCGCATTGGAGGTGAGTACCATCTGACATGAACTGGTCCAAAACGCTCGTGGCTGACCATCCATTCAGACCTCGACAAGGCCCGGGGTATGTCCAAGCCCGGATTTGGCGGCTCTCCCTTCGGTAGTACTAGCACTGCCACTTCTGTTCCATCTGAATTTACACCTCTGGTCACTGCTCACCAGAAAGTAAACAAATTGAGCACTCCTCTCAAGGCCACGATCACATCAGCAGACCAAGAGTATGAGAAGCAAACTGACCCATCTACACCTGTTCCTTCTGCTCCAGTTTATGCAGCTCGGTTGAATGGCCTTCTCAAGACGTTGGCCAACGCCGAGAGTGCGGTTGCTGAGTGTGTAAAAGCAAGAGAAGGCCTTGTTTCCGGCCTGGAATCGCTTCTCAACGCTAACCGTGCTGCATTGGAGGAAGAGAAGTCTGCTGCGGCTCAGCTGACATCCCGAAAGGCTGAAATTGAAGACAAGAAACACCAAGTCGAGGTTGGCATCATGCGAGCACTGGGCCCAGCGGACAGCAATGGTACTCCAGGACAAGGGGACTCTTCAGTTACGCCCCCAGAGCCAGACAGGCCAGAGGTTGAAGCATTGACTCCACCGGCATTTGAACCATTCGAAGCACCCACCCCTGAGGCATTGACACCAGAGGGAGGGCCTGTTGCAGCTCCTTCTATGTCTCCTGTCCCTATTCCTGTTCCTGCTGCTGCTGCTGCTGCTGCTGCTCCTACGTCTCAAGACGAAGAAGAAGCACCCTCGTATCAGTCATTGCCAATCTCAACCAATGGGTCGAATAAGCGCCGCCGGGTCGACACCGAAGAATTTCCTGATCTAGGTGGAGATGATGGCATCGATGCCGACGTTGCTGAAATGCTGAAGGGGCAACCTCAATCATAACCAGATCATATGTTATTAGCAAGTTGGGGGGATATTTGGCTTGCTAGTTTGGGGTTTGTTAATATGTTATGTTCTTGCAAACAGTTTAGGTTGGACTAATAGAATGCTGAGAACCATCGGCACATGTAATACTAGTCTAGTGTATTATTAAGTATAGTGAATTATTTCTTCTTGTTGAGTAGATGGAATGGGAATCAGTAGCAATACTGGTCGCAGTCTCGTGGTAATCAGATGCGTCCAATCTGTTAACCATTATGCAACAGATGTTTGCTGGCCATATAAGAATTGCTGTAACGAATCTAGAAAACTTAAGTGCTTCCCTTTCGGCCTATGTGATTATGCAATCTTCATAGACGCAGGTTGAATTCGTCATGGCGCTCATATTGGATCCGAGAGCATTCGGTTCAGTTCGGATCAATCGAAGCCGTAGTCGCGTAGATCCGACCGAGGGATGCTGCACGCACAGCACGCACACCATAACTAGTCTTAACTCAAGGGTCCCACCCAAATTTTTTGTGAGCAACGGATCCATTGACTCGTCTGGGCTGGACTGGACTTGACTGGGCTGTCGCAACTCGGAAGCTGAGAAATGCCGCTACGACGATGACGGCATCACAACCTCGACAACTTTGATTCTTTTTGTAAATGTCAACGTCTCTGTCAGCTGCTTCACTACTCCTCCCTCACGGTTCGAGCCCTCTGCTTTTCCTCCAACGATAATAGCGCCGCTCCTGAATATGCTACGCTGAGTGGGCGTCTGATCAATTCCTACCCTACCGTCATAATGGTCTCGGGAGTAGCACGCCGTGTGCTGCTCCCACGCCTCGCCGAGCCCTCGCAAGTGTCTCTGGCTACATCGCGATGTCAATTAGGAGCTTCTTTCCACAAGTCCGAAGCTCTACCTCTCCAGTCGAGGCTTTTCCACGCTTCCAGCACCCGTCAAGCCGCTCTACTTCCGTTCTCAATCGCTACCTTCCGGTATTCGGCAAATAATTCTCTGGCTCGTAATCAGCCTTCCCTCGCGCACAACCGACCCTCTCAATTTGGTCCCGTTTCGCACGCCTTGCGACAGTTCTCGACGGCACCTCGTCTATTGCAGGAAATCCAGACCAAGGTCGAAGAAGGCGCCAAGAAACCTGTTGAACTTGAAGCCAATCGAGCTATCGCCCAAGATGAGCACAAGCAAGAGTTTACCAAGAGCGAAAAGGCTGCTCGAGCGGCGCAGGTCAACCTGGCTGCTAAGCTCTCCAAGGAGGGAAAGCAGGCTGGTAAAGCTGGTACGGATGAAATTGTGCGACTGATCAAGATTGCTCGCCCCGAAATCCGCTGGCTCGGTATCGCTTTTGTCTTTCTGGTAATTTCTTCTAGTGTCACCATGTTGATTCCCTTCTCTGTTGGCCGAATTTTGGATCTTGCTACCAAGGGCGAATCTGAGGATGTCCGTCTTTTTGGCTTGACCATGAACCAGTTCTTCTTTGGTTTGGGTACTGTCTTGACTATTGGTGCTATGGCCAACTTTGGTCGAGTCGTCCTTCTCCGAATTGTCGGCGAGCGCGTTGTCGCCAGACTTCGATCTCAGCTTTATCGGCGTACTTATGTCCAGGATGCTGAATTTTTCGATGCAAACCGAGTGGGAGATCTCATTTCACGACTCAGTTCTGATACAGTTATTGTTGGCAAGTCTGTGACGCAAAATCTCAGTGATGGTCTTCGTGCTCTCTTCAGTGGAGGTGCTGGTTTTGCTATCATGGTCTGGACAAGCCCCAAGTTGACTGGTCTTTTGCTGCTTATGTTCCCTCCTATCGCCGTCGGAGCCTTCATCTACGGTCGCGCTATTCGAAATGTCAGCAGGTCGATTCAGAAGAACTTGGGTACTCTTACCAAGATCGCCGAGGAACGACTTGGTAACGTCAAGACCAGTCAAGCGTTTGTCGGTGAGGTGCAGGAAATCGGTCGCTACAACAATCAAATCCGGAAGATCTTTGCTCTTGGCAAGAAGGAGTCGCTTATCGCTGCCACCTTCTTTGCTTCGACCGGTTGGGCTGGTAACATGACCATTCTCGCGATGCTCATCGTTGGAGGTGGCTTCGTACGCAGCGGGGCCATGTCGCTTGGAGATCTCACCTCATTCATGATGTACACAGCTTTCGCAGGTTCAAGCTTGTTTGGTTTGTCAGGTTTCTACTCAGAGCTCATGAAAGGAGTTGGTGCCGCGAGTCGACTCTTCGAGCTCCAGGATCGCAAACCAGGAATTCCACAAACAGTCGGTGTTCGAGTCAAATCAGCACAAGGCCCCATCAAGTTCACAGATGTCAGCTTCGCTTATCCTACTCGACCTGCTGTCAAAATCTTCAATGGATTGGACTTCGAAATTCCTTCAGGCAGCAATGTCTGTGTTGTTGGCCCGTCAGGAGGGGGCAAATCAACAGTAGCATCTTTACTATTAAGATTCTACAATCCTACGTCGGGAACTATTACCATCAATGGCCAGGATATTTCTGGAATGAACGTCAAGTCTCTGCGAAGGAGGATCGGTATGGTTTCTCAAGAGCCTGTTCTCTTCTCTGGAACTATCGCCGAGAACATTGCCTATGGAAAGCCTCAGGCCAGCCGTTTCGATATCATTTCCGCTGCTCGACGAGCCAACTGCAACTTCATCAGCGATCTACCTGACGGTTTAGAAACCCAGGTTGGTGCTCGAGGCTCTCAGCTTTCTGGAGGTCAAAAGCAGCGAATCGCCATTGCACGAGCTCTTCTCAAAGATCCTGATATTCTGATTCTCGACGAGGCTACATCTGCGCTAGATGCTGAGTCCGAGACTCTTGTCAATGAGGCTTTGGCTGGCCTCCTACGTGGCCGCAACACCACTATCTCTATCGCCCATCGTCTCTCTACTATCAAAAGATCTGACCAAATCATCGTTCTCAACAGCGAGGGTAAAGTCGCCGAGATCGGCAGCTACAAGCAGCTCGCCTCTGACAAGGATAGCGCATTTAGCAAGCTCATGGAGTGGCAGATGAGCGGCGGTGAGGTTTCCAAGGATGGTGGCTCAACTGCTTCCCGGGCACATATAACAGAGGCCGAGGAGCTTGAGGATGATCTAGAAAGGGACGATGAGGAAGAGAATATTGAGCACGAGGAAGAGAGCAGGGACTCGAAGAATGAGGAGAAGCGTCCCTGAATTCAGTCAGATGGCATAGAGCAGGCAAATTTCCCCCAGAAGATGTAATGCGGTCACGGGACACAGTATGGCGAAAGATTAGACGAATCATGTATATTATATATCCCGATATCTATGTCTGAGTCTCTATGACAGGCAATTGTCCTATCAGCAGCTACAGAGAGAACTCCACTCGACATGTATCTTATTTTCATTGGCGTCGGTCCGGTCTGGTTATTAAATCCCCAAAATGGAAAATACGGGTGATAGGGTATGGACAGCCGTGTGTAGAAAAGAATCTCGTTTTTATCACCTTGTGGTGTACAAGAATAAGAAGTCTCGTCTCTATTCTAGCTGATGTGTATTGCCTCAGGTTAACTACCTACCTATCGTTACGCTCACATCTTTCGAGCCAAAGTTCATGTATACTAATCAAAACAATAACTTGTCTGAACTCGTGTAGACTAATGGATACACTGTACCTAGAACTGCTGTAGATTCAAATTACCAACCCGATGTCAGCGTTATGAAAAGGTAGAGATTGAAATGCAGGCAATTTCCACAATCGAGCAACTAAAGAAGTGAAAACAAAGCCAGAATGTCCTTGTCGCGCCAACCAAGCCTCGTTGAGATTAGGGAATAGAGACCAATGAGACCAACTCCAGGTTAAGCTCTCGGTAACGGGCTTGTCACATGTGACCCAGTCTGGCTCAAAGCATGACCACCTCAAGGTCCTGATTCTTCATGGCTTGGTCTCTTAATAAGCTTTGTCAACACATAAAACAATATTTTGACGTCTGAGTCGAAACTTACAACATTCCAGTTCCTTATTGCTCGCTAATTTTCTGTCATTGGAGCTGTTAATCATCTCCCTTAAACACAATGTCGACCGAGACCGAGGGAACTTTCGAGGTTGCAAATGCCAGCCTGTATACCAAGACTTGGACTGTGAGTATCCGTGGTGATCGGCCTGAATAAGTAAGCAGAGGCTGATGCGCCAACAGCCCGAAGGTCCCGTCAAAGCAAAGTTAGTGCATGTCCATGGTTTCAGCGATCATGTCAATTGGTACAATGACGTATATCGAATCCTAGCCTCGCATGGCATACAAGTCTTTGGCTTCGATCAAAGAGGTTGGGGCCGAAGCGTGAAGCAGCCCTCCGACAAGGGAAATACAGGTCCAACATCACGCGTCATTGCAGATATCGCCGCTTTCATTGAGAGCAAACTGCCTTCGGATGCCCCGGTCTTTGTTCTGGGCCACTCTATGGGCGGCGGCGAGGTCATCACGCTTGCGGCTGACCCTCAATATGCCAAACTCGTGAGCCAAGTGCGCGGCTGGCTGCTCGAGGCACCATTCATCGGATTCGCCCCTGAGGAAGTCCCAAGTGCGTTCAAGATCTTTGCAGGACGACTAGCCTGTAAAATCCTTCCCAGGTTTCAGCTCAAACACGTACTCGATGTTGCCAACCTGACGCGAAGGCCAGAGGTGGCCAAGGGTTTCAAAGAAGATCCTCTGTGTCACGACACAGGCACGCTCGAAGGGTTGGCATCGCTCCTGGATCGCACGGGAGCTCTTCAGTCCGGTTCCGTGAAGCTGGGTAAAGAGGTCAAGTCGCTTTGGCTTGGCCATGGTGACCACGATAAAGCCTGCAGCTATCAAGCGGCCATAGATTTCGCACAGAAGCAAGACATCGAGGACAAGACCATCAAGACGTACGTGGGAGGTTATCATGCGCTACATGTCGACCTGTGCCAGGAAGAATATGCCAAAGATATCACTGACTGGATCTTGGAGAGAAGCCAAGACCAGAAACCGATCGAGGCCAAGCTATAGAGTAGCTGTAGAGGATCTGTGGATGCGCGAGTATCACTGTTTTCAAGCTCTGTTGTTTTCGAGATGACCAGCATCACTCGATATTGCGTAACTGTTTTCAGCTTTTTACGGATAGCGAGACTATATTAGTATTATATGCTATGCTTCATGTGGCTGGCTGTACATCATCACCGCTTATCTCTTGACAGGACGAAAGCGGTTGCAGCTTGCAAACCAAAGCCAATAGATTGATTTGATTGATCAATGATTTCAGCTTTTGCAGTCTTGGCATCAAGTCCTCCATAGAGACGCATGCGTCGGCGGGTCAAGGCGGACCCATGTTCCGTATCCCAGCTCCGTAGACGCCCGAGAAACAGGTGCTCTTAGGGGTTAAAAGCCACGGAACCCCGAAACCAGCTCCGGCCGTTTCCTAGACGTTTCGGGGCCGTATTTGAACTATAATTCAACGTCTCCCGCACTCGATTTCAACTTCTATTTCAACCATATTGTGTGAAATTATCGCCACGGCCTCGGAACCTCGCACAATGAATGGCCCGGAAACGATGCTCCGTTGGGCCATTTCGGCTCGCGCGGGGAACTCGACTCACTAACCCCAGTTGGCCTTCTGATAGCCCAGGGCGCTGAACCATTTCACTCTATCGCTGCAGCCAACGGATTCATGTGCTGTACAGAATGGAATGGATATCAATTACTAGCACACTCCCGTCCCTTACCTATCAGCGTCCCTGAAATGGTAATCCACCAACAGACAAGATGGACACTGAAAGACGTTTCCTCTATGCTCCTCCTCTTTTGGAGTGAGTCCACGTGGGAAGATGACTGGTTCAACAGTTGACTTCCATCGCAACTTATCGATCCTTTCGCTGTGCTTCTATTACATATCCATACTGATATCATTAACTCAAATTATCATTGGTGCAAGACCGGACGATTGACTTGACCTTGATCTTCCCGGCGATCACTCGATCTCATGTGTAGCACTAACGTAGCTGACTCTTTAGTATTGAGGTGACTCTGGAGATCACCGCCGCTCGAGGCCTCTTTCTTGCTCTCCCATCTGCATTGATTGCTTACCCATCAGAACAGCTATCTTGCATTGTCACCAGCATCGCTATTGCTTACTCGATTCTCTGATATTACCCATCAAGAGACTGGTCGCCCGAGCTGTCGCACTCTATCCCTTTCTTTATAGAAGCGATAGTCGTGCATCATGACACCTGATAACAGCAACCACGTCGCCCATCATCCACAGGCAATTCACCTAGAATCTTTCGAACGTGCCCGCAGCAGTTCACGACATTCAACCGCCCGCAATGGCTCGAGTACAGCTTTCGAGCCTGCGACGGCTGACGAGAATGAGACTATCGCTAGGAACGTATCTCATATGACTGATGTCGAGAGTCAACTCACCGCCACTGGTCGTCGACAACCTAGCTGCCTTGATCATGATCCATATGGCCTCTCCCGCGGGTACAAGACCGAGTCTGATTTGGAACAGATCAAGGCCAACACTTCACGGAAGCGTGATAGTCTCCCTGGCCGCAAATCTGTCTCTGGCGAGGTCGGCCCCAAGACAAAGGCTCGCAAGCTGCAGGGCTTCTACAAAAATCAAAATGCGGCTATTGATCGCATGCTCAAGTCTGTTGAGGAACATCGTGACGAAGCCCGCGACCAGCATGGCGAAGACCAGGTCAAGTTTCGCATTGCTGTCTGGGGCTCTTTCGCGGCCAATGTTGCCTTGTCAGGAGTTCAGCTCTACGCTGCCATCTCTTCAAAATCTCTTTCGCTCTTTACTACCATGGCCGACTCCATATTCGACCCTCTTAGTAACCTCACCCTCATTTTGTCGGCTCGAGCCATTCGTCATGTCGATTCTCGACGTTTCCCTGCCGGAAAAGCTCGTCTCGAGACTGTAGGCAATATTGTCTTCTGCTTTCTCATGATCGCTGTCTCACTCATCATCATTGCTTTTGCTTGCCAGGAACTATCTAGAGGGGTCCAAGAAAAGGAATTCAAGATTGCTGCTGTTATATCTGTCTGCTGTGCTTTCGCCACCAAGTTCGTACTCTTTCTCTACTGCTGGGCACTCAAGGACAAGTATAGCCAGATCAACATTCTTTGGCAAGACCACCGCAACGATCTTTTTATCAATGGCTTTGGTATCCTGACTTCCTGTGGTGGTGCGAAATTGAAATGGTGGATTGACCCTATGGGCGCTATCATTCTGTCTGTTCTCATCTCTTGCATCTGGCTGCACACCGCCTTTGGCGAATTTCTGCTCATCGTCGGAGTTACTGCATCTGTCGAGACGCAGCAGCTCATCACGTATGTATGCGTTACACATGACGATGCAGTTGTTGGCATCGATACCGTACGTGTGTATCACTCGGGTCCTCGTCTGATCGCCGAAGTGGACATTGTTATGGACCCGACACAAACACTTCAAGAAAGCCATGATATAGCAGAGGCGCTGCAGATCAAGCTGGAGGATCTGCCAGACATTGAGCGAGCATATGTCCACATTGACTACGAGACGACACACAAACCAGAACATGCATTTAAGAAGGATATGTAGGTCTAGCTACGGAATGTGTTTTCAAGGGAGTTCTGGGCCACGAAAGGCATTTCGAGCGGCTGGGGAAGGAGTTTTGGAGTATGTTTAGTGAGACAAGTGAGTTAAATGCCGTACTTGGGTACACGATCAGGGAACCGGAAACATATGTTTTTTTTTGGGGGGGAGACTGGAGGCGTGACGGCGAGACGGCGAGACTCAATGGACAGCAGGGAGTGATGGTGCAAATCATATCTTAGTTGGTTTTTGGGGTAGAAGCAAAAGCATCATAATGCAACAATGGCTCACGTGGACTATGCAAGTGAGAGCGTGTGATGCATATAAATCAAGCTGATGGCACGATTAAACTAGGTCGAGGCGAGCTAATGCAGATGCCGGCATTTCAGAAACACTAAGATCTGGGGAACACACAAGGGGCTCTTTTTTTTTCTCTCTAGTAATTTCTATCTGTCAAATTTAAGATATGAAATGAAGTGAGACACGCTGGCATGAACGGTTTCTACTCGTCTCGCGTGCCTTTGTCCCGATCTTACAGATTGTCTCGGTGTGCCATGTCCGAGTGGCACACAGACTGATCTGCAAGACAAGCTAATAAGCCACAAGAATCTACGTCACTTACACAACTTTTTTAGAGACTGGCATCTGCCACGGGCTGGGGAGATTTGAATGTCTTTATAATAGCTCAAGGGGCGGAAAAGGGGTCCTGCGGCACGGACAGAGCGGCAGATAAACAATTCTTACGTTGAGCGTTTTATTATCTCAAGGGGACCAGCCTGGAATGGTTGAGATTACCTAGATGCACGTATCTCAACGGTGCGTCGCATACTCGCAGCAACTTACAAGGGGCAGCATGTCCAGTTCGGGCTGTATGCAGAAGCCCGTTCCGAGTTCATCCCTGAAGTTTTGATGCTACGAGAATTGGAGACGTTGAAAAGCTGTAAGAAAACCTTGAAGTGTTATGGTTTGTGGATATCATCAGCTAAAAAGGACCTGGCCAAGAAGTGATGAGGTCAAAGCTACCTGAGAGCTAAGCTAAGCTCACAGCAATTCCATCATCGTGCAGCCGTTGAAATTAGTGGCGATTCACTAGAGCCGCCACCAGCGGAAACCCGCCCCGAAATACGGAGATGCAATGCCCTGGACGTCAGGCTGGGCAGCAGACTCAGGCTCGTAGGGAACACCAAAACGGTCACAGGTTCTGTGTAATTGGAGGCTGTGAACCCTCAATTTCTTCTGTACGAACGTGGGGGGACCATTCAACAGCAATTGGGTTACTTTTATCTGGTGTTCGTGCTGGTGTTGCCCTTGAATGGCAGAAAATAGAGTGAGTGTCTGGCCTCGGCGCTTCTAGAACGGCAAAGTTCCTCAGGGTCACTGTGGCTTGAAGTAGAGTTTAGTACCTGAAGGCTCACTTCAGGTGTAACTTGAACGAAACGAATGAGGTTTTTTTCAGGTTACTTGCTGTTGATGATCTGAGGTACACCGTGGTAAACGGCCAGCCATCTTGGGTGAACCTACTCTGTACAGAGTAAGGTCAAGAATCTCACTAACTTTACAGGGAGCTGTTTGACGTTCATCCGTGCCCTGCCCGTTGAGACATAGTGATAGTGCCTCACAGGTGATGGATACCTTAGTCCAAGAGTTAGGCGACCTGACCGACCCACAGGAGCTAGAGTCTGGCCCCAGGTAAGCTAAAGGTACGGATACTTCCCATGGATTAGCAGGTTCCCCCTCCGGGGACATCATCGGATCATCACATCAATTGGATCCATTGGATCTACTTCGAGTACCTCCCCAAATAGTGCTGTTGCTGCCCTTCTCACGTCACGCCTGACTTTTACTTCGCTTGCCTCTCCTCTTCTGCCTCTCCCCCTCTCTCCTCCTCCTCCAACTCTATCCTAATCTTTTGGCTCCAGATAAAGGAGGGATATAGGTTACTAGAGAATTTTGTATTGTTTCAGAACCTAGTGTACACTAAGGATACACTGCAGTACCTTACCTTGCGTACTCTGTTTGCACTAACGCACAGTATCCTTGCTAGACCCAAGCGAGCTTTCTCTTCCTTCTTGTTGACTTGGACTTGGACCCCTCGCCTCGACTCGACGAACGCGCCTCTTCAGATCGATCGCAATATTACGACTTCTCTGGAACCTTCATCCATGGGTTGCTGACCGACATTTTCAACTTGTTGTAGCTGACTTGGACGATCTGCGCCGAGGTTCGTCTAGCAGCTGGTCAACTCCTGTCCTACGTCGTCATGGCTGCTCAAGGTGCTGGAGAGCATGTTTATGCTACGGTTCGTCCTCTCCGTGTCTGATCTTGCCGACATTGCCTTTCTAACTTGCGAATAGCTTCTTCTAAGCGATTCCTATCTTCCTGGTTCGTCAATTGACTCTGTCGCTCTATGTGACCTCGACTAATTCCTCTTTAGGCGCACTCGTTCTCGCTCACTCTCTTCGCGATGCAGGAGCCCGTCGCAAGCTAGCAGTATTGGTCACACTCGATACCGTGTCCGCTGACTCCATTACGCAGCTCAAGGTAAGCCCTCCCGAGTGTCTGCCCGTCCTCGAGCCAGCCAATGCTGATACAATCGCTCCAGAGGGTTTACGACTACATCTTCCCTGTGCCGCGCATTCGCAATGACCACCCGGCCAATCTGTACCTAATGAACCGTGGCGACCTGCATTCAGCGTTTACCAAGATCAATCTATGGAAACTCACACAGTTTTCTAAGATTGTCTACATCGACGCTGATGTGGTAGCATATCGAGCTCCTGACGAGCTTTTCGACACGCCCCATCCCTTCGCAGCTGCCCCCGACATCGGCTGGCCAGATCTGTTCAACACTGGTGTCATGGTTTTAGAACCCAATATGGGCGACTACTACGCTATGATTGCCATGGCTGAGAGAGGAATTTCGTTTGATGGCGCCGACCAAGGCCTCATCAACATGCATTTTGGTCAACGGTATCATCGATTGAGCTTCACTTACAACGTCACACCATCTGCACACTACCAATACGTCCCGGCGTATCGACACTTCCAATCAAGTATTAATATGGTGCATTTCATTGGATCCAACAAGCCATGGTTCACTGGTCGAGACGCCCCTTCTGGCAATAACCCCTTCGGTGAGATGACAGGACGATGGTGGGCAGTCTACGATAGGCATTACCGACATCAAGTAAGCTCAATTATTCTGCAGACAGATGTTGTGTCTGACTCATTTTCATAGGAATCTTCTCCTGACAATGCCTCTTCAACTCCTCAGTATGTCCAATATTTCACCAAAGGAGAATGGCACCCTCAGCCGGTCCACGCGCAGTCTTCTACCAGTGAACACCACAGCTCCGGTTCAGCTGAGGGCACGCATCATTCAGCTCCAGGTCACGAACACCATGCATCTCAGGAGGAGCAAGGCTCAGGACACCATCACTCAGAAGGATCTGGGCATCATGAAGGATCGCACCATGGTGGAGGATATCATGATGGGTCAGATTCTGGTTCGGCTCATCATGATCACCATTCTGCACCTCCTAGTGGTCAGCCGGTCTCAGCTCCTGAGCAACACCATGAACAGCATCACGGACAACACGCGTCTGAACATCAGCACCATCACCACGAAGAACCAAAGAACGAGCCACCCCCGATTACAATGCATGATTGGGATGCTCAGAGGTAGGCCTATCATCGTTGGAAATGCTGTACTTAATTGGACATGAGACACTGACTTTGCCAGACATCCCCCTCCTGCTGATTCGAAACCGGAGGCTATGAACTTTCCTTCCACTCATTACGAAATGTCACGCGATACAGCCCCGTTTATCCCGCCTGAACGATACCCAAGTCCCCCAAAGAATATGTGGTATGAGGTGCCAAAGGAGAAGCCAGCTCCACGATCAAAGCCAGCTCCGGAGATCTTCCCGTGGGAACGCAACCGACCTCGTCCAACCAGATCATTCATTGGGGAACCAGAACCGCCAGCCCCTGAACCGGAGCCTACCCCTGGAGAGTCCGGCTCAGACCCTAGCACAGGATCTACAACTCAGCTTTCAGTGAAAACTGAAGGTCTTACAGAGCCTTCTGAGGTGACAACATCGGGATCTGGGGCGAAGAACGAATCGAATGCATCTACTCCGATAGTACAGATTACCCCATCAGACCCTTGGACGTCATACACACGCACAAACGCCTGGGATGAGGTGCCTGAGATCGAGCGGTACGTTGATCGCCTGCATGGTGGTCATCGACGTGGTAAGAGTTCGACCTCTACGATAGGGCGCGTGAAGAGCCCATCAACTGGTGCATGGAGAGACGATCGGAGCAACTTTAAGAACCGCGGCCTGAAACTCACCGATTTCCCTAGCGCTACAGAACGTCCCAGCCTGCCTGTCACACCAGCCCCAATTCAGCGGCACTCGTTCTGGGCAGGAGACGACGGGGAACACGAGGACGAGGCAGCAAAGAAGCTTCCTGAGGCTGAAGGCGTGCCGACGCAGTCTGACTGGGTATGTGTGCATGGGAGACGTTGGAGACCGACAGACTGCCTGTGCGAGGTGACTGACTTGGTGCTACATCACCAGGATCCGCTAGCACAGCTCCAGAAGCTTGCTAAGCAGCAATCGGATGCGTTGTTAAAGAAGCTCGGTGGCGAAGAAGACGAGGGTAGAGAAGGAGTGAGTCGAGAGATTCCAACACGTGCATTACCCTTTGGTTCGGGTGATGCCAAGTCACCTACTTATGTCGCGCAGTCCGCTGCAGGCGTGCTCAGCCCACAGCCGGTAAAAGGCGAAAGGTCGGCAGGCATCTTGCGTGACATGAGCAGTGGCCGTCTCGAACCTGAATCAACTTCGCAATCGACTACGATTCCCGAACCGAGCTATACCGGGCCTGGCGCTGCCTGGGAGAAGGATGAAGATATACCGCAGTATGAGACGCCGCTGCCACCTAAGGAGGGGGAGCTAGATGCCCTTAACGCATAACAGGTCATCTGGGCACCAGCTACGTCCATTGAACAGGGGAGAGACATCGAATGTTTTATCGTCTCCCACTACGACAAATGAGGATGGGGAAGAGTTAAGAAGGAATGATTAATGCGTTGCCGTTTCATGGCTATGAACGGACATGGTAATAGATATAGGTACGACGAGGTGCACTTGAGTATGTGCGGCATGGACGCGGGTCAGCTTTTCTTTGTTTGTCATTGCTATTTTGGTTCCCTTGTGCCATCTGGTCAACAAGTTTCGAGGTTTCCCCGTCAATGGCAGAGGAAGAGAAAGGAGGAGGATGTATTTTTGTTGAAATATGGACACTATGGCAGCGCCTTTACCGTGTCGTTAAAGAGTAGGAAATTACCTCTGAATCATCTTTGGATTCACCCATATGCTCTTTGGTCTCTTACCTTCTTGCATTTCTCGTTGCGTTCGTGTTTTGTTGCTACGTTTATGTTTTGCGCGCTTTCGATTCACCAATGCTCTGCACCAATTCATCAGCGTGCCTTGACTGGTTTCATTCATCATGGAACGGTGTTTTCCGGTTTACTCATACTTGTATAGTTACGGATTGCTTTGGGTAGCTTGCATACCAAGTTTCAGATGTACAATACTGGCTTCAACAAATTTATATTTCGGGGTGAAGCTCCTCTGTCATGCATGCCATTGAGACGAACAAATAGTACATAACTCCTGTGAACTCCATGCCGCTAGCAATCGGGAAATACAAATGCAGTCTTGGTCTTTACTAGACCAACAGAGATGGGTGCAAAATGATACATGCATAGAATGCCTATTGGTACCCAAGGCATAACTAGTCCTTAACATTTTCCTCATCCTCAACCTCCTCGACAGTTGCGGCTCTCGCCTTGCCCTTCTCCTTTGAGTCAATTCCAGACCCCTCGTCTTCATCACTATGGGATGGCGGAGTGCCTTGTGGTGTATGTTCAGCTGTTGGGCTCGGCTGAGACGTCGCCTCAACAGGGGCAATTTGGCTTGAGCTTCCTTCAGCCTGAGGCTCATTCTGCGTTACAGGGTCGGCATGATCCAGGCGAGATCCGTTGCCAAACAGTTGAGCTGAACCGCCCCAATTGGGCATGCGAGGGCTAGGCGCAACAACCTGGGGTGGTTCAACCGCCCGTGTGAAATGTGGTGTAAGTTGAGGGGGGCGCTGTTCAGTTGGAGTCATAGAAGAGGGGTTCTCAACCGGTTGAGCTTCCTGGTTACGGCTACCAATTGGCGAGGGCTGTCTCACAGTCGACGTTGGCTGAGTTACATTAATATTATCTGCAACAGTTGCCTGGGGGCCAACCTGCGGCGAAGGTTGCGTCGAGGCTTGGCCACCATCAAGACGCTGTAGAGGAAGCAGAGACCAGCCAGGAGGGATGACAACGCCTTCTGGGAGCTCAGCACTGCCAGCGGGGATAGGTACGGCGTTGAGGGGAGCACCATGGCGAGCCATAAGGGGGCTAGGATGTCGCGGAGGTATGCCTGGGAATTGGGGGAAGCCTGGAGGCATAGACATCTGGGGTGTCATAGGGAATTGCTGGGGAATAAGAGGTTGGGGGAGAGGTACCGCAGTAGGAGGTATAGCCTGTGTCTGTATATTTGGTTGTTGTTCTGGGTGTTGCTGTCTCTGTCTGAGACGGTATAACTCTGCCTGGAGAAGATGGATGGTTTGTAATTCTTGATGCGCAAGCTGCAACGACTGCATCTCACGCTGGATCAGCTGGTCTGCTTGACTGATCAAGTTTCCAACATTCTGCAAGTTATCTCCAGTAGGAAGAGGAGTCGCAGGAGCAGCCTGACCAGCAACAATAGGGGTACCAGCGCCCGGTGTGGGGGGAACCAGCCCTTGAGGGTTGGGAGCAGCTGGTGGCACGCCAAATTGCTGCGCAAGTTCTCTGACTTGTTGTCCGTTGGCACCAAATCCCACTCGAAGAGGGCCAATGTTGAAGATACGAGGACCAGCTGGCCGCTGTTCAGGTTGTGCTCCTCCGTTCTGTTGCCCCTGAGCGGGAGCATCTCCGGGGTTTGCTGCTGGTTGGTTCGCAGGACGCCTGCCTCCAAGCTCAATTCGAAGACCAGCAGCCCGGTTCTGATCTGCACGAGGAGTTGTCTCGCCAAGAGTAACAGGGCTTCGACAAGTAGGACAAACCTGCTGTCTCTCGAGCCAGCTCTTGAGGCAGCCGAGATGCAAAATGTGTCCGCAAGGTAACTTCTTGGGTCGAATTCTATCCATTGCGCCTGGGTTGTTCTCTGGATCCCATGGTCGCATCTCCTCGCGGCAGATAATGCAGGTGTCCTCGCGTTCAAGCTCTTCCTGAGTTGCATCGGGATAACGATTCATCTCTTGAATGGCTTTTCGATATCGCAATAAGGCACCCAAGCGCTTAATGAAATCCCGGGCTGTCATAAAGAGATCCCTCATAATATGAATGGGCAGTCCATAGAAAGCCAGAAGCATGAAGAAGAACACGATGTAGATACCAAGTTTAACCAAGTCTGTCAATGTCAGTAGTGCCCCTCCAAGCCTTTTTGCTTTCAACATACCTGTGATAAGGTCCAGCCAGAGGACAAACTCTCCCTTTGCAGACCAACCTGGTACTTCAATATCCATTTCATCGATATCGTCCTCGTTGGGCAGTGGCTCGTCCGAAACTTCTTCGCCAGCGGCAGCCGCTATTTCACGTCGTCGGATGATAGCCTCACGCTCTTGTCTGACCTCTTGTCTCCTTTCGGCCAGACGCTTACGTTTCTGCGCTTCCTGGATATTTTGCTCCGTCAACGACAGCGCATACCGGGCTGCCGTCCGCCATGAACTGGTGGCCAAGACTGCGAACTCGAAAAGAAACATGACCATCATGTTGGGTCGTGCTTGTTGGATGACAGTATTGATCGTGTATCGGAGAATGTAGATATCGTAGATGAAGCTTAGGGTGAGCGACACACTGAGTCGCAAATGGAACAAGCGAGGGTTCGCAGGCGGTTGTTGCTCGAGGACCTCAACTCTCCCATCACCAATCCATCCCCACACCTTACCTGTCACCAGAGCTGCAAACATAACCAGAAACCAGGCTCCTATCTCTTCGCGGAATATGGTCATTGCTAGACATGTCTCCGTGATCGCAAACCAGGCACGTTCGGTTAGTTGCTCGACTTCGACGGCGCGAAGAGGGCCAAAGAACATCCGTGTAAGACCGTAAACGAAGCTGCTGTAGACAAGGAAGGAAAAGTTGACCAAGACCTGGACATGATGAGTTCAGTATCCTGCAACAGCTCCGGTGCCAGGATCGCGCGGAATAACGTACCAACAAACAAAAGTTGCTCTGAGCGAGATATACCATTGCCGAGTAAAAGTTGGCCCTCTGATAGAAGGCCGAGAGGACAACGCCGCCCGCGAGAGCCGTCGAGGCCTGTGAAGCAAAATGTCAGCATTGGTCCAGAGTGATCAGCTATAGCTTCTCCAAGCTCTCCCACCACAGTAATACTTACCCCAGCATACCAGCCAAGTCGCATCTTGGGCATGGGAGTTGAACGATGAGTAATGAATTGGGTACTTGTTAAAATGTAAAAAAGTAACCAATCACTCCTCTATCCCCATGGCTGAGTCGGATTCGTATATGTAGCTTTTGGTGAATGTGCTGTAATTACTTCACTGTATCAAAGAACAGCCGACGACTTGATGCCACGTTAAGCAGAGACACACGACCGATGACGCAGGGGCCGAGCAGACGCACGTGATTCTACTCTGACAACGTGTGAAGGTGCTGTAAGGTAGTGCCGATATTTCCCCGTCTAGGTATTGGTTATAGATAATACCAGGGGCACTAATGGCTGAGCAAAAGTGGCTACCCTAAAGTTAGACGAGTTATCAGCTTAGTGAGACTGAGGTTGTATAAATATCGCGATGTCGAGTCAATGCAGAGATGCAATTGAGCTTGTTCTTGTTATAGGCCAATTCCTAGATATCGCATACAATTATGACAGCAATGAAGCCCATCCTTACGCCAACATTGCTTGCAGCGATTCGAAAGCAACCAAATCTACCACGTAATACGTGGTACTTTATCACTGCTACCACTCTATCGGCCCTCAACAGGCCGGAGGAGCTGCCAGAGGTCTTCAAGAATGCCATAGGGGAAGGCTCAGACACTACTGGGAACGGTGTTCCGAGCCGGGACGATCAGTTGCGCATCTCTAGACGTCTCAGAGAAGCCCTCTTAAAAGCTTCTGCCGTTGGAGGCATGCCCAAGGTTGGCAGGTCACGAGTATGATGAACTCACCTCGATGCTAACATTTTCGGATAGTCGATTAATGCTCTGATGTCCCTAAAGTCCACAACCCCTGAAGACCTACTAGACGAACCAGGAACGGGTACATCTATCAGACATAAGGACATATACGATACTGCACCAGCACAAGTGCTCGAGCGAGGACAAACCTTCTTCGAAGCCATATATGGCAAAATTTCCAGACGTATAATGGGTCAACTAGACCGGTCAGGTGCACCAGACTTGGGGTTGTTGGCGAGGTTGACATATGGGTATGTACTCAGCAACACTGATGTGCTTACACCGGCCGAAACTTCATTCGTACTCATTGCTAGTCTCATTCCCCAAGATGTAAGTGTGTTTTCTGAGCAGCCACTGGGCTGCACTAAAGCCATGTGTAATACTGATGCCAAGCTTTAAAGGTGAACCCCCAACTCAAGGGGCATTTGCGGGGTGCACTCAATGGAGGTGCCAGTGTAGATGAAGTGAGAGCCGTTAGAGATGTAGTTATTAAGATTTGTGAAGCTTCAGGAATGAAGAGGCTCGAAGAGGATGCCGTTGGGGGATGGGGTTGGAGAAGTGAAGTAGCGAATGTATAGAAGATACTTAGATCTCGGGGCTTTGAGCTTACCCTAAACCACATAGCCTGCGTAGCAGGAGATCACAACTTGGCACATACCAAGTAGTACCACTCTGAACTTCGAAGGCATGTTGGAATTGAGGTCATGTACTACTGCAAGGGATAGCGGTGTTTTATCTGTGAGTATTATCAAGTCCTAAACACGCGTCGCCAAGTTGTGAACATCGTGATGATCACCAACATTAGATTGGAGATCTCATTGTGAGCCTCATTCTCTATTATCCGAAAGAGGCTGTTTACACGACCCAAAAAACTCCGCGACCTATTGTTTCATGTCCAAACGGCGCCTAGTCTCCCCAGCGGCCGGCCCCCGTTTCTCTTTGGCGAGCTCAAGATGGAAGACGGAAGCTATTCCGCGTTTAGGCGAGGCCGCGCCCCGAGCCAGCATAGCCAAGTCCCAAGCCCGCTGTCACGCGCCAAAGCAAGGGTCGCAACCCGCCCCTAAAGATTGGCTCAAGGTAGGTTGGGAGCCAGGGCCTAGGGGTCGATAGAGCCTCTAAGAGGCCTGGGCGTCTGTATGCGTAGCCCGGAGGGGTCGGGCAGTGGAAAGTCGAAAGTCAATCAATGCCGCTCTCAACTGTAATCGAGGCCACCCAAGACCTAATTCGGGTACGCCACGGTATACTGATCTGCTACTGCTCGACTCTGGTTCGTCGAAGCTTGACAATCACACTAAAACCAAAGGTCCAAAGGAGCTTCCCGTGGCCAAAAGGTAAATCATCAACCCCCAGAAAGAGCTTGTCCAGCAGAGTAATAAGTACACTTGAGACACTGTGAGGTACTAAACTTGCCTTACAGTAGATCGCCATCGAGTCTGGACTTGCACTTTCCAACGGCGTCTAGTGAATAGGTAGTCGTTGCTCGCCACGTCACAGTGATTCGAATGGCTCAGATAAGGTGATCTAAGTTAAATCAGACTTCAATAAACCCCGCGTATGACCCTAGTTAGACGCTCGCTCTCGGAACCCATTCTCAAGGTCATGTTGACTTGGTAGCACTCACGATGGATACTCGTCTCATTGATACAAGCGAGAGCCTGTTAGCCAAACTCTCCGTCAACCGCGCATTGCATGTACTATTATGGAAAAGAGCACGAGTCTCCATTATCAATGTCGATCTGGTGGTGCGGAAATCTCCTGATGGGTTTAGTGATCAGAGTAGTATTTTACTCTCTGACAGGGCAAAGTAGACGGAACTGACCCGTTCCCCATCTTGGCGATACAACATCCCGAAGGAGCCTCACCCATGTCTATCAGATCAGAACAAGGCTCCCCTTGCGTCATGCCGAGTATGGATAAGGTAGGTTGGTAGGCAGATTCAGTCACTGATCTCTGGCGAGAAAGCCTAGCCGTGGGGTTCACAATGACCGTATCGGTATCGGGACTCGGTAGATAGTTGACAATGGCAATGAAACTATCAATCGCTCAGCAGCGCAGTGTAACTGCAGCTGCTCTTGATATGGGATCACTCTTGATGCAGCATCCACACCCTCCCTCCTTTGAGAAAGACCTCGACCGACATTGGGGTAGCACAAGGCGAATTTGGTGATCTGGCAAGCAAAAAAGGCAACCGGAACACCCACGAGTCTGGGAACGAGGCGTGCGATTCGACCGGGGAGAATATTAGTGGTACCATTCACCTACCTTAGGGTTGCAGGAAAGGCTAGGATAGACTTGTGCGTAGTACAGACAGCGCAGTTCAGATACAGAATTAGAATGTCGACCTGCAGCAATAATCTCGGATGCATGACAGTCCGAAGTAGTCACACGCATACATCCATATTGGTTTGTCTTGTTGTCTTGGTTTTCTGGGCCCGTCCAACCATGACAATCTCCAGGATCAGAGTAACATCATGATGAATTACATCGGACTATGCAGGATACATTGCAGCTGTATTGTATTGCCTTCTGAACACTCCCGAAAAGCGTCGGCGTCGGGGACTCTCAACGACAGGGCCAGGTTCAAGGGCAAGACGGGACAGGGCAAAGCAGGGTTTATTAACGCGCCTCTCTCTCTTGTTTCCCTCTCCCCCCTCTTATTCATCCCCCTGCCAGTTTCAATCACGACTCCCACACGTGGCCCAAGATCCTCGAGGGGCGAGGGCATAGGGCATCTCAAGCCTTGTCCTATCCAGTCCAGTCCAGTATAGTCCAGTCCATGTCCAATATTGACAGGGGGGCGGCTCACAAGCGGCAAGGCGCGCATCAATCCATTGTGTCGGGTCACTCACTTTTGCATTCTATTAATGTGACGATGTGAAACCACGGGAATATTGGCTTCCATCGATTCGCACGCCTCTTTGACTTTGCGACGTGTGAACCTAGCCAATGCTAAGAGTCCGCAGGGAACTTCCCAGCATCTGGATTGTCGTCCTCCCGCGCTACACTCGCCATCTCAGACGGGAATCTGTTCTCGCCAAAATAGTCTGCACGTCACATTGAGATTGGGTTCTCAACATCTCAGCCAATGCCCCGCGTACTGGGATCCAGCACCTTAACAGGTCTCTGCTATACCCCAGGATCAAGCTGTATGTCTCGTGGTGCCTATAAGATGTGCGTATTATTAATTGTGCTTTGACGACAACTGAACTTGAATCAACAACATGAACCAACACCGCCGATTTCAACATCATACGTTGTGCAACAGCAGAATGATGGAAAGTTCATGGCCTCGTACAGTAGCTTCGTACATCTCCCAGTAACCAAATAGCCGGGTCATTGATTCACAAGTGGCCCATCATGAGCACTTTTAGCTTCAACAACTCAGTCCGACAGTCTGGATGTGGCTGAATGGCGTCCAGGCTGCTGGCACCAAGTGCCGTCCCTAAAGTCTAGACTGCGAATAATGATAAAGGTAGAGTGACATCGATGCTCACCTGCATCAATTAAGCCAATTTCAATATTCCGAGGTTATGGCCACCATCCTAGAGAAGCAGTGTCTTTAACGAATCTGGACCGCGATATGCCCTCAATATCGAGCGACAACGGCGGCTCAACGTCAGTACCTGTGTACTTTGATCCATGTAAAAAACTGCCGTTGTTTCTTCCATTTTTCTCCTTGTTCTAGGCCGTGATCGCGTTATTTACCGGTCGTTAGTATCGACCTAGTCTGTGTGTTAGACTGGTGGCGCTCGCGTAAGGCTACCACAGTTGGAAGTTTGGAACCAAACTGCCTCCGCGTCCTCGCTTTTACAAGGCTATCCCTTGGAGAGATTAATGCCTAGACCACTGCTAGTTTACTGGCGAAGGAGAACAAGTTCAAGCGCTTCAACCTCTACCGGTATCTCTGAGTGTTTCACGCAACGGACACTAGGCCCCCACACGGGCCATGCAGGACGGTGGAGTTTGTTTGCGTTGTCAGTGTCTTGAGGACGCCTTTCTGCGCTGGAAAATGATTCCCTCGCCGAGTGACGGGCAATCGAGCTCGGTGGGGGTATCCCATTGCCTATACAACCCCTAGGAGAGGATTCTGTTGGGAGATGAGATGCAGGATGAGATTGGAGCGCTAGGAGACAATGATAGCCTACCAGTTTCGATAGCAACTAAACGCGGAAGCATTACGGTGGTACCTGTTGGTGATCCTGAAGATCGTCCATCGGATACTGAAGGTCTATGATGTCTTTCATGATATGATACGGTCCGACAGTGAAGTGGATATGTATGTGATACCGTGGAGCGAGGCCCATTAGACGCCAGGACGATCCAGTATAATACGGCGGTTGTGGGTGATCGACAAAGCCTGTCCTTGATTTCTGGCGTTCAGTCTGTGAGACAATAGACGGCATAACGGCAGCCTCGTTAACCCAAAAGCTATGGCTATCTTGTCTAGTTTGACAGCTCTCGGACTGTTGGATGTCCCCAAGGACAAGCATTGATCAGCGTCAATGCCTCGGTAGGACCCAATTGCCCAGAAATTTCATTGTACAACATTATTGTTCCTTGCGGATGGTTGGTACGAGCCCTATTACAGTACTTCGTAAATATGGGTATACTGAGGGACAAGGTACCTGAGCAAGGCTACTGAGAGATATGAATTAGAAGACAGGAGCCAGGATTGAAGCGACGCCAAGACTCAGTTCAACAACACGAGCAATACGACATATCGATGATGGTATAAAACTACCAAAACTGGCGAGGGAAGGATGCTGCGCATTGTAGGTGGGAGAATGGTGATCTGAATTCGAACTGGGTCACTCGTGTAAGCACATGTTGATTCACTCAAGGTTCAATCACACATTCTGTAGCGGGATAGGTGGGCTTTCAGCCAAAAGCCCCGAGTTACCAAAAAAGCAACAGCCAAAGATCTTGGAGATTAGGTAGCATCAATGTTCCGAAGGATGGTGAACTTGAGAGTGCTGGTGGTGTCTCGCTTGTCCAGTGGGGGCCGTTCTCTGAGCCAGGGCCATGTTTGGTCATGATGCAAGCAATCAGGTGCAGAGACTTGGCCCTCAATTCCGAATGGAGGACCCCGTGATGAACCCAGTCCCCAAAAGAGGACACAGCGGAGCGTAGGCCACGGAAATGGCGGCGGCGGGAGAGTCAGATTTGGTGGTTTATTCGCATCGCGCATCGGTGAAGCCGAGAGAGCTTGGCAACTCTATCGACTTACAAGGATCGTGACAGCCAATCAGAGACTCCTAAAGAGACAGGGTCAACGGTCAGAAACTCAGAGTCTCAGAGACAGCTTGCTTGGGGCGGCCGACCGCTGGAATGTGAGCCGGGTGCCCATGTGGACACCACTGCAGGTTGAACCAAACAGCGACAGCGCGGGTGCCGAGGTCTTTGATCCGTGGAGCAGGTATGCATGGCGGTATCTCCATTCATGATGGTTTATCATTATGTTTTGCTTTTTCTTCTTGACTTTCCAAGCGCTGCTTCGCATTTCATTCGAGCACTCTGAGAAGACACATGCATTGCTTCCACTCGCTTCATCTGACACAGCATCTTTGTTTTAGGAAGAATACCCGTTTCTGCTTCAGCTGAGGAATGCAGATTGACTGTGTCGAGTAGGCAGCCCGAGAGGCACGGCATGTCAGATAACCATCGTATGTCCAATGGCTAGGTGTAGAGCATCGTCAACGACGACACATGATTGATGAAAAGACAACTCTCAAAACTTCGCCAATATTAAGGTGGGTGGTAATAAGCGGCATCGCCATTGGATCCCAGCCATTGTAGCGGTGATAACGGTGATGCTACAATGAATGTCCAATATCCATGGTTTTGAGAGACACAACACAGACAGAACCATTCAGAGATAACTTGCAGATGCATTCGCGCTCGTTACCAATCTGGGCACCCATCGGAAGGTCAAAGGGTGGGTTAGAGAGTAGCTTGGCATCGAATCCAATGACAGGCCATGAGACGCTTGGTCTGGCCGTCGGTCTGAGTCTTGAGGCTACAGGGGGGGGGAGCCTTGAGTGAATCACTCACTGAAGGTTTGATCTCAACTGTAACTGAACTGCAAGGAGAGTTCCGTTCAATCTCTGACGCAGATCACACCAGGTACGTACCGCGGACACTTGATCTTGTTGGGTTGCCTGTGCTCAGCCCTACGCGCCAGCCTGATCCCAGAGATTAGAGGAGCTCCGCTTTTAGTGCTGCGACCTTTTAGTATTATTAGCGTCATCAACCATCCATCAGCCACACCCTCCTGTAGCGTTAGGCGGGGCTTCCCGTCATTGAGGAACACACCCCACTAGGAATGGATAGGTGTTGATCCTGGGCTACCGTCCAATGTAGGTGGATGTGCATATGAAGCCAGAGCAACATTATCATGGACCGCGGTGAAGGCTGTGTTTTGCAAAGCATGCTTTGCTTGATTGAAGCCTTTGAGAACCAAATACTGTCGTCATTGCTTCAATATGAGAAATGGTTCTGATTGGCAATGTTTTGTCAATGCATCAATTCGTACCTATGCAGTACAACAAGGCGAACTCGGGGTAGTGGTGTCCTCGCTATTCGGTCGGTAGACGTTGTGACGAACCAAGCCCAAAATTTCGGGTTTGACCTCGTGCTCTCATCAAACGATAATATTCTCCTTTCTCAACTGCCGGCATTCGAAATGGCGCCACTCGTACCGTTCAAAACGGAAGCTGTGGTCTCAGGCGGCCTAGAACCTCAGTGTATTAATTGAATGACAGCCTTCCATGCTACGAAACGGAAGTGATATTGCAAGGGCTAAGGGGGAAGCATCAAGACAGTGAGATGTGACTTACCTCCAAAATGTGTGGTCAACGCCAAGGCGGATCTCTGTTGTTTGATGGATGAGTGATGCCCAGGGTTTTCTCCACCTGCAACACAAGCCCTCAAGCTTTAAGCAGGGGTCAGGAGGTGTGAGGCTGCCCTGACTGAACGGGAATAGCCGCTGCAGGGGAAGCTTGGGATTGGCTGTGGGCATAGCGAATGTCGGCTACGTAAGCAAATGAAGACTGCGGAAAAGCCGCTCACTGCGGAATTCGCGCCTATCCATCGATGGGAGTGGTCGCGGATTGTTCAACCCTTGAAACACATACCTTCAGCGGCACGACTCAGACAGCCCAAGCCATGCGGCAAGGTCCCTAGTCAGAGTCTGAGATGTCTTTCTGATGCCAGACAGACTGCAATGGAGCGGCCGCCCGATGCACGGTCGTAAAACGGGGGAGAAGATGAGATTCAGGGTCCTCATCCGCAAACAGACATATCAGAGCGAAACGGTTAATTTGTGGCTGGCTGGGACCAACTGTCAAGTAGCCACAGGGAGGTTGTCGTCGTAGTGTTTGATACTGTCGTCGTCTTACTCTTGTGCAACTCATGCAGCCTGCGATGCGATGGATGGTTACTTTCGTATATCACCACTGTCAGCAATGCGATGCGTGTTGAAAGCGGTCTATTGATGAGAAGTTGAGAATGACGACTTGGCTTCGGTCATCAAGACAAAAAGAAGCTACAGCCAGCAACATCATGTAAGGGCAGAGACTCGATAGGGCTGAGTACTCGATACCCCAGTGCCACGTCGAGATGGCTGTGTGCATACAATTGCACCCATTTTAATGTACAGTGCCGGGCGGTACAAGGTTCGTGCACATACATAAACCGCGCTGTGCATAACCGATACCGTAAACGTCCAGTGGGTAGCTGGCCCTATTGGCTCGTTGTACGTGGTGGTGAGGGCTCCCCCAGTAGGGTCTCATTCGGGAACCCCTCGCCTGCATCTGCATGCTGTTTGAGGGTGAGGATGAAGATGCTTGGAGTGCCAGATTGCTGGAATAGGTACATAAAACCATCTAGGTAATTCGGCCATGACCGATGCAGGCTGACGCTGACCCAGGGATGAATACCCAGTCAGCCACTGAACCGGCCAGTGGGAATTGATTGATGATTAGGAGATCCCAAGCAGTCATCTCATCGAAACCCATCAAGACAAACAAAGCAAAAAATGATACCTACCTTAGGTAGTGAGTGAGTGATAGATACGTGGAGAGCACTAATGGAAAGATGCACGATGACATTGGTCAAGTTATGCGATAGGAGAGAGGACCCGCTGCATCGGATCCCATGTTTCCTTTTCGTGATCCACTTCTGAACCCCTGTTCATGTTTGTCGACATCTTCCCCTTCTCCGGTACGTACCTATCAACAAGGCATTAGAAAATGCTACTGTATGGTAGTAGTGTTGATGATCAGTCCTGTGAGTGATGCCCAATTATGTCTTTCTTTTGCTTTTGTTACCTCAAAGATCTAGCGGTGAACGTACTAGGTATTCTTGCTTCCTTGTCTTGTCAATATTACCTCTGTTATGCATCTACATATAAGCGTTCCAGTATGCTGGAACAGTCCGAAGCAAGGGTTGATGATGAGCTAGTGTCAGAGTTGTACGGAAAGGATGACAAGGTGTGCGTGTTACTCCGGAGAGTAATCAATCAAATTTCATGTCAACTATATTTTTCATTGACGCTATGTAGTAGGCCTGGGTTGATAGGGTATAGTTAATACATTGCGAGGTTCTGTATTCAGGCAGCACCGCGAAAGAACTCCTGAAATCGGGATCAGAGCTGCCTGGCAGACCAAAGATGGATCGTGGAGAAAGAGTTGCCTACTTGAGAAGGTCAAGTGCTCATCCATATGCCGTACCCGGTGTCTCGTGTATCTCGTTTTCACCAGGATGCTAGGGTATGACGTTGACGAGCATTGGACCAGTCATAAGGATCTTCACTGGAACTCGATCAATCGATGTGCCATGCAACTGCATCCCTGGTAGGCGGTTTACCCAGTGATGAAAGCCCCTCGTGCATTAATACATCGCGGCGTAGCTGCAATGGTTTTGCTGCCTTGAGAAGAATGCCTAGCCTAGACTCGAAAAGGTTTCACAGATGCAAGTTCGCTTTCAGATTCCAAGAAGCATATGCAGTTACTAAAATTCATTACGATAGTTCTTTGACTTATACAGCACACCCCGGATTCGTTCTTGAAATGTTTTAATCGCGTCAAAATATCCAGTAGCAGATGCGTTGCACAGCCATCCCGCTTCTTTTTTTAAACCCCCACCATCCACAACAACTTGACAAGCTCTTGTCAAGGGGTTGCTGGTACACAGCATCCAATAACAAGTGCATATCCGTCGATGATGGCTTAGCAGCCCTCTACACAACTCCGCAACGCTAAGCCAGTTGCGTCTCCGAGAACCAACTTGAACCCATCACTGCCGCCGCCAACAAACGCAGGAACTCTGCACAACATGCGGTACAGTGGGAGGGACCTCTGAGGAAACAAAGCTTGAAGTGATATCCCTTCTAGAGGCGTCTTCTACCGTTTTACGTCGCCCGGACATGGCGTTCGGATGAAAGGGAGGGCTCAGACCTTGAACGGTTCAAGTCCTGGCACCACGAGGGACTACATTCTTGTCTGGATCAGAGTTTGCGTGCAAGAATGTCCGCTTGGGAGACAGAGAAGTCCTTGTTTCTGACAGACGATTCCTGCTATCGGTAAGGTTATTTGAGACAGGATTTGCTAAGCCCTACGAATGAATGATGGATGGATGCCCGCCTCAAGACTTGTAAGCTTGCCCAAGGTACACATCATATGTTCTGGCACCCAAGGCACAGCCATCATCGCAACACCTTTTTTCGTACCTATCCTGATCAATAAAGACATGTACGAGTAGTGGAACGCCAAGTTTCTTGACTAGCAACCGCTTTGCATTAATAAGATAATGTATTGGAGGCAGTATTGTAAGCCGGACCAGACATTACATGGCGTTTCCGGGGATGCAGGTATTTTCTTTGATCATTTCCCTCGTGGATACCTCACTCTCCTAGACTCCACCTAGAACAATTGATCGAATTAGAAGTTTGTCTGCTAGTGAATTAGATTCCGCCATAATTTCCTATGCTTTTGATCATGTCCAGTTGAGTGCATGTAAACATTCCGATGCCTGTCTCATTGCGCGCCATGTTGAGCCGACGCCATGTGGAGATGACATCCATTGTCAACGTGGTGCTAGGCGTTTGTTTTGTTCCGCGAGGCTTCTGAAGTTCATCTTAGTCTGGTCTATGTACGTTAGATGGAGACAATATTGCCTCAGACCGGCTAGGCCAAGTATGAAACACTTGATAGTAACATTCTGTCATAATGGAGATCTGTGAGCGCAGGGACATTGACAGGCATGCTCAAATGAGTAACTCTTGACAGCAGTGATCTTCCGGGTCAGCAAGGACTTGAAGACACGAGTGACCTGTTTGGGAATAGCAAAGCAAGATATGCTTGAATCCAATGCTTTGACCACCCTGACTGACTGAATGATGCTGGTACGCCTTCCCCGGAAGATGCAACGCAACGTGCGAATCGATGGAGCCAGTGACAAGGGCGCAGCGACCACGTCGGGAAACGTTTTGAGGGTGAGGGAGAGACAGGGGGGAGCATCAGAGGACAATACCTACGTTCAAGGGTCCCAGATTTGGGAAGACGGGCGAGGCCGGACTGCGCCCCCAGGCCTCGGGGCCGATTGAGACATCAAGCAACCGAGGAATATAATTGGTCCCAGGAACTGATTGATTGATTGATTCACAGCCCTCTGTTCATAGGGCAGGGCAGAGTAGGGCAGCACTATTTGATGCATCGATGGGTTACATCTGGGTTGGTTGTGCATTGGTTTATCGATAAAAATATCTGCCATTCCTTTGCACCAGCGCCGTTCGGGCAAAGCCTCTTTTTCGAACCACCACGTTTTAACAGACGGTTTCAATGTCTCGCGGCCCCAGATATCTGCAGACGCGGGCGGGTAGTGTTGCTGGACTTACCCTGAAGACGCTTAGAATGTTGCATGTGTAAGTTCATTGAGGCAACGGAGGAATGCTGCGCATGTGATGTGATGTGAAGTCTACCGATAGTTTCCAAGAGCTTGGAGCTTAGAGCTTAGAGTTTACTTTGCTTTACCGACGAGATAACCAATCGCCTTCTTGTTTGGTCAATTGCCGATATGCCGTCGTGTTTGATACAGTAGCAATAAGTAAAAAGCAAGCACTAACTCCCTATAAGCAATATCACCAACTTTGGGATATTATGCGAAGAGGCATAATTGCAAGTGATTGAAGACTCCAAATAATTTAACCCAACATCCTGGAACCTTACCTTCACCTACGGGCTGGTCCATGTCAGATCAGACTCATCGAGGATCAGGAGGACATCATTGGCCGCAATGTGATAAAGGGAGGGAGGGGATGATGATTGGGACATGATGAAGAAGAAGAGGGGTTCAACGCAGTACCTACAGTAAAGTAGCGACAAACGGTGTTGGTTAGGCACTTACTATAGGTAGGCTTGGTAGGCTTGAGGCGGATCACCGCGCGAACCATGGACGGGAAGATTGACGATGGTTGCCGCACGGGGTCTAAGTTCATAGGTAAACTCTGCCTTGCCTGCTCTGCTGCATCTGCATCTGCATCTAGCATTGAGTTTAGACTTCCGCAACTCTCATTCAATAGCTTCATTTAGATTTAAAACTACCGTCACAGTTGGCTGACCACGAATAGCAACCTGGTGACATCTAGCCCGTATAAACATGCTATATTCTGAGGGGAAGCGGTACGGTACGGTACGGCACTGGCTAGATACAGTCTACAGAGGGTTGTGACGTGGGACAGCCTTGGGAGACCCCTGAAGATGCGAAAGGCGACGATGGACCCATCGACTGCGGTCGGTGGAGTGTCCTTGAGACTAGAGGTGTGAGGTGTGCTAGGGTCGTCAGTACGTACCGGAAGCTACATCCTCCGAGTACCGGGACTTGAAGCAGAGCCCCCCCTGCCTGAGAGATTCCTCTGTCAACCCTTGGAATCGCCCCGTCACTCTGCCAAATATCAACCCTGTCCATCTAGGAGGCCTTCTTCTTTGTACTGCTACTCACGACGCAAGTTTCTTTCATTGACGTCTTCGTAGATCAATTTGTTTTCTCACGCACACGCCTCGGTCGGGTCTTTGGTTCACCCCATGTTTCCGTACCAAAACGTTACTCTGCTCTGTAACCTCCGCCTTTTCGACGTCAAGGACAGACAAAGCCGCAACTCCAGGTAATTATTGAGGGCGGTGTTACATGGCGGACCATTTTCTTCAAGGAGCGATTTTTCTCCGTATCTCGCAATGCGAAAAGGCGGGAGGTGATACGCCTCAATCATTGTCTCTGCTCCCCCTCAATGATAATGATCCTCCCGAAATCCAGGGCCCCCAAGACATGGATGCAACATGTCTTGAATATCAAAGTCTGGAATTGTCCACACAGTTCAGGACTGTATTGTACAGTACATGCGTACATATATCGACCGTACTTTACGGCAGGCACATTTCAATTGAGTAACTGAATGAATCAATGTGCCGTCTCTCTTCTCTCCCTGGTCCTTACACTCTGAGGCAGGCTGGCGCTATTTGGCGCTGCATGGCGCTGGGCCGCTGGCGTGCCTCTGTCTCTGTTTCTGTCTCTGCCATTTTATGGAGTTGGACTTGTTTTTTCCTTCTTACCTTTTGTTTTAGACCTCCCCACGGCTGTGCTGTCCGTCCTGTACACGCACACCCTCCTCGTCTTTTTTAGGCCTGGTCAACTGGGCTTGGGCTTGAGCTGGCTGGCTCGTGATGGGGTGGTGGGCTCACCCTCCCCCCCTGGTTCCCTCCCCTGGACTGGCTTCAATTGCTGGGCCCTAGAGGCTTGAGGTTAGAGTGAGCTAGGCCCTACCAATGTACCGGCCGATGTATCGTACATGGCTTTCACCTCTGGGACACTCTCTACCCCAGCAGCCTCCTCTCAAGTTGTCTGTCAACTGGAGAGAGCCGATCCATCGCGGACGGGGCCCGAATGCAGGTGCAGTGGTGCCTTGACTATATCTACGTTGGCAGCCCCCAACCCTCTCGCTGGGTCTTGCCAGAGCTTGCTACTCGACAGCGACAACCTTAAAGGGTCAATCTATCACGACAGTGTTTCTTTTAAAGACCATTGTCTGTCCTCTCCGAGACGATAAGACCAGTCTAACAACTGGTCTCTGGATACTTCGACCTATAGTGCTCCTCCCACCATCCACCGAGCACTAACATCACCCTCATCTCTAACTTCACCTTCACCACGAACACCTTGAGACAACTCTTCTCAAACATATTTTGGTGAACTGAGCATTCTTAATTGGACCCTGGCAACACTCCTCCTTCTCGAAACACAGAAAAGTTCGTCAACAGCACACGAGTTCCAGGAAACCGACCAGAAGAAGATTGTTTCCCGTGTCTAAACCCACATCCACCAGAAACATCTCAGACCCTCGAGACTTCGACTCACCTCAAGCCTCACTCCGTTTCTGGAATGCGAAGTGCAGGTAAGCTTCCCCGGGTTACGTCCACTCATTCTTTGCCTCGACGTTGAGAAAAATCCCCGCTTCTGCCACTCTTTCCCCCTTGACTTGGAGCTCTGAACCTGACATTTTGTGTTGCGATTATAGATAAAGGTGATTGCAACCCGAGCTTGAGCTATAACTGCTTCAAGCCCTTCCTCACCTTGACCACCACAACTCCCATCTTCACCTTGCCGACATTCAAACCTCTGTCTTCCGCCCTTCTTCCACAGACATCATGACAGCCTTGACAGAAACATCATTCGCCATGTTCCCTCATCACTCCGACGCCGAGGACTTTGCCCGATATACGGACTCCAACGTCATCTTCACTTCGGGACCCATGGACGTGAGCATCCCTGCCGATGCCTTTGGCTTCCAACAGCAGAGCGGCAGCCAAGATGCATTTGCTTCATCCATGGGCTTTGTCGAGCCCTCATTGTACGCCGAGGCCCCCAACTACATGCTAAACAGCCGCGCATCACCCAGCATGTACACAGATGAATCTTCAGACATGAGACTCCCTTCATCAAGCCTTTCCACAGCCTCGGCAGCGTCAACAACGTCTTCGGCAATTGGATCTCCCCAATCAAACCATGGCCAAATGGGTGCAATGCCCGAGTGGGCTCCCCAAGGCCTCGGGCTCCAGCCTACAATTGTGGGCAGTGACTACATCGGATCCGATTTTGCGTCGTTTCCTAGGTCCGGAATGGACGAGCTCAGCTTCGATTTCCCGGCAGCAAAGGCTTTTGTTGGTAAGTTCAGAGCTATTTCTTACTCGCTTCGAGTTCGGCGATCCCTTTCCCCCTGCCTCGCAAGGGCATTGGCAGAGAGAGAGACCCACACTGAGGCCTCTTCCCCACCACCAGATGCTTAGTGCCTCTGAACCCCTGCTCGCTTCGCTGCTTTGAATATGACAAAACGATGTGTCGGATTGCGCTTGCGCTTGCGCCTGTCTCTACCAGGTCGTCGGCTCTCTTGGCTCATTGAGTTCAGCTTGAGCCGAGTTGAAGGTGGCCGATCATCATCTTGTCATTCTCTCTGCTTCCTCTTAGAGTTTATCCCTTGCAATCACGTCCCACTTCCCATCATACGTTCATGTCTTCTTAAACAACGATTTAGCCTGTGGGCTCTTCCGTTGTCAACTGAGACATTACACACGTCAACCCAATCGGCGCTTGATGTCACCTCTCCGCTGTCAAACGATTGGCGATCTTGCTTGCTTTTCATCGGCAGTGGCCAGCTGGAAACCCATCTTGGGCCTAGCTCAGCTGACTTGACGTTGCAATCTCTATCATTCGCGACCATCCCAAACTCCACCACTCTCCGTTCCGTTCCTGAGCAGCACTGAACTGCCTGTTCTGTCTCTGTACTGTTACCGTAGTAGATCGCTAACCAGGTTTCTCTATCATGACAGACCCATCTCTGATTCATCCAGAGCTTACTCGTCCTCCTATGGGGATCCCTCCCTATGACAGTCACTTCCAGCAAACCAATGCCAATCCTCATCACACATATCCCACTTCTCCTTCTGCCTCTTCCTCTTCGCCTCAACCTCACATGATGAGGACCAATAGCTCTTCACCTTTTCTCCAAACCACAAACTTCCAATCCACTTTTCCCAGCAGCCCTTACGGTGCACCAATGGATAACCACAGTCAAACTCAGAACCATAACCATATCCGTGCCCCAAGCGTCACCCAATTCGTCCCACCTACACCAGGCGAGTATAGCAGCGACGAGTCCAAGGAGAAGCAGAGATGCACCTATCCCGACTGCGGCAAGACCTTCAAGGACCTGAAGGCTCACATGCTCACTCACCAGACTGAGCGTCCTGAGAAGTGCCCCATTCAGACCTGCGAGTACCACACAAAGGGTTTTGCTCGCAAGTATGACAAGAACCGTCACACCCTCACACACTACAAAGGCACAATGGTCTGCGGCTTCTGCCCAGGCTCCGGCTCTGCTGCGGAGAAGTCCTTTAACCGTGCCGACGTCTTCAAGCGCCACTTGACTGCAGTTCATGGTGTTGAGCAGACTCCACCTAACAGCCGAAAGAAGTCTTCTGCAGGTGCCAACTCAAACAAGAAGCTGACTGGCTATGCTCCTGATGCCACTGGCAAGTGTAGCACTTGCTCACAGACCTTCTCCAATGCCCAGGACTTCTACGAGCATCTTGACGACTGTGTGCTGCGCATTGTCCAGCAAGAGGACCCTGCTGAAGCTATTAACGCTAAGCGCCTTGCCGAGGTTGAGAACGATAAGGATGTTCACCAGACTCTGGAGAAGAACAACCTCCCCACTACCACAGACACTGTCATGGCAAACCATGATGATGAAGATGCCGACAGTGGCGACGATGATGATGATAGCTCTCCCCGAAGCAACTCCTCCCCTGCCACCAGAAAGAAGGGCAACCCAGCCAACGGTGTCCAGAAGTCTCGCGGTGTCACTCACTCCCGTGGTGGTGTTCCCTTGGGAACCAAGACTCGCAGCCGCAAGAACCGTCGCGACTACCCATCATCCTGGGGTTTTGATAAGGGCCAGATGACCATGAAGAAGCGTGTCATGGCTGTCTTTGATGGCCCTCGTCGTCTTGCCAAGGACGACATGATGCTCTCCACCGACCACGAGGTCCGCATCAAGCTGTCTGATGGCAAGTCTTATGTCACCGACCTCGACGTCCAAACTCTCAAGCGAGCTGCTGGCTTCCACGGTGCCACTGAGGAAGAGAAGGGTCCTTGGATCTCCGACGACCCTACTGCTGAGCAGCTCAAGGAGATGCAGCAAATGCTCACCGCCAACACCACCACTACTACTCTATAACGACTCGACGTCATCGATCACACACACCTACGATCACCAACTACAACCCCTCTCTCAAAGTATACGAACAAAAACATATCGAAAAAAAGCATAATGGGCGCGGCGTAAGCGGGACTGTATTAGAAAAAGGGAACATCCGGGTATTTCACGGACAATATTCACGACTGGGTTTAGGTTTGGGTTTGGGAAACAGGACACATCCGCTTATGAAGAGGCATAGGATGAGGGTTTCGAGGCAAAGGAAAGGAAAGGGAACTGATTTGCGCCATGGAGTTGACATATCGATACCCATGTTTTTACTGTTGTTTTATCTGGGATTTGGACTGGTACCTCACCCATTGATGGCTTAATGACAATAATGGACTATCTTGACAGCAATACTTATTCGAGGACTTTGTCCTAATCTGCATATTGTTCAAGCACTGTCTGTTATATCGTGATTGGTGTTTTCTTTGAGTGTCTGCTGAAGTTATTGTACAAAATACTTGGACTGGAATGGACTTGCGTGTATGTTTCAGGACATGGGAGTTTTTGATGGCATCAGTAGCTGAAACAAGGATGTATAATATGAGCACTAATATGATAATACTACTTATTAATACCCCGATCTGACATGCCGTTGGAGCAGTTGGTGGAACGAGTCTCAGCATCTTGCTAGACTTTATGATGATCCATAACTACCTAGACAGCTGGCAGGAAGAGTTCCACTAGAAATGTATCATGCCTCTGATTAATTAATAAGAGGTGGAAAAAACTTGATAAGGCGATCAAAACTGAGGATGAGCAAGCCCTAAAATCATCTAAACCTAGTCTGAGATTTCTATTGCAGGCTATAATTAAGACGCATGACTTTTTATTGCATGCTTTAATAGGTAGAAACGTGACCCCAAACACCCGACGAAGATGCAAAAGACCAGTGGGCCAGTTGAGATGATACGAGTACATCATTACAATACAGCCACGAACTTTATGCAGTCGTCCCCTCACGGCGAAGCAAATAGATTAAGGAAATTGGCCAATCTTGAGTAACACAGGAGTCTTGAGAATGGACTTCTTAAGGAATAGTAATTTCTGCATTCCGCTCTGATAGGCTTAGATGAGATATGAATGCCTGAGCTGGACATTCAAGATGATAGAGATACTCTGATACGGTAAAACCACTTCATCATAGAAACGCGAAACGCCATGTGAGCATCGAGAAAGTTTATAGGGGAGCAATGAGCGTTCAGGGTCCAGAGAGTAGAGTTCTGGCGGGCCGAATACGTGAGGGGAGATATTGAAAGGATATATACGGTCAACTATCATTTTGATCTTGGCAACATTTCATTCTTCTTATTTTCTTCTGGATAAGAAAGCAACATGGGTATCGTACACGCCAACAATCGAGAGCCTAGGGGCTTGGATCCAGTGCCAATTCTTTCACAAGAAGGTCTGAATCACGTCGAGGCTCGCCCAACCGTAGCTCATGATGAGGTCTTTGGCGATATCACAGAAGATGGACCCAACTACCGAGATGCAAGTGCTTCCCACACAGATTTCTTGCCGTATCAAATACTGACGCCCAACAGGTTGGTTGGCTAGGCACTTCTGCACTTATGATGAAGACCCAAATCGGTCTGGGCATCCTCTCGATCCCATCGGCGTTCCACACTCTAGGTCTTATCCCCGGACTCATATGTCTGCTCGTCATTGGAGGCATCACCACTTGGTCAGACTATATCATTGGAACATTCAAGCTTAAACACCGTGAGGTATACGGTATTGATGATGCAGGCGGTATCTTGTTTGGACGTTTTGGACAAGAGTTCCTAGGAATCAGCTTTGCTTTGTGTAAGTGATGACACCCAGCGTTTGAGTTCGCTACTGACAATGGCTGTAAAAGTTACCATATTTGCTTCTGCATCGGGAATATTGGGTATCTCCATCAGTTTCAATGCTTTGTCGGTGCATGGGACATGCACAGCTACCTTTGTCGCAGTAGCCGCCATGATCGTCTTTCTATGTGCAAGCATTCGCACCCTGGGCCGCATAAGTTGGCTGGCATGGGTGGGAGTGATCTCTCTCATGGCAGGTGGTAAGTTGAGTACCCCTCAAAGTTGTCATTCAAACTGACAGAATCAGTCTATGTCGTCACCATCGCCGTCAGCATCCAAGACCGGCCCTCAGCAGCTCCAAAGATGAACCTCGAAGACGAATGGAAGTCCGATTACAAGCTATATAACAAACCGAGCTTCACAGAAGCAATGTCGGCTCTCTCGACAATGGTCTTTGCCTATGCTGGCACGCCTCTATTCTTCCCTATTGCTGCGGAGATGCGCGATCCGCGCCATTATACCAAAGCGATGCTCCTCTGCCAGTCCGTTGCAACTGCGACATATATCATTGTGGGAGTTATTATCTACTACTACTGTGGCTCCTATGTTGCCTCGCCTGCTCTGGGATCGGCTGGCAAGACTATTAAGCAAGTTGCTTACGGCCTTGCTTTGCCAGGTCTGATCGTTGGTGCAACCATCAATGCTCATGCAAGTACTTGATATGAATAAAATTCAGCCTTGGAACAAAATGAGTACTGATACAAAAGCTCTATAGGTTACAGGAAAATACGTGTTCGTTCGAGTCCTTCGAGGCTCGAGGCATCTCACAGCCAACACCCTCACTCACTGGGCTACATGGCTAGGCCTGACCTTTGCTGCAGCCTTGTTAGCCTACATAATAGCGAGTGCAATCCCTGTTTTTGGAAGTCTCGTGTCTCTTGTTGGAGCTCTCCTAGGTACACTGCAAACGTTTCAGCCATATGGTTGCTTCTGGTTATACGATAACTGGAGCGCAGGCAAGCAGGAGAGATCTCTAAAGTGGATTCTCATGGTTATATGGAGCAGTTTTATCATTCTTTCTGGAATGTTTCTGATGATTGCTGGAACATATGGATCTGTTATTGGTGTTATTGACTCTTATAAGGTGTCAGGAGGATCAGCTGCCTTTTCGTGTGCTGACAACTCCAACTCCGTCTAGGACCAATTTCTTTGACGAAGGCAGTCAAGAATGGCACAGAGTAAACACAGTCCGCGACGTTATAAGCAATTAATACACCACGTTTGTTATTGTGTAACATGAGTCGTATTCCCGATAAGGCCATTACATTACCTTAGGTAGCTAAGGTAGTCTCCAAAAAAAGCGGTCGGAGTTAGGCAAATTTTCTTAATGCCCCTCCCACTATCATTCACGCCTACCTAAGTTTACTCTCATCATCCTTATTCCGACAGATCTTCATCTGTACATTCCCATAGCCATATTATTATTTTGCATCTGTCTGAGCTATTCGATATCTGTCATATAATACGCCATATCGGAGAACTGTCTGAGTGAGATCGAGTCAGATCATCGGAGCTGGTTGGGCATCTACACCAATTACGAAAATCTTCACATTGATATTACATTCGAGGGGATCTATTTTAATAAGGTCATGTCTCTTACCTGGCGTATCTCCGTTAACGGGGAGGCCGATAGTCCAGAAGACTATCTTTCAACTTCCTTGGGCGTCATCTTCCCCGACGATATCACAAATCAACACGGCGATGCGGAACACAACCTCTCATATGCCTCACCCCATCTCCCCAAGCCTCTTATTATCGACCTCGCCGACCCTGTGAAGGAGGATGACCGCAAGCTATTCTCACATTACCTCTGGAACGCTTCACTTCTGCTCGCCGAGTTCATCGAGGCCGACTCTCTCAGCATTCCTCTTGAGAAGCCTCGTGAGGCACAGGACATCATTTCATTCAGCGTGAAGGGACTTGAGACTCTTGAGCTCGGAGCCGGAACCGCGTTGCCGAGTATCATGGGTGGCCTGCTAGGCGCAAAGCGTGTCGTTGTCACAGACTATCCAGCTGAGCCCGTCCTCAAAACCCTTAGCACGAACGTCGCTCGCAACATCCAGCCCTCTCTATCACCCGCCGGTGCCGAGACAACCCCCTTTTCCGAAGTCTCCGTCCAAGGCCATTCCTGGGGTGAGCTCGAAGATCCTTTGAGCGCATCAGCTGCTCACTCATTCGACCGTGTCATCGCCGCCGATTGTCTCTGGATGCCCTGGCAGCACGAAAACCTGCACCGCTCCATCGCCCACTTCCTCAAGCAAACCCCCGAGGCCCGGTGTTGGGTTGTCGCTGGTTTCCATACTGGCCGAACAAAGATGAGCGGATTTTATGATGCAGCGGCGCTTCAGAAGGTCGGACTCGAGGTTGAAAGGATCTGGGAGAGAGATTGTAACGGCGAAGAGAGAGCATGGGATATTGAGCGTGAGGACGACATTACGGTGCGCAAGAGATGGCTCGTTGTCGCTTCGCTGAAGTGGATTTCGATATCATGAGGCTTATATGAGACGTCGAGAAGCCCGGCAAATTCACTGAGCAAGAAGGAAAAGAAGAGGCTTTAAATACCATGACCACCTCACGCTCGGGCTCCGGGAACCACTTGAGCTCATCATGGCGGAGTAAGACAATTCTTCTAGTTGCGTCTTCTCTACTTCATTGATTGGCTCTCCTCCCTGAGACGACTCGACTACCGCCCGCAGAATGAGGCGGAGCGACGACTTCGTGAGGGGCGGATACGGAGTAAGATGGACGCTCTCCGGTTGTAAAAACAACAGTTGGAGGGTGACTGGTTAGAGTGGTAGACAAATCATGCGAAGTGAGGAAAAGCTTAAACTGTACGAAGATACAAATGTGTTAGATGCATATGATCACGATATCAAGGATAGATAGGCAATGCCCCTGAATTATGATGTATATATTCTCTGTACATACGCTTGCTATGGATCCCCCTCTTTATAAAATGAAACAGCCCAGCTTACTTGGCTGGGGACATATTAATTCGAAGCTTCAATGCTCGGTCCCTTCTCATCAATCTTGGCAACGCGATCGTAGCTTACGCGCAAGTTTTGCGCTCCGCTCAGGGCGCGGGTCAGCATCGCTTCGTGCCGCTCTCCCACAAGACGCTTAAGTGCTCCAACTAAGAAGCCTGCGATAATGTCGACAGACCAGTCATCAGGGATAAGACTGAGTACGTCGTCAATCTCGAACCAGCCGCCAAATCGCTCCAGGAGCGCTCCTGTCTGCTCGACACGATCGCTGATGTTTTCAAGAGTGAGCAACTCATGGAGAACAACGTTAAAAAGGCGGCGTTGTTCCTCAAAAGATGGTCGTTGAGATGGAGCAGCGCCAGTTGTGCTTGCGCCACCTCGTAGACAATATGAAACTGCGGTATCATAGTCGCCCAAGTTGTGGACCAGAAGGCGTAGGGCATCGTCGTGTTTGCATTCTCGGCCAGCAAGTATGATGGTCTCGGGCACCAAAAGATCATCAGGCAGTTTAGAGATTCGATCTCTTACTGCTGCTGCATCATAATCATTGGCTTCGCCCAAGAGTTGGAGTAGCCTCAAACGGCTGTGCCAGACCTCGTTGTCGTCTGGGGCGTTGTCCCGAAGGAAGTGGCTGTATGCAGGCTTAGGAGGCTGCAAAGCGCGGTATGCCTCATATGTCGCTCTGACCAAAGTTTGGCTCTCATCAGATGACTCTAAATCGTAAACGACCACGTCAAGGTAGTACGCCATCAGATCGTTGATATAGGTGGTATGGCCTTTACCAAAGACCAAGTGCTCGAGGTAGTACTTTACTGCATCAGGTGCTTCCTCTCGCAAGATTGCAACGGCTTGCGCGGGCTCAAATTTGGGTGCTCGTCCCTTGTCTTCAGTAAAAACTTGAACACCAAGCTTTGGGTTGCGATTTGCAAGCCACACACCATATTCTTGGACAAGAGCCTGGCTGCTGATCTTGGTCAGATACTCGCGAACTCGCTGCTCTCCTTCACGGAGTTCCTGCCCTACGTCCTGCTCGCCTTCGATAATCCGCCTCCAAGTGGCCAGAACATCTCCTGACAGTTTCCGGCTCTGGTACAGGCGACTTAGCACGAAGAGTCGATGGTATGTTTCGAGTAAATCGACTGCGCGGTCAAAGCAGTCGACGCCCTTATCCACAATCTCGTATAGCTCAGATCTCACAACGCCTCCCTTGCCCAACCCCTTGGGTGAGTGTTGATCAATCTCGAGAAGCACGAGCAGCAGCGCGGCATCAACTGTATGAAACACTTCTCTCTCGTCGGCCACACTGCCGAATCCTTTCTTCTTGCGCCATGTTCCAAGAAATCTTCGAAGAAAGTGCATCGTCCTCGGCTCCAGTGTTCCAATACTGTCCTTTGATGTCATCTGGAACTCCCTGCTTCTGAGGTAAGCATCGGCGGTTCTCCTCACGCCGCCATATATCCAGATCCCGCGTGAACCTTCTATTATCTCGTTTCGAACGCTAGGAATCAGCGAAAGAACCACTCTGGGGTCAAGACCACTCTCGATCAGCACTTCTTCAAGAGCTTTCACGTCTTTTTCCGTGAACTGCTTGTCTTCAGGAGACTTTAATAAGTTCGTCAAAAGCAAGATGCCAGCTTTCTGCCGTATATATCCATAAGTCATAAATTCCAACTCGCTTTGCGGTTCCCGGCCCCTGATAGAGTTAATAGTGGTGAATATCGCTTGTCTGTCCAGCTCGGCAGGGTTAAAAATATCTCCGACACAAGCTGCTTCCAAGGCGGCGTCAAGTTGTATAAGTAAAGGATTGCGAATAGCCCACCAGATGCGGCTTCCACTCCAGACTGCCAGTCTTGCCTGAGCCTTGGCAAGTTGTCGAGCAAATTCCTCGCCTTCTGCATTGCGATTTGCCTCCCATTCTTCTGGCAATGATTCCTCGTCCTGTGAGTCAATGTTTCTGTCAAAGAGCTCTTTCTCTTTCGAGAGGTGTTCTATTGACAACGCTGTCCTCGAGTCTGGTGTCTTGGCTGAAGATGAAGGATCAGGGGTACCAGGCGATATTGAAACAGAGAAAGGTGTGTATCGCCTTTGCGATAATTTCTGAACAATTTCATCAAATCGCGTTTCTTCGCTGCCAGCAAGCGAACGAATGCCATAGACCCCATCAGCTTCTCTAGCTGTCAACCAGAACTTCTGTGGGTTTGGGTCTGAGCCCGCGTCAAATCTTTGGATCTCTAGTCCATATTCCAAGCCATCCTTTTCTCTCGTCATCGAGGCTAGAACATAACCATCTTCTTCCTGCATCGACGATGGTTGTGATGAGTTAGCATCTAAAGGCGGGCTATCTACGACGACTTCTTTGGGGTATCTGGTAAACTCGAGAGTAGGCCTCGTAGGATCGCCATCCAGATTTACAAACATGCCGATCCCCGGCTCCAAAGGGTCAGTTCCAGTGACAATCAGGAATTCGTCAGGGGTCGGAGAAGTGATGTGAGGCTTGAGAAAAACGGAGCCAGGTCTTGGCCGAGGGTCAGTCGACTGAGAAGGAGTGCCTGATGGCGAAGGTGCAGCTGGGAGAGGTTTATCGAGCGAAGGAGGATTTGGTGTTGAAGCTCTCTCCATTGATGGCCTGGGGCTTATTGATGGCTGCGGCGAGGTATTGCGACCAAGGAAATCTTCACCTTCGTTGCCACGATGATCTTGTCGACGGATACTGTCCAATATTGAACCTCCCAAGCTTGTGCTCCGACTATGGCTTGGGGCTTCGCTAGATGTGCGGTTTCCGGTCGAAGAGGAGCTTCGGAGTAGCCCACTTGTTGTATCCGCTCCAATGCTTTGAGCATGTCCAATTTCACTGGGCGAAGTTGTTTCTTCCAAGGATGAAATGCTCATCAAGGGGATCTTGAGTTGTTGTTCCACATCGATAAGCGCATACGACTTAGAGTCTGCCACACAAGCGATTGAGTCCCTACGGACTGACAGGGTGCTTCCAGAGAAGTCGATTTTCTTTATTGCGTAAGCGGTGGGCAGTCATTCTATGCGCTGATACGTACCTTAAAAGCGCGCGCGTCCTCGCCCACACGCACGACTTGGATCTTTCGCATAAGAGAGAGGAGGATAGTGACACCTCCGCCTCTCTCTGCACTTCCATCGTCGAACAAGGGCTCATTCAGATCAATGCCACCTATCCAACTACAGTTCTTGACTAGAGTTGTTCCAAAAACAGGGCTAAGTTCGGGAAGGGAATAGAAAGTGACGGTCCAATTGCATAGAATACATGCTTTGCCGACACGAGGTAGTAGGAGGATTTGCTGAACGCCGGGTCGCGAGTTCGGAGTGCCTGGAGTTTCGACATATTGAGGACACAGTCGAGATGCGAGGATATAAACGGGTTGCCCGGATCGATCGTTTGGGTCTGGTGGAATTTGTACGAAGTGAAGCAGCTCTGAGGCAGATGTGCCAACGTACAGATTCGCATCTACATGCGCAAAGGTCAACTATGAGTGCAAACGCTCAGTATCCATGCCGAAACTACTTACCTAGATAGTCTACGCAGTTGATCTTGATATCATCTTTGGAGCCGTCTGCAGAAAGTGGTACCTCGTCCAATAAAGTCCTGAGAACATAAGGGCCAACCTCGCGACTGGTTAGCCCTGGGCTTGTAATTGAAGGCCCATCGCCTGAGCCATCTGATGTCATAGCGACGTTGTTATCAACAGCATCATTTGAGCGAACAGCGCATGTCGTGTTGTGCCTCCTCGAGTTCGAAAACGTTGTATCCAGGCACCCGAGGCTGGCTGGCGTATGTTGACATCAGTCAAGTGGATCAACGTACCTGAAGCTCTAGAAGCTGACGGGATGTTGAGTGGATAGGCGCCGGGCTTATAATTAGTGGCTGTGTTCACTGAGCTGCAAGGCTGCGGGGGATCAGTCCATGGAACTGCCCCTGTAACCTTGGCGTTATCAGCCTGACAGCTCTCGTGGCCAATAAGCTTGTATGACACGCGCAACCTGGCCCCAAGTTATCAAGGAGGCAGACGAAACACATTCCTTCCTATTTATCAGCACAACCTCATGGCTTCCATTTAATCACGACAGCAACGAGCTCCTACGACCATTGAACCGATAGCATCAACTGCAAAACACTCGCTTTAACACATCCGCGGCGTTCAAGGCTGCCATATCCACTCCTTTGCGCCGCCCCTGATCATCAACCCAATACAACGCCATGACTGACGCAGCCGTCGAAGCCGCTCTGGCGAGCACAACTGAAGCCCCTACGCCTGCGCCCACCTTTGAAGGAGAGAACAAATTTCAGCATGCGATATCAGCATGGAGAAGTATGGTTTCCAGCGAACACTAGTGGTAGCAGTTACTAACAGATTGCCTGGGTAGCCATCGATCTCACAACCCTTGTGTCGAATCTAGACAATACGGCTTCAGACATTGTCGCATACCAGCGGGACTCAACTGTCCAACGTAAAGAACTCGCACAAAAAACTAAAGAATTCCGCAAGCTCGACGATGCGGCCAAGCTTACAGAAATCAAGGGACTATTGAAATGTGCCAACAAGATACTATCCTATACCGATACAGACTAACATCATTACAGCCTATCAGACCTTTATCGACCTCCTTACGAACCACTCCAAGTCTGTCAACTCGGCATTTCTTCAAACATATGCATCTTTCTCTGATGCTCCAGACCCGTACCCACTTCTTGAGGCCTCAGTCGATTCTATGCTCTTGTCCGAAGACACCTTACCAAAGATTACCGAAGAAAACCAGCACCTCCAAGAGAATGTTTCAAAACTTTCGAGTCAACTGGAAGAGACCGAATCAAAGCTTCAGAATGAACGAAAGGTTCGAAGAGAGTTAGAGGAGAACCTAGAGAGCCGTGTTAAGGAAGTTGAGACGTCGTGGAACGCTGTGCTAGAGGAGAAGACGGATAACTGGGAGGCCAAAGAGAAGGCACTGGAAGATAAACTGGAGAAGCAAGAGCGCCTTCTGACCGAGACGCGCGCAAGTTACGAGGTCAACCAGCGCCTGGGCAAGAATGGCGACGACCAGGAGGCTCATCGCAACCATGTCTCGAGCGCTGAGCTTGAGATGCTCCACGCAGATTTGGATCGCACAAGCTCTCGCCTGGCTGAGGTTGAGGCACGAAACGAACAAATGCGGCTGGAGCTGGCACAAGCCAAGTCATCAGCCCAACAACAACCTGAGACAAGTCTTGAGGACGATCCGGGATATATGCGTGTGAGGTCAGAGAACCAGTCTATGATCCGCAAGCTGGATGCCGCCCGTGTGGAGAAGGAGGGTCTCAAACGAGAATTGGATGGCAAGTTGCGATCTATCGAAAGAGAAGTGAACACTCTCAAGGAGGAGAGGGACACATTGAAGAGCAAGGTTCAAAAATGGAGCGACTACGAAGATATCAAGCAGGAGCTTGAGGTTCTCAAGAGTATTGAGTTCTCCACAGGTGACGATGACGAAGTAAGAGAGCACCTTGAGGCAAAGGATGCGGAGGGCAATTCTCTCGAGAAGCTTCTCTTGGCGCGAAACAAGAAGTTGGGCGATGAGTTGACGGTGCTACGTGTTTCGCATAACGATTTACAAAGTCGACTGGAGGATCTTCAAGAGGAGCTCTCAAAAACTAACGCCGAATTGGAGCGAGCCCAGAAGCTCAACCAAAAACTGGAGAGTGATTTGGAGACAATCCAGGAGGAGGGTGCTAACGCATTCCCATCTGGTGCATCTGTAGCTGGAACATATGTCACCCGGGCAATGGGCCGCAAGAGTGGCAGAATCTCGCCAACGTCGTCAATCATCAGTGGTATGGATCCCCGCATGGGAGGAGGCGAGCCCGGCGAACGAGTCTATGGAGGAGGCTCGGGCATGTTGCCCATGGTCACGGCCCAGCGAGACCGTTATAAGAAGAAGAATGCAGAACTTGAGGAAGAACTGTCAGATACGCACCGAACAGTCTCGCAGCTGCGCCAGGAAGTCGCAGCGCTTCAGAAAGACAACCTGAATCTCTACGAGAAGACAAGATATGTTTCAACATACAACCGAGGAGGCGGCGCAGCGACATCGTCGGCGTACGGGGCGAATCCAAACCCATCGACAGTGTCAATTGGCGAAACGGGCAATCCTGGCATCGCCATGGACCGATACCGCCAGGCATACGAGTCCAATATTTCTCCATTTGCAGCTTTCCGTGGGCGAGAGTCTGCTCGAGCCTACAAACGGATGAGTCTACCAGAACGCGCAGTCTACTCATTGACACGCACAGTGCTTGCTTCGCGAACCAGCCGAAACTTGTTTGCTGCATACTGCGTAGCGCTCCATTTGCTGGTGTTTGTAACTTTGTATTGGCTCAGTTCGTCAGATGTCCAGCGGGTAACTCATCTTGAGTCCGCCGCGGCAGCGGCAGCTGGAGTTGCCGGGGGCTCACTTGGCAGTCCAATGGACGGAGCGCCTAAAGATCCTGCCAAGTAGAGGGCGATGCGCCGTCTTGTTTTGTAAGTGTTTTGCTCAACAGCCGGAAAGGGAATGTGTCAACGAATCTCCGCGGGAGATGGAACTGTATCAATATCAGGATAGACCTGCGTTAAGACCGGGTCGGCAGTGGAGTCATTGGATATCTGAGATCTCGTGCTATGTACTGTACATATTAGGGAAGCAAGCGATATCTCGTGCGTTGGAAGCGAGATCCATGCCATGCCAAGATGGATGGTATTATTGTGTTGGGTGGTGAGAACCTTGAATTAGACCATAACATGATCCACCTAAGCAACCTCCTCAAGAGAAAATCAAGTAAACATGTGACAGACTTGTTCTAGACAGTCTCTGAGGTCCGCTAAAACATGCAAGTCATGATGTCGATAGAAGCTTGGCTATATTCGTCTTGATGTGCGAAAATAGCCCGTCCCAATAAGAGGGGTCGCGGGGCCAGTTGCTATTTTCTGCAGCCGCTGGCCGCTTATCGCGGCCCGTAGACATGCATGATCAGCGGTCCAATCAGAGACTTGCAGGCTGGCGGCAAGCTACACAAAGCCCTGTATGTAATTTACTCTGGCCAAGGGACTTTGTTTCTCGTTTCTTGGGAGGTCTTGGATGTTTTGATGCTGGGACGAGGTTGGTTCGTCAGTGGCGCCGAGAGATCTTGGGATCTATTAAAGGGATCTTGGGTTGGCTTGGAGATGGAGAGGGTAACATTGAGAGGCTGGAGTGTGACTTGAACTCGAGAGTTTTCGTAGCAACGTGGTCATACGGAAAAGAGAATGCAGTGCAATGGCTCTCATCATTGCTGACTGGGAATGTATAACCTCTACAGACCACCATACATGTAAACTGGCGGTCTATGTCTAGAGAGCAGGGTCAGATATATGTCTGTGTATTGTATCGTAAACGTTCTTCAATGACAGAATCGACTGCACGAACCCAGATCGCACATGGCAAAGTGCATAAAAAAGCGGAATTGTCATTGTCGTGGCATTTCCTCGTGCTCATCTCCATTTCTAAACGCCCATGCATCCATATGCCGACGCCCGAGCCAGGCGCTTAAACTAATCCCTCTGACCAATCACAACCCCAGCAACTCTCTTCAACAATCAAATGATTGGCTCTCGTTGCTCAATCTTGTTCCCGGATCACATATGAGCCAGACGTGCATGTCCATCTCAGACATTGGAAAAGGCTGGTGTTTATTTTTGTATCCAGATCTTGGCAGATAATCCAATCATGGCCATTTGCTCAGACCTACCGCCCGTACGCTTAGGCGCGTGTAACAGGGTCTTGGTTGGAGGGGAAGGCTGGTATATTAAGAGATGGGTTCGTCGCCTGACGGTGTTGAGAAAGAAAGAGGCAGGAAAAGATCTCTCTGCATTTGTCTGTCTGTATACACTCAAAGACGCTGAGCGTTCTTTTTTCCTTTTTGTCTTTTATTTCCTTTATCTGTTATTTCCTTATTTCCTAGGGTCAACAAGTTTTCTATCTCAAGTCTCGTTACGGTCGATTATCTATAAACATTTTTGTTGTTTCTTGGGTTCTGTTTCTCTTAACGGCATACGTCTTGACGACTCGAAACGATACCGACACGCTCATACCCTCGACATCGTACACATCACACATACACCTCTACACACAAGTTCAAGATGCAATTATCAACATTCGTCACTTCCGTCCTCGCGGTGACTGCCTCTGCAGCACCAACCTATCCTACTGTTACTGTCACCGATGCTGGATCCGCCATTGACGCATTAGGGTCATTGTCTGGTTACTTCAATTTGGTTGCGGATAAGGTCAAGGCAGTCAAGTCATATGGAATGGCTCCTGTCTGTGATCTCTCACAAGCTAAGATGCCTCTTGGTATGCCACCACTATTCAGTGCTTGTTCTCTTTTGGCTAACCAGTGATTTCAGATGGCCAACTACCTCCCCCAGCCAAGGGCCTGAAGCTGGCTCATGTCGCTATCGGCCGTGGTACGCAAAACTATACATGCGATACCAGCAAGCCTTCATCAGCCCCCGTTGCTACTGGTGCTGTAGCCACTCTCTTCAACGGCAGTTGCGTCGCCGCTATGTACCCAGATCTGATCGAACGCATCCCTGGAATGGCCGTTCACTTCCCTCTGTCAGATGCCAACAAGCTTGGCCCTGCATCTCTCGCTGAGTCTGGTCACCATTATTTCACCGCCGATGGTGTGCCCTTCTTCGACCTCCGCACACCCAACCAAGACATTGGTGAGGCTCCATGTGCAAAGAACAGCAGCGCTCCTGCTCCATCTCTCTCTGCCAAGGGACAGCTTGGTGAGAATGCTGTGCCATGGCTCAGACTCACCACCATTGAGGGTGCTACCCACAAGATGAAGGAAGTCTACCGAACTACAACAGCTGGTGGCAGCGCCCCTGCAACTTGCCAGGGTATGGATGCTGAATTCGAGGTTCAATATGCCACATTGTAAGTGCTTCTTTACGAGGTTGAGTACGGAGCACGACGACTAACATTGTACCAGATATTGGTTCTGGGCTGGCGATATTGAAGAAGACGATGCGTAAAGTGAAAGAAAGGAAGCAAATGGATTTTCATGGATTGGTATTATTTTGCCTTTGATGGTATTCTTCTCTTATACACGTAGATAGTATTGTTTTGGACATGTAATATCCCGGATGTTAGCGATGTGGAGGTCAATAATTCAACTTGTGACTTGAGCTTCGATTCTTTTGAGTGAATCCGTATGTCGGGGGGTTGACCGGAGCAGAAAACTTTAATGACTTCGAATCATATTATTATAACCATGCGATGCACTTCATAAGCATTTGATGCCTCTAATGTTGCAACACAGCTTAATGATCTCCGGCATTCCTCGGGCTCCAGGCCATCGTATTCCGATGGATCTCCCCATGGGGATGCCCACAGGGCTGATCCCTGAACTCAAGTTGGATTGAAGCTGCAAGAAAGACGACCGTCAGTGTAGCTTTCTTTTATAGTATCATTTCCATCATCCAATAGTTTCTTAAGAGAGTCAAAAATACGCCTCTGCGTTCTAAGCGAGGAACGGTTACCTGCAATACAGAAGGATAAACTTTACGCTGTTCACATATCGACTAAAAACGGGCACGAAATCTTGTAAACTCTAGGTACGATGAAAACTAATTCCTAGAGGCAATATACATCCATATTAACGGCTGCAACCTAATAGAGTTTAACACAGAGGCCCACTATAACCCAATGCTATACAGTATCCGTACAAAGATTTGTAGGCGGTTTCGCTTTGCACCTGTCGTGAAGGTACATTTGTGGCACGGAACATGGCCGATGGGGCACTCAGGCACTCTCCAAAAGTGGATACTTCGCTACCCTGGACTGCCCATGTCTATCCCCCACATCCTAAGGTTAGGTTAGTTAACGTCTAAACATAAACATGCCATCCCCATCCTCAACTCATTAATTTTCTCCCCTCGGAGCCGCAATCGCACAATTAACCCCGGCATAGATCGACAGCTATTCTACCAACTACCGGGAGACGAGGGCCCTGTCCCCTCGATTTCACTTTCCCCCAGACCTACATACGTTTGCCACCAGGCATTGGCCGCATCGATCCGATCCAACCCGCTCGTTCACCTGCAGTCTTGACTGCAGCCGACCGAGTACTACATCACGGACTTATTCATTCATTTATTCACCCTAGTTACGACAAAAGAGAGACACCCCCGGCGGCTATTTGCCTTCAACATTCGTCCTTGTTGCCTGTCATCGAATTATTATTATTATTCTTCTTCTTCTTCATTATATTAAACGCCTTCGTCCTCTTTTCTCTCTACATATCATCACCATTCAGTCCCCGCTGCTCCAACGCCCCGCCATCAGAGTACCTTGACGACATACTCACCCTCCGCCCGACCGAAAGTAAATCGCCTCAACCATTAATTCTCGCAGTCATTATATTCTGACAGCGCTGTCTACGAAACCGAGACTTGCAATCCGTCGACCCATCGCGATAATGGATTCCAACTGGATTGACGCCATCGACCCGGCGTTGAGTCAGAGAAGACCAAGCACTGCTCCTCCGTCGTGTGACGAAGAAATGCCCGCTCTCCTTGAACTGTCAGATTCCCATGATCGAACCCAAGCGATGTCCGCCGTTACATGGCCCACGAACGAAATTCCGGTTGAGATTTTCGAGATCATTATTTCGTACCTCACCCGCCTTGAGGTCAGATGTTTGCGACTTGTCTGTAAAGAATTCGAGGCCAAGGTTTCTGCGCAGTACTTTCGAAATGTTGTCGTACCCTTCAAGTCGGAGCTTTACAGCAAGTTGGATCGTGATGAAAACGGAGCATTTAAGCGCACATCCTCTGCTCTTCTCTCAAATGGGATGCGCATCTTCCAGTCTTTTGGTCCACACATCCGGCGCTTTGCGCTGTCTTTGGAGCTTGACGAGGACACGCTCTCATACCCCCCAGTGAAGCCTTCGCAAGAAGCTGTTCCCTCTTTTTGGGGTATATACCGGTGGCCACATGGCACCTACCACCGATATACTGATCTTGAGGGTCTCGAACAAACGGCTGACGAAACTGAGGCCATGAAGGAGGCGCTTAAGTGCTTGGTCAAAGTCACAAATCTTGGACTCTGTTGTGATGCTGGTCTTGGATTTCTGTCGGGGCCTGATCACATCGCACGAGGTGCAACCACTCTCCATCCCGTGTTTGCAACGCAGAATTGGCGTCACACAGGTTCTGAGTCACAAGCTCGGAAGCAACCAATCGTCACCATGTCCGACCTGAATGAGATGGTCAAGGATTTTAGAAAGCCTGTGTTCGAGAACCCCATTAGTTTCAAGCGAACAGTACTGCAGAAGATGGCGTCAGATGCTGGGTACTCAGGTGCCCAGATCAACGAAGCTGTGCTAATGCTGTTGGAGACTGAGGGCACCAACATCAACGCAATTGACTTTGATGAGAGAGCAACCATTATCAATGAGATGGAAGCTAGACGAGTAATGGCACAAAACACACATCGTGCTGACTTCGAGCCCGCCACCGCAGAGGTGGCCAATCATCCGCTGATTCCCGCCAGTCTCACAAGAGCACAAAAAGAAATGCTCCTCGAGCTCGAGTGGGCGCATCGCGCCATGATCCAGTCCTATGTCATTGGCCTTATCGACAATGCCCGAGACAACTGCTTCAACAATCTTACTACCATCACGATTGCCAAGATCCCCAGTAGCCATGTGTATATCCTGTGTCGGCATGAGCTATGGCAGAACCTATCGTCTCTCAGCAATGTTTCGCTAGGTGTTATTGCCGACTGGCGACGCGTTTCCAAGTCTGCCCCGGGTTGTGTAGAAGATGACACAGTTTCTCCTGTCGAGGCTGTTGGTAAGGTTTATCAGCTGCTTAACAATTACATTGGCGCTCAGCGCCACATCGAAAGCCTTCACTTTGAATGGATCTGTGGTGGAGAGTTTGCTCCTGGGACATATCAGCGGAACCACCACATCCTCCCAGCACCGTTCTTTGAACAGCCTCAACTCATGACTCGCATTGATAGCCCCAAAACTAATACGGACGATCTCTTGGCATTACCCTTTATTAAACATTTGTCACTCAAGAACTGCTGGGCCTCACCGCATGTCCTTTTGCAAACAATACGCAATATGGCTTTGTCCACACTCGAGAAGCTCGATCTGGAATCTGTGTCACTTTCCGGTCCACCGACTCTCACTCCCCAAGCTCCGCTCCAGCAAGCTGGCGCAGCAAACAATGCTCATCTGCTGAACATGATCGGGATACACCCTGCACCTCCTGGTGTGCTGGTACCTCCGCCGACCAATATAGCGAATGGGGTTGTTGCACCATTCCCATTCAACGCGACGGCTCAGCAGCTTGCAGGAGTATTTGGAGCGGCATTCATGCCACCGCCACCACCCAATAATCAGGCTCCTCCGCCGCCTCCTCCGCCTGCACCTATGGATATCTTACAGCAACCAGAGGTATTATCTTGGGCAGGCATCATAGAGCATTTCTCCCCAAGCATCAAGATCAGAGATATTTTGAGTGCCAGAGACGAGCTGAGTTTGAGTATCCCGAGCCAACCAGCCTTGGACCAGCCAGATCCCCTAGCGCAGCACATACCTGCGCCGCAGCGCCTACGCTCAGATGAGAAGAAGTATACTCTGAAGTGCCTCTCCTTCAAGTCCTGTGGGTATGTTACAGTCGACTCACCGGCTTTAAATACCCGGAGTATCTTGCCGCATGGCGCTCAAGGCCTTGGGGCCAACGGCAATCCGCACAGTCAAGATCTATCGCCTCTGATGCAGAAGTGCCGTGACAAGCTTCTCTGCCGAATCGTTCCTTGCTTAAGGAACCAGGAGCTACTGCAACTTACAACTGCTTTCGGGATGGACATGGGATGGGCCAATATATATGATGAGCGTACAATTTACGACGCTAGAGCTGATGGTGTTGAGCAACCCGGAAAAGGTCGGTTCTCGGGTACAGTTGATGCTGCCAGTATTCCAGGGGCACGAGATAGCGAGGCCATGGTGAGCCTAGACTTCTAGATCAGGCTCTACGGTGACCATGCTCAATTCCCCGTTCCCGTACGGATCGCTGTCCCTTCCCCAGTTGTGGGTAATCTTCTCAATCAACAACTATTTGGCTTACCGCTTGGTAACCAAGACGATGGTCAGGCCCCTCCGTAAGGGCTGGATGATCAGGACGACGTACAGTACCCACTGTTGCTAATAGATGACGACTCACCATGGACAGATGGTGAGAACTAAACGGTTGGGCTTAGCATGGATGTAATAGAAAAGGATGGCATAGGCGTTTGGTAATTGCTTTCGAAAATTGGTATGGAAAAAGGCAATTGGGCCTCACAGAATTGGACGGGATGGCTAATGTCGTAATGATCGCTGAATGAAAATCGAGCCAGGGGACTTTGCTCCCTATCGCATTCGCTATGTTGCCAGTTGGAATCAGTTAGGTTTGCTCAATCAATAGCTGCTAGCAAGCATTGTATATGTAATGATATCGAGGATTATGAAGGACAGTGTGATATATGTTCACTGTCGCTGAATCCAGAGTCAACCTGATGCAATGCCTCACTCGTGACGACTATCGCCAGTCTACGGGGTGCATGTTGACCTTTACTAACTAATCACGTCACATTGTTCTTCGAATGAAGGACCGGACATAGGAGGACTTGAATGATTTTATTTCGTCAAGAAAACCTTGCGAATTTTGCATGAATTTCCCTTTAATGCCATGCTCACCGTAGCCTGCCATACACCAGTTGATGAAAAGCCACGAACCACCCTCGCAAAAACCCTAGAACAATTGATCGAGTTTTGTAATGTAATCTTGGTGTAGTGTCCCTTTGTTCAAGAGTCTTGTCAAAAGTCACACAGTTACAGCACAGAAGATGCCCAACGTAAACCCAGTTTTCAACCAGCGCTTAAATTTTGTCTATTTGATAGAGGTTGGTGATTGTTTAAGCGGCGGCGATAGCCTTGCGGAGACGGGCACCGCGCTGGCGCGAGTTGAGGTGCTCGCGCTCGACAACAGCATCGGACTTCTGGACAACCTCCTCACCCTCGGTCAGGATGAGCTCGATGTGGCAGGGGTTGGACATGTAGGGGTTGATCTGAGTATGACGTTAGATGAGTCTCAAGTCGGAAGGGTTGGAAAACATACACGACCGTGGGCACGGTATGTCCTTCGTCGCTGCTTGGGGGCCTGGTTGACCTGGATGTGCTTGACAATCAGGGCACCGGTGTCGAGACCCTTGGCATCAGCGTTGGCCTCAGCGTTCTTGAGGAGACCGAGGAGGAACTCGGCGGACTTGACGGGCCATCGAGCCTTGGAGACACCGAACTGCTTGCCTGTTGATTAAGTCCATCAGCATTTTTGTTCCTCTAGCGTATATATCCCGACCATTTGAGATCTCCCAATTTCTCCAAGTCCATCGCTAACTGGGGAAGAATTTGTCGAGTCGTACCTTGGGCGGTGCGGCCAGTGCTGCCGGCATATCGTCGCATGGGGACGGCCTCCTTGTGCTCCTTGACGTTCTCGAGGAAGGTAACAGCGCGCTGAAGCTTCCAGCCGTTGATGGCCTGGGCGGTCTCGCGAGTGTTCTTGAAAGACACTCGGAGGTAGGCACCGCGGGCGCGGGCCGACTTCGAGGACTGGATCTCGGTGGCAGCGTATCGAACCTGTATGAGAAGAAAAAGCCAGAGTCAGCCATGGCACATCTTCAAAATCCATGCCATCAGAGCCATCATAAACACAGCGGTTTCGGTTCAATGCGGACGTTTCGTCAAAAATTGCACCAGCAAGTTCGTGACAATTCGTACAACATGAATATCCTCCTCTTTCTCATGATGGCGATCGACGGGGGCTCGCAGCTACTCACCATCTCGGCGACTTGGGTGGTGAGTGACGGTTTCGACGACGAACGTGGGTTGGCGGGCGTGAAATTGAGAAATTCTGAGCTCTTGCCCTAACAGATCGGGAGGGACCACAAACTCGCTTTCCCCACTCCTTTGGGAAAGAGCCTTAGGGTTGCCTGCCCTGTTAGTGCGTTTTACGAAAAGCAGCCTCAAACGACCAAAAGAAATGCGACAAAATGGAGAGCAACGAGAGGAATACTGCGATGGAATGCAAATAGTAATTGAGTAGTATTGAAATATTTTATGACTTGTTGCGCGGTGATTTTGTGTATCATTTGCACACTTAGATGTGAGCCATGTCACCTGATTCTTATCGACTATCGCCACGTGACTGCACCATGCAATGCACCTTCCGTTGCCGTTCTATCCCCGGACCCGTCTCGGAGACGGAGAAACTTGGACAGACAAAGTGGGCCTGAGCTTCATAGAGCTTCAAAAAATTCTTTCTCAAGTGTCTCTCAAAACGCCCAGCGTCCATAGACAAGGCTATACAAAAGACAAGTTTGGACTTTGATCCACGTCCGCCTTCTCTCGACGATATCCCTTCGCTTGGAATCCTTCTCGATAACGACATATAGTCGTCTGTAATTCTTCCAAACTTATTCAATTCCTCTTCATCCCATTAAGATGGCTCCTTTCACTCCTCGAGGAGGCGGCCGTGGTGGTCGTGGCGGCGCTCGTGGAGGCCGCGGTGGTTTCGGTGGTGATCGCGGCGGCTTCGGTGGCCGTGGTGGTGCGCGCGGTGGACGAGGTATGATTAGCGCTCTCGCGGCGTTCCTGTCGCGGTGTTGTTGAACTTGAAGACTGACTGTTTCGCAAAGGTGGTGGCCGTGGTGCTCCCCGTGGCGGTCCTCGCGGTGGTGGCCGAGGTAAGCATTAGTCCTCCTCAACAGCATGATGAATGCGATACTAACAGAATGAAAAGGTGGTCCTCGCGGCGGTCGCGGCGGTGCTGGTGCTGGCCAGCGAGGCGGTGCCAAGGTCATTGTTGTAGGTTGATCCTCTAAGTCTAACTTTTTCGCCAAGTTTTGCGATCTAACTTTTTTCTTCACAGGAGCCTCACCGTCACCCCGGCGTCTTCGTCGTCCGTGGTGGTAAGGAAGATGGTCTTGCTACCCGCAACACAACACCTGGCGAGTCTGTCTACGGCGAGAAGCGCATCTCTGTCGACGAGTCTGTCCAGAACGACGATGGCACCACTACCACCACCAAGATCGAGTACCGCATGTGGAACCCTTTCCGAAGCAAGCTTTGCGCTGCCATCGCCGGTGGTGCTGATGAGATCTACATCAAGCCCGGCTCTCGTGTCCTCTACCTTGGTGGTGCCTCCGGTACCTCCGTCTCTCACGTTGCTGACATCGTCGGTCCTACTGGCTACGTCTACGCCGTCGAGTTCTCTTCCCGATCCGGCCGTGATCTCATCACCATGGCCTCCAAGCGACCCAACGTTGTTCCCATTGTTGAGGACGCCCGTCAGCCTGCCCGTTACCGCATGATCGTCCCCATGGTCGATGTCATCTTTGCCGATGTTGCTCAGCCCGATCAGGCCCGTATTGTCGCCATGAACGCCAACTGGTTCCTCAAGGTCGGCGGTGGTGTTCTCATCTCCATCAAGGCCAACTGTATCGACAGCACTGCTCCCGCTGCTGAGGTCTTTGCCAACGAGGTCCAGAAGATGCGAGCTGAGTCCATCAAGCCCAAGTTCCAGCTTACCCTGGGTATGTTTTACATCCAACAACCAATAACTTTTGGTCCACCTGACTAACATATTACAGAACCCTTCGAGCGTGACCATTGTTTGGTTGCCGGTGAGTACCAGCGCTACAAGTCCTAGACGATCTAGGTCGAGCTGCTGTGTAATTCGCTTCAAATGAAGGTTGAGAAGAGATGGTCTGCTTTGTGTCATGCGGTTTCCCAGGTATCTCACGGTTCCCGGTAGACTTTTTGTCTTCAGCTTGTTGCATCAGGGAAAAAATGGTTGACGGCATTTTCTTCAACAACGGCGAGGGGCGTTCCGGGTGGGTTGGATCTGTAAATATCAATGTTTGTCCGAATCTTAGAGCTTTTTTGGTGTTGCGCATCCCAAAAAAGAATCTGAAAAGGAACAAGGATATCAATTACTTATTTTGTTTTCTTCTTCAAACGACTACGGATCTACTTTTCAGTTACAACTGCACCTTTGCCCTGGGACGCGTCGTTGGTTAGGCCGTTGGGAGAGAGATGGCACGGGATCAGAGAGGATTGTACGATGCTATAAGGCCAGGCCAGTGGCTCTCGTCTGCCTGACCTACGACTTGATGATACCCCCATACGATAGCCACGCCCGGAGTCCCAGTGTTGTGTCTTTGTTAGATTAGAACAGTTCGAGCAATGCAATTCGTTACCTCTAGTTGTCTATGCCCCGATCATCGCTCACGCTTGGCCTTACACGTAAGTCTCGAGACTTTTTAAACTAAAATTTTGTTCTCGGAGCTAGTCAATCTTGTGCGTGTCTTTCCTACTACGCATCTACAATGCTACATCTATGTTCTATGTACAAGCTAATTTAAATGTACTGGGTATCAAATAGTTCATGATCATACTCCCTTCCTTCAAGCTGCCCACGATCTTCGTCGAAACTCCAGTTCGGTATCTGGAGAAGGAGCCTTAGCCATGACCACCGACATGGCCTTTGGTCTATCTTCGCCCGCTTTCAAGCGGATATCATAGTTGATGAGTAGATGTGCCAGCACAAGCTTGATCTCATTGCTGGCAAAGAAACGGCCCGGGCACGCATGCTTGCCTGCGCCGAAATTGATATATGTGTCGTTGAGGGATGTGAATTGCCATCGGTTACTGGCTTCTGCTGATTCTTGTCGAAGCTTGTAGAAGCGGAAGGCATCGAAGCGTTCGGGGTCGGGGAAATAGCGCTCGTCGAGAGCGATGCCGGCTTGAGGAGCGAGGACTTTGGTGCCTACCGGCAGTTCGGTGCCATCGGAAAGGGAGATGGGCTTCATGACCTTGCGAATGAATGATGCTATGTAATGGTTAGCTGTCTTCGAGATATCGACGAGTGTTGTTGGTACTCACTAATGTTTCCACTGAGACGCTGGACCTCCCTCATGAAACTGTCCAGCTTCTTCAGCTTGGCCATGCTCTCCTTGTTCTCCCATCCATTGTCCACTTCCAGAACGCGATACGCCTCTTCTCGAAGTTCTTCCTGTACTTCGGGGTATGCGGCTAGGTCGCAAAGGCATTCGCAGAGCAGGTTATTGGTTGTGTGGATTGAAGCCGCTGCAATAATCAACTGCAGTTCTGCCTGGGTTGTGAGATCGGCCTTTTCCTCCTCTGGAAGTGCTTCAATAAGCCATTGGATCATGTCGTCTGGTGCATTTCCTCCGTTGGAAAACTCCATATCTCGGAGTCGCTCTTCAAGGATTGGTTTTAGCATTTCCTTGGCAATCTTGATATCCTTGCGGATCTGGCGAAGCTCTGAGACAAGATGCTGGCCCACAGGTCGAGCCCACTCAGGGATGAACTGGAGCTTGACGCATGCTGTAAAGACATGAACGGCAAAGTTGATCGAAGTGTCCATCCACTTCTCATCTCGGTTGATGGATGGTCCAACGAAGGCTCTGCCACTCAGACGGGCCACGGCACGAAGACTGAAGGGTTGCCATTTCACCGGTGTCCAGTCTTCGCAGACCGGGAACTCAGTGGCTAATAGATGCTCCAGTTCCTTTTTGAGAAGAGGTACCACTCGAGTGAGGTTCTGTGTGAGTTTTGTTCTGACCAATAGCGCCAGTAGTTCACCGTTGTGGCCTGGAGAGAATTTTGTGTACTTGCTTTGAAGTGCCTAATGATTGTTAATATTTTGTGTTAGAGGCGAACTTGAAGAAGTGGTCTTACATCCGACACGGCTTCTGTTGCACTGAGGATATCTTCTGGCAGTCCCTTGAGTTCACCAACGAGACGGGCGGGTACTATGACTTGTACTCCCTCAGTAGCCTTGATCTGGTAAACTCGATCTCGAAACTGGTACAGCATGAGTATTTGTGGTGTAAGTGACACTGAATCGACCAACCTTTGTGTAGCTGTCTTTGATTAATGTTTCGGCGTCGAATATCCATTTGGTCTTTGAGGCCTTATAGAAGGGTATCTCAAGATGAGATGTCTGCTTCTTGGGAAGAAAGAACCAGATTGCAATAAGGAAGATAGTGATGGTGATGTAGTATCCAGTGCAATGACCCTCACTGACGAACTGGGGGAGCTGATAATCTACACCAACAGGTGAGGCAGCAAGACTTGATACGTTCTCCATACTGAGTGTGAGGGTGGGTGTAAGAGGGTTCAAGAAGGGAAATAAAGATAAGAATAAAAGAGACTCTTTGGTAGATAGATAGATATCAAAATGGATGCCTCCCTGAGTACGGTTTCAAGATGGAAGGCTAGTCTATACCGAGGGTGTGTTGAGTTATAAGTGAGTGGTATCAGTAGTGTATCAGAAAAGTGTCCCCTCCATGAAAGGAAACGGCACTGGAAACTTGATCGGTGATGGACAGATTCGGCGAGACTCGTGCTAAACACGCGAGACATAAAATACCCGAAGCGAATCAGAGATGGGGTTTCTTGCAGTCTTTACCGTAGCCGTTTCTTATGCAGATAATATGTGAGATATAGAGAGAAAAGAGGGTGGTAGTGGTGGTACAGAGGCAGAGCCAAGACGAAAGCCGTACGGGACAACATTCCTTTTGACAACTGGCTCAATGTTGTTGATCTTTGAGTGGACGATTACATTTCTGTTCCGTCTTTGAGAGAAGGCCTGAACATCGTTGGTCTGTGTTGTCCTGAGACAGACTTGTTCAAAGAGCCGCTCTCGGGATGTGGCATTTCCGAGTGTTAGTCTGACGTTGGGTATCAGACTATCAGTAGCGTGAGATGTTTCTATCTAGTCTATGGCCTTGAATACAAGATTGTCTCTAATAAATTGGAGACTTCGCTCATGTGGATGGAATTTGACCATCCGTCTTTTCCGATCATCGTTGTTGATGAATGGAATGAGATGGGCGAGTGAGTTGAAGATCTTCACTCAGTCCGAGTGGTGGGTTTGTTACCATGTTTACCATGTATGGAAAATGGCCAGTCTCTTGTCTCTGAGTCTCTCATTTATTCTCATTGATGAGGTTACCATCTTAGATGAGGTGGTTTACTTGCAGTACAGTACAGCTCATCACACAGCTTTGGTGATGGTCATTACATGGCCGTGCTGCGTGTGATAGTTTAGTGAGCCCGTGACTAGGAATGGCCCTAGTTTCTCGGATGTCGGGACTTCCACTCGCTAGCGTCGCTGACCAGCAGCGGAAACTCCAAGTTCCGTCGGGTCCTTGCGCTTCTGGGATATTTCGATCTGCCCTACAGCCAACGGCAGTTGTCGATTTCCATCTGAGACCATCTGCATCTGACACTCGGTCGCAATTTTATTTTTCTCTGTATCACAATATCCCTGATAAAAATAACGGACTGAGATTTCGGATCTGGATCTGGCTTCAGCGCAAACCCAAGTCTCAGATGAGATGCCCTTCAAATTCGCTTCGCTTCAGCTCGACACGCAGACGAGGCAGCTTTGGGGTAACAGATGTTACATATCTGTTACCGACTTGTTTGATAGGGCAATAAGCACTATCCAGTTATCAACTCCACGCATCAGATGCTGTTTCTTTCAATGTCTCATTCAAATCTGAAGAATATTTCTCAAACATGTCTGATGGTACGGTATCATCAACTAATTATTTGTATTTTTCCTTGATTTATGTTAACTCAATTCATGCCCACCCTCAGGTCTCAAGACCTTGGGCACTCAACTTGGCCAACAAAACCTTACCTGCTCATGAAACCTCGAATATTTATAAAGTCTTAGCCCAGGCCTTTTTCGCAATGTCGACGTGACGGGCAAAAGTTTGTCTCAATTGCCGACCATTGCCACTCAGGTTTATCCTTTACAATGGAAACGCATGGGAGCTTCAATATGGACTATGGAGCACGACTTCATACTCCTATGGAACAACCTTTCCTGGTTTTCCTTTGCTCACTCAGCTTATCAGCCCGCGGGCTCAGTTCTGCGTTTTCGAGTATTTCGCAAATGAAAAATTTTCACTCATGTCGTCAGTCAGAGTCAGCCTCGTCGAGTCCATGTCAGCATCTTTCAAGCGATAGATCAGATCCAGTTGCACGACTTGCACGGCTTGCACCTCGATTCCTGCTACGCAAGGTCCCTTTACCATATCGAGCGGGATACATGGTTACACAAGCCGTATCTGTTTGATAATGAATAGTTCGCCCGTCCACTATAGATATCTCTGCGATCCGCTCCGCTCCTCCTCTTCCGTGCCGTCCCCCCACACTGTTCCTGTTTCTTTATGCACTTCAGAAGCAGGCAGTGCTCGATAACCAATCATGACAAGCAATGCTTACCCCAGACGCCCGTTGTTGAAAGGTTTTCACATCATTCTTCAGGGACCCTGGCCCTGGGGATGTTTTCCGTCTTCTCTTTGGCTGATCCGGGTTTATCTATCGTATGCGTCTGCCTTGCCAGCAATCAACTCATTTCGAACGAGGCACCCGCAGCCACGTTGATGATAGTAAAGCCAACCGGGCGGTATTCAGCTCATATGCGAACATGATCGACGTCAGAACGAGGGAGCCAACTGCAGAATGGGAAAATTTTTCACTGTCATTGAGGGGGTTGTGAGATATGGGGGTGGTTGTTGTTTGTGTACTTGCCAAGCTCTCTTGATTTATATATCAGACATCGTTTCCGCGTGCCCTCAGCCGACATTATAATACATCAACATCTCTCAAACTCAATGGTTCCTGGCATGCCCCTATTCCGTGCACTTCAAAATGGCAGACTTTCAAGGACTCGGGGCCAAGTTTGACGGCTTCCAGAGCTCGACAAGTGGTAGCTCATCAAGTCCATTTGTAGTGAGTGTTACTCATATGATATACTCAAGGCTATCTCTGACTTCGAGAAGCAGGCTTCTGATACATCTTCACATACGTCCATATCTCTCGCTTCCAATGGCTGCTTGCCACCTCTTTCTACTCATGATACAACAAAGTCGCAGCATCACATGAACAACTTCCAGCAATTTGTCGACGATCTTCAATCGGTGCTTCCATCTGCATTACGTGCTTATATGGATGCTAATGGTCTTTAGGCTGCCAAGCGAGCGTTCCCTAACTCTGCGTACTCTCGATACAGCGAAGTTCAAGTACTCCTGATAAGATGGGAAGAAGACGAGCTCGAAGTTGAATGGGAGCTCAGCGAGCTACAAAGGGTCTTCCACCGTTTATACGGCTTCACAACAGACAAGTTCCTCATTCCAACCCAAAACTCTCATCGCAAGCTCAATCACAAAGTATTGAGCTTTGTGGAGGAACATGAGAATGAAGATACCCTTCTTATCGTCTACTACGGCGGACATGGGGTCATCAACAAAGCCAGACAATCAACTTGGTCTTGGTATGAGCAGTGTTCTCCCCATCTAACTCAAGCTGACTCGGCGTCTCAATAGTAAGGGTGACAAAAGCTACGCGACTGTGGAATGGTCTGCTATCCAGACTCTTTTTGAAATGGTCAAATGCGATGTTCTTCTTCTCCTCGACTGCTGTGCTGGTGCAAGTGCCGCTCCTCTGACTGAAAGGCCGACAAACATCAAAGAGACCATCGCGGCCTGTGGGTTTGAGACATGGACACCTCGTCCAGGCGCACAATCATTTACCCATACACTGATCGAGGTCTTGAAGGAGTGGGCCTCACAGCTCCCTTTCTCGGCCGCGATGCTACATAGCGAGATATTGACTCGACTCAAACACGCTCAGCCTGATCGGTCTTCACAAGGAAGGTTGATCGAGTCAAGGAAGACGCCTGCTTACATTCTCTCAACATCTGATCCACATGCTGCTTCCATCACCTTGGGCAGAATGTTTGAAGAAGAGTCTAGCTCGGTGTCGTCATCTCGGGCAATACCTGAGTCAGATCTCAGGAGTCTCTCGGAGAGAGTGCAGTCAGATAGTTATATCTCGGCTGAAGATCGTATCCAGGCCTTGTTGGCTGTAGGTGCAAAAGGACAACGAGCGGCCCCGCATGTTATTCTCACAATTGCACTGGAAGAAGAACAAGTCTTCGATGCAGCGAGTTGCGCTCGATGGCTAAAGCAGTTTCCACTCTTGGCAACTCATGTAAGTGTGGAGTCTGTCTACCACAGTTACTCAACCCTGCTCCTACTTTCTGTGCCGGTCGTTCTTTGGGATCTACTACCAGAACATCCGGCGACTCAGTTTGTGGGCTACGTCAAGTCCCGTAACCTCTTGTCGGTAGATATGGCAAAGGATGGAGCGGCTACGCCAATCCCCATTGCCAGACAAGTGACGGATGACAAGCCTGGCGATTCCTTTGATTGCGCTTCTCCGCTAAGATCAGTATCAGGCCTCAGTAGCTTAGATTCTGGATACGATTCCTGTCTCTCACGACCTGCGAGCTTAGGTGTGGCATTGAGGCATAATCGACTACCCATGGATGGGACAATGGGCTCCGTGGCTAGCCAGGCACTAGCAAGCAAGAGAAGAAACAAGTTGTCATCAGCAGAGCTTCTGGGTCCAGACCGGCCAACTTCTACGCCAGTAAACACTCGTTTCAATCCCAAACAGGGGTCGAGTTTGAAGAGCCGCAGATCAAAACGTCTGGTCGTGTCAGTTGGCGAAGCGGAGCTGAACAACGACAAAATCGGCCACACTTGTGTTCTCTGGTATGGATATGATGTTCAGCAAAGCCAACCTACCAAGAGAACAACACCAAAACCAATATGGTAAGTAAGATGTCATGTCGACCAGGTTCGGTGGATGTGGCTCTCCATCTATGTGTTGTCATTTCTGCTGGCGCAAGTTGAAATCTATACTACGACCCATACTTTCACTGAGGTTTGAGTGTGAAATTGTCGCTGAGATTGGTCTAGGAACGAGGACTTTCGGTTTGAAGTACATGATTCGCCGATGTACTACCATTTGAGGGTTTCTGTGTGGGGAGCGCAGATGCTTGAGCTTATTGGCGAGCTGCATGTTGATCTCTGTGAGCTTGTATTAAGGGGACAGCTACCAGAGCTTAGAACATGGCAAAGCCTGAGTTGCAATGGCGCGGTGGTCGGGAGAATTCGAATTAAGCTGGCATGCATGGATGCCAACGACTACGAGGAACAACAAACCACGGCAGCCAAGGTTTCAGCAGCGAAACGGCAACAACAGCGGCAGAAGTTGGAACGACAACAGAGTGATGACGGGCAAGCTCGGGTTCACCAGATGGACTTCCAGGTTTGGTAAAGGAGCATTGGTCTCGGTATCAGGAGAAGTCAGGGAACGGCGAGTCGGGTCGGTTTGTTTGAATCCGGTAAACTTTTGACGAGGATCATAGCAAGCATGGCATGGCACTCATCCTGCAGGTAAGTATATTACTCGTGCTGAGTACATTCAAAAGGGAGTGAGGAAGACAGCGGAGACCACTGAAGTGATCGAATGTGACAAGAGAAACCCCTGTCTAGTGACGGGGACGGTACTTGGCAGTCTCCCCACGCGAGGTAAAATTCCAATTCTTTTCCATCTTATCAGATCGTGGCTTGCTGTCCGACTCTGACCCATCGAGCTGGGTCAGGGCTGAAGATGGCGTCTTATTTTCCACAGTGGGACAAGTCCCAACGCCAACAAAATTCAAGAAAAGCAATTTCATTTCCATCCCCTGATCGAACAAGTTTTTAGAACAACGTGATATCAGGTTTGTCGGTGAAAGGGAACCTATCCCTGAAGATGCTGCCATGGCTGAGAATATGGAATCAAAGGGAGGTCAATGTTGGCACAGACCAGCTCACTCAGCAGGGAGTAGGGTTGTCTGACTGTGTCCTCTGTGTGCTATACACGTGAATACCACAAGGTTTTGATATGCAGCATGAGATGGATGCGTCAAAGAGCCAGCGAAGCAACCCAACAACAATAGGCGGTGGGTACGTTGGGCATTATCATCAGAGTGCATCCCGTATAATTAAGGAATGGCCAAGCTGTTCTGTTCTATTCTGCTCGACTAGTTCCGAGATCGGTGAGCTTATTCGTGTACAGTATTCGTAATTAGCATGTCGCATCCCATCATCTAAAGAGATTAGATGGGATTGATAAACCCCCCAATCAATCTGATAACTTTTTCGCATGGTCAAGGCTGAGAGCCATGGCTCGCTGGGACGATCCGATTGGTCAAGCCAAGCCACTTGGAATAATGGGAAAATGAGGAAAGAGTGTCCGGAACCGGGATGTCCTGGCAACGAATGGAAGCCACAAAAACTTGGTTTTTGTGACATGAATTAATTTCACTGATTTTAAGCTCGAGGCACGAGAAGCCGAGGAAAATCACGGGTCAGTAAATGTTGGTGTTGGCGTGTCAATTGAGTTGGAGAATGGGGTAAATGAGGCATGTGACTCCTTGGGGCCCTTTCCAAGACGCACCCCATCTCACTACTGACACTGCCTGCACTGGAGACTGGTTACACCACGACTCCCAATAGAATGAGCCGGGGAAGAGGAATGATTTACCGCAGAAATCTCGCACTGCCGCTTGGTCACGATCTGTACGATTGTGGGGAGGCTGAGGCAGTCACAGCTCATCAATTACTATACACTTTACCCATCTTGGAACAACTGCATCTGCATCTACACATCGGTTCAGATTTCGGAATCAAAGATGGTGGGAACTTGGAAACTGAACGAATCAATAATGCGGGGAGAACGAGGGGAAATTGCTTGACAAACACCCTTCTTCAAGCAACGAATAGGTACTAACTAATCTGATAACGGGCTGAACGATAACGACGGAGAAAGAGATAGCGTCTGCGGGCGCCGCCGTTATCCAAGACGAACGAAAAGAAGGTATCCCAACCTTTCCTTTTCCTCGGGACGCCCCACGGAAACGCTCGGTTCGGCCGTCGGACGAGTTCCGCCAAGAGGCTTCAGAATTCGGCTGTGGACCGGATACTGATGGGTGAGAGGAAGTCATTGCATTGAACCGGCAAGTAAACAATGATCTGATTTTTTGTTTCTTTTTACTCAGTTTGTCCATTGAGGTAATCCTCGGTCAGTAAATCGTCGTAATCGTACCTGTCTGCTGTATATTATATTCGGTTGTTGGGGGACGTAGACGGAACTGACAGGCCACAATTGCGGGAATAGACGGCATCTCTCTATTCTGGTGGCCTGACCCGAAAGCTGGAGCCGTTGGCTTATTGACTCGGTTACATTAACGCCTGCCGTGAGTGGTCGGTTCAAGGTCCCGACCCTTGATCAGACAGAGCCTCATGAATAGTGAAATCCTGACCGCTGAGTATTGAGCCATTGATTGATGAACCGAGAAGACCCGCTTGTTGAGTAGCTCGTATGATCTACATGAATGTGCCGTTCAGGTTCCTGAACTGTAATTTCCGGTTCTGTATAATCTGATTATGAGGCGTGGGTGTAGCCTGTCAATACCCAACAACAAATAAAGAGTGAGGGGAAGTTGATCTCTCACTGTGAGAGGCTGTGTGCAGTGAGTTGTGGTGTCGGCCAAGCCGATTCAGTGTTGCTGTATGCAAGTCATCTTACCCTAAACCAAAGTTTGAATTTTTCTAGATTTTCTAGCTTTCTGGCGAGGCCTGTGATTGGCTCAGTTGCCAGATTATCAGATCATTAGTAATTATTTGTCTTCACCAAGTCTTCCATAAAACTTCATAAGTGTTAGGACACAACAACAGAAAGCAATTGATGCTGTTCGATCAGATCTTGGGATTAGAGGCATAACGTAATAATTGGTGAATGTCAAGAATATGCACAAAATACGGCTATTCGCTACAAATGCTTGATGTGTCAAGACAAAGAATCGACAATCAAGTGGCTGATTGATAAAGGTGGCTCCCAATCAAACGAACCAATCAAAGAAAAGATCTGTGCAAGCCGGCCAGCGTTGCACAAACCGGTCACTGGATCGGCAAGCATTAGATCATAGCCCGTCATGGAAAAGAAGCAGAGGGAACTGTTTCGCCGACTATCGATACAAGATAACAAAGACTGCATAATCGAGTGGATGATTGTTTTAATCCGGAGAAAGGATTCCCGTAGGTACCTTTTAGGATAGGAGAAACAATATTTGAAGATGCTGAGCCCACGTGCATGTGATTCGATTACACCAGCCCAGGCCTGCTGAGACAAACAAAAGCACTGACTGACTGATTTATTAACTAACGGTGATTGATTGATAACGAAATTGCGACTAGGGAATGCTCCTGTTTCGGACTTCCTTTGTTTCTTTGTTAGCATTGGCCAGAACAATGGATGACTCTCAAGCCCCCTTTTTCATCATCATCTCAAAGCAATTACTATGCATTTCTTTAATCTATCCTGTGGCCTGTTGTTGTAAGGAGAGTTGCTAGGGGCCTGGACCGGGATCGTTCGAATTCGGGTTTTACGATGGGCTGGGGAAGAGAATAAGATGCCTGTCGCTGGTGACCCGACTGCCAGGTGATTGGGTTACAAGGGATCCAATTATCGCGTGTACCTGAGGAAACACAATGCAGAGTTGATATGTAATTTGAAGAATTTAGTGAAGATCTAGTGAAGATTTTATAATGCATTGCTCATCAATTGAATATTACAGTATCAAATGTCAGATGGCCCCAATAGGTACCTAGCGATAGTGGACGTCCGGGGCTGGCTACAGCGCAGTAGTCTAGGGCCACACCCCCCTTTGCCCGGTCTGATAGCCCCACGGTGGATATCCCCAACCCGCATCGGGGGCGCTTTGTGTTCAGTTCAGTTCAGGTTCCCTGGATTTTTTAAAACCTCCCGCTGTCGGCCACTACTTACTATTTGAGTCTTTTGCCCCCTCCAGCTTTCCTCAGCTTCTTCCCTTCACCACACCAGCAAAGCTTCTTCATTCCAGCAGTATCTTGTCAATCAATTCTGCTTCAACTGGAAATCTACTAATCCTACAATCTATACCCTATTCGCCTCTAGACGACAGCACTCGCATCCCTGTTCCTGGACCGTCATGCTCTTTGCGTCCTGACGTCGCTTTCAAACCATATCATACCACACAACTCACCGCACAAACCGTCACGATTTACTCGCTGCGAAGAGCAATTCAACAACACCTACACCCAACTCTACACGACTTTCAGCGGGTGGCTCAAACACAACTTTGGCCCATCATGACTGCTCCTGCCATTCGAATTGACGGCATCGTCAACCCCGCCGCTCCACCTCATCCCGAACTGATCATGGCTGAGGGTGCCCCTTCAATTGCGCCCTCATTGACTTACTCGGACGATTCAGACTCACAAGAAGATGAGCCCGTCATCCCTCTCGAGCGCCGCCGTCGCGCATCTACACGTCTGATTGCCCAGAATGCCAGGGACATTCAGCGAATCACTGGTGAGACACCAGCTGAATATATGGATCGCTGCTGTGGTGGTGCTTGCTGCATGGGTGACCGAAATAATGTCGAGTATGAGCAAGTTACTCTACCTGACAACGATGCTTTCAAGTCTCTGGGTCTAAGACTTGAAAACATTCCCGCCAACTTGACCGGCATCATCGATATGCCTGAGCAAACTGTGTCTTTCACCTCAATTCCTCGACCGACTTCCTCACCATCCGACTCTGCCATCTCTCTCGGCTCCGACTCTGAGTTTTCGCCGACAGCCACTCCTCCCAAGAACAACTACCTCGTTCCTGGACCTGGATATGAGGGTGTTGACACCTCAATTCAACCCCCTCGCTTTGTTCAGCCTCACCCTCCCCACAATGTCTACCCAGCCAGGATCCACAACACTCGTGAGCTCACCAAGCCTGGCGCCGAGAAGAGAACCTTCCACTTTGATCTCGATATTACCGACTACCCCCCTGAGGAGGTTTTTGACTTCAAGGTTGGTGGTGCCATTGGTGTCATGGCTCCCAACGATGAGATCTCGGTCGATGAGATTCTGGATGCTCTCATGATCCCACGCTTCCAGCGTGATAAGCCTGTCCTCATGAAGACCACCAAGGGCCGCTGGCCTACTGTGTGGGGTGATGACAAGCCTCGTGAGCTCGTTACCACGCGTCGCGAGCTCCTCACTTGGACCACCGACATTCAGTCTTATGCCCCAACCAAGGAGCTCCTCCGTGTCATTGCCGAGCACGCCACTGCCCCTAACGAGAAGAAGATTCTCATGTATCTCTGCTCCAACGAGGGTGCTAGCATTTTCTCCGACTTCCGCGGTGGCCCCCACGTCACTCTCTCACAGATCCTCAACGCGTTCCCCAGCTCTCATCCTCCCATGGACCAGCTCCTGTCCGTCCAAGCTCAGCTGATGCCACGATTCTACTCTCTCTCCAACGACCCTACAGAATCTTATACTCTCCGCGAACATGCTCAGCGACGCTTGATCGAGATTGCCGTCACAGTCCACGACTCTATGGATTGGCGACGTGGCTGCCGCGCTGGCGTTGGCTCTGGATTCTTTGAGCGACAGGCCCACAAGTTCATGAGAGCTCAAGCTGCCGGCGAACGTGCCCCTCAGATCTTCATTCCCATGTTCAAAGGTCTGATGGCCAACCCTCTGGCTAAACAATTCAACTCGGATGGTCCTATGCTCCTGATTGGCGCTGGTGTCGGTATTGCTCCTTTCCGTGGCTTCGTCCAGCGTCGCCTCAAGCAGGCCAACTGTGCCAATAAGGTCTGGGTCCTCCAAGGTATCCGAGACTCGCTTGTAGATGAGATCTACAGTGGTGAGTGGGGTGTTCATGAGGAGGAAGTGAAGCGTGTTGTCCAGAGCCGAGTGGGTACCGGCAAGTATGTTCAGGAAGAGGTTATGAACCAGTCTGATCTGGTCTGGTACATCATCAACTCTCTGGATGGCCGTATCTTTGTGTGCGGAAGTAGCAAGGGCATGGGCGAGGGTGTCGAGGAGGCTTTGTGTGATGTCGCCATGGAGAAGGGCAACCTCGAGCGCGAAGAGGCCCGTAACTTCTGGAAGCTCAAGAAGGAAGAGGGCAAGTACATCTCCGAGACATGGTAGATGTTTTAGCCTGCGACTTGATTCCAGCGACTTGATTTAGGAAGTTTTGGATGACGTTTGTTTTATACTGAAGAGGAATCATAGGGATCATTGTAACAAAAAAAGGAAAAGTTGCAAACCGGCGCAAGCTGGATGGTCGCATGAAAGAAGGATGGCATATGGCATTTTCTGATTCGAGACAAGAGGAGCATTGGGCTGGGCATGGTAACGGCGTTACGGGAGTTAAAGTATAAGGTGGCAGTTTGCATAGTGCTACTATTTCTTCTACAAAAATACCATCGGCAGCGGTCTGGACGGGATAGGATTGACAAAGAGCTTGCTCTATCCTCGCCGAGAAATGAATTTACAAACATTAAGAAACATTGTCCTACTAAAGTTCCAGTGATGCTGTGACTGTACGATGCACTTAAATCGAGTCTCGAGGTGTGCTGCATTTGTCTGGTTTTCCAAGGCTTTCTACCGTATTGTTGCTGTTTGTCCCTTGAATCTATCACCAATCAAGGATCCTTCTCACATGCAAGCAAGTGATTAAAATCTCACCAACAGAAGACCTGTCAAACGTGAGCTTCCCGTTGTCAGATTTCCTTTTTTGGCATCTGGTGAGATATGATAGGGCAGATGGGTTCGGCATCTAAGCGGGAGCTCCAATATGCATGGGTTCATCTGCTGTAGAAAAAAGAAATATGGTTATGTCAGCGGATCTTTGTACCAGGAGCCATGCGCCCGGATGCATTATCAATCTCGCGCGCGCGCGTATTGCAAATCACGAGCGGTCAAGAGTCTAGGAAGTCTCCGAGTGTACTCGAGTCTCGCGACTAATCAGATGAGACAATTTTGGAACAGTTTCAGTGATTGACTCGCTCGACGTATGTTTTACGAGTGGAGGGCAGCTGAATACCTAGCTGATGCTTCGCTTACATGGAATTATCAAGCTGTGAGGGCTGCTCAGTGCATCTGGATGGCTGGTTACGTTTGTCAGCGGAATTGTAAAGTCTCGATCCGATTGATATATCCGAGTTTCTGTTAGCATCCATGGCTCCACCATGCTGCCAGACTCGACATTGAAGAGTAGGTATGTACATGAGGTAGATGACATCAAGCAACGACCGCGTCAAATACAGGAGATGTTAAGTTCAGGATTGCTAGTTAGAAGACACTATTAGTCGCAGTGATACGATTATGGCAATCATCTGAATGATTATTTCCACTCATCATTCGAGAAACGAAGCCCAATTCAAGCGTGGCTTCAGGGTAACTTCCGACTGACGCTAACCTCATTTATATGTATATCCGGATGGAATCGTTCGGAAAGATATCCCAGGTCTAGCGCGCGCGAGAAGAAATTGTGAGCGGGTGGCTGACAAACTGATTAGACAGGCACAGGTCCCTCTTCTGATGCAATCCCAGCGCCGCATTAGTCGCATTAGTCAGTGGAGCTTGGCGATTGCGAAAAGTTGGCAGGGTCTGATGTGTTTTTGCTCTTTACGAATGGGACAATGGGGAGGAGGGGTTGATATGGCGGGGCCGTTACTTTGATACAGTGGTTGGCAACTGATTGAGGGTTTTGTTATATATTCTAGTTGATTCCCCGTGTTGTCTGTCCATCCAGCTCATCCAGTCCATCATCAGTCTCTCAGCTTATATCACTTACACCACTTACACCTACAACACACCTATAAACTCCCATACTCTATTCACAATGGCTGCTAAACTCTCCGCCAACGCCCTCATCGAGCTGGCCAAGAACCGCCGCTCCATCTACACTCTCTCCAAGAACCTCCCCATCTCCACCCAGCGCATCACCGAGATCGTCAACCAAACCACTCTCGAGACCCCCTCATCCTTCAACTCCCAGTCCAACCGTGTCGTCGTCCTCTACGGCGCTGAGCACGACAAGCTCTGGGACATCACTGCCGATACCCTCAAGGCCATCGTCCCCGCCGAGACATGGGAGGGCACCTCTAAGCGCATCTCCGGCTTCAAGGCCGCTGCCGGAACTGTCCTCTTCTACGTCGACAACGCCGCCGTCGAGGCCATGCAGACCAAGTTCGCCATCTACGCTGATCGCTTCCCTCCCTGGGCCGTTCAGTCCGCTGGCATCCAGCAATACCTCCTCTGGACCGCTCTCGAGGCTGAGGGGCTCGGTGCCAACCTCCAGCACTACAACCCTCTGATTGATGAGAAGGTTGCTGAGACTTGGAAGATTCCCTCTACCTGGACCCTCAACGCCCAGCTTGTCTTCGGTGCCAAGACCGCTGAGGCTGCCCCCAAGGACTATGCTCCTCTCGAGGAGCGTGTCAAGGTCTTTGGCGCTTAAAATAGCTTTATGAAAGCATGAGAAACGTCAACTAGAATTGGCATAGAAACCTGCATTTTTAGCGAGTTGCAATTAGAACATGGAGCTCCGAGCTCTTGTTTTCCTTTAATAGACAAAATTACCAATCCTACCATGCCTAAGCATTTGCATTGACAATGTCTTTCTCCTCTGACCGACACTTGAACATCCATGTTGGCTTCGCATGCACCACCTGCGACCCAACCCAAATCATGCCATGTTCTAGTGATATTTCCTCACAGCTAATGATACCGAAGTGAATTTTGAGACGTTCTTCATAAAACGTGGCATCATATATAGTAGTATACAATTATATATATCTTTAAATATCCAAACGCTTAACTTGCTTCTTGACTCTGCACAGCCGTACCGTGCCTCACTCAATGACCCGTCCCAGAGCTTGTCCCATTTTCACCTTCTGTCCCTTCTGTACAGCCCAATCCCAGCCGACATGTCTATTATTCTCATCCGTTTTGCTTGACGGTGCCTCAAAAACGAGTACGATGGTGCTACCTAACTGGAAACCGCCCATTTCTTCACCGCGTCGGAGCGCATGACCCCGCAGAACAGGGCTGGCTGCCTCGTATGTCGCTTCAGCAAATCCATGGTACACTTCACCCCTGCGGGCAGCCTCCTCTGCCGCACGGTCTGCTGCCGTGTCGGTCAATAGGCTGTTGGTTCGAAGTTCCTTATCAAAGTTGATCACAATGGAGCCGACGTTGGTGGCGCCAACGGGGACATAACTGAAGAAACCCCAGCGCCAACGTCCTAAGAGAACTACTCGCTCATTGAGTGTGAAAAGACCAGGAAGGGTTCGCTGAAGGTATGGGGACACGCTATAGAGTTCCCCTGCAAAGTGGCGTCGGCGGTCAACAACCCAGTTCGTGGGAGAGTGAAAGCGGTGGTAGTCGCCGGGAGCCAAGTAGATAACTGCATAGTAAAGCGATGTAGTGTTGTCGGGAGATATGAGATCGTACCAAGGTCGCTCGCCCAGAGCCAGTTCAGCACGAACCTCAGAGACTGTACCAGGAGATGCGGGCATAGACTCGTCTTTAGCTGCAGGAGCCTGTTTTCCGGTGCCAGTGAGAAGGTCGGGGAGAGTGTATGAAATGCCATTGACTTGAGCAAACTCCTCGTGCTGCTTAACAAGCGACTCCTCCTCCGACACGTCGCCTTGGCTTGTTGCAGGAGTTGAGGTACCGGACGTGCCAGAGATGCTTGGGGCAGGAGTATTCTTTCCAAGAAGAGCATCGATAGTGTAAGTCATACCCTTAACTTGCTCAATGTCATTGCCTTGAATCTGGCCAAACTGAAGTACTTTTCCATCGGAAGGGCAGATGAGAGTATGAGGATCCTGATCGAGTGGTCGAGCACCGGGCTTGAGGGTACGGTAGAAGAAGGATGCGAGGTTGGGGTAAACGTGAAGATCGGGTTCGGCGACTTCGTCGAGGCTGCTATTGTTAGCAAAGGGATCTCGAGAGTTGAGTTGATGGAACAAACTTGACACCGAAAATCCAAGAATAAAGTTTGAAACCGGGAACTCGAAGATAGTAAGGTATGGTAAGTTCATTAAATCGTCCCCAAAGTCTAGAGATAGCCTTTAGGGGTAGAGTTGACATGACCTGGACTTGCCTGGGGTTGAGTTAGCATTGACATGGGAATAGGGGCATAAATAATTAAGGTAACATACCAAGGACCATCAGGTCGGATTCTGGCACGCTTCTTGGGTGCCCTAGAACCCTCCTGTCCGTCTTCATTCTCGAGTCTCTCCTTCTCACGGGAAGAGACCTTATAAAACTGGACGAGACCGAGGAAACCAATACCTAGACCGACAGGGATCCGGTACCATTGAATTTTGGTGTTTCGCATGGCCTCGCCGAGGCGCTGGGAAAATCTTGGTCTCTTGCCCGAATTGGAGGCGAAGGTTCGAATTGAAGAGACCGAAGGCCGTGATAGGCATCGCGATCTCGTGGAGGCCAGAAACATGTGTCGCGAGGCAGATGGCGAGTAACAATTTGTCCAACGGCCGTGGGTGTAGAATGAGTTGCGGAGCATGTGACTACCGAGCTTGGAGGAGCCAGGCCCAAAACCAAGGGTTGGAGCCATAGCGGGCAGTAGAGATTGACAGCGATTGAACGCTGCCTCCTTGCCTTTTATACAATTGCGTAGAGTTGTTGGGCAGAAGAGAGGTAGTTGAAGCCTCTCAAAGAGGACTGGACCCTTGTTTTCGATGGATGTTGACGTCAAAACCAACGATGACGATGGATTGCGGCTGCTCGAGCTTGTTAGCCGCACACAGCCAAGACACTCACAGCTTCTCGGACAGCTCTCGGAAGCAAAAGACGCCGACCGCCGAGGGATGATGATGGCCTCGAAGGGAAGAGTGTGGGTAGAACATGGGTTTCAGGACACTAGGTAGGTAGCCAATCAAAACTAGCCCTGGACCGACCTGATCTCAACAGACCGACACCCCAACAGCGAGCTGTCACTCCCCTGGCTGTTCCCCATTGTTGCAGGCTAAGGTGAGTGCGTGCCTGAGCTTACCTGAATATGGCCCCAAAAGGCAAAAGGCCACCCTGACCATTGTCGTTGCCGTCGTCTTCCATGTCTTGGTTGTTATTAATCAACCACAACTTTCAACACCTTCTGTACTCTCATTTCACCAGCTCGTATTTTCACAGTGAATCGCTGCAATCTATTTTGGCACATAATTCGTGTTGCTCGCAGCTGTCGCATATTGTCATCCCTTTCTGTATCATCTGTCGTCAGACTCCCTTGGACATGCGACCCTTTTAGTGTTAGTAAGACGACACAACCGACGTCAGTTAACGAGCCGGTGCTTTCTTTCAACACGCGAGCTCTCGTAGATCGACAGCCACGATTAGGAAGAGGCGAAACCCCATGTTTTCGATTACCGACTTATGTTCCTGAGTCATAAGTTCATCCACAACGACCCGACCTGTTCTTTATTCTTCGTCGCCATTCCTTGATCTCGATACTTCAGGCCACTTCATCCTCCCTTAGCTTACCTGCCTACCTGGGAGTGGCATGCTATCAGCTTGATCATCATGGCTTCCATGCCTTCTGCTACTCGTCCTCAAGACGATGGGCCTTCCGTCGCCTCTACTGCGACGACCGACGAACAGACTGTTAACCTGCAGGTCCTGTCACCGTCTGTTGGCGTGAATCGACCACTGCTTTTCCCGAACCTTGCTGCAAATACTACAATCAAGCAGCTCAAGGATAAAATTCGCCAGGCTCTCCCCTTGCGACCCGCCGACGACCATCAACGATTGATTCATAGGGGACACGCACTCGTTCGCGAAGCGGATACACTAGTCGATATCTTTGGCGCTGATGCGGTATGTAACTCCTGAACGGTGATCAGTCCATGAGTTGCAACATGCTAACTAGACGGCTCGTCATGTCTACAGATTCGCACTTCCGAGCAGCAGACGATCCACCTTGTCCTTCGCGACATGACCGATAGCCCATCTTCAACTCTCAATGCGCCCTCTGCGCCACCGTCCCTCGCCGCTCCTGTTCCTGCACCTGCACCTGCGCGAGGTCCGAGCCCAACCGCTTCCGCACCACCAACACATCCTCCACGCCCTCAACCCCAGCAACCCCAGCAACCTCACGGCCAACCTTTTGGATACCAGATGCCATCGGGGTGGCGGAACTCGATGCCCCCAACTTCCAACCCGTTTCCTCAACCACGCATGCCGTCGCCTTCGCCTTCACATACTCCCGAGCAAGCGGCCGCCTTCCAACACCAACATCAGAACATGACACAGTGGTTGAACAGCATTCAACGGGAGGCCATGGCTAGAGCTCTCAACCAGAACCAACGAACGAGAGCTCAAATGGGGATGCGCGGCGTTGGAGACCCCAATAACCCTGGAAACACTGGTGGAAACAATAGTGGCCGAGCAAGCCCAGCGCCAGGCCATACCGTTTACCGTGAGCACGTTGGACCAAATGGGAGCACCTATCAATTCGAGACTGTGATTCGGACTGTGGTACCTGGACAACAGGGTAATGGTGGTGCTAGCGGCTCAATGTCTCCAGCTGATGTACAGAATCTTTTTCGAAACGCTGATATCAACCAAGCTACGTCGGCAATGGCCAGCGCAATGCAACGAAGCGCTTCGAGCACCTCTCTTCACAATCGACATCAACATGGACTGACGGCGCCCATGTGGCCCATGTCCCAACCCATGACCGGCAGTGGTCGTGGAACCCCTGATTTGTCTCTTAATCGACTCAGTACCACTGCAGCTCCCGGAAGTTCACAGACCAGGCAAGGACCTGAGGTGTATATTCTCTCGTCGCCCGAGGGACCCCGAGCCTTGCTTTTGAACAATACTAGTTCTGAAACGTATATCACCCCACGGTTGCGAACTCAGACGAGTCTACCTCACCTTCGACAAGCCGCTGCTCTCAGTAGTGCCGCTCTGGATGCTCAGAGTCAGCTGCGAGCGAGACACCACCACCACCATCATCCTCATCATCACCACCATCACCATCCCCGTTCCCAGATCGCGCCGCAGCCGATACCTCAGCTCCAGGCACAAGGACGACCTCTGAACCTACAACCCCCCCAGCCTTTTCAGCAGCAAGCTCAGAACCTTGCGCCGCAGCAGCAGCCCGCATACCCGGCCCAAGCCCAAGGCCAAAACCAAGCGCAGGAACCGGACCCTGCGGCGATCATGGCTCCCCTGATGCACCGGGGAAATCCACCTATGGCTGCGCTTCCGCCTCTCCTTATGCAGCTCTGGCCGCAAATCTGGCTACTGTTCCGACTGGTTCTGTTTGTCTGGTTCTTCACTTCCCCCAACGCAAGCTGGTCCAGATGGTTCACCATCATTGTGATTGCCGTGCTCATCTTTTTGCTTAGTACTGGAATATTTAACGGCGTTCCAGATCACGTTTGGCAGCCTTTGGGACGACACCTTGAAAATCTGATTCCCGCTGAGCCCAGACGTCGCCAAGCTATCGCCGGAGAAGACCAGCAGAATCAGCAGCCTCGACAAAACCCAGATCCTACTGAAATGGCACGTCGACTTGTAGCTCAGCACCAAGGTCCTGAGAGTTGGCTGTTATCACAAGTCAGACGCGTGGAGAGAGCTGGTCTCTTGTTTCTGGCCAGCATCGCACCGGGTGTTGCAGAAAGGCATATAGCCAACCTGGAAGCAGCTGCACGAGCAGAGAGAGAGCGCCGAGAAGCTGAGGAGAGAGAGGCCGAAGCTGCGGCGGCAGCTGCGGCAGCTCAAAACGAAGAGAGCCATGAGAACCAGGACCAAGCTGAGAATCTTGGTGAAGAGGCGACCACCAGCACTGGCACAGAGCACAACGTAGAAGCACAGGCGGAGCAAGGAGTTCAGGATGATAACCAGCGAAACGAGCCAGCCAGGGAACAGCTTATTCCCTTGTAGCGTTTTCCCTTACGATGATAATTTAATTGGTTGAAATGTGTTCAAGCGAGATGCGGGATGAGTGGAAAAGTTTAGACCAACGCTGCATGTGACAAGCGTTGGAATGAGGTGAAAAATACTGGAGTTGGCGGTGTTTCTTTTCGTATGGAATCTGGCTTATTCCAGTTTTCTTCTTATTTCTTGCATTTCATCTATCGGCGAAGAGATTTGCCACAGAATAAAGTTGAGCCCAGGCCTTTTTGTTATTTGGTATCGATGATTTGATAGCTTTCAAAGCGTGTTGCTGATACTGAAGGTGAGAAGGATGCACTACCCATAGATTTGATGTGGAATTTGACATAAAAGAGGGAGACCCCTCAGGTTAACTTAGTAGTTACCAGTTACATGTCAACTACTTGACTTGTAAGTGTATTCATACCTTAAGTCTGAGAGACAATAATTCCAAAGCTTAATTAAGACAAAGAACCTCGAGCTTGTCAAAATTGCATAACCCTTTCTCTAAAGAAGGGATCCTCTTTCTCATTCTAATGCCTGAGGATGGTTACTAGGGATGGTGTCCCTCGAATGTTGTCGTAGCTTGTTGCTGCCTTTGGCTTTTCTTATCTTATCAGCGACAGATGATATCAGTGTCGTGTGGCTCCAAGCTCAGTTAGTTGCCTTTGAAGCTCCTACTTTTATTCTCTCTCCCAAACAACTTTATAACACCCGAGAAGCGTCCTCACTCTGTCAATCTAGTTGTGTACCCTTTGAGAGACTACGTCAATTCTCATTCCCTCAAATACCTTAGTCATAACCTCTAATTCTAGCTGAAGTTGCTGGGAGACGCCAGACTTGTCGCAACAATGAGTGGCGGATGGAATACCAGTTAGTTTCCTGCTCCGTGCATGATATTGACTGATATACTGACTTGAAATTCTATAGTTGAGTCCGATGCGGTATGATCGAATTATGCTTGCGAACCGTTGAGATTGGAGAGCTAATTCGAAGCTGTCAGGGTGTCTTTACCTCTCTCATCGAGAATCTTGGCGTCAAAGACGTTCAATTCGAAGAACTCCTCACACTCGACCCATCTGAGCTTCTGTCCTTACAGCCCGTCTACGGCGTGATCTTCCTCTTCAAGTACCCGACTGATCAACCATATGCGACACCCGAAGGACCCCGCGACGGCTCGTTCGACAATGCCGCATCCGAGAACATCTTCTTCGCCGCCCAGACGATTCAGAATGCATGCGCCACACAAGCTCTGTTGAGTGTACTACTCAACAAGACGAACGATGTTGAAATAGGCGAGAAGCTTGGCGAGTTCAGAGAGTTCACCATGGTGTTGCCGCCCGAGTTCCGTGGTGAGGCGCTGAGCAACTCTGACCTCATCCGTGAGGTGCACAACAGCTTTGCTCGCAGCAGTCCTTTTGCCGACGAGACGGACAAGACTGGCGCCGAGGCAGAGGATGCGTTCCATTTTATCGCTTACACACCTATTAACGGTACACTCTACGAGCTCGACGGTCTGCAACCCGCGCCCATCTCCCACGGTGCTTGCAGCTCCGAGGACTTTGCCACCAAGGTAGTCGATGTTCTCCAACGCCGTATTGCGCGATATGATACCACCGAGATTCGTTTCAACCTCCTCGCCATGTGCCGAGACCTACGACAGCGTGCGCGCGACTTTGGGGATGAGGAGCTGCTCGCAAGAGAAGAGCGCAAGCGAAGGGACTGGATGTTTGAGAATGCTCTGCGAAGACATAACTTTGTGGGCTTTGCGGGTGAGGTGATGAAGGGAGTTGTGCGCAGTAAGATCGCCGAGGGTGGTGATGCTGCCTATGAGAAGTGGGTGAAGGAGAGCCTGGAAAGGAGGAAGAATGCGGAGCAGGCCATGAGAGGTCGAGCTGGAGGTGGTGACGGTGATGGCGATGTTGATATGGGAGCTTGAAATGTTTAATGAAGGTCATGGCGGAGATAAAGATACCAGGTTCTGTGACTGAATGGTTTGGCAGATGTTTCATGATACCAAGCCTACAATAGCTGGTGCTTCTTTTAGACGACATATAAGGAGAGCGACATCTCCTGTTGTATCACTACACAGTCCGCTTGTCACTTGCACCATAACGATATTCATGGCTCATAATTGCTTGTATACGTTACTACATCACATTTGACATCTCAGTATCTTGCCCTCCTATCGGCAGTTCCCCTCCATCCCCTTTCTCTGATATCGCCAATACCAGGCTGCACTACTATATACTGCTCTGAGGGCGATGCTAGCCCTTTCTACTGTCATCATCCAGAAGCGAACATTGTTCCACAATTCCAAAATGAGGCACCAGCTCTCGGAAATTGATCGATACAGAGAATAGAAAGTGTCGTGAGTGAACGTTATCCGTTGTTCAGTCAACGCTCCCATCGTTCATTGGAGGGTGACGTAGGCTGATCGTCTTTGCCACTGGAAGCAGTCCTGGAGCTGCTGTTCTCACGGCGATCGTCGTAGTTAAGATCCCTCATGGCATGACCAGCATCACCTGGCTGGTCTTCATAGTTCTCCTGGCTAGTGTTTCGACCGTGGCGAATGGCACGAATGAACCAAGGAGCGCGGCCTGAACCCTTCCAGGTCCAGTACTCCTTGAGATCATACTCGCGAGGCTCGACATAGCCACGGGTAGCCCAGACAACGAGGCCGACAAGACCGTTGAGGACTGCGTATACGAAAACACCGCTAAGGACTATCAGTAGGTATATCAAGGAGGAGATGGGAGACTTACGCGATGAGACCATAGGCTACGCTGTAGCTAAAAGGGATGAATGTCATGACGACGAAAGAGGGCAGGACGTCGCCGATATATCGCCAGTTGATCTGGGTGATTTGACGGATCATCATGCAGCCCACCTACACATCCTATTAGCTGTGATCCGCTGCCCAAAGAAACAACACAACTTACCAGAATCAGAGTGCAACCAGTTGCCCAAGGTGGTACAGAGGCAAAGATGGGCGCAAAGAACACGGCAGCGGCGAAGCATAGTCCCGTGGTCATGGCAGTCAAACCAGTTCTTCCGCCTTCAGCAATGCCGGCACCACTCTCGATGAAAGCGGTAACAGGCGAACTGCCCAACAAAGCACCGACCGAGATGAAGAACGCATCAGTGCAATACGCAAGAGTCGAGCGAGGAAAGTCACCGTCGCGAGGGTTCACAACACCACAAAAGCGAACCATTGAGTAGAGAGTAGCGGTAGCATCGATGATGTCGACATAAAGGAAGGTGAAGAGAGCAAGGGCAAACTGAGACGCCGATCCACCAAAGGACCAATCGAGCTGGTTGAGAGTTCTTTCGATCGGGTGCCACATAACGACTTGACTGAAGAAATCAAAACGGGAGTCTCCCTCGTCGGTGTGAGGGAAGTATGTGATGGGAGTATTGCGACTGTGGGCTTGTTAGGTAAGATTAGAGGATAGAGGAGGAGAACATACGGCCATGACAGAACAGAAACGAGAGCGATGCCAAGGATGAGGGCGTACTTGACGCGGAAAGCCATGAGAAAGGCAGTGACAATGCCGCCGCAAAAGACAGCAACCCACAGCTACCTGAATAAGCACACGATACTTAACGGAGATCAACTAACTTACCTTGGGACTCGACATCTGTCCTTCCGTACACATGCCAGTCACTTCATCAAGCATTTCCTGGGGACAGCCTCCAAGCGCAAGAGGAGTGGCCTTTCCACCACCGGTGATAGCACCAATACCGGCAGAGTACGAAAGACCGATTTCAGTGAGGAAGAAACCGATACCAACACCTGTGGCAGTCTTGATAGTGGAAGGGATCAGCTTGACAAGCCACTGCCGCATACCAGTGAGGGCGAGGAAGATGAAAATAAGGCCCTCGACAAAGACAGCTGTAAGGGCGAGACGATAAGAGATAGGGCCGCTTCCGTTGTATCCGACGACTTGAAAGGTGAAGTACGCGTTGAGGCCCATACCGGGGCTATTGGGAATCAGCATCAGCATCATATCATAGCGTGAGAAGGTGAGGGACTTACGCGAGGGCTACAGGGAGGTTGGTGAGGAAGCCGAACATGAAGCTTGCCAGGCCGGAGACTGCAGCTGTAGCAGTGACGATATCTCGTCGAATGTCTATTGCGCAGTCAGAATTTCCCCGTAATGTTGGGAGCCTGCCTTTACTCACCTTCTTTGCAAGCAACATATGAATCAATCTTGTCACATGCGTGTCTATCCGTCAAGTCACAGACACAAGTGCCGCCAGACTGAGCGAGCAGAGCAGCCTATCTATCGTCAGCCAGCTCCAGATTGAAAAGATCGAGAGCCTATACGTTGACAGCGATGATGTACGCCATAGTCGCAAAGGTAGTGATGCCAGCACGAACTTCTCGAAAGAAGGTCGCTCCAGCAATTTCTTGAGGCTAGAGAGTCATAAGCTTCCACAATAAACAATACACACACACAGAGAGAGAGAGAGAGAGAGCATCTTACATGTCCAGTACCACTGAGGGTAAAGAAGTACCCAAAGGCTGAAGTGGTGACATAGTGATCAACACGATCAAGAAAGTCACGGAAACCAAAGTATCGAGAGCGGCCAAGATGTTGGACAATGTCGACATCTTCTTGGTTTGGCGTAGGCGCAACGCCTTGCTGTTCTGGAGAGGTTGCCATCTTGAAAGCAATGTGTGTTGCGAGATGTTAACTTTGATGATGCGAAGATGGAGTGGAGGAAAATTGAAGATAAAAGGAATAGAGGGGACTGATTCAGTGAGTGATTATGTGAAGAAGAAATGCAAGAAAGAGAGGAAGAGAGTGAGGTTGGTGGTGGTGTCGATAAAAGCTGTGAAGAGGAGGAGGTGACACCAGAAGAAATGAGGAAGAGAGATTCTGTCTTGCGGTAAAGTTGAAGAAGCAGAAGATTAGATTACATCAGGGAAAAGCAAACAGAGGCTCTTAGTTTCTGGCGTCAAGAGGAAGAAGCACCAGAGCAGAACTGCAACTGGCAGACACTGCCAGCCGTGTAGCACTGCCAACAACCTCAACGTCAATCAGTATCTACACCTCAAACCCGATAAGATAAGTCCTCTCGTCAGCTCCTGTTACCGAATTTATGGGTATGCATCACAAGACTCGAAGTTCGAGTCCAAGTTGCGAGTTGCGCAAGATGCACACGCACATGCACGCACACGTACAGACACAGCATAAGCCCAGAAAGAACAAAAGGGAAAGGGAGAGCAGTATATATAAGGCTGTGGGTGGTTTTGGGTACTTTTATGTGTACACAGCGTTGAGAATGTTCGCCTTGATCAAAGGGGAGGGCATTGTTTCCACGGGCCGTCTGTGTAATATTCGTTACCTTGGCTCGAGGGCTGGACCTAGCATTTGGGTCTTGGCTCTTTGTCCGAGCTTGTTGTTGATGTGATAGGTTTGAGGCGTTGTGATAAGTGAACATGCTGACAAACTGGCCCGATTATTGGCAAGTCTGGGATGAACAGTGATTAAGAAAGGAATTTGATTTATGAGGATGTATATTTATACTACACTGGTGACCAAGATATAGCTGAGATCAAATACATCTCTACAAGAGTCATTGGATACTTGAACATGGCCAACAGTCCGAGTTGATTCACCTACCACACATATCTTACCCCTGAGAACCCTAGAAAAGGGTATTCTTCAGTGAGATCATCACCCAGGAGAATCCCGTTTCCACCACTGAGTTCCTGGCACCGACCACTAAGGACACGGGTTCAGTGTCGTACAGACCAGGTGTTCGTGTCACCACATGCAGCTCGCCGACGTTCGCGAAGCGAGAAGGCGTCGGATGTGAATGGTGACCAAAGACGTGGTTGGCTGATACAAATGTAGGACAATGCCCGGTATGTCTGTAGCCGAAATGAACTGGTTCTAGCTGATGTTCTATCGACGTGGGATGCAGGCCGAGAACTATTCGGCGGGAGAGGTACACTCATGTGTATATGTTCGATAATCACACTCGAAAATGAAACATCATAAGGAAAGACGTATTTTCTACCACGTCGCATCGTAGGTTCTTCTTCTTAAGTTAATGCCTATTAATGTTGCTAATCATTGGTTGATATCTAATGCACTGAAGGTTGCCCCTTTTCACTTACACAGAGAGTTGGCTGAAAGTCAAGTGGTCTTTTCGTGAAACCAGCCGACATGCAGTATATCAACCACATACAGGCAGAGAATATGACCCTCTTAATCAGATACGATTAGCATTGCCCACATGACTTGATGCTGACATTCTTACCAGGCTGTGAGGCCCTCAATGACACCTTGCTGCATATATCAACTCGTCTCAACTTCTGCTGTCACACATCCACCCCGAAGTCCACAGCGATTAACTGCAGTATGAACACACCCAGAGCTATTTTAGGCCAGTGAATCAGTGACATGAGTAAACCTTGAGTTGATCATCCCAACACTTGATCTCCCACCTAATCATCGTCCTGTCTACCGAACGCGTATAAGTTGCCCTTCAGGGTCCTAGAATGACTCTTCACCACAATAGAACAAACGCTCACGTAACTATTACCTCTCGAACCGCTGGCTCCTTTTTTCCGAACTGGTACCGACATTCTCGTTTGACACTCACAATCACTTGGTGCACCTGACACCGACATGCGGGTGCTCAGCAACTGTCGACCGCACACTTCACTTCATACTGAACAACAGTTTTAACTCTCTCAATACTATCACTTTGACCTTGTATCAGAGGCTAGTAACTCTCTGAAGCCTTCGGCCCTTGGTTCACCTTCTCTCCTCAACTTCTCACAACCTCCACCCCCACTCCTCTGAAAACACACACATTCATCCTCACAACACCACCTCTTTCGCTAGCAAGAAATAGAAGATAAAGACATTCCGTTTTAGTTTCCGAAAATCTCGAAGCTTATGCGAGCTTCAATATGCGCATTATATTTCGTACATTCTTTCACCTAGAATAGGGACCCTTATTCATTCGCCCTACCCACGACTCACTCCGATCTCGTAAACCACACACAAATCACCCTCCCTAGCAATAAATTTCAACAACAGATTTAAATCATAGAGCACCAAACACAATGTTCGACGTCATCTGGGTCGACCCCGACCGCGAACTCGTCGGCGAACATCGTGCGAAAAAGGAAATCAAGCGCGAACTGAAGAACAAGGAGAGAGAAAAGGAACAGGAACAGGAGAACTCAATTCTCAGCCGCTCGATCTCCGTCCCAAGCACTCGATCCTCCACAGAATCTCGTTTCGCCTTTCTTCGACCTCGAAATGGCAAACATGGCAAGGGCAAAGAGAAGACTCCATCGGGTCTTTTGACCCCAAGTCATCACTCCTCCCGCTCAAACTCGGGGAGCTACCATCGCTCGGCGCTTATGGCAAACTTGTCGAATGTTTCCCTCGGAGCAGAACGAGCACACAGAGCAAATACACCGGTTTCCACTGATGCGTCATCTTCACACGTTGCTAAGCGCAACGGAGTCTCACAGCCTCGACAATCCGACTTGGAGAACCCAGACTTGTGTTCCGAGGTGTACGGCTGCTCTGAGCTAGAAGGTGATCATCCTCCCACACCAACGGGTTCAATGGGAGATAGGTAACTTTATTACTCACAGTGAAAGAGAACACCACTGACCTTTTTGCAGAAACTTCCCTATCCCGATACTCCAGCCAGAGTCACCCAACAGTCTCGCACCAAGTCTCAATCTTCCCAAAGAACCGAGAGCTCCCATCGTGATCAACTTCCGACCCAACGATCCCGACTCATGGCGTCCCCCCGAAGAATGGGAGTACATCGACCGAAAAGCAGAAGAGGCCCAAATGCTTGAGAACCAGGAAGATGTTGAGATGACCGTCGGTGCAGAAGAGACAGTTCAAGTGAACCCTTGCACAGACTTCGAGGCTGTCAAACACCAAGTCAAGATTATGGCGGCTTCAAGTCCCAGCACGATCCTTGCGCGTATCAAGGACATCTGGACCGTTACCGACGAAAGACTCCATGGAGAGTTGAACATTGAGCTGAAACGTTGGATGCTTTCTGTCCTGCACTGTCTGGACATTGAGGTAAGGGATAGTGCTGGTGTTGCTTGCGTTGCCACGAATATGTCTGACAATCTTGGGGTACTGGCTCTCTACGAATCTGAAAGTGAGTGAATCAGTGACTACCAAAGTAGCGCAGTTCTAACAACCTCAGTCACGGCGACATATCTTGCAGCCCTTCACTCAAGGAGGGAAGTATACTCTCTGACAACAGCGTCTTTCCAAAACAAAGAGCTTCCGAACATTCACCCGGTATTGGTCCCGTCCATGACTCCCTCGACACTCCCAATTGACCTGCACTCATTCACCCTCGTATATTCGCTCTCTTTACCCGTCGTATGCTCTTCACCTGAGATACCAGGGGTACTCAAGACCATCAGCAACCGTCTTCGAGTCGGTGGTTCCCTTCAGCTTACTCTTATCGACCCGTTGCCGTGCGCAGGAACACTCGGCCATCGAATGCGAACGTGGCTTCAAGAACATCTACTGATCAACCTCGAGCGACACTTCAAGTGCACGAACCCAAGTAGACTGTTCCCAGAATGGATGGGTGATGCTGGCCTGCGCGGCCAAGGCAGCACCCTCACAACTTCGAAATTCTACGCTGTTTCAGCGAGCATCCGGAGTCAAGCCGACGACAGCGATCCCTTCATAGAAAGAAGCCCCTCCGAGAGAGAAGTGAAAGCAGAAGTTCGTAGCATCATCGGTCGTCTGCTCTGGATGGAAGTCTGGGGTAGTTTCGTCACTGGGGATAAATGGTGGTGGGAACACGAAGGCTGCGTCAACGAATGTCTCCAGCTGGGCACAGTTTGGGAATACCACATGATAGACGGCGTGAAGCAAGGTCAAGAGGATATTCCAGAAGAGGTAGAAGACCTCGAGAGCTTGGAGCACTAGAGTCCAGAAAAGATGAAAGATGTTGCTGATGTGTGCTTTTGCGCTACAGTTTCTTCTATTCATGCTTTCTTAGAAAAAGAAAAGAATCAAAGAAAGGGACCTCACTTAGAGGGAGATACCGCAATGGAAAGAAGGGGGTACAAGGCAAGGATAGGTATATGGTCGGATTTGTTGAGAGCAATAGAAGCAGGTTTTTTCTTTTGAGATTAGCCAGTAGGCAACTGTGACAAGACTCATATGTAAGGGGATTGATTGTATGATTGTACTAATGGTAGAACACTTCCAGATAGATTTCATGGTAGCCGCTGTTAAATGCCACTTGTCTGAACTAGTATCGACTTGACCGTGTTTCGTAATTCAAAACCCTGGCTCGCTTTCTCTGCGCTTGTATCCATGAATCTTGTAAAATTTGGACATCAGCCCTCACGCTTTTTTGTCTGAATATTTGCCTTTATACCCAACGATGTCACTAGTTTTATTCTCAGGCTGCTTGAGCATCATCCTCATGTACGACTTGTTGGTCAGAATCATACAATTTTTCAGATCTGTCCTCACTTTCAGATACCTCTTCACTGGCTGACTCTCCATCATCAAATTCCCACAAGTAGCCGTATTTTGATGGGATCTCCCAAACCGAGGTTGCGAGTTCTTCTTGCAAGTCTAGTAGATGACCATCTATATCTTCTGTTGCTAATTCCCATTCCGCGTGCTGGATTCGCTTGTCGAGAGCTCGATACCAAGAAACCAGATTTCCACGCTCCCATCGTTTCTCTTTTCTGATCAACATGGCTAGATGTTCTCGGGCGACTGCAATGTCCTGCTCTTGCAACGCGCCGAGTACTCGCTCAAGATTCTGAATATCATTCTGTAGGGCTTGATCTCGAACGCCTTGATAAAGCTCGACAAAAGCCTCTTGCTCGGCGAGACTTGGCCTACGAGAATCCCCCAGGTCCCATCCGCCCGTAGCATGAGAGTTTCTGACGAGATCATCAAAGGGCGTGTCGCCAAATGAGTCTTCCTGATATGGATTAATGCCGGATAGGTCCAAGACAGAAAGATACCAAAGTAATTCTAGTGAAGCGTATCTGGCTGCAAGATGCAGCACGTTTTGAGAATAGTCATTAAAGACATGAACAGAGCAATGTGACTTTACCAAACCTCTTGTGAATTCCAATTTATTGTGATGAATTGATAGAAGGAAAGGGGTAATCCCTAGATTGTTTCGTGCTTCAAGGTCAGATCCTGCCACGAGCAGCATCTCAATGGCTGCTTCGATGTCTTGATGAGTAGTGTTTGTAGATCCGACCAGACTATGCAGTGGCGTATCGCCGTACATATTGCGATGCTTTACGGATGCGCCTGCCGCTAGCAAAAGGCTGGTGACCTCGGGGTTGGCTTTCATCAAAGCCCAATGCAATGCTGTCATGCCTTGGTCATTGCACAAATTAACGTTAGATTTGGACTTGAGCAGCAGATTTACAGACTCGACGTTTTGTTGCCAGACTGCGGCCATGAGAGGTGTCCATCCCTTGAACGATTGTTGATTAACATCAGCCCCTGCTGAAATGAGAACTTCCATGGACCTAACTTGCTTTTTATCAGTTGCAAGATAAAGAGGAGAGTCGCCAGTGTCGTCAATCGTGTTGACAGCCCAAGGTTGCTCTTGTAATACTTCTTGCAGGTCCGCACATTGCAAGATCGCCTTGTGAACTTTGGTCGTTGCCGCTTCCGTTGGATCTCGAGAGAAGCCGAGAACGTTTTTCACAAGATACGTCTCGTTATCGTTGAGTTCATAGTCTCGTAGTGATATGGCGGCAGCCATCGCGACACGTCTATCAATTGTTCAGATAAACTTGGATAAAAGAAAACGTGATTGACGACTGACCTGGGTAACCCAACCTCAGTCAGGATATTCTTCCATATATCCAGAAGAGCCTCCAAAGAGGAGTAAAGTTGCTGATCAAGAGAATACTGCTTGTGTTAGGGCACACAGACTACTCCGTGGCGATTGGGGATTTTGACCAACCTCCATGAGTCCCATGCCACGAATATCCGTGTCATGAGGGTAAATGCCATACACAGCCACTGATCTCCTAACTACTTGGCTTGAGCCTTCTTGGTTAATCCACACCATAGAATCGTTCTCAATCGATCTAAAGGGGCGCAGGGCGCAGGTCAATCCGGAAAGGCTGCTATAAGACGCACAAATCTTGAATGTCCCGATGAGAAACCATCTCGGAACCTGGTACTCCATTCTCAGGAACGCAGATTCTATGCAGTGGCATTCTGGATCTGAACATTCCTTTCGTGATGAACTCTTACAACGCACAAGCCAGGACCCAAGGAGTGAGTGCATCCACCCAGAGCTTTGATATTGACTCTCAGAGAAGTGACATCGGCACCGGCATGCTGAATCAGATGGTATTCTCTGAGTCGATACCACAGAGTTTATCTGCACAGAGCCATTCATGTGTTTCAGATTGCTGTCATGACCATTGTTCATAACCACTGCGTCTGACTCCGGTGTATGATCGTCCTGAAGTTGTTGAACTGGTGCTGGACTCTCTATGATTTCCGGTAGTTGCGGAACTTGAAGTGGCGGACTTGGCGAGCTTGTATGCATCGTTTGCATGTTCATCATAATCTGTCTCATTTCTGCCTGAAATCTGTTCACCTGTCAATACCGAGGGCTATTGCTAGATTCTAGGTGTGGTACACTCACCGAATATCGTTGGATACGCGCGACGAGTTCAGAGCAAAGTGAAGAGTTTCTTTGGCTTGGATCATCCTCTGTTGAAGCTTCTTGATGTCGCTTTTCTCTACAAGCCACTTTCTCTTCCTTGCCTTGTTCATCTTGTTCCCCACTGGGCCACTCTCGTGAGAACATATCCGTAATAACGCTTCGAGTTCTGCGGTGATCTCATTCAGATTTCGCGCTGCAGTATTGATAAGATCTTGTTCCAGTGCTGTGGGAGCCATTCTTGAGACAGCTTGCGCCATGGATTTGATCATGTTCAGCTGAGAATCGGATTTTAGTTCGGTGAACTACTGCAAATAGTGCCAGCAAGTTAGGGGCCAACCTCCTTCATCAGATAGTCAAAGTCTTTCTGAATATCCGGAATTTCTCGAAAAAAGAGAGACGGCATGTTTCCCAGCTGCCAAAGCCTGCACTACGGCGATGGAGCTGGCTACGGCACCAAGGACCTCCATCGTAGGTGATAAATTGTGTTTATTCGCAAAAATGACTTGGATAGGGTCGGGTTCGAAAGCTTTACAGAGAAAAAGAAGAACTCGACATGGAAGAATCAAGGTAATCTCGGCGTGGGAAAAAGGAAACGGAAATCAGGCTCTCAGAACGCCTACTTGGTTGGGCGAACCACCAGTCACCAATCAGATGTACATATTCACAGCCTCGACGAGCGAACATACCTAGCCAAGGCATACCGAGACAAGAGCAATGAGATCTGCTTGGGGCAGCTGAGAGTCGATATCTTGTGTTACCATCACCAAGCCTCAGACACAGTAATGCAGCTTGATCTGAAGCATTGGGACGAGATTGAATTGGCGGATTCGTACCTCCTTGAAAGACAAACCTGTATATATTTCCTTGCTTCTTTTCTAGACTTTGATTTCTTGTATAGATGAGAATGAAAAAGTATAGCGATATCATTTCGATATCACGCCTTGATAGAATAACTGACGACTGATGCCAAAATATCACTGGTGTTTTAAAAGACGTCTAAAGTATAAAATAACGAAAAGCACAATAATCAAATGATTCGTTACTTGAAGCCTCTCTTGGAAACACAAGCACCGACCTTCCCGGTCTCTTCCTATGTAGTGCCTACCTTACCTTATCAATGTCCATATTATCTGTTGATTTTCACTGTATCCTGAAAAGCCACATCAGGCGAGTCTGTAGATGTCTTCACCTTCCCCGCAAACCACAAAAGCCCATATCCAACCAAGGCGCAAAACACAAATGCATCCCTCTTTCCCCCGCATTATCCACCATCCCTGACCCTTCCAAATCATACGATGCCCCCGCCAAGATTACACAACCAAAGTACGGCTAACTCGAGACGACAAGCCCACCCAAAGGGAGGCAGGAAAACTTAGGATCTCTTTTCTAAGTGATAAAAAGACTTAGGTAAGTTTAGTATATCTTAGAGAGCCTTTAGACCAGTTTATTTTGGCTTCCTAATTTAATGTCTGGAGTTTTCTTTCTCCCTGAGGCCACCCTTGGCAAGCCACTGTCGGTATCAAAGGGACCTTAACCCAAGTCCCCATGTCACATCCTTGACGCCATCGTCCTTTCTAACCCCAGATTCCGCATCATCTGTCAATCTGATTGCGTGAATGTGTTCCAGGGCCAAACCTGTCAGTGCTTCCTCGGGACGACCGGGAATGCATCGTCGAGACATGGATACCAAGCCATCATGTCCTTGCAGGTGCTAAACTAGTTCTATCTTACCGCGTGTTCCGCTCTTGACATGAGGAAGTTACACTCCAGCCACGTGTGTTGAGTAACCGATCATCAAGTTTAAAATAAGGTTGATTCATATTCGCGTGGCAGATATTAGTCTTTGAAACACGGTGCTGTATCACAAGATGGGAAAGAAGACACATTCGATCTGCAGTAAAAACACGTAAATGGCTCTCAGACTTTTATCAGCATTCAAATACTGTCTGTAACAATACTGGGGTATCCATTATCCTCCATCTTTCGACGCTGGTGAAACCAACAAATGCCTCCTAACAACCTCCTCCTAGCTGTCTGGAGCACGCCTTGACCATCAAAGTCGTGTCTTCATTATATATAGTAACAAAAGGAAAAGGGTATCTGCAGCATCGTTTCCAAGCAGACCCTTAGAACTGTTATACACGCACGTTGTCTCTCCGCTCATCGTCTGAAGTCGGCCGGCTCTCGTTGGCCAGTTCAGTCATGCTTTCCGTTTCGAACTTATTCGATCGTCGGAACTGACCGAGGTTGTGTCGATGGTGGCTGGTCATTGTCCTTGCGCTATTGGCACCGACCTCTGGTGCCATGCCGCCGACGAGTTCTGTCACATCCGGCCTTCGACCCATACGTAGATCGGTAGCCAAGTTCTTGCACGCACTCCAGGATGTGACCATGTAAATGAGGGCGTTCCAAAAGCCCTGGAGAGGGAGTACAAAAGCACTCATGAACTCAAGAGGTACAGATGAGTTTTTGGTGTGGAATACTGAGTACACACGGTTGGCGCTTGATGGAACCCATGTGATCAAGATGGCTGTGAAGAACAGCAGGGCACACTTTGTGTATTGCCATGCTGCATTGCTAAGCTCTCGATTCCTCCTTCGAGCGGGATTGCCTCCTGATCGCTGCTGCTGCTGTGCAGGAACTTGAACACTCGCCCGTGTTTGTTGTCGTTCAATAGGGAGAACTTCGTCCCCGATGTCCCCAGAGCTAGGCTGCGCTGAGATATGAACCGAGTATGCGTTAGAGCTAGGGTCGCTAGGGTCGGGTGCTCGGCGGCCTCCCATGGGCTGAAGATGAATCGCATTCGGAGTAAGGACCTCTGTGGTGACTGAAACCTCTGTTGTCTTAATAGTTCCCAGATGATCTCCAGCCCCATAAGTCAGATCTCGATCGGTAGAGCTAAAATCATCAAGTTCCTGTCGCTTGCGATAGATGGTGCTACCAGCACGGATATAGATAAAAAAGGTAACCGCAATGACAACCCTGTGATGGTCAGCGCCAACTTCAAAGCCAAACTTGAACTATTACTTACCAGACAGGCCCGTAAAAAGTGATGATGCGCCAGATATCCCACTCCATGCTCACCCAACACCAGAGTGTGGCATTACCATACATTCGGTGCCCCTCTTGGTTCTTGATGAAGATGTATACGAAGGCGGGAACGAAAGGAATACCGTAACATCCGATGAGATAAGGAATCTCCATCTTCCGTAATCTTCGAGCATCGAACTTGAAATAAAATGTCAGGTAGACATTGATGGCCATGGACAGGGTCCAGAAGGCATCGGCAGGCATGAACCTAACATGTGTTAGTATCTAATAACTTCGGTGTGGTGTAAGTGAGCCTACATCTGAATGAGAAAGGCCTGGAATTGGCAGCCCACAGAATTTGGTGAGCCTATATATGATCTTGACATTAATGTACCGACATTGGTCATCATGTTGCCAAAGGAAGCGTAAAAGACCAGTCGATTGATGGGTTTATGAAAGGCCTTGGATGACAAGAATGTGGCGATAATGAAGAGTGAGCCGAGCAATGAGAAGACAGAACATGTCCGCTCAATGATGCTCAGAGCGCGGAGCTGCGAGTTTGAGAGATGTTCGGCGGAAGACATGATGAAAGTATCGAGACTCGAGAGAATTGGACGGTAGTTAACTTGGGTCTTGGTAGTAATCACCAAGAAATTGGTGGTTCTCGTGGTCCAGCCGTGGTGAGGGTGGAGAGTCGGTTTTATCGATAGTCCACCATTCTCCCAGCGTCTACTCAATATTTATGATGAAGTGTTGTTGGATGAAAAGAGGGAGCTGTAAGTAGAGTCCAGTGCTTTATAAGGTAGTCGGCGCAAGGTTGGTTGGTTGTTTGTCCTCGATATAGAAGGAGCGTTGGTATGCGCAACGGTCGAGTCCCAAAGCGTCGAGGCTTGTGTCTAATAACAACCAACACTACCAATGATTGCACACTCAGGACAAAGGTGCAATATCAAAGCGTGGCAAGCAAGGACGAAACTATGTAGTGACCAAGGGGGATGATTGGGTTTATAAAGAAGACTGCTGCAGATCACTATTGCATACACAATCGTAACAAAGAGGAGGGCGAGCAAGATGATGATGGCGGGGGCGAGGGGGGAAAGCAAGATAAAAGTAAGAAGTAAGTAAGTAATAATTAGTCTAACCAAGAACCCGGCACAAAGGAAGACCAGCATGTAAAGGAGGGGGGAGTAGATCTGGATGTAATATGGCTCGCGGGGAGACTGAGAGGCGAGGGCATGGCATGGCATGCGTATACCCAAAGAGGAACACGGACAGAACAAGACAGATGGTGGTGATATTGGCGCTTATGCTTATGACATGGGGTGTGGGAGGGTACAATAGACAAGTGATGAACTCAACGAGGATCCCCTGTAACCCTTGAGCTGAAGAAGGACAAGCCTAAAGTCGATGTCTTATCCATGTCCCGGGGAATGCATGGGGATGGGAAATCTGTAAGACGGGCCAGTCGGGCTCCACAGCTGCTGATGTGGTAGACCCTACAGTAAGTAAAAGAAAGAGGGCCAAAAAAGATATGGAGAACCTTGAAGAACGGACATGTTGCCGATACCGATAAAGATACGTAAGTCATACATTTACCCAACGCCTCCTGAAGCCAACAGCATGAGAGAAGGATCAAAGTTTCAAGCCACGGCGTTCTCGCCTAAAGAGGTATGATAGCACAGCATCTTGTGTCAAGTCTGCACAGCGAGGGTATCACAGAAACAAGAAGAGGTGAGATCTTCTGTTTTGATCAAGTGATGATATTGCATTGGCTTAGACTGAGAGTATCCCAGCATCTGTTGAAGATCCCCCAGAAATGATAATGGAACCATGTCTGCATGTCCCGGGCATGAGGAATTAAAACCACGCGCGTCAAAGATTAGAAAGTGGTGAGTGATATTGATAATTGGTTGGTCGTCATCTGTTGGACCAGAAGTGAGAGAGACACAAGATGAGAGGGTGGCGTCCAGCCCAAGATCTTCACAAGTGGAGAGGGATTGTGGAGTTTAATCCAGTTTGTGGAGAGGCCCCACTAACTGCACTGGCCTAAGTCTGGAAAATCATTCAACTCATCTCATCTAAATCAGTGCAAAACACAACATTTGTGTTGGTCAGCAATGGATATGAGATGAGCATTGACATTTTTTTCTGAATCAATTAATAAAAGCCAGTTCGAAAAAAGAAGGCGACAACACATCTGCCGTCATAGTTTCAGGAACGGCGCCCCCTTTGCCGGCCCATCTTTCACCCAACTTAACGCTCACCACACACGGGACAGACCCCCTGAACATCCCCTAAAAAACCCTGGGCTAATGCGTGAAGGACATGGACCAAAGCCTCCTATCAAAGGATTTGCAGCTGACATCGAGCCAACTCTATGTATGAAATGCTCCGAGCACATGGCCGCCAGGCACTTTGATAGTAAAGATCATCGCTGTCAGTGGATTTTGTTTCAATTGACTTATTCATTCACTGTCTGTTCGCATGTGCTAAAATGCTTCTCTCCTTCTATCTTGGTCTTGGCGCTGTACATCCTGATATCCCCATCGCAGAGACCCTCCCCCAGATTCTTCTCTGTCTCAATGTCTCGTATGAGCTCCTTTTCAGCGTCGACGTTGCACTTGGCACGCCGGGGTTCTGCTGCGTCGACTGGCTTGGCTTTACGGGGACTCGGTTGCTGTAGACGCTTGGCATCTGGGGGAGAAGAGACAAAGAGACGAGAGTGGGATATGGGGAACGGTAGATGGGGAGAAAGAGAGGGTCCGGAATTAACAAGAGCCGACGATCTTCTTTAGGACTTGTGAATCAAATCAATAGCGCGAGTCGTTGAAGAGAGTGGATAATTCAGATGCCTTCTTTTCCGTCCTGTCTCCAATACCAAAACTCACCGTCCGCTAACACGCTCATCACAATGACTAACGAGCCGTATATGCCGAGGAACCTATTCTCAATTCGCCCTGTGTCGTCCAACGTCGCTGTCGCTTTGACCGCCAGGTGGAACTTGTTAATGAGCGAGTCCGCTTGGCTTACGCTTGCCAAGCCACTCAAGCTCAATGGCAGATATCGTCTTTGTCTTGTGTCATATGAACTCACTTCAGCTGTATCCTTCACGTGAAGCCGAACGTATTGAGAATCGTTATTTCCGCACGCCTCACTTTTCCCTTTTATGTCTTTGTTTTACAGTCTGATTAATTAATGACTCGAGTCAAGCCAAATGTTTCTGTTTCCCCCTTTGAACGCCTCTGCCGCTATCCGGTAGAGCCTTTTACTCGCGCCGGTTGATTAACCACGTGCGTTGGACGAGCATCATTCCCATGCTTGGAAACGATCGCTGAGAGATGCCACGCGAGCAACAGGGCGAGACAGGGCAAGACAAGGCCTGCTGCAGTAACATGTCGACTATCGTGTCACATCGTTTGCATGAGAGCGGTCTGCTTGTTTTCGCTATCCCAGTATCAGTTCTAGTCCTCAAGCCACCTCAAAATCTATTTGTCCTGAAGGATCAAGTTACCCGTGAGCTATATCATTATGCCACGTTTTTGATATCAGCCAAGATGGTGTCGTGAGGTCTAGACTTGGAATTAGATCCTCCTATAGCACCCTCTTACACAACAAGTGTGTGGTATCGTGCCATTACAGACGCAAGCTGACGGCACAGTCTCGAATCCTTGTCGCATCAACCTTAAGACCCCGGATTTTTACGCTTCTCTTTGCCCATTCTTTTTATCCCGCCCGCCCATTGCATTTGCTTTTTGCCGTCCCCGCATCACATCACATCACATCTCATCACATCTTATCCCATCGCAGTCCACTCTGGTGGGTAACGGTACTGTAATGGCAATTCAAACTCGTTCGACAATCTCAGATTTCTCGTAACAAACCCCAGAATCTGGGGTGGCAAAACCTGGGGTATCTTGAACCGTCTGGGGTTTCTTGGCTATGACCTCTTTGACTGCCACTCATTCATCGTTTTAGCAATTGAGCACCGAATTCTTTGCCCTGAAACGTTAGCTCCCCGTGGTCAGGCATCCAATTAGTCTCCAAACATTGACGCACCAACACCGGTCAAATTAATGCCATAAGGCGCGTTCCAGCTAGCCTCCATTTTGTCCAAGTTAGCCTCTCCGGCTAAATAAATGCACCAACGATAGCCTCATTTCTGAGCCATGCGTCGGAGCTTCTTCTGTAAACATCAATCGACTTTTCTCGCCTCGTAAGGCGCAGACACTTACAGGCTCTTTTCTATGTTTTCTTTCCTGTGCCTCAGGTCAAGTCAGTAGCTGATGGCCTCTGAATCCTTCTCGGTTCCATGATATGCAGTCATTGAGCTTACCCCTTTTCCGCCTCCTTTCGCCATATTAACATGTCCGTTATCGCACTCTCTGAACAAGGAGACTCTGCCAAGCTGTCTGATGAACAAGTTCCAGACTCGACTCATGAGCCAGAATTTCCAGAGCTTCAGAGCCAGGCACCTGATCTAGTTAGCCTCCACGTTGCATCAAGACCCCGGGCATATCCTTGTTGTCGAGATTATGCTTCAAACTCTGTTTCTTCTCTAAATCCTCTCATCGAATCCATCGATATGTGATACCATGTTCTCCCTGACTAGGATCCCCTCTGTTGCCTCCCGCTCCCCCTAATCCTTACAACACGATGTGTTGTAGTTTCCTGGTCAGCGAAGCGAAGTCATCGTAAGCACAATGGACGGCTTGACGCATCAAGGGCAGGTATCACTGCCACATGGATGTCGGGGTGGACGATTCGTATCACATAACTAAGCCAAATGGATAAAGTCGTCCCAGATGCATCGGATTTTGCCATCTTCGCAATTTGTCTATCATGTTCCTTGCATCGGACTCCAACTCTTTCCTGCTTAGGCAGGGTCCGCAGTGGCTCCCGCTTTGTGATGCTCGTAGATCGATTCGCGACAAAGCCTCTTTGAAAGAATGATTGGCAATGCTACAGTGTCAGTACTGAGCCCTTCAAGAGCCTCTGGCTTGTGTATCACCTTGATATGTAATCAATACCTTCCTGAATACGGTCATGGTTTCGAGGAAAGCAAATCTCACCCTGGTTCTCCAAGAAACTTCAAGATCCTTTCGCAAGTATCACGGCATCGCCGAAACTCTGACCAGAGTCCCCGGACACAAACAGGCATGTTGCTATAAACAGTCACTTCCATGTTTGCCCAGAAAACCCCTCGAACCTGAATTCTTTTTTTTAGTCATGAGAACCCAAAGTCCGCACCGGCTTCGATGCACCCGTGATGCCTCCAGGGCCTTCACCGTTTGACATTCTGCCATATTCCGCATCAAAGGAGGCTGGGTTGTTGCGACTGCGGATTGATAGCCCAAATGGGAAGAAAGTTTCCTTGGCTGTTACTTGTCTCTACTTTCTCGCTTGTTCCTCATGACTTCGCTGTGAAATGGTGAGTTTGCCCTCAAGGATAGAAATGTCGAAGCAACAGCGAAGGAAACTTGGTACCATGAGAAGACGCCAACGAATACAACTATTCTTTCAAGCTCAAGTCAGAGATAAGGTAGAACTCCGTGGTGAAACGATGCTGTCTTGTAACCAGTCTGGATATGCAGCACTTAAAGGGTTTCAATTAAAACAAACAGCGCGATGCGGGCTGGATATGGGGACGACCGCCATAAACAATCACCGACCCTTTTGCGTGTTTTATAAGTAATAAACATGTAAGAACATGATTTAAAATCCTTTGTATTGGATCGCTGTTTGGTACATAGCACAATGAAGAGTTACCCTACGTATCCGCAGTCACCTGGGAATGATATGAATTGCGCTATTTCGCAGGTGGTTCCTTCGATTACCAAGGAACACGGAATTGTAACTCATATTCAATTAGTTAGGGTGCACCTCTCGTTCTTGATGATATTTGACTATAGTCAGGATGAAGCCCCAGCAAACGAAGGTCATCCAGGCAAGACAACTTCATTCATTCATCAAAGAACCCAGCCTAGGATAGGCTCCACCATGAAAAGAAACGTTAATGAAGCAAACTGATGGGGGAAATATCTGTCAATGAAGTCAGTTGCGAACTGACCTGTATCTCTTGTGACTCGTGATGTGATGTCCATCTCAACTACATCCGCCTTTGATAATCCAGCTCAGAATCTATGCTCATATTCCAGTCACTTCACGATAAAGGCACACAGAAACTATCTGGAACTGGCGAATTCTTTCGGTTAGACACCAAGTCCTCCCACTTCCTCATAAATATTATCACCAGTGTCTAGGACGATCTAATATCATCTCAATCATTATGACCAAGGGACAACGGGCCAAGATTCCTGCCAAAGACAAGAAGACATCCAAAAAGTCAAGACCAAAGTCAAATTCAAAGTCATATAGGTACTTGATCGAACCCAAAGGACGATCTTATGCTGACCAGTAGACTAAAAACCATCGAGGATCCCCAGAAAGGCCAAGGTCGTGACTCTATCCGGAACACGTTAATAGCACTGCATAACACCGTCTTCAACAAACGTAAAGATATCCCCGCTGAGGTGCAAGAGTTCTGCTACCGTGTTGATATCCTGCACACCCGCGTGCTCGAGTTTACCTTGGAGGCTGGTGTCGATGGACAAGATGGAGAATGCATGGATTGGCAATGGGAACCAACGATCCCCGTTCACCTCGTTCGTACGGTCTATGAAGAATCGTGCTATCCTGAGGGAGCGGTCGCGAGGCCATGGGACATGGGCAATTCACAAATAACCTAAGGTGATGTAATGTCATGATAGACCTTGTCATTATTCAATATGACCGCAACTTGAAGTTAATGGTACTTAGGGATCATTTGATTTGAGATATGCATTTAGGGGAAATTCTGTCTGAGTTGAACATTTAGTATTGTTAGTCTAGGTACAGAATCTCCTATACTGAGTTCATGGGAAACTTCACTGCCCGGCAAAGAACCTAAGTGTTGACCAACTGCGTGGAGCCTTTTCAGAGCCGGTGTTAGCATGCTGGGATAGATAATCGTAAAGGAAACTCATGGTGTACTTTGCTCATGCCTCAATTTGTTTCAGCATGAGAGGGCACAGAATACCCACTAGTCACCCTCACTTTCCATAGATGAGCTTTTTGCGCTCTCTATACTGACATTCGCCAACACGGTATCCAATAAACAAAACTAGGAAGGCAGTGAAAGATTCTTACTATTATAAGTAACGGGGCCTCCTTCTCTCATACAAACAATCTTATCAAAGCCAAACCCCCATTATCTCCCAACTCCTGCCATTCACTTCCATCCCAACACTCACCCTCGCCTCCTTCAGATGGACGACTCTTTATATCTACGTCTCACCATTACCTCTCGTCATTCTATCCTTCAATCATGGAGGATGTAGGATCGAGAACAGTCGTAGCAGCAGCCACGGCAGCGGAAGATCCTCCAATCCCTCCGAGTACCTATAACCACACGACTATTCCAAACAACACCAGTTCTTCCGATCAATCTCGCGAGCCATCGCTCTCGAGCCGTCCTTCTTTACCTTCGACCCCTTATTCTGACTCTTCGATTTGGATAGACAAGGACTCGACCGATGACCATCATTCACGATTCTCGCATGTACACACCCCGGAATCTTCCCATGGGACAAGGCCACCGTCAGTCAACGAGGAAGCCATGCGCTACCATCGAAGACGTCAGGGAAAGTACAAGAGCCCCGAAGAGAGGTTCAACCCAGACGATCGCTACAGACGTTCTCATCGTGGACGTCGTGGTCGCCATGCTCACTCTAGCCATCGTCAACCGCAGCGCAACGAAAGACGTAATAGCGCAAACACAGGGTGTCTACGATATGCCAAGCATGCCGAAACCCCAGCCGACATAGTCCTAGAGCCTCAGCCAGACAAAACCAAGGTTGTAGGTGACAAGTTGACCAAGAAAAATGAGAACAACGGCATGACTTGGCGACGTATCAGTCAAGGTTTAGGACTCGGGAAATCCAAAAAGAACGAAAAGCCAGAAGAACACCCACCTGTTAAAGCTGAGGATGTACCGAGAAGAAAGAGCAAGTGGAAGTTCTGGGCCAAGCAGCCACCTAGTGACGATGCTGAGGCTAGTGATGCCCCCGAGACGTCAGACCCCAACAACGAACCTCAGTTTACGGTCACCTCAGATCCAAGACCAAGTTTACTGGAATCGCATGAGGAAGCGCCTATTTCTACTCAGCTGCATACTGTAATGAGGCGATTATCCCAAGGGGAGTGACCGAAGGCATTCGTTGGAACAGAATTGGACTAGTTTGGATAATCGAAGGATATAGAGGAAATAATCAGCGGATATGACCTCCAATTCTTTCTCCAGTATAATCATTTCTACCCAGTAACTATAAGATACCAAGTTACTACGGCTGTGGTTGTGACAAGTGCCTCAGTGCGGATGTGAGCAACACAACGTAGGATACAACTTAGTGCCAACTTCCTGTCCCTCTCGGGAGCTCGTGGCTTATCAGAAATATCAAAAGCGCCTCGGAAAGTTAAGGCATACCATAGTTGACGCTAAGTAGTGTGAGGCTTAGGCTGACCCAAGGTCGATATAGACTTCAACACCAATATGAGGCACCCCAAGGCACAGAACCAGCAGTATGGAGGCCATAATGTTCCAGACCTCAGACTCTCAGCTCAAATCGAACAAGGCGATCTCTTCCCTCGTGAAAATACCAGCATGCACGTCATCCCCAAACTGGTGCAAATCACCCCCATTCAGCTGTATAGCAGAGCCGCACCAACATCACGATCTGTTCTCCTCTGACCTTGGAAATATGAGCATTATCCCACTGCACCCTTTCCAACTGCTGTATGACGTCGGGGACGGCTCGAGGGGGTGATCCCCCACGAGAAGGGCTTGGTGGAAGACCGGTATGAAGCGGCTTTTGAAGGGTCTGGCTCAGAAAACGTGGGGAAGTATGTTTTGCATGTGGTTTGATGGTTAGTCTGGTGATTGTACTGTGCTGATATGGGGTAGCTAAGTAGATAGGTATGGAGTCTGGGTTCTACTGATATGGGCCTGGGCTATCTGCTGTTATTTGAGAGTGAATTATATGGTTCGATTTCTGTTTCATCTTGATAAGCTATCGATAAAAATAGGCAGACTCTGCTTAAGGCGATGACTTGCATTGTAAATGTTGTGATCGTTCACTCTCAGAAACAAGATGTGCACAGTTACAAGCGTACTCACACCATCCCGTCCCATCCCCCAGCCTTACGGGGTAAAATGCAAAAATGGGGGAATCATTGTTAGTCAAAACGCTTGGTCATCCATCTCTAGCACACCTACATCCTACAGTACAGTGCACCTTGAGGAGATTAATTGTGTTTTGCTACTGCTGCACGGGCGCTTTGTCTCAGCACCTCAGCTGTGCATAGTCGTCTAACACAATTTTGTAATTTACCAAACCAAAGTCTCATATAAACCCATGAGCCAGAAAAACAAATGAGACTTGCCTCAGTGGCACGACATCACAAATGAGACAGTAAGAAAATGACGCCCATTTTCCAAACGATGAAACCAAGCCAGACCAAACCAGAAAATCAAAAACCAAAATCAAAATCACAAACGAGGAGGTAGCTCCTAGTCACATGCCTCCTCATCTCGGCCGTTTGATGCACACTCCCCCACCTTCATTTGGGCGAACCGAGAGGGGCTTGGATGGCGTCCAAGTACCAGTACATACAAGCAGTTCCTTTTCTTCCGTCGCTAGACGGTCAAAGTGGAGAAATTTGGATCTCCCCCCGCGAGGCTCGTCCCGAACCCTCTCGTCTCGTGGCCTCGGCCCACCGTTAGAGCTTCAGGACCCGCCTGTTTGCGGGAACTATTCGTTCGTGGTGGGGAAACTACAGTATGAAAAAGAACATGAATTACAATGGAATGGTTCGAGCCATTCTCGTGACAATTCAGAGGCCATTTACACTACTCGGTAGTTTCTCTATAAAGATCAACACCCCGAACCATCAAATATCACGCATAATACACCATGCATAATAATACTGGCCTCCACTACTCAAAACACCATACGCCAACCGGTCAAATAACCCATATTATCTTCACCTTTTAACAAACACTTCAACCAATCTACATGCTCTTCCCATAATACCAGCCCAAGGGTATAAACATCCGGATACATTACCTCCTTTCTCAAAGTCCAATAACAACAAGAATGGGGTATATGACATCGCTTGCGCCAGAAAACAAACCAAAAACCGCAAACCAACAACAACACGCTGAAAAGAAAAAGCAGACTGAAGAATACCGTGCCGACCTAGGTTTCTGCCTAGTCCTGTTTTGCACCAGACTGGAACTGGTCTGCTCAGATCTTAACCTGAAGAAAAGCAGATAACCATCTTTGACCACCAAATGGAATCCGAATAGATTTTAACACAAATGAAAAGGAAGGAGTCAAGGTAAGCAAAAGGATGGGCAGAACAGAAAGAAATATGGCGGTAGCTTCAAAGCATTGGCAGTCTCGTCACCAGGTAGAGTGTGCGACACTACTCGGAGTCAATAGACTCTGTCTACCGCCCGACACGCCTGGGGTATAGGTCACCGCCCTTGAGAGCTGGTTCGTTCCAATTCTTGAACCGTCATTGGAGTGTTCGCTTGTTACAAGCTGCATCATGTCTTCTGGTAGTTCTGCACCCTCGTCGTTCCACCAATAGTGCAGTACATCACTCTGCCAGCGATCAAGATCACGGATCTTGAGTCCCCGACTCTTGGTGAAGGTCGTATGGAGAAGCAGCGCATTCACTGACGATAGCCTAAGCTGGTGCAAAAGCCATCTATTAATAAAATCACCCTTGCCACCCTCACCATGGTCCAGCATGAGCCGATCGATGGAATACTCTTTGGACGCGAGCTGCATGCGGCTTGGTTTCACCGGGTCAGTCACCGGTAGGGCTGCTGCTGCCTTGAGTGCATCACGCGGTGTGAGGGGGAATTCGTCAGCCATAACGTGTTCAGGCTGGCTCAGAAGAACAGGGAATGTGGGATGTGCAAGATCTGTCCGGCTGCGCAGGATCACGGAGACGTCATCGAGTTCTATGTCCTCATATCCATTTTCAGGATTGAGAAGATAAGCAACGCGTGACGATAAATGCTTTTGCATAACTCCCTTTTCCTCACACAGCTTTCGGAGATCAGTTACTTGTCGCTGCAGGCTGGTGACGCTATTGCGCATTTCTTGCTCTTCCAGCGGGAACTCATCGAAGAATTCGATCTCAGCCTCGTTCAGCTCCATACCCGCGGCTGCCTTCATCTTTAATTCTCCCTCATGCTGCTCCTTGAGAAATAGTAGCTCGTCAAGCTCCTCCTTGGCGTTCTCAAGGTCACCGACTGCAGCCATGAGATCCAGATACTTAGGATGCAGATCCTCGGATGGGCCATCAGGAGATATGCCCATTAGATCATTGGGAATATTCTTGTCTTCCTCATGCTTTATGTCGTCTTCAGGAGGCTGTTCGAGAGGAACAGCTTGACCAACCGCGAGCAAACTAAAGAATCGAATCTCCAGCCTGTTGAGGATTTCCTCTTCTTCATCCAAGGTGATCTCAAGATCTTCGTAATCGTTTTCATAGGCTTGGTATTCAGTTCTCAGCCGCTGCAGCTCTGCCAGATGTCGTTCCAGAGTGGCAGGCCCTGTTACTATCTGCCCTTGTTGAGCAATCAGCATAGGTCGAACGACACCCATGAATGTATTGTCTGCATCGTCCCTCTGTCGCCGCAACTCTCTTAATCTTTTTCGCTTCTTGGCCATTTGACTCTTGATGTCGTTCAACTTGACCCGTTGATCTTTGAGTTTGACCCAGAGTAGCTCCAGCGTATCTTCAGGAGGGGCAGACTCTTTCGATCGATGACTTCTGCTACCCCTGGTGGTTTCCAAGACAGGATCGAGGCTGGTGCTCAAGTCCAGGCGATCTTTCGGGGCGCGATCCCGCTCGTATTCAGATATCCAGTTGGTTATACGAGTTGTCATAGAAGTCTTGCGATTTCCTCCTTGTGGATTCAAGTTGGATGCTGTAGGATATAGAGGGGGAAACTGGCGCGAGTTTCGGAGGACAAGAGAGTCCTCATCGGACAGAGAATCGGAGAAAGACACCTCATCATCAATTAACCGCGGGATTGTATGGTTTGAAGATTGAGATGTAGAAGTGGTATCCCGAAGTTCGGGCTGAGTTGATGCTTTTGGGGCCAGGCGGATTGCCAGATTACTCTTATTTCCCGACTGATGGGCGCTGTGTGGTGGTCCGAAGCTAACAAATCCTCTCGGTGGTCTCAAATTTGGTGTTTGAGTCTGAGTCGGTGCATCACTGGGAGAATTGGGTGCAGAACTGAAGGTCATCCGAGGTGGTGTCGCCAGCAATGTCTGCTGAGAGAGTCGTTGTGGAGGTGGAACCGTGTCAAGGCTATATGTGAATGGTGGACGTAGATTTGTATTGGCGATGAAATTGCCAGGTGGTGGTTGAGGTGGAGGTGGAGGCGGCGGTAGATAGAACGGAGGGCGACTTGACGTGTGCGGGGATGATGGCGATGGTACAGTTGGAGGTCGAAGATAGAATGGTGGTGGTGGTGGAGGCGGAGGCGGAGGATTGTCAAGGCCAGGTTTCCATGGTGGAGGAGGATGAGAAGGCGGAGGCGGGCCCGACATGTCTATTACGCTGGCCTGAGTAGACGGTGCTTGATTGTTGGAAAACACCGTCTCAACTTCAGACATAGGGAAGCTTGTCGAGACATGAATCGGGTTTGATGGCGGCAGAGCATCGTGGATCGGATAATTCCCCTCGCCCTCAAACTCGTGCCGGTAGCGGGAATTGCCATGAGTCCCAGGCACAGGAAGAGGCGAGGTCGAAGAATGAGGATATTGGTGATGTGAGTTTTGGTGGATTCGGGCGTAGCTCGAGTGGTTGTGGTTGTCGTACGCTACGGCCTCCATCGACGTACGTAAGATCAACAGAGCTAAGATAAAGAGACGAACTCATTAGAACTGGAGGCGGCCTGTCCATTTCTCTCTCTCAGATAAACGGATGCGACGATCAATGCTGAGTCGATCGTTGAGGCTCTTTGCAATGACGGTCGACGAAAGGGAGAGGAAAAGGGAGATGACAAGGAAATGAAAACAGCCAAAGCCAGCCAGGGATTTGCTTTTTCTTCATTTGGCGAGATAGCAGAAACTTGGGGCGGACGACATAGCTCTCTGGCGGCTGATTTGCACATTGGAATGAAATGGTGACACACAACAAGGTTCAGTTTCTAGGGGAAACATCCCGGCGTCCGGGGGACAGCGGCCACTAAAGGCTAGCGACAGTTAGCGCCTGAATGTGAGGAAATGCATGTGGGAGCTTCTGATTTATCCATTGGCGATTACGCGACAAAGCAAGTCCAGCACTTGTTATCTCATGATCTGGACTGACCAAATAAGAACGTGACAGCAGAGCGAGGGAGGGGGAGCTATGAGTCTACACAGATTGTGCAGGAAATGCTGGGCCAGTGATAGTGTCCGTGTCAGACAATACTGGGGGCTGTTAAGGAGTGGAGGTCCACTACACGACGGGCATGCAGCCTGGTTACCAAAATTACCCATAGTATCGCTTATAATGTCCCGTATAAACAAACGGTGGAGAGAAGAAGGAAAATATCCACGTCATTGGATCATAATAAAACGTTCAACGGACGGGAGCTTGTCAATTACAAGTTACGCCTCATCGTGAGCTTGCTTGACTGAGCTTGGTCACCAGACTTTTGAGGCCAGCTTAAATTCCACTAATGGTGGATGCTCAAACACACACTGTGCTCTTCCCATCCACTTATCCCATGCTAACTTAGCTTAGCAGATGCTACTAGAGCCTCGTCGTTGTAACTCTACCTCGACACCAACAACAATACCCTGCAGACATTCCCGATGGACGCCTTCCAAAATCGCTCACTCCCCTCCAATTCACCCACTTTGGTCCAATACGCTCTCGGCTCTTTGCATATTGCCCTTGTCCGTTCCGTCTTGGACTGTGTATTCGAATGAGAGGGGCGTGTCTTGCAGGTTATGTTCAGTGCCTATTCAACATGAAAAGCCCATATCATTCACTGCTCTCTGCTCTCTTGAGAGCCCACAACTCGGCGTCTCAGCTGCTGTTATCTTGGACGGAACTGCATCTCCTTCAGGCCTTCCCCTTATTTCCTCTTCAGTTGCTTGCTAAGGGTCTCGTCATGCGAGTTTGCAGCTCGACTCCTCCGAGAACCCCTCCATGAGTCCACCTCCTCCACTTGTTGCATCCATCCCCACTCGACTCGTTCTGTTACTCGCTGGCTGATGCGCGACATTAAAGAGATGCTGGACTGCATAGTCAGAAGCGACTGATAAGCTGCGGTTGCCGCTCAGTTGTCCACCCTCTGAGCCCTTCCGGTTTCTACCTCTTATTTCCCGTACCGATCTACTCTTCAAGGTCGACCGGAACTGGGAGATTTGTTGTGACTCAAAGCTCCAGCTCCAGCTCCAGCTTACTGACATCAGGCTGCACGCCATTCCTTCAGGCAGTCCTGCAACTCCTGCAGCCAAGCAGTTTTTCTGCCGTTCTCATTGCTAGTATTTGGTTGTCATCATCGCGTATCCTGCGGGCAGATGCTGGTCTTCCTGTTGTACTACCACCTCGACCAACCCGCCTTCAACAACTGCTCTGACTCCTAGTTCACCAGCAGCACCACCACAAGAGGCGCACGAGATACCCCTTCAGCATACTTTATGCAACTCTGAAGCACCAATCCTAGTTTTGGCGGCAGAATCTCACCTGCCTACCCCGACCTACATACGCCACAGGCATCAAATCCCTACAGGACACTGGTCAACCTCGCCCAGATACAGGAAGCCGGTATAACACTAAAGCAAAGACGAGACAGTCGTCTCAGCGGAATCTCTCGAGTACTTGCATCTACAACAATCAATCCAATTCTATCCCGATCTACGCCAACGCACCCCAAGGAACCCAACGAGAGCCCGGATCTTCGTCCTCGTGCAACCAAGCTGCAGCTCCCTTATCCAGTCTCCATCCCGAATCAAGAGCTGAGCCGCATTTTTTGGTTAGCCAGCTAACTTCTCGGTTTTACGGTTCCACTGTACTGTACTCTTGCTTATTTCTACAAAAGCCCCCAACCCACCATCTCCCCAGTTGTCGGTACCGCTTTACTTCAGTTCGTTACGTTCTGAACAACGAACAAGGCCTCAGGCTTTGGAGACGAAAGAACTCAAGGTTCTTTACACCAAACACTTCCTCGTTCCTAGTGGTGCAAAAGATTTATGCATTCTCTGCTCGTTTGACGTTTCGCATATTAATTACTGCGGCATCATATATCCACATCAGTTTTCACACTTGGTGGGTGTATCAACTACATACCTATCTTAACCTCTTCATCGTTGAACATATTTATTTCAAGATCTGCAATCGAGTCGTGGTATTTAGACGCGTTGCTTGCATGCGCAAAATGCTACTATGTATCAAACAAGCAGACCAGGATGGAGCGAGTGGTCTAGGTGGATATGGAATCCAGACTACCAGCAATATTATCGCCAGAGAGTAGACGCTGCCGGTGTGTATTTCTATCTAGTCTTCCCATTTCTCTTCCAGACTTACTAACCAAAGTCACATAGGCAACTCGGATATTCAATGGCAGAGCGAATATGAGTCTGCTCAGAATAGAGAAGTGCCCCGAACTCCTGTGCAAGTCCCTGCACAAGTTCAACAGATGGACCAGATGGACCAGGTGACCCAGCAGTTTGGTTCAGTCAACATACAGAGCCCTGAACAAGCGGCTGGAGACGAGCACGACAGTACGTTTTGACCTGTGTTGGTCCCCTGATTTTCCACCACAAGCCCCTTGGCTCCTTTCCACCTCGTCGGCTCTGAAATGTACTAACATATTGGATGGTCTAGATAATGAATATGTCACGGGCGGCTCATCGTCGAGAGTAAAATCCAAATCATCGAGGTCGCATAGCAGTTCATCAAAGTCGAAATCGAAACCGTCCAAGTCCTCTAGTGGGAAAGGCAAGGCAACCGCTCAGGAAGCCATTGACGAGGTTGATGAACACGGTTATGAAAACCGTCATAGTCAACGGAGACCATCTGCATCTGCAACCACTCAGCAAACAGAACAAACCTGTAAGTAAGCCAAGAGTTCACGGCATCCTGATGGGACAGATTGCTAAACTAGCCAGATTATGACCCGAATACTGGCCAGTATTATATATTACCACAAGCTACTCAAGGTACGTGAGATGCTCTATCTCAATCTGAGTATTAGTATTGACAAAGCTTCCTCAACCGCAGGAGATTCTGCATCCAACCAGCCTTATCCAAGCGGCTCAGCCGAGGGGGAAGACCCAGAGCTTCAGGCAGCCCTTGCTCAAAGTCGACAGTATTCGCGAGATCAATACCGAGGTGGCGAGTCGTCATCTGCTGCATACACCCCTTACGGTACGTGACTCCGAGGCTGAAATGTAATTTAATTCGAGGTTTCTAACACCCATAGCAGCTCAAGATGAGGAAGAGGATCCCGGGCCAGCTGTGGCCTCCACCAACCAAGAGCACATCGTAGGCACTGGTGGCGAAACAGAGACTCTAGATCCACGTATGATTATCTGGTCTATGTAAAGCAGGGTCAAACTAACTTGATGCTAGGGTATCGTGTTGCACAGTCTCATATGTTCCAACCCGGCGAGGTAAGCTGGCTCATCCCAGACTCTAAAATTATGCTAACCGCCCGACAGGTCTTCAAAGTCCTCTGGCCGGAGCCAGCAGGAGGAGGCAGTGTAGTTGAAGAAACGGTCTATCGCGACCGGTACGGCGGTCAAATATTTGTTCATTTTCGTCGGTTCATCGTAGTCGCAAACGATCGTGGCCACTGCACTTGCATGTAAGTGTCATATCCTATCAGCGCTTGAGCCCCCGAATCGTGCTAACATTCTAGACCTATCTCTACCTATGGTAAGAAAGGCTGTAAAAAGAGTGGCGTCAAGGCTGAACAACACGGAATCGTTGTTGAAAGTAGCAATCGAAACCCTACCGCCCTACCTGGCGAGCCAGAGCTTGGATATCCTCCTGTTCGTGTGCACATCCACGAGCCAGATGAGCGAATCGCAAAAGAGTCCCGAGTTAATTACTCAAAACTCACGACGGTGGAACATAACGTCAAGGTGCTCTTCATCGGTCGAGTGGTGACCTCAGATTGGGATATTGTCACTGAAGCGGTCAACACTAGCTGGGCAAAGAAGACGCATGTAAAGAAGAAGCATCGCAGACCATGATCCTGCGAAGAGCTCTAACATTCACGTTTTATGGTGCCTGTGTAAGCAGGTCCCTACATCGGGTGTCATCAATGACACCTGCATATATACGTTCCTCAGGAGCTGCCAGCTTTTCTGGCATGCACCTGCGAAACTTGTCTCGGCAACTTCGCAATCCCGAGACAGATACGGTATGGGTTATTCTCGACGTTCCAAGCATACTACCTGAATTATCGTGGTAGCCTCCTGGTTGGAAACCGAACACCCTCGCAAGTGGCGCGCAATTCACTAATGTGCGTTTACATAAGGTAGCCATTTCCTTCTTGTTCTTGGTTCGGACTTTTGCATCGTTTTTTCCTCAACGTCTCCAACAATTCGGAAAGTGTTTCTAAGTACTCTATTGTGTTGGGCAAGATCTTTTTATGCAACTTGACAGCAAGATTTGGTGGAACAGCACACAGCTCCTGACATGTTGATAAAGATATTCTTGAAATATGATGAGTTTGGATTTTTCTTTTTGTTTCATCGTTTCCTCACTCCTTCTCTTCTTCAGTTTTGAGATAGTCTTACAGAGGCTCTCCAATGGGTTTAATGAAAGATATGATTCATAAGGACTTCACTGGGTTTTATGATGAGTTGCAAATGCCTGGTTGGCATCACAATCATTTACGAGGCAGTGTCCCGTCTTTGGGAACGCTGAGGGGTGTCTCTTTGGTACGAGTCCAGTGTATATATCAGAATGAATACACGAAGTTATGCCTCCAAGAATGGCTTCCTTATTCTATAAATACGAATGAATGGCCTTGTTGTGAGGTTACCGAGATAGACCCACCCACCGGACGTCGTGCCTCGGCATCTTTTTCCCCGCAACCGGAGGCTTAATTAATGAACCCCGGACGTACCCCAGGGCAGACAAAACTCCGAGGCTCGACGCTCGTCACGAAGATCAAGGGGGGATGTTGCTTATCAATTCTCTTTCCTATAAAAGATCTCTTCATCCTTCGATATTCGAGTCAAACAGTTCTGCTTTGATCTCATTGTAAAAGTTATAGGATTATACCATCACACCACACGACCCCTTATACGTCATCCCTTCTACCCTTGTACTATCCACTTCCCTTTTCACAACCACAAATACAAACACAATGGCTGAAGCTCAGTTGGAAGATTTCCCTTCGCTTTTCTCCCTGAAGGGCAAGGTCGCCGTTATCACCGGCGGCTCTCGCGGTCTTGGTCTACACGCAGCTTCAGCGTAAGTCATTTATTGCGATTTATCTACAAACGCGACTGACATTGTCTCAGATTCCTCCAAGCAGGCGCATCAAAGGTCTTCATCTCATCTCGTAAGGCCGCTGCCTGTGAAGAAGCATGCAAAGCTCTCAATGCTCTCCCCAACCTTGCTCCCGGTGCTGTTGCCATCTCAGTTCCCGCGGACTCATCCAAGTTCGAGGGTGTAGAGAGTCTTCTCGCGCAGGTCAAGAAGCACACCGACCGCGTCGATATTCTCCTCGCCAATGCTGGAGCTACATGGGGCGAGCAATTTGACACGCATCCTGACTCTGCCTTTGCCAAGGTCATGGACCTCAACGTCAAGGCTGTTTTCAACACAATCCGTCTCTTTACGCCACTCCTCGAGAAGAGCGCTTCTCTTCAGGATCCTAGCCGTGTGATTATCACTGCCAGTGTTGCAGGACTTGGTGTCGGCACAATTGGAAAGCAGGGCACATATGGTTACTCCGCTAGCAAGGCTGCTGTGCTACATCTGGGACGCAACATTGCCATGGAGCTGGGACCTAGGCACATCACCGTCAACTCCATCTGCCCTGGCTTCTTCCCTAGCAAGATGTCCAATGGTCTGCTGGAGATGTCTGGTGGTGCTGAGGAGATCGCAAACAGCAACCCCATGCGCCGACTGGGCAAGCCTGAGGATATTGCTGGTGTGGTTGTTTACCTAGCTAGTCGGGCAGGATCTCATGTTAATGGTGAGACAATTGCTATTGATGGTGGTGCCCTGTGGCAGCGAGGCGAGCTCATGGTTGACTCCAAGTCGAAGCTGTAGGGGCGATGGATACGAAATGTATGATAAAGAACAACCCTTCATTTATGGGGATATAAATAGAAGGCAAATACCTCTTGATGACTATTTATATATTTTATCTGCGTCAGCCTTGATGATATTGGCGACCATCATGAACTCCCCTACTCCAATGGCTTTCGAGCCATCCAAGTACTTGCTCTATACGTTGACTGCAAAAGACTATCAGGATCATGAATATACGGCGCATGGACACCAGTCTTGTGCCACTCAACAACAAATCCCATCTTCTCCAACAGTGCAATGACTTCGTCGTCGGCCAGCTCAAAACTTCCTGGATCAGCGATGCCTGATGAACTCTTTGGGTCATGCTCTGCTTCACCATCCTGTCCATGAGTACCAGGCGCGTTGTTCTCAAAATGCCACAATAACGGCCCCACGTTGATGAGAACACCTCCAGGCCGAAGACAGTGCCGTATGACCTCCAGGTACCGAATCAGATTGGGTGCTGTGTCGAGGAAGAAGACACTTGCCACAGCATCGTATTGTGCTTCATGATCTTCATTAGAATAGAGGCAGAGAAAGTCGGCGGCGCACATGGACATTTCTCCAGCATTAGGTGTGGCAGCTAGAACGGAGGCTGGATGGATGTCCGGAACGCGATAGCTTCTGAGGTGGTTCGCTCGGGTGAGGTGATTGGAGAAACTATGGACCCAGGGGTACACAGTATGCTGTTCAGCCGCAGGACAATAGTTTAGAATGTATGATGAGGCGAGGAGTTGGTGATAGGAAATCTCGTTGCCTTCAGCAGTATATCCATTCGCAACCAGATCAAATACCAATCTTCCTAGGCCTGCACCTGGCACCAATACGTTTAGAGGAGCTCTATCCGGATATCTCTCCTTTTCTGCCGCAAGAGCTTTCATGACGGGACCATAGCTAGCTTCTCTCTCCGCAGCTCCCGCCTCGGTCCAATCTCTGTAGAACTGACGAATAGTACTCCTCGCTTTGTCAACATCGGAGTGCTTGGCGACTCCGGCCCATTCTTGAGGCATCTTGGGTTCAGGGTCTTCGGGATCTGTCGTCATCATTCGAAATGACTGTAGGCCAACACGAGCAATGGTACGAGCCAGCTCAGCATTCTCATCAATTGCATCATCAGTCTTCTCCAGAGTGTCTAGGAAGTTGAACGGAGGTGCAGCCAAGAGTTTCCATTGTTCTTGAGGAAGAGCATAGAAGGCTTGACGACGAAGGTGTGTGACGTTGAAGTGAGATACTTTTGCGTATTGGCTATTGAGCGTTCAGTATGAGAAACAGTACCCTTGAATCAGATTGTATATAGGGTTGAGCAGATGCTGGAGGTCTCATATGGTGTGCCAACAGACCTAGAGGAGAAATGATCCGACTCGAGTGAGCTTTCTTGGGATAACTCACAAGAATGAATCCAGGGCGCTGAATATAACTCGAACCTCTTCAGGATCTTCAGCATTGTCCTCTACTCCAGCCCATGCACTGTCATCTGGGACAATTTCGATGTGGTGGCCATCTTCAGATCCGGCCATACTTTATGGCTTAGAAATGGATTTTGGTATGCTGCGTTTAAGTAAGGGTCATGGAGGGGTAGAGAGGAATGTTGAGAATATAGCAGAAGGGCCAAATTTTTTTGTTATCCCATAAACCCTGCTCTTAGAAGTTATTTAGTGGACTCAGGAAATAGTGAGAGTGAAAATTGATGAAAAGATTAGAATGGACTCATGCCGCTCACTTTCTACAAGTTGACAATGATTTATGCGGGCCTCCGAATGAGTTTGCGTGGGGTTGAGGAGATCATGTGATTGCGGATTTGAGCAAATCGACAACTTGAATAAAGCATCATCAAAAGGAAGGAGCATCGTAGCTTGCCATTTGCCGTCTGGTCATTGTTTTATTATCAGTAAGTACAATCTAGGTATTGTTGTTTTGGCTGCAAATTTCATAACCTCTTCAGTTACGTCAGACGCTCAGACGAAACATCTATGTACACTTCACAACGCAACACAACACAACACGCACCCCAGCTCTAAGAACTACCAAAGTCTCTCACTCGCCGTCTTGAGATCAAGAGATTTCTGCTACACCAAGGGAATAACTTGATACTTCCTCATAAGACACATCATGGCTACAGACGTAATCGAGCTCTCTGTACCCCTCCCCCGCTCTCTAGACACCCGCATCTACCTCCGCCTTTCCACCAAAGCAAAGTCCATTGTGCTATTCCTCACAACAGCGACACAAGACGAGCTCGCCACTCCTGTCTCTATGGGCTCTTTTGTCTACGCTCTGCCCAACGTGAGTACGGCCCGTTTCGGTTCCGGTAATACTTTGCTGACTTTCATAGCGGCTTGACCAGGCACAGCCATTATCTACCACGCTCTATTCTTCAGAGGCATCAGTGGAGTTTACAACACGCTTGGCGAAGCTTTTGGCTCGGAAATCACAGCTCCCGGTGTACGTCACTAACTCGATTAGTTTTGCTAATGCGGGCATGGGAGGCACGGTGGAAGAGGAGATGGAGGCCTTCAAGACCATTGTTCAGGTTGTGTCAGAGAGGCTACAGCTATCGGGCCCCAAGTCAACGGCGGCCTGATAGGATAAGGATACCTGCAACCAGGTAAGGGAATACGAAGTTTTAACACTTTACAAATGGCAATCTTGGAAGAAGAGCTACGGACTTGCATCACCCACCACCTTAGCCTCCGTCAATACCTGATGTCTATCCTAGGAACTCTCACCGACAGAACCAGAACCACTCAGAACTATTGTGCACAGCTTCATTCATGTCACCGAGTAACATAGCTGTCAAGAGAGTCCTGGGAGAATCACGGCATGGACCACAAACAATCCCGGATGAATCCGCAGTGGTACACAGAGGCAGACGGCTTGAGGCAAATGCTTGTCACCAGGCGGGATTGCGCGTGTAACAACATAAGACCCAATCCTTCTGTTCTTGTGCTGAGGAGGCTTGTTATCGTTGTGCCTTTTTCAATAGATATTACACTGAAGAGAAACAATAAATGGTCTGTGAATACACAAGTTATGTATCTCGCCTCCACGGCCACAGCTTCCATTACTTCAGGATCTTGTATCCCCAATTGCTTGGATAAGGCGGCCAGACCTCGCCATGTTTCTTGGGCATAAGCCAGCTGCAGACCGCTTTATTGCGATAGCGACTGGCCAGGAAATAGTGTCGCACAAGTAATACACGATGTTCAGGCTGGTGCAACACCAAGCTGCGCGGCACTTACGACGAGACTGAGCCCGCAGTGACGCTTTGGTGAAACTAGACTATCAGATGAAGGGTGATACTCTCGATAGTTTATCGGTCCATACGGGAGAGTACGCAAGAAACCAGCTAAACATGGATGTTGGTCTGCATCTTTGAGTTTCTAGAGTTGCAAATATGGCCTGAGTTTGAACACAGTATTACGGGTAGCTCAAGGCCGTTAGATGCAGTCTCAGGCAGGGCCGCGGCCCGTTGCAGGCGTTAATATGAATGGATGATTCAGAGCCATATCGATTTTGCTGAAATGGTTGGATAAGAATTCAAACAAGCGGCTATTTCGTCTCGTCGACTCTTCTAACCAGCCACGAGACGAGACGAACGAACGATATATAAGATGACAACATTTGTTGCTCTAAAATAAAATGGAACCCAACAGTTTATTCTAGCTCCGGCGATCCCCGCAGCAAAGAAAAAGAGCCTGCCTTGCATTTCTTCAGTGACAAATTTTCTCGGTTTCTGCGGGCGGGTTATCGTTATCGCACCCCGCGCCACTAGAAGCCTCGATTGGCACGGTCTTGTTGGGTGTTTCAGGCTACTTTACAGTGCGTCTGATACGTGACATGCCCCCATTGTGTCTCTCATCTCGCCATCGCTAGTCTCAAAGGGGCAATTTCTTGGTTGAATGCCCTTGACCTTGAGCCTCCGCTCTCTCCTCGAAACTACACCAAAATCTTCGTCCCCTACTCTTGGTGGGCAGCTGAGCTTCTTCAACTCTAACTCGAGAGATCTGCATCAACTTCTCCCCCTCGGTTGTCTTTTTCTTTACAGCTGCGTCTCAAGACGCACAGCGTCCTGTCGCCCTTTTTCTTGATATTACTATCAGGGTCGTGATAAACAAAGCAATCCCTAGGAACAAAGGCGAAGCTGCTAGGCGTCTCAGTAAGAAACCAGGTGAGTAGACTTGAGTTGACTTGAGCTTTGCAGTGTGGCCCCACGGTGTTGCACATCCCTGTATCGGAGGGGCACATTCGCTTCTCGCCCACTGCCATCCCATACGACGACGGACGGATACTCTATCCCACTATACAAGAGTCCACCGCTGGTCTCTCGTTTCTCATCTCTCCCCTCTCCCAGGCTCCTTCACCATTGTCATCTCTATTTTGTCCTGGCTAAAGGTTTGCGCATTGCTAACCGTTGACGAGTAGGAGCCGTGGAGCTTAGCTCATGTGAAAGTCGTTCACAAAGTTTCCATCTCGCTTCTGCGCCCCTCTTCTCTACATCCGCCTTCTGCGACGTTCAGAGACGTTGTCAACACCACCGCAGCCATGTCCTCCTGGGAACCCGCCCCCGATTCGCTGCAGCAGCTCGCTGCTTGCCTCAAAGACTCCCTCAGTGGTTTCGACAAGAGTGCTCAGAAGCAGGCTGACTTGGTAAGACTTTGCTTGCCCATCGCAATGCATGCGCCGCCCCTCAGCTAATCATCCTTTGCAGATGCTTCAACAAGCCAAGAACTCCCCAGACATCAACAACTATCTCGCATATCTCTTCTCAAGCTCCTCACCTCCCAATGGCCTTCAATTTTCGGAGCAAGATTTCCACCTCGTGCGCTCCGCCGCTGGCATCATGCTCAAGAATAATGTTCGAAGCGAATGGAAGAGCATCCCCGAGTCCAACCTCCAGCTCATCAAGCTCGCGGTCCCCATGTGCCTGCAAGACAAGAACTCCCAGATCCGCAACTTTGCTGGAAACATTGCTACCGAAATTGTCCGCCGTGGAGGCTTGCTCAGCTGGCCGGAGCTACTTCCCCAGCTCCTCGACTTGGTCGGTAACACATCCGGTCAAACTTCGAATGAGGCGCAAGAGGGTGCTATGTCTGCTCTGGCCAAGATCTGCGAGGACAACTTCCGTCAGTTGACCAAGGAGGTTAATGGCCAGCGGCCCCTCAACTATGTTCTTCCCCATTTCATCGCGGCCACCAAGAGCCCTCTGCCCAAGGTCAGGGCTGGTGCGCTTACTGCCATCAACGTCTTCACACCTCGAGAATCACAGGCCATGCTTAACTCCATCGATGACCTCCTCCAGCATCTGTTTGTTCTGGCCAGCGATGACAATGTTGATGTTCGACGACAAGTGTGCCGTGCCTTTGTTCACCTAGTTGAGACGCGACCCGACAAGCTCCAGCCGCACATTAGTGGCCTCGTCGACTATATAATATCCCAGCAGAAAGGCGACGATGAGGACTTGGCCTGTGAAGCGGCCGAATTCTGGCTCGCCGTGGGAGAACATGACAATTTGTGGAGGGCATTGGAGCCGTACATCAATAAGATTATTCCTGTCCTCCTCGAGTGCATGGTTTACAGTGGAGAGGACATTGCCCTCCTTGGAGGTGCTTCAGATGACGAGGAGGAGGAGGATCGTGAAGAGGATATCCGCCCTGCATTTGCCAAGAAGGCTCTTGCACGAAAGGCCAACGGTGAGGTCAGCGAGTCCGCAGATCAAGCCCAGAATGGAAACGGCTTCGAGAAGCTCAGTGGAATGGACGACGATACCGAGGAGGGAGAAATCGATGACTACGATGACGGTGACGACGCCAACCCTGACGAGCGATGGACCATCCGCAAGTGCTCCGCCGCCGCTCTCGATGTTTTCGCCCGCGACTTCCAATCTCCTGTTTTCGAGGCTATCTTCCCCTATTTGTCACAGCATCTGAAGCACGAAGAGTGGCCTCAGCGAGAAGCCGCTGTTCTCGCCTTGGGTGCCGTTGCTGATGGATGCATGGACGTTGTTGTCCCTCACTTGCCTGAGCTTGTGCCTTACCTCATCTCTCTTCTCGAGGACTCGGAGCCTGTTGTGAGACAGATCACCTGTTGGACCCTTGGTCGATATTCGTCATGGGCTGCCAATCTGGAGGATACAGACAAGGATCAGTTCTTCCTCCCTTTGATGGACGGTATTCTCCGCCACATGTTGGATAAGAACAAGAAAGTACAAGAAGCTGCTGCATCGGCATTCGCCAACCTCGAGGAGAAGGCAGGTAAGATCCTTGAACCTTACTGTGGCCCCATTATCCAGCAATTTGTCCATTGCTTTGCCAAGTACAAGGATCGCAACATGTACATTCTTTACGACTGTGTACAGACACTGGCGGAGCATATTGGACCTGCCATGGCCGCACCAGAGCTGTCTGGCAAGCTGATGCCTGCCTTGATCGACCGATACAACCGTGTATCGGATCAGTCACGGGAGCTGTTCCCTCTGCTAGAGTGCCTCTCTTATGTGGCGATGGCACTCGGTGATGCGTTCGCTCCCTATGCTGAGCCTATCTTCCTTCGATGCGTCAATATCATTCACGTCAATCTTGAGCAGACTTTGGCCGCTGCTGGCAACCCCATAATTGACCAACCTGACAAGGATTTCCTGGTAACAAGTCTGGATCTTCTTAGTGCCATCGTTCAAGCTCTCAACGATGACAAGTCGGCTGCATTGGTCAAGAGCTCCCAACA